AAGCTTGAGTATATACTTATCTTTAAACAAATACTAAAGAGATTCAATACAAAGAATTACAAGATAATAAGATATGTAGTGAAAATGAATCTGAATATTAGAAAGCATAAAATGCAAGAAGTCTTTACATATAAAGTTTTTTAGTTAAATAAATGTAATATAATACTAAAACAATCCTGGCTGTAGTTTAAAATAGTTATGCTGAACAAAGAAAAAGACATACTCTGATTCAAGCTCTCTAATATTATACTGTTCACCAAACATCTAGAGCAGACAGCTCAAGATATAGAAGTATTGCAAATCTCAGCCAGCAGCTTGATAACTTAATATCAGAAACAGAAGATTAAACAAGCTTATGTTTTTACTACTAGTTTAATTAATATCAACAAGATTCTCTGTGGGAAGAATTATCCAGACTTTCACGTAAAATTATTAAGATAATACCACAAATTTCTAGATCTTTTCAGTATAAAGAATATCAACAAGCTATCTCTCTATTACAGATTCAGAATCAACCACCAGATTGAATTGATAGCAGAGAATGGAAAGAAATCTCAGCTATCATGAGAGCTACTCTATAGCATGTCACAGAAAAAGATTCTAGTTTTACAGAAGATACTAACAGATCTACTGAACAAGAAATTTATCTGAGTCAGCAAATCTAGCACAGCTGCATCAGTTCTCTTTACAAAGAAGTTTAGCAGCAGTCTATATTTTTGTGTAGATAATCAAGAACTAAATAAGCTGATCAAGAAAGATTAATATCTATTGCTTCTAATTAACAAAACTCTGGAACAGATTAGACATATCAAATAGTTTACAAAGCTAGATATTATTTAAGTATTCTATCAGATACAAATATTAGAGAGTAATAAATAAAAAACAGTCTTCTAAACATAATACAAGCTCTTTAAATAAATAGTTACTTTTTTTAAGCTTGCAAATGCTTTAAGCATCTTTTAGAAATATATTAATTAGATGCTCTGTAACTATCTGAATAAGTTCTGCTCCATCTATATAGATAACATCTTAATCTTCTCCACCAGATCATACAAAGAATATCAGAAGCATATACAGAAGATGCTACAACTTTAGTTATAAGAAGCAGACTTACATATTAATATTAGTAAATGTGAGTTTGAAGTCACTTTAACAAAATATCTGGAATTTATTATTAAGACTGGCAAAGATGTACAAATGAATCTTAGAAAGATACAAGCTATACTGAAATAAAAAGCTCTTACAACAGTCAGAGATATGTATAGCTTTATTAAGTTTACAAACTTCTATTAATAATTTATAAAGAACTTCTTTAAAATAGTAGCACTGCTTACAGTACTAACTAGAAAAGACAGTAAATTTAAATAAATCAAGAAATATAATAATGTCTTCAAACTTCTAAAGAATATGTTTACTACTGTATCTATTCTTTTACAGTTTAATGCAAGCTGTAAGACAGTAATCAAGATGAACTTCTCAGACTATATAATAGAGGGCATGCTCTTGCAATATGATGAAAAAAGCATGCTACAATCATATATCTATTTCTCAAGAAAGAATACACCTGCTGAATATAACTATAAGATTCATGATAAAGAACTATTAGCTGTAGTAGAATATCTATCAGAATAGAACTTCAAGCTCTATAGTATCAAGAAATTTAAGATTTTTACTGAATACAAGAATCTAGAGTACTTCATGACCTGATAATATCTTAATAAAAGACAGATATAATGAATGAATACTCTGAACAACTTTAATTTCCAGAGTGATTACCATTCTGGAAAGCTCAATACAGAACCAGATATGCTCTCATAATATAATTAAGATATACTAGTCAACACTGATAATAAATAACTGAAGAATCAAGAAGCACAGCTACTAAAGTCTTATATAATCACAAACAGTGCAATAGCCTGTCATATTACTAGAGTAGACAATACAATAAAGCTGTTATTAGTCAAACACTGAAAACAAATATACATTACAGATATGCAACTTCAAGAGATAGAACAAGCTCTCAAGAACAAATACTTATAACTTCTCTCTGAGCTTCTAGTAAAGTTATCTGTATCAGACTGCTCATTTAATAATAATAATGAGCTCTACTTTTAGAGATGGTGCTGAGTTCTAGATTTCAAAAAGTTACACACATGAATCATGCAAGAAACTCATGATTTTGTAATAATAAGTCATCTGAGTAGAAAGTAAATAATCTCTATACTCATGCATAAATATTTTTAGTCTAAGTTTGCTAACAATATATGATGCTTTGTATAAAACTGTAATCTCTGTCAGACAACAATAATATAAAGAGATTATCAGAAAAAGATGCTGAAGCCTTTGTTTATTTCTGATTAAATCTGATTAAAACTCTTAATGAACTTCATTATTAATCTACTAGAATCAGAAGAATGTACAAATATTATAGTTATTACAGATTAACTCACCAAAAAAGTTATCTTTAAATCATGCAAGAATATTAAAGTTAAAATAGTAGTTCAAGTTTTTATACAAAGCATATACTGCTGTTATAAATTATCTATAGCTATTGTTTTCAATCAGAGATTATAATTTATAGATGACTTTTGAATTTATCTGTATCAGCTGTTGAAAATCAAGAGATATTTCTTCACAACTGCATACTCTGAAACTGATAAATCTACAGAACACATGAATCAAATATTAAAGACTTATCTTAGAAAGTTCATTAACTTTATACAGAATAACTAAGTCTAATAACTGCTACTAGCAAAGTTAGTAATCAATAACTATAATACTATATTAATAAAAGCAAGCTTTTTCTTTCTGATACATAAGTATAATATAAGCTCTCTAAATCTCAAAATCAATATCTTACTTATAAGTCAGTCTCCATGCAACTTTATTGAACAAGCAGAGATTATTATGTACAAAATGCAGAATACTACCAAATAAATCCAGTTTATAATAATTATTATTCAACAAAAACAAGAAAAGTATACTAACTGTAACTATAAAGCTTTATAAAACTTTAAAATAGAGAATAAAGTCTGACTAGATCTGTACAACATCAAGACAAACTGTATAAGCAAGAAGCTAGATGTAAAGAATATTAAGTTTATAGTTATTGAGATAATTAACTTATATAGCTAGCACCTGAATATATTACTGGAGATTTACAATATCTTTTATATGCAGCTTCTCTATCTAGTCACCACAAACTCTTTCTCTAGCCAGCAACAGTCAGATTAGCAGCTGCCAGAGATTACTATTAAGAAAGAGAAGAAGTATAAAATAGAAGAGATTTTCAAGAAGTAAAGAAACTATTAATATCTTGAATATCTCATCAAATGGAAAGAATATGCACACTTAACATAAAATAATACCATACTTATAAAGAAGACAGTAACTCTTGACAGATGAGAATGCTGTAAGTATCAAGACAAGATCTCTAGCATCTGTAAATATCAATAACAGCACAATATCTGAAGAGCAGAAAAGAGATATTGTAGAGAGTTGGACCTTTATTCTTCTTGAGCTGAACTCTTGATAGCATGTTATGTAGAAGATTTTCACACTATTCTCTTTTTGGCTTAGTGCTACACACTAATGTTGTGAATATATCATATATATACTTACCTATCATTCTTTCTCTCTTTCTTTCTAAGCAATACATTTGTGTATATAAAGTCTTAGCTAGTAACAAGTTCAGCTAGGCTTATGATACTCTATATCTCAAAGTTCAAGGCCTCTGGAGAGAGATATAGTGTTATGAATGTAGGCCTAAATCAATCAAGCATCAGATAATATCAGATGTTCAGAGAACATTATATAATCTATAACTCTGAATATATAAGAATCACACAGTTCTTACAGATTATGGGAATCTCAGTGTTCAGTCTTCTAGTTAGTAAATCTATACATTCTACACATAACTCTCTTCCATCAGTTGTGGACATCAGATCTACTTAGCTCTTTTGTACTCCAATTCTAGAAAAAATCTATGAGATCTACATTGGACTCCTCTAATATATATTTAAATAATTCTTATAATTTACAAAGTTTATTATATCTGTATAGTATCTTCTTTATTTTATAATGATCAAACATAGACTTGTTAGAATATAAAAAAGCAAAAAGTTGAGATTTGTATGTGTATTTTAGTGTTCTACTTGCTTGGTTGTTCTGCTCAGTTGTGAAATACATTATATCACAATCTCTGTTAGTTATATAGACAGATGAATAAGATTAAGAATTTTATAAAATAAAAACTTAAGAGCTTATTATAAGACTTAATAAAAAAACTTAATTAAATTATCAAGATCTATAAATACAAAATAATCAATATTATTATTATAAAGAAGTAATATCAAGATATTTTTGCAGCAGATAAGAAAAGTAAAAATACAAGAGATTTACTTACAGAATTTTATATAAAGAAGATCTAACTAGAAAAATAGCTCAGAATCTTATTATTCTGTCTGCTGAGCTTATTAAGTAATCTATTATTGTTAATCTCTTAATTCTACAGTCTCTAAGCCTGCATTATACTTACAAACTTCTTCAAGATGCAGCAATTGTGGTTCTCATAAGCATAAAAGAACAAGATACTCTAATTCTAGTGTAATTTTATAATTTAATTAAGTGTTGTTGAGCATATATATTTCAGGTTGAAATCTATTCAATTACTACATGGTGATTTTAGTGTCCTGCTTGCTTAGGTGTCCTGCTTGCTTAGGTGTCCTGCTTGCTTAGGTGTCCTGCTTGCTTAGGTGTCCTGCTTAGTTGTGGATTACATTAGTATTTATTGCAAGTTCAAGCTTCCTCTCTATCTCTATAGAGTTTCTTGCATTTTTATTGCAAACTGATGGCATAATTGCACGTTGAAGTGGCTTGATTAGAAAATTGAGATGTTTTGAATTTGGTGGCCGACTTGTTTGGGTGGCCAGGTCGTATGTGGGTTACGTTAACTACCTAGCTCTACTAAGTGGTTGTCTTTCAAAGCTTGACCCTAACTACCAATTCATAATCCCTAGCTTCTTCATCTCAATTATTGCCTATGTTTAGTTAGTGATATGGTTACTGGTCATCGGTATCTCCTTGTTCTCATTGTGCTCTTATTCACTTCCTCCTCCGCGAAACTGACATCGTGTTTTCCACCCAGTCACTGCAATTAATCCAAGAACACCACAAAGATGGAGGCCTACGACCTTTCAGACACTTCGTCGAACCTGAGTTCTCCGCCAATGTCTCCAGTTCCTCCGTCAGAGTTCTATCCATCCCCTCCTACTTCCCAAGGCCTCGGAATCATTCCACCCATAGTCTCCGAACCACCGATGCAACCAACTCCGGGACCGCCAACAAGCACCAATAAGAATACCAATAATAGGAGAAGGCGTGCGGTGCCACCAAAACCTCGGATATCGCGACATCTTGACCTAGGCCTTGTGTCGCACAAGGATCAGAACGATCATCTGGAATTGCTGGTCTCAGCGCTCCAAAATAAACGAAAAATTGTGGTTGTCGCCGGAGCTGGAATCTCGGTTTCAGCTGGCAGTATGTATCTTGTCCGCACCCATTAATCTAGGATACTGTGCAAATACTAAAATAGCCATCGCTATAGTTCCTGACTTCAGATCGTCGCACGGATTATTTAAAACGCTTCGGAAAGACCATAAATTGAAAGCATCCGGGAAAGAACTTTTCGACGCGTCGGTTTATCTGGACAGCACGATGACTTCTTCTTTTCATGATATGGTTCGTTTGTTGTCAGATATGGCGGCCACCGCAAAGCCCTCAGCTTTTCATCACCTATTGGCGCGGCTTGCGAAGGAGGATCGTTTGCTGCGTTTATACACACAAAACATAGACGGTATTGACACATCACTGCCGCCGTTAACTACCGAAGTTCCTCTGAATTTGAAGGCCCCATGGCCGCGCACTATCCAGCTCCATGGCGGTTTGAAGAAAATGATATGTCAAAAGTGTAGACATACATCAGATTTCAAGGCCCACCTCTTCCAGGGGCCTGATCCCCCTCTCTGCCCTGAATGTTGTGAAGAAGATTCTCATCGCATGAGTACGGGCCAGCGGAGCCGGGGCGTTGGGAAGTTACGACCTCGAATTGTGCTCTATAATGAACATAACCCTGATGAAGAAGCGATTGGGTCTGTGGTGAGGGCTGATCTACGGACAAGACCCGATGCCTTGGTGGTAGTTGGGACGAGTTTAAAAATCCCGGGGGTCCGCCGTATCGTTAAAGAGATGTGCCGTGTAGTCCAAGGGAGAAAAGATGGAATTACCATGTGGATAAATCACGATTCGGCTCCTGTTGGAAGAGACTTTGAACACTGTTGGGATCTCGTGGTCCAAGGTGATTGTGATGAGGTTGCCGAACTTGTGGGTTTGAAACGATGGAACGATACAGGCGACGAAACTTTTGCTGCCTTCTCGGCACCTGAAGCTGAAAGCTTCAAGCAAGGGCACGGCAATAATATCGCTGTTGTGGTTCCTCGTTCCATAGCCATGGCTCCCAAAGCAAGGACGCATATAACCCCAGTCGAAATGCCTGCAAATCCCGCTACCAAATACCATCCTCTCAAAAAGCCCCTTGACGGAAAAGCAGAGAAGCCCCCCAGACAGCGCAGGACTCCACATACGAACAAATCCCCACCTCAAAGAAAGCTCCCATCAAATTTCCGCGTTAGCAAGCCGAGTAATCAGGGTGAGAAAAATAACGTCAAGAACATTTTTCCTGACATGCAAGTCTCAACAATTATGCATCCAATATCCCCGGGTGCGGCACGAAATAATGGTCCCATGTTCCCCGAGTTGGTAGCGTCGTCTACATCCCATCCCCCAGCCACTACCCCGTGGAACGACACCGAGATTATTTCGCCTATAGGCAGAATACCTGCTGATATGCAAAAGATCCTCATTAGCCGAACTAATGAATGACAGGTTAGATTCTGCTGTATTCCTATATTACTTTGATGCCTTTAGGCCATTCTTATAGATATCATCCGTCCTTAGGTTTGGAGTTGATGATCTTAGAGCAGTTAACATATGTTCTTATGCTCCTGGGTGATTGAAATTCTTATCCTTCTGTTAAGTTCAAGATCAGTAATTTTCATTGGTATGAAGGGATATCCTGCAGTAATAAAAATTGAGAGAAAGGGACGTGATGGAGAGATCAAAGACTTCACAAGCAAAGCACCGTCCCTGCGTGCATTTCCCGGCATTGTGGTGTTTGAATAAAACCCCACCCGCACGACTAGAGGATGTTCTCCTTGTTTGGAATTGTGTCTGTACTTGTTGGGGGTGGCCATCTGTTCTTCTCGGTTCCTATTTGTGAATATGTTGCAATGCCTACATGAATGCTTGCTGTTAAATGCTAGTCTTATGATATAATAGCCTTTTGCCAATATCATCCAGGCCAAATTGTTAAACCCCCCATACCTGTAAGGGGCGGCATCATCCGGTGGTGCCTTCTGGTGTAGAGATGTACACCTTGTTAGATATAGGCGCTGAAATCAGCTAGTTCCAGTTCTAGCGACAAGCTCAGGCCGCAACACAGGTAAAAAAGGGTAGAAGTAGTATGGGCTGAATACAATGTGTGTATGTTATATATTCATGACATACTGACCAATCCAGCCAACCCGATTGCCATAAGCCAACCCAAGGAAAAAGAATAAGAAATACCAATATCAATCGCTCTCACTGTCTATCCCAGAATCTAGGTTGAAGTGTTTCTTCCTCACCATATCACTCTTGCTATCTTCAGAAAGTTCCTGCTCTTCGGTTGCATCGTTACCATCATCATTCACTTGTTTTTCTGCCACGCCAGCCATTTGAGTGTCGCTATCATCATCGTCACCATCATCATCATCATCGTCATCATCATCCTCCTCTTCCTCTTCCTCCTCCTCCTCCTCTTCTTCTTCAGCATCATCCTCTTCAGTATCATCTGTGTGCAGCCCGCCTTCCTCGTTGTATGGCATGATCCCGCATGCCTGTAAAGAATAAGTTACCTCTGAATTCTTGACATGTCTGTGGTGGCCTGTCTCTGGTGTGTGTTGCTCATTGTCCCTCTTCTGTCGCTTGATAATTGGCTCCTTGTTGCCATCATTAACACAAGCTTTCTCCTTAGCTGATGCATTTCCTTGGCTTTTCTTCTCATTCTTACTTTGTCGCTTCTGCACAGCGGTTTCCATATAGATAACCAATTCTTGTTCCAGCTGGGGACGGAATGAGTCAAATTCAATTTCTTTCAGTGCAGATAGGACATCTTGTGGGGTGATTGTTTTCTTTTCTGTTTCCTCATTCGCACTGGAAGACCAAACTTATGTCAGTTACAGGAGCTAGCGAGAAAAGAGGGGAAGTGCACTACTATTACTCACTTGGAAGAAAGATATGATACAAAGACTGTTGCTGCCTTTGTGATTGCCAGCAATGCATCTTTTTGGATGGAAGTATTGGGCGGCAAGGCTCCTTTAGCTAATCTCTGTGTCAGAGTCCGTGGAAGAAGAAAATCCTGCAAAGTGTTCCAATGATGAGCCATAGTTAGCAAGACTGACATATTCTCAAAGATTAATTGCACGTGGAGACTCAGTCACGCCTCAAGTTGATATTGAGAAAGAATGTGGGCCAAAAGACTGAAGACATATTATCAAACCCATACTTCAACATTCACCCCTAACTCTGCAGCATGCTGCTTTCCACTTTTCACACAAGTGTCAACCTCCAGGATGCTGATCTTATTTTCAGCATTATCAGTGGATTTCTGGGTAGCCATGGCTTGTTTGACATGCAGTTCCAGATAATAGCAGTCTAGTGCAGATACCTGCCTTTTCGATGTTTGTGTTTTTAAAATAATACTAATATGGAGTACAGAGTACTCCGTCCTAATAATAATAACAATAATAATATGTTTTTCAGAGATATAATAAGAATATTTACAATTCTACTTAAAGTTCTCTTCAAGTGCTTATTTTTTTTGAAAGCTTTATAACTTTTTTATTTAAAAATGCATTTATTAACTAGTTAATAATACAGCATTTTTGCAGGTAAACTAGTTAGTGAGCAACACAGATCAGGGGACCTCATAAATAAAGTTTGCGGACCTCATAAAAGTCATGTGATGCTGACTAAGGAAGTCCATCTTCAGTACTATAAATACCATACGTGTAGCTCTGCTGTTTGAATTTTCAAATTATTTACAGTTTTCTTCGCACACATTAATTGATTGGGAATTGATTATCCCATCTGATTACAACTCAAGTGCTTGCTTTTGCCTTGAACCTTGATGAATATCTGAATACCACTGAACATGGATATGCATATGTTGTTAATATTGCTGGTCGTAGTAGGGAGGAAGCAGAGGATATGATACACACAGTTAGTTATATTAAGTGCTTATGAATCACTTGGCAACTGATTGGTAACTGATTAGTAACTGATTAGCAAATGATTGTGTTACGCACTGTTGTGTACTCAGGCAGGACAATCTCTCCACTGGCAACACCCTCAAGATACCATTGGTAGTAGGCCTATCAATTCAATCATTTTTTAATCAATTTGCATCAGATTCATCAAAATAACACATTTAACAGCTAAATCTACTCACATTATCGCGTAAATGAGCCATCTTCGCCAAAAGGGGGGGGGGGGGACTGCTTGGGAAATGCTTGGTAAAGGTAAGAAAAAAAACTTACGTGACTGTTTTTCTAGAGGTGCGCTTTGCTTAATAAGCATCACGTGACCTTTACGAGGTCCATCTTGGCTTACATAAGGGGTCCGGGTCATCTGTGTCCTGCTAGTTAAGTAAGTTAGTTAACTAGTTAACCTAACTATAACTAACTAACTAACTAGTTCACTAACGTTATTGCAACTGGATCACCTTATGTAATGAGCAGTGTGGTGCATTTTTAGTTCCTCTGAGCTGAAAGGTACAGTACATATGGAGTAAGTTCACTCCCAAAAAAAAAAAGAAAAAAAAGAAAAGAACAAGAAAAGAGAGCACACCTCAAAGAGCCAGAACAAGGTTGAAGGGCTTGATAGAGCTTGTCAGTTAGTACACCAGCAAAATGGTGAAGCTTGGTATGTACATTATTGGAAAAGAAAATATTTTTAAAGGCTTTGATGTATGGCATACCTCTAAAACTTACTTTTTTTTTTTTCTTTCAGGCAAGAGCTCAAAGAGGACGCCGGTCCGTCTGCGTCACAAGATTGAAAAGGCCAGCACAGCTAAACAGAGGAAGCAACGGAAATTAGCAAAAAAAGTTTGTTCCATTCAGCATATATGTGTATATGTTCATGGTGTAGATGCTGACTATTTGATATAGAATCCACAGTGGCGCTCCAAACTGAAAAAGGATCCTGGCATTCCAAACTTATTCCCATATAAAGACAAGGTTCTCCATGAAATTGAAGAGCGGAAAAGGTTGAAGGAAGAAGAAGCCATGCGATTGCGCGAGGAGGTGCTCCTTCGGCGTCGAGGAGTCGGTGGCGTTGATTCATTGCCCGATGCCGAATTAGCTCATGTCGAAGAATTAGACAGGGCCCATGATCTAATAGATGACGAGATGGAAGATGGAGATGACCCCGGTCCTATGGCTGCTTTATTAGCGTCGGCGAAAGCAAGAGCGATAGAGTACGCAGAACAAAATGGTGACGAACAATTCCATAAAGTGGATGAGGACGTCGACAAAATCGAAGATGAGAGCGGCTTCGGTGGCGACAATATTCTGTCAGTGAAGCCGTCTTCGGGTCCAGTCTTGATAGAAACCTCGAGACGAGCGTTCGATAAGATGTTTAAGCAAGTCATTGAAGCCGCCGACGTGGTATTATATGTTTTGGATGCGCGAGACCCTGAAGGCACGAGATCCAAGGAAGTAGAACGAGAAATTATGGCGGCAGACGGTGGATCGAAGCGGTTGATATTAATCCTGAACAAAATCGATTTGGTTCCCCCGTCGGTATTAAAAGGCTGGCTCTCGCATCTTCGAAGATCCTTCCCAACCCTACCACTAAGGGCGTCAACTGGAGCACCGAGCTCGAACAGTTTTGACCACAAGCAAATGACAGTGAAAGCGACAACCGAGGCTCTATTGAAAGCACTAAAGTCATATGTTCATAGTAAGCAGCTGAAGCGTTCAATATCAGCGGGAGTGATCGGCTATCCAAACGTTGGAAAATCGTCCGTCATCAACGCACTGGTCTCACGCCTAAACCGGGGTGCTGCTTCAACATGTCCGGTTGGGGCAGAAGCCGGTATTACTACAAGCTTAAGAGAGATCAAAATTGACAACAAATTAAAGCTTATTGATTCTCCCGGGATCGTCTTCCCAAACTCTGATAAAAGGAAACCATTATACAAGAAGCTTAACGAAGAAGCGCGCCTAATCCTCCTTAATGCAATTCCGCCAAAGCAAATATCCGATCCTATTCCTGCCGTTGCGCTTCTCCTGGATAGACTGTCCTCCTCCGGCCTCATCTCCAAAATGCTTGAGTTTTACAGTATACCACCTCTGTTCCCTCTTAACGGAGAGAAAACGAACGATTTCCTTGTCCAAGTTGCCAGAAAACGAGGACGGTTGGGCAAGGGGGGTGTGCCAAATATAAATAGTGCTGCGATGACTGTCATCACCGACTGGCGGGATGGCCGTATTCAGGGATGGCTAGAGCCGCCTATGTTACAGGTTGCTTCTTCCACGGATTGCTCGTCTACAAGCATTGGATGGGATACAAAAACAATCGTGTCTGAGTGGTCCAAAGAGTTTAAGATGGAAGGTTTATGGGGAAATGAGGATTATCAAGGAGATGAAATGATGGAGTGAACACGTCACTTTTCCGGAGCATAGTTCTTTTGTTTATTTTTTATCAGCGTCAAAAGATTCAGATTCTTCTCTCTAGGAAATATTCAAATTCTAGATTATGAAAACGAAACACCATGTTATTTTGCAGACCTATGGTGTATTTTCTGCCACAGGCTCAGCTATTGATGTCGAGTCAGGGTTAATGAGATCCAGCAAAAGCTTTGCCGCAGCACTATTTCCTTGGAACCCATTGTTGCCGTCCACCTGTGGGCACTTGGAGGCCAGTGCTCGGAGTGTTTGCATGTGACATCGTAACGTATCGATGAGTTCGCCTCTTCTACCAAAATCGCTAGCTTCCACCAACGCGACCACAACAAACGGATTTGGTCCTGTTACCCACGACATTATACCTTGTTGAATATGCTCATATAGCAGGGCATGAAACTCTAAGGGAACCTTAGTCTTATCCACGCAACGGCGTGCGGCATTATACCGACCACCTTGTACTAAAGCCTTTAACATGCGTCCAGCACTTGGCGTACCCATGTTTTCCGGTTTTGATCGCACGGTCGCGGCAACAGCCTTAAGAGCTGGTTTCTTATCACCATGAGCACTAAAGAGCACTTCTGTAATACACCGGCAGCCAGAGCTTGTAGCCACAAGCGATTCCGCAGTCGAAGCGATAAAATGGAGCATAGGAAGTGATGCTGCGTTAATCAGTTCGTTTCGACGGACTGTGGGGTCTTTCTTTGATGTCCAGGACCTGATTCTGCAGACTTCTTCGAGAATTTCTTCGTCGACGCTGCCGAGCAACCACGACAATTTTTCCCCTCCAAAAAGGTAAAGTAAAGGTATTCTATGGGATACATCATTGACTTGGCGGAGTAAGTAATCATGTCGCTCTGCTTCTGGAAAGCTCTCACCAAATAGTTCAGGAAAGATCAATTTGGCTGTGAGTTTCGTATCATCAATCACTTCATAGGCGACAAGGATAATGGTTCGGGCATGCACGTCCTCCACTAGCATCGAAATCATACCACGATATATTCTCAGCAATGATTTTCTATCCTTAGCGTTCGAGTACGCAAGGACAAGACACATCAACCTCGACCCCGATTTTGTAAAAGCCAGATTTTTTACCAGGCTTCCGTCTTCATCTCCTTTCAGAAGCTCCATGAATTCGGTGGCCTCAGCGCTACCAGGCTTCGCATTTAAGAAGTACTGGAGCATTGCATCGTGGAGCATGGTAAAACCCGTCGTTTTCTTTTGAATGAACTGATTGATGGACCCAAACAGATGCTGCATAATGGGATTTCTTTTTTCAGGAGTTTCCTCCAATATTTGCGACAGTTGTGCGGTTAGTTGAGCAGCAGCATCGGTCTTGAATAAGGCGAATTCAGGGCCGTACCATTCGCGGAGAAGCATACTCCTCTGTATGGATGTCGCCGTTATCCGGTAGATATCATCCAGAATCCAAGATGCTTCTGGGTGCCTCATTAATTTTCCAACATTGCCATAGAACTCTGGTATGATCATGTTTCTAATTTCTGAATTTCCATGCACAACAAGTTTGGCCAGTAGAAATTTGCCGTACTTGCTTTCCGCTAATTCTCGATAGGTTCCCTTTAATTCCACAGCAATCGCTTTCCGTTGCTTGGCGGTGCCGTACTTCAGCGCAGTCTGAATAACTCTCACAGCATCATGCTTGAACACAAATTCATTCACACGGCCAGTGATAATACTGTAGAGCTCTGTGACTAATTGCTCCCTTTCTTCACGAGTGACATGTGATTTCAGGCGCAATCGTTCCCATATTTTCTTCGTCCTAACAATCAAGTCCGAGTTTGGTTTGGCTAGTTTTCGTTGCCGGGCAAGTAACTTCTGCTTTATGTTTATATCATTCGACATTGCTATTGCAGATTTACTTTTAGAATTGCCCTTGTGAACAGCAAGGAATAGAAATACATACCTTGACCGCGCCTACCCGGTGAAGCCGCTTTTAAAGGCGCAATTAAAGGCCGATTGCTTCCGTCAATAAGTGTCCCTCCATTTTGGTGCTGTACTTCTTCCCCAGGTGCCCCAGATTGAGAGTTCGGCGATAGGCTTTGGGTATCGGAATCAAAAGGTTTGCTCACAGCTTGGGTCTTCGCTTGCTTGGCTTCGTTGAGCTGTCTGTCGTGGGGTGTTGGCGACAGCTTTTTCAGTTTGCTTCTTTTCCTGGCATTGTCCTGGGTGCATTGGCCTGCACGCTTGATTCCAGACATTTAGTCACACTATTTATACTGTGCAAAGGTGATATATTTTGCTCAGCCAAGATGATGGGCTTGCGGGACGTTTTGCCTCTAGACAGAAAATAATTTTTATTTGATGACTTGTGAAGTTTGCACTGTTTGCATGGTGAGGGAACTTGTCTCCGGACTAAAAGTTGGGTGGGTCGCTTACATTCATTGGAAGCTTTCCCCGAGAGTTCTATCAGCCGTGCTCTGTACTCGGTATGGAGTGCTTACCTTTATAACTACGTTGGCTAACCGTGACTTTCTCTGCATCTAAATACTTGCATCAACTGAGATCTTCCTGAATACAGCCAGCTATGGATGACAGCATTGATGTGGACGATCTTTTCGGTGACCCCAATTCCTTGGAGTTGGGCCTTGCCGCCTCTGCACCGACCTGGAAAAGTTTATCTCAAAGATTTGACGAGTTACGGCTTTCGGGATGCTGTCGGTATGTTTGCTTTCTGCTGTCGCTTTGCGGAACCCCTTTTGGGAGGAAACTGAATTGCTAATAGGAAATTAGCCTGGTCAAAACTGGGTGCGATCGCGTATATCTCCAATGACGGCCAAAAGGTCTTCTTACAAAATATTCTTTGCAACGCAGATGATGGTGAATGGTCCTTATGTGATGGGAGGTTTCGCTGTAAAATAGCAGAAGCACAAAGTGGCCATACCTTTATTCACCTCTGCTGGCATGAATCAGGATCTGATCTTGCAATTGTGGATTCTTGTGGCCGAGTCATGATTGTGTCCATGTCCATTGCACTTAATGCGTTTGCTGTCTCACGCTCAATAGTCATTGACCCCGATGATGATGGGAACCAGCCAGTTGGTTTGATGTGGCTTGGTGTGAACCGGCCTGTAGGTGCCGTGAGCTGCCTTGCTAGACTTCTGGAAGCAGTCATTGACCAATAGCCTTAGGTGCATGCATTCAATAAAGCCTCCAAAACAAATGGTCGATGGGTATATTCTCGTTATGTCCGTCGCCCCCTAGGCCCATTTCATCCACTCAACAAATCCGCTTTGGTATGTGTGACTCGATCGGGTCATATTAGACTTCTATACCAAAGCCAGGACCCCAAGTGGAATGAAGTACACGTGGATCTGCAGACCGTTTCATGTTCCGACGATATCTTGACGCATGCTGCGCTTTCCGCTTCTCAAGGTTCTGCTCTCACCCTGTGCTATGTGCTCAACCGCGCTCATTCATAATAAAATAGGTGGGTCGATCTTAATGGTCACGTACTCTACGCAACATAGGCTTTTTGTATATCGTGTCCACATCAAATGGGACGCCGCACCCGTTGATACAACGCAGCAACAGCCAGTTGGTTTTAGTGTGGCACAGACACCAACAATCCAAATAACTCATATTAGGACCGAAATTCAGAGAAGTGTGTTCCAAAGGGCTGACAATGATTATGAACGTTCGCCCTCTGCCAGGGTGATGCCTGTTCTCACTCATCTTGACATTGTTGGGATAGCGTCAGATGGTTCGGCTGGGTCATATGTGGAACCGTACATCCTAGCGGCTTTTGCGATTCCCGTGTCTGCCTTGGAAACTCAGCGGCAATTCAACGGCACTTCTAGTATCGTTCGCTGGGCTCTTGAATCGACCGGCCAAAGTACCCACTCCTCTTTTGATGAAATACCCCCAAAAAGGCAGACATTTAACCTGACAGTAAGTTAGTTTACATTCTTCGATCCTAGGAAGTGTGGTCCCCACTAATACTATTTTATTAGCCCAAAACTGAACTCACTAGATGGGATGATATACATTTTGATAAACGTGTGCTTTCAATTGATTATTTTGAAGCTGGGAGTGTTGTTTCCCTGACATTTGATGATGGCAGCATTTCATTTTATGACGCAAAAACCATGAATGCAATTAGTGATAATGAGGATCTTGCAACCATTTCAAGTATGCCTCAAGCAGGGTTCAACCTCCCCAATATTGGATGCAGTACGCCTATTCTATATTGATGTGGTTGTGTCGGCCTTCTGCTAACTTTTCCAGTAACTTGCATATCTTTTTCTCCCAATGGCTGCTTAGCCGTAACCCTTGATGAGGATTCTGAGCTTCACCTTCATGTTATGGAGCATTCATTCGGGATAGAACATGGGATGTATAATGATGGTATGGTGGCTAATGTATGTGAGCTACATGATGCTGTCTGACATCTATATTTATAGAACAGTTTGGTGCTGCTGTAGCTGCTCTTGCTTTAGCATTTTCACATGCATGTAGCAATGACAGCAGCAGCGACGATGTGATGATGATTGCAGCCCGATCTCTCACTCCTGGTAATGCACATGTTCAAAACCATGTCATAAACATCGTTGCTGATTGTTTCTAGATACTCGAAAAACATTTATCACTGAAGTCTATCATGCCTTATCTGTGAATGCTGACTTTACAATCGAGCAAGACAAGCTTATGAACAATCCATATATCCAAAAGTGCTTTAGTATGCAAGCTGCTCTTGGATTTAATGGGCGATTGGAACAGCGCAATCTTGCTGCAGCTATACCCTGGTTTACATTACAGCTGAGGCAAATTTCCATTCTCTTTGCGTATTTTCTTCACTTTAACAAAAGTGGCAGCGATTCGGAATGTCATGAGCCAGGTATGGGACGCTTGAGATTATTACTTTTGGGGGGCAGTATCTGATATGTGGGAATCTCTAGATATATTACGAATGGTGCTCGGCAATGTGAGGTGGGCTCTTGATCTGGCGAAGTATCTTATTGACGACCTGTTTGAAATAGCTTCATCTTTTGACAAACATTCAGGTGACCAATCTGGTAAGGCGGTGAATATTATTGTTTCACTCTACATGATCTCGTTGACCTTAATTTTTTCTCTAAGACAAAAAATTAGAGTCGTTTTCGATGCTTCTCGTCCTTTCCAGCATCCCTCGTGCATTCCTCAAGTATATATGTCGCGGCCTTCGAGGGATACCGAGCAGTTTTCGGAGTGCTACGAACCTCAGTAATGAGTCCTTTGGCGTATATTCTAATATCGTAAGGCTCATCGAAGAGTCGCCTTTGAGGGTGGATGTATACGAAAAATTTCTCTTGAGCATCGATAACGTGATCAAATACACCTATCAAAACGCTGGTTTTGGAAGCACTGACAGGTCTACCCCAGAGAGGGATTTACTCATCACCGCTAGTGTCCCGCCGGTGCTGCAGCCAGCTGTTGTGACTATTCTGACAAATACTATGACTTTGATTCGACCAGATGTTGACCTATTGCATTTATGCACTTGGGACTACAGCTGGTTAGGGATCGATGATGACAAGTTAACAAGGCTATTCCGGCGGCGGAATGAAGTTGATATTCTCAAAAAAACAATAACCCAACTGGGGGAGCCACAAGCAAAGTCAAAGCAACCAAAGAGACGATGTGCAAGGTGTTGTGCGGTCTCCGAAGATACAACATCTCCCAAGTCTTTAGCTTCTTTTCGCTTGCTTGTGAAAACAGTTGTTCTACGGACATGTATTTGCGGGGGGGTGTGGATGGTGGAAAATCTCGATACCATCAGCAGAGGGCCAGTATCCGCGTGGAAATAATCAGGACAACGCGTTTTAAGTACGGAGTACTCCATACAGAATGCATTTGCGGGGGGTAGCCAGATCTCAAGGGTTCTAGTTAAATATACACCCGCGCTCCACACTAAGTTCTTGATTTCTTTTGAAAAATTATAAATAATGGCTATTATACTCTGTACAGGTTTGGTTTAAATGTACAGAGTGAAGGCTTTTAATTCACACCTTCGTACTCCGTACATTAGGTCAGATTTAAATTTGTACTCTGTACAGAGTACGGAGTAGATGGCTAAAAAGCCATTGGGTTGTTGCTAATGTTCATTAGTGCACACTACTCCGTACTCCATACGTAGTTACTCGTTACAGAATTCATGCTTGACAAACTTTGCAAACTTCAAAATAGCGAGGGGAAAATTTTCCGAACCTCCCAACTATGAGAAATCGTCACACTATCCTGCTTCATAAAGCATCAGCACTGCAAAGGCCGTGCTGTTCTTATCAACATCGGAATCTCAACCTCGGTCAAGCGCCTCATTGTATTCCCCCCAATGGATCCTGGCGGAAGCAGGCGAGTACTAAGTCACCCGGAATATCAGAGGCAAGCAACTCTCAGAAGGATGATGCAATTGGGCCGAAACCACTCAACCGCCCTCTAGGTTTACCATACCCTCCTCAGGTTGGGCAAAACACAGGAGTTGATAGTCGAACGCTTCGCCAGCGCAAAGCTGAGTTTATGAATCACGAAAAGCACATGGAACGCCGCATTCAACTGTCTGTACCGTTCTCCCCATCTTGTTATATTCTTTAGGTATAAGCTAATATAAATCTATTTGGATTTAAATATTAATAGTGTGAAGGAGTTTTCGAAACCGTATTTTCGTGAATGGACCGGGTTGCGCTACCAAGAAGGAAAAACTTTTCTATCAAACCAGCGTATCTTTAAAAGTGACAAAGCACTTTTCTTCCCAAACCTTTTTGGACGAACGCTAGATCGGTTGAATCCGTTACAGCATACCACCCCAGTATTTCGAGGGAAAATCTCTATTGTCAGTGTCTTCTCAAGTCTCTGGGCAGAACAGCAAGCTGCTTCTTTTGTTGGTATAAAGCAGAACCCAACGTTGCATCAGATACTTCAAGGGTCGAATGAACTTGTGCAGCAAGTACAAATCAATGTCGAGGATAATTGGTTAAAGGCTCTTCTTATCAGGAGCTTCACGTCAAGACTGCGAAAGAAGTTACCTGAAGCACAACATGGGAAGTACTTTCTAGTGACGAAAGGGTTTACAGATCAATTGAAGGAGCAAATCGGGATCATAAACGGCAAGGTTGGATACGTATATCTTTTGGATGAAGTTTGCCGAATTAGGTGGGCCGGCAACAGCGTTGCCACTCCACCTGAGATGGAATCTCTTAATAATGGTCTGCGAAGACTGGTTGAAGAAAAGCGGAGGAACATGAGCATAGGTCAATGAATTTGAAGCCTAGATCTGCACTGTGGTCAATCACTCCAACAGCAACCAAAAATGTACGAGACACATCGTGGGGCCGATCATGAGAAGTCTCTCCGGACGGTACACCGTACGTCGTGTCCATTAGCGTCCCAAATAAGCAAGGCTATTGATCATCGTATGTACATATATACGACTATAGCATTTGTACGAGTGTTTCCTGAGTGAAATCCTGCTCCTAATTCAGTGCTGAAATCCGCTTATTCTTCTCTTGATCAATTGGTCGATCGATACTCGACGGTCAACGAAGAATAGCAGTATCAACGAAAATACAACAACATTAGAAAACAGATACCTATAAAGATACCAAGAAGGAGCCCATCTCTCCTTCTTTTGGCTCCGATTTGGTTTATCAGCGAATTCACTCCAGGGACTTGACTCGCAGCACCGATTATTCTACGGTTTATGCTCGCCAAGGTTTCCCTCTGCAAGACGAAATTATTGTTAACAGCATATGCCTGACTAAGGACACTGTCCATCATATTGTGGCTATTATCCAGATGTGCCCGTTCTTCCAACATATAATCAGCTTCCGCAATTGGTGGATTTGACGCGCGGTATGCGCTAATATCTGAGCGAATATTAGAAAGCAAGTTCACACGATCGCGAGTTTCAGAGATAGCATTGTGCAGGCGTCTAAGTTCATGTTGATGCTCTTGAAGAACTGCTCGGTGTCGGGAAAGATTATTTTGTTTCAAGGCGGAAGCGGTTAGGCCAGATTCCGAATCCAAAAGTCGGGCCAGTTGAGAGATGAGATATTCACGCTAGGGATGGTTATTAGTACTTGCGTTTGGAAAACTAGACCCAAGGACCTGTCGCACACGCTCAAGGAGATCTTTCAATTGAACTTCAATACGTTGTTCCTCTTCCGAAGGCTGAGCGGGGATTTGAGCCGCGGAAGCGTACTGGGCATAGGTATGGAATAACGACTCGGTCTAGGTAGTTAGCAAGTGGCACTCATGAAGAAAGCACTCCTCAGCAGCATATACCTGAGTCTCAAGCGATCGAGCCTGTTGGCGGAGTTGGGCCCACCCATTACCGGTTGATGAAGACATTGTCCTATTACACAAGTTTCGAAGGAGTAATGGTCAACGTGCTAGAGGAGTTTAGCCCGTGCATCTTAAAGATCATGAAGCTTGTAAGTTTGATATCTCGTACGAAGGCTTCACAATCAAAAAGGCCGTGATGTGACTTAATAGGTCTTGGGGTTGAGCGTTTTCAAAACTAAAGCCTTGTCGGTTAGTCACGTGATGCTACTCGCCTATCCACGTTACCAAAGACTTCAGCCCTAGCCCACAAAATTAATTGCGATGCCAACCCCCAACTTCAAGTCGATATCAACACGACAACTTCAAATCCGCTCACCATGGTACGTTATTAATTGCGCTTTGATACTTTGCATTGCTAATAGATTTAATAGTCGACCATGAAGGTGAAGACCGGCCAGCTCTGGGGCAAAAACAAAGACGAGCTTATGAAACAGCTCGATGAGTTGAAGACGGAATTGGGTCAATTGCGGGTTCAAAAGATTGCTGGTGGTGCCGCATCCAAGCTTACTAGAATGTGTGTCAGAGAAATGTCTTCCAATCTGTGGATTCCAAAATATGGTGAACTGATAAAAGGTTTTTGTTGATTCTGGGGATAGTCACGATCTTCGCAAAGCGATCGCACGAGTCCTCACAGTCATCAATGCTAACCAACGCGCCCAACTCCGACTTTTCTACAAGAAGAAGAAGTACCTCCCTCTTGATCTCCGACCAAAGCAAACCCGCGCCATCCGCAGACGACTCACGAAACATGAAGCTTCAGTTATCACAGAGAAACAACGAAAGAAGCAAATGCATTTCCCGCAGCGCAAGTATGCTGTGAAGGTGAGAAATTTTGATAGTAGGCCTTTTCTTATGGATATAGCTAATTAAATTTGTGCCAGGCTTAAATTTGGAGTGGTTGCGGAGTATATGTTTCAAGCTTTCTTATCATGATAATATGTTGCAACATGTATCTAAAACGATGCACTTAGCAACAATGATGAAAATCACTTTAGCTGTCCTCCCTTTCACCATTCCAGCTGTTGAAGCTATTCCATCTTAACTGCTGCTAAACTCCTGCACATGGCTACTTTTCCATGTCAAGGTTTGTGTCGTCTTGTCCTAATACAATACCTTCCCTAAAAAACGAACCATATCTGGATTTAGTTTCGGTCAGCCTGCCTTTGTTACGGCTTGACACCACGAGTTTCATACTTTGATGTCGTCTACACTGAGTATTTTGGGGTCAACTTATTGTTGAAACGCTACTATAAAGATCAGCAAGGACTTAAGCCTATTAACTTCTATAGCAGGCCCCTCAGTCTTAGTTGCGTTGGAGTTTCAAGACACTGTGCAGGTTTGGTTGGAAGGAGCCCGGAGTAGGGTGGTCTGTGGATAGCAGGAGGAGTTAAAAGGATTTCTCTACAAGAGATTGGAGAAGTCTACCAGCCAGATGGCCAGGCATCAGAGAGTGCACCAGTGCAAACTATACTGGAGATCGGGGGGGGTTGGGCAGTGGTGGAAATATGGTTAAGCCATCACAAAACATTTTCCTGTGAGCAAGAGGAGAGCTCACCTGATGATAGAAGTAATCAAGGGACAGGCCATAATGTAACCTTTCACAGAAAAACAGTATCTTACGTGAAATTTCAAAGTAAATTACGGAGTACTAAGCTAAGCTATATATAACTTAACTATACAGTAAAGCCTCTATATAACGAATCAATTTTTGAAGTCTTTCAGTTTGTTATATAGAGGGATCCGTTATATAGAGCTAGCATACAAAATACACTCTAATATCCTGCTGCTGCTGATTTTCAAGCCTCTGAGCCTCTAATCTTCTCTCATAATGATTTAACTGTTGAATTAGCTCTGTATCTCCCTTATCCTGCTGCTCTTCATACAAGCAAAGCTTTTTCACCATGTCATCAAGACCTTGTTGGAGAGGGAAGAATTAAGAGTCTTGTGAGAGTGTAATTTCTTCTTCTGCTCAATCAAAATTATGGTTTAGTGGGGCATTTTGGTCTTTTTTGGCCTTTTTATAATGATATATTAAGAAATCTTGAGAGATATTCAACAAATCTTGTCGTATACAGGTTAATGAATATTTTGTATGGAGATTTAATTTTGGAAGAGATTTTCATCCGTTATGTAGAGGATTCGTTATGTAAAGTGATCATTATATAGAGGCTTTACTGTACCTAAGTGAGTTATTAATGAAGCAACTATGCGGAGGAGCCTGTTGCAGGAACTTATTGTCCCAACCCCTGTCTCTGTATGAAGTACTCTGTACACCCGAGCTTGTAACAATGGGAAGTTTGAGAAAACCTTAACTCCACCTGAAAGCCACTTGGAAGCCATGATCGCATGTGCAGAGATTTTTCGTTGTTGATCAACATAAGGCTGAAAATAGCGCATTCACTTGAGAATCAAGCCTTAGCTTGAGGTACATGGATGCATACAATAAGAGGTTCCTCAAGCACCTTATTCAAGACCCATGCTTTCTGAAATTCTTCCCTAATTACCCAGCGTAGTTAAATTCCCAAACTAAAGATAACAAAATGGGATCAATGTCGAATTTCTCTGGTCCACCACAGGTTCACGCCTTTGATGGCCTCCTGTTTGACTTTGATGGAACAATAATAGACTCCACAGAAGGTTGGTTTCAGGAAGACTGTATATTGGAATTATTGCTGACATCAACTTCCTGTCGCACAGCAATCGTGAAGCATTGGCACAGGTCAGTATGATATGGCATGTTTATGATTCTACTAAGCATTTTATCTTGTCTCTAAACATTAATAGAATAGGACAAGAAATTGGCGTTGACCCAGCAATGATCCTTGTGACATCCCATGGCCGTAGAAGCATTGATGTCCTAAAGATCCATGCTCCAGAAAGAGCCAACTGGGAATGTGCGTATCGTGTATATCAGCTCACCTTATGCTCTCTATACAAAATGCATGCTAATTCCAGACTTGCCCAGATGTCAGCTCCGTCGAGGGTCGGATTCCCAAAGAATACGGTAGCGATGCCGTCGAAATTCCTGGTGCAAGAGATATTTTAAATGCACTCGATGAGGCAGGGGCACCTTGGGCAGTTGTGACATCTGGAACCCACGCTTTGATAAATGGTTGGTTAGACGTGCTGAAGCTTGCGCGCCCCAAGAACCTTGTGGTCGCAGAAGACGTGAAAATTGGAAAGCCAAACCCTCAGTGTTATCAGTTGGGGCGTTCGCGGCTTGGGTTTGACGAGAACTCATCAATGCTTGTCATCGAGGATGCCCCGTCGGGTGTCACAGCGGGCAAAGCAGCGGGCTTCAAAGTCCTAGCGCTTGCTACAACCCATGATCCCACCCGATTGAAACAGGCTGGGGCTGACTGGATTATACGAGACCTTCGAAGCTTCAAACTGATTAAGCATAATGGTCAAGTCCAAGTAGAAATACGCAACTGTTTGCAATGGCAATAATACTAGATTGCTCTCGAGATGTTCATACTTTCCTTCTGATCTAAGAATGCCATGCCACGAAACTAACAAAAGCCCCCACAATCGGTACATAGAAGTGGCTCGTAGACAAGTAGAAGAATATATCCTTAAGCTATGAGGAACTACTCCGTAAGAACCAGGTTAAACACAGAGATCCAAGACAGGACAACTGTCAAGAAGAAAGCGACGCCCTTTTGAGACAGGAAGAGGGCCAATTAATGCTATGTAGAGTCGAATATATGTAATTTTTGATTTGCAAATACAAACGGAATTAAAATCCTTTTCTTTTAAAGAGAAAAAGGAGAGGAACGCTTTGGGCTTTTTATCAAGAGGTTTCCATCCTGCCAGGGATAATTTGAGCCTAATGGAGCCTATGCCCGTAAGATAACAGGTGTACGGAGTACTCCGTACAACGAACTGCTTCTGTTGTGGAACATCAGCTGGATAATTTAGAGTGGCTTGTGCAGCAAGTTGAAAATGTAAGCTACATCTGAGATCATTACCCACCGGCAATTCGACAGGGCTGTATGCTTTTGCCATGGAAGATAATGCTGCGGTATTCTCGCGTATGCGCGCCGGCCGGTATTCCCAACTTCCCCGTCTTCCCACTAGCTAACTCTCCGTAACCAGTTAATCGTGTCCCATTCCAACCCGACCAGTGATGGAGCCAATTGCCGCCCTTTTGATCAGGGACCAGCCAATGAGGATCCATGCCTCGAAACGGTCTTTTCCCGCCCATCCCTCTCCCCTAAGCTTAACGCAAAGTTACCAGCAGGTTTAACTGAACCTTGGCGCTGCCTCTCCCTGGACGCCTTTCCCGCCAGCAACCACTCCTTCACTCATCACTTGCTCCTCATTGCATTCGTTTGTTTCCTTACTCCCAGTCAATCATTATTATTGCATTTTACTCACTGTCATACACTCATTAGCCATTCAATCCAACTTCTTTCATTCATTTAATACTGTGTCTTTTTCTTTCTGGCCTCTGTTCTCTCATTACTGAATCGCCGAAATAACTGAACAGAGTACACTCTAATTTCAATCGAGCCAGAGCCTGTTTACATGTGTTCACTCCATATTTAACACCAACACATATAAGGACCATCATGCCCTTTGTCCGGAGGCAATGAGCTAAATGTTGACTTGGAAATCGCCTTTTGCTCGGGTATCTGAGCTCTCCACTTCCAGAGTTCAGAGTCCGGTCATTCCTTCGAAGGTCTCCCGAAATGGATTACATCCACACTCCATTTCCCTTTGGCGAGCACAATGTTGGTCCTTTTATTGACCCGTCCGTCGGTTATGGTGTTCCAGCTTCGTTTACCCAGTGTAACCCGCCCACGGATCCTTGTTTTGTTTCCTATTCTCCGAGCGAGTTCCCCGGATTCCCCGGGTTTTATGGACACCCGGTACCCTTCGAAGATTACCATGAGTATGTCGAAAATCTGTCAAGACCCCGTTTGACGAAGGAACAAGTTGAGACTTTGGAGGCACAATTTCAAGCTCAGCCAAAGCCAACTAGTAATGTAAAGCGCCAGCTTGCTATGCAAACAAACCTCACTTTACCTCGAGTTGCAGTATGTACCCAGGTTGAGAGTAGATATAAGTGGAAACTAACTCACCTTTCACAGAACTGGTTTCAGAATCGAAGAGCCAAAGAAAAACAACAAAAGCGTCAAGAGGAATTTAAAAGAATGCAAGCGATGAAAAGCTCTGAAAACCTAAAAAGAGAAGAAATTTCCTCATCTACCGATGCTAGAAGAACACAGTATGCGGACAAAGTTTCTGGTTCTGACCATATGCTGGGCGAGAACCAAGTTGTGTCAACCCCAAATGACGGCAACTTGAATGCAGAGCCCCTAGGAAATCAATCAAATTCATCCCATCCTCCGGTGAAGGAAGGCGTTTCTTTGCCCCCATCGCGGAAGTTAGATCCACGTGGGCCGCATGAGACAAGTACAACAAAGACCGTTGATGTTGCCGAGGGGCCTCAAAGCCGAGAAAAAAATGCCTTACCAGAAAAGACCAACGACGGTCTAACAGCCGATCAACTCGAATCTTCCGCTTGGTCCATCTCAAGCCAGCTTAATAACGCCCTTTGCACGGAACCTATCGATGCGCCCAACGTGAATAGCTCGCAACCGCCCACTGAATTCAGATCCGCTGAACTCTGGCAACAGGAGTCAGATGCCGGCAATAAACCCATTTTTTGCGTATCTTACAGCACATGCGAGGCGCATTCCGGTTTGTCAAAAGGCCGATCGTATCCAAATGATGAGCCCGTTATGCAAACTTTCCCCCATACAGCGATTCTGGACTTTGGCGCTACAGATATAAGAGTTCAACGACAAGAGTCTTGCCCATCATGTCCACAAAAATACTCTAGTCAGAGAAACCTTGTGCAAAGTATGTCCATCGCTGAGCGGTCTATTGAGAAAGAGTTGCAGGATCCACAAGTCTCTCCGCCCGATGGCACTATCTTCCCACGCCGTCGTGATAAGAAGCTAGATCTTGCAGCCCGTCGAAAACGGCCGCGTCCGGCTGCTATCGGAATCGGTGGGCCAAGTCAAGCCCTCGTTGGACCCTCTTCGATGTCTCCAACTACGAGAACACCCACATGGGCGGTATCCCACTCTTTACGACACGTCAAGTCTTCGCACAATCTCTCCTCGAGTTTGAGCCCAAGATATGGGGGGATACGCAAAGTTTCGGCTCCCCTCCGTTCTCCTCTAGGGATGAGAGCTTCACTAGACATTAGTGGTGCTTCATCTTCCAATTCGGATTTTATGGTTCCTCCGTTAGTGGCAACAAGCATGGCACCACCCACTCCATTGACACCAGATGATTTACAATACCTAGTTCCGCCAACTCCAAACGACGCGCAATACTGTCTCTCGCCAACAGATGAAATGCGGTGTCCCCAGCCATTTCCATTATCGCACTCCATAGACATCCATTCTCCTCCGAGAACCCCGCACAATCCCAATGTTTTATCACAGCCGCATTATCACTCTTTCAATCCATTATCATCGATGTCCACAACATCGTATGAAGGTTATTCGCAGCCCATATCAAATGGTCCTATGTTGAATGATCTGTGGGTGGAGACAACAGTAAACCCAGCAAGTATGTCGGTGCCGGAAATTCTTATGCCCAAACCCATTCATATATTCCCCATTACCCAACAAAGCCACTCAAGTTCATGGAGCATGTACAGCAACTGGGGAAGATTGGAGAGTCAAGTTCCCGCCAACTCCGCAATGTCAGGTTCAAAGACCTAACTCATCATGGTCACAACATGGCCCTGCCTGTCCTGCACCAAAACTCTGAGTTTATGATCAAAGAATTTAAGCATCAGCAACATACCGATATGCTTGCTTCACACCAACTTGCTTCCGGGCAGCCGAAGATCAATCAAAGCCTTGGTGAATTCGGTGACAAAAATTACTGTTCAAAGTCTACTGTTCCTTGCGTGTGCTTTTAGATGGGCTCACAGATTTCACATTACCCAATTGCTTTTGTGCCTTCATCATATATACATCAATACCCTATTTAACACCTTTTCCCGACATCACTAGCACTCAGCTTTGCCCAAATTTTCAATTATACCCAACCTAATTCTGCGGAATGTATATGACCACATGTGAACCGGAATTGGCTGGGATTCTATTTTGCTTTTCCCTACAAATTATCCACAACACAGCATTGATAAATTAATATTACTTAATCTCTAATCCTTTTCTTTTGGTTTTATGTCCAATTCTTGACTCTGGTTTCCTAGCTAGCCATGTCCTCCAAGTCTTTCTTTATCTTTCCCTTTCTTTGTGCTTGTGTCTACTGAACTTCATATGAAGCCTCTGGCTTCAGGACCCTAGTTATAGTCTACCTACCCCCTTTCCTATGTCCAAACCTTATCCTTCATGCTGATTACTGTTTAATACTGATATGTGGATTAATGTGACAAGCTGTGTCTTTGACAAGCAGCTATCTAAAAGAGCAAGGATATAATGAACTACTACAGGATTATCATACTTGTGTTGCATAATATTGTCCAGTGTATGAAGTAATGGTTCTAATAATATACATTTAGCTAATAAGCAGCTTCAAAGTGTAGTGCAATACATGTATATACTCCTTTCCTGATCATGAAACCATATGCTCTGTCTACGCAGCATTGATATATTCTGCTTTACTCTCTCTATCCCTGAGAATAATACTTGTGGACATGACCCCATTGGCGTAAAGGGTGTACTGCTTCAGGGCAAAAAAAAAAAAAAAGTTATCCTAGCCAATCTGGCAATTTAAAAATGCATAATAAAAGGGACGACGGGGCCCTCCTTTTCATTGGGAAATAGAGGCTCGAGGAACAGTATTATACCTATCTTCATAAAAAGGAATGAATGGATTAATTCAAGCAGACAAGGAAAAAATGGGTATCATCTCAGGGTATGAAAAAGGATACATACATAACTATACAGAGCTGAGAAGACATTAATTACAACATCCCCCAGCTTCTTATGCAAGAAAAATGGGGCTAGGGCATGAATAAAGCTCAACCAAAGAGCGCAATAGTAAGAGAAATAAAATAAAAGTAAAAAAAAAAAAAAAAAAATATACATATAAAAGAGAAATAAAAAAAATTAAGTGATTCTCATGCAAAAAATCAAACCTTACCCGGTATGAACAGAAAATGCACAAGCAAAAGGGGGGAATAAGTCAATTTAAAACAATTCAAGAAGACAAAGAACCGGATGGAATTAGGAGAACTTTCCAATTTAGCCGAAGACAGACAGAGTGCAAATAGAAAGACACATCACCACCCAGCATTCTGTATATATGCCAATTCCAACACCTATGCTTTGTGCATTCATAAAAAAATAAAAATAAATAAGACTCTAGGAAATGAATCATAAGAATTCGTGTCTCTCTTAGAATGTATTCGGCCACCCGCTCTGTGTAGGGCCTCCCTGAGATTGGCCGGAGTGTAAAGGACCACCAGTAGTAGTTGATGACCAACCAGGAAGTGTCGCACTTGTAACCATCCCTAGGCCTACATTTGGTTGTGGATTTTGACCCGCGAGATAAGACTGGCCCATATTTGGATTTGTCGGGGAATAAGCTCCTCTTGCAGCAGGCATTGATGGGTACGCAGCTCCTGTCGTGCCAGTGTAACTAACTGCGACAAGATTTTGCTGACCATGGCTCTGGGACTGAGAATGCAATTGAGGAGACTGAGCGGGACGACTTAAATGCCGCGGCGATTGATGTGACGGTAAATGGGGAGAAGGCGACTGCTGGGAATGAACCTGAGGGTTAAACTGGGGTGCTCCCATGGGTTGAGCGGGCGGCTGACCCCACAATTGCTGAGGCTGGGCATACGTATACAGCGAGGCTTGACTCGTACTCGCAGACGATAGGGGAGCGCGGTGATGTAACTGTTCGGGCCTTATACCTTGAGATACTCCGCGGATCGATGGTGTCATTGAAGATTGAGGGAAAGAAGACTGAGGGGTGAGCACACGCTGTGGCTGCTGTGTTATCGGGGTCGATGTAAGCATTCCGGACGAAGTCAACTGTGGAGACTGGAGAGTTTGGGAAGAGGCTAAATTTGGCTCGATCTGGCCGGAGAGGGATGGTAGACCCTGATCTGATGTCGGCAAATCACGCGACTTGAACCAGCTATCCTCCAGTCCTCTCCCACGGAATCCTCGTTGTTGATTCAAGGCTTTGCTAAAATCGGTTGTGTGCGTTGCTTGGGTTAACAACTCGGATGTGGCCGTAGTTTGAATGCGATCCTGATAAGGCTGTCCCGTAAGTTCCTGTCTAGCTCGCGGTATAGTGCTATACTCCCTCATCCGCGGATCATCCGTTGGGACAGGATTTATCATCGGAAGGGGGGCTAAAGTCGTTGCCAGACCGGGTGGCAATCCAGGCGCATGAACCAAGCCGTCTGGAGGGGGAGCGTTGCTATAAATCACATCCCCGTGGCCAAGGGCCGGAAGAGTTCCCGCACTGGCAGCTTCAGCTGCTTCTCTTGCCTTAGCCCCTCCCGGTCGCTTCTCTCCCGCCAAGTCTTCCTCTGTAAAGCCTTGTTTTCTTGCTTTACTTTCCCAATAATCGTCGCGAACTCGTCGACCGTTGACGACAACCCGACTACCAAACTGGCGAAACATTGACTTCGCGGTAACAATTGCAATCTGGCGTGATCGATATGAATATGGAAGGATATCTTGGCTGATCAAATCGTCCTTTTCCTCCTGGCTAGCGATTATCTTGAACAACGACCGATTTTTATTAAAGAGCAGGTAAGAGTCACGATATCCCAAGACTCGAGCACATTCCGTAGCCAACATGAACAGCTTGTCCCCCCTATTATACACGCGGAAAGTTCTGCATTTGTAGGTACGACCATCCTGAAGATATCCGAGTGTATCCACTTTCTTCTCACCACTCGCGTCAAATTCCTTGGGTATATACTCGTCACCATCCGGACTTAACTGGTCGGTCGTATGATCTCTCACAGTGGGCAACGCTTTGATGACCGGTTTCGTTGGCGTTGGTCTGGGAGGAGGAGATGATTGCGAAACAGGTGTGCCGGCCATGGTTGGGAGCCTCTGTGCCGACAGCTGCGGAGTTTGTGGCTGTTGGGTGAGTGGGCCTTTGGTTTGTTTTTGGGAGGCTAATGGGCTTGAGGTCGGGGTCGAGCCAGACGGTCGCGAATGTTTGGGGGGTCTCCCTCGCTTACGACGTACTTGCTCATCTAGGGATAATTCAAGGTCAGATCGTCTACGCTTTATAGCCAGAAGATAGAGGGATAAGATAGCTTTCCCCCAAGTAAGGTATAAAACACACAAAAACGTAAAGAGAAAAGGTATTACATGTAGCCGACGTACCATCCTCAACAGCTTCATGCTCACCGTGCTGTTCGTCGTATGGGTCGGCTGAACGGCCGCGTTTGATGCCTCGCGTGAGAGTAGGACTGTTTGCGTGAGCATTATCAGCAGCGGGAATACTTGTGGCCGTAGCGTTGATATGGGCGTCACTTGTTGGCGTGCTAGAGGCTGGGGCGGCTAAAGGCGAGGAGTGAAGGGTGGCTGGATGCGACCGCGTCAGTATCATTTCGAGTATAAAAGATGAAAAGACTGTCAACGACTTTAGAGGAAAAAGCATCGAAGGGCATAGAACGAAAGTGATACATAATGATTCGCTTTCCGGGCTTAGGTGGAAGAGTTCGTCGAGGCATACCTGGATTATTGAGAGCTGCGGGGTTGATGGTGCCAGAACCATCAATGAGGTCGCTACCAAGGCCGTTTATGGACCCCTGTACTGATGCGGAACTGGCGTACATGACGATGAGAGAGAGTGGTGGACCGAGGTAGTCTGCGGGACTTGGGTGCTAGCAGGAGTTAGACTTGAGGTTGGCGTACTCGGCGGGCCAGATCCTGCGCCGGAAGAGGGGGAAGAGAGGGCGGAAAGATGAGTTTGGGGGGGGGGGGGAAAAAAAGAAAACGATTTGCGGGCTGGCGGGGATGTGTGGGGATCGAGAGTTGCAACAAATGGGGAAACTGAGAGAGCAAGGGTGTGAAGCGATAGAAATCAAATAAGACAGTGGATGCTGATCAAACAATAATAGTTGAAACGCGGCACACTGTTCAAATCAGATGAGACGAAGATAGGGAGAGTCCAGCTGCAGCTGGGATGTGATGTAATGTGGTTAAAACTCCAACGGCAGCACAAGCGCATCGAGGTTTGAGGTGGCACCGCGGGCGGGGAGGCGATTGGGTGGATGACGGACAGACAAACAATGCAAGGAGGAAATACTTTGCAAGAGGGGCGGTTTGACGCGGGTGGGTACTTAAGGTGAAGGTCCAAAAAACAACAACAACAAAAAAAATGGAGTGATAGACATTAAGAACTAACATGAGGTATGGGGGCTAAACCACCCAGAGGAAGGGAGCAACAGGCAGATGACAAAGCCAAAAACAAATGAGAAATAGAACACAAGATGTGGTCTAGTTACATACCCTGATGTCTGGAGACAGTGGTGATACTTGGACTTATGCGGTGTGTCTTAACTTAAAATCGATCTCCAGACAAGAAGGCTCTAAGAGTAAAATGCAACTGATTGCCTATCGACAGCATCGACTCAGCGCCAAAGGGAGGACTGAGGTGTGTCTTGGTTTTCGCGTTCTGGGTTGGAAAAACAATAATGCTGTGACTTTCTTTTTTCTCTCTCTCTCTCTCCCCCTCTCTTTTTTCTTTCCTTCTTTCTTCTTTCTTTTTTTTTTCTTCTTCTTCTTCTTCTTCTTCTTCTTCTTCTTAGGCTTCAGTGATTATGCCCCTTACCAAAGAAGGTGGAGCCTCCTGCTCTTTCCTTTAAGCGGAACTTTCTCTTGGGCTGTGGGTGGCGGAAAGAGCCGCGCACTGCCACACGCGGCTTTGGGATGAGCCGGGGAGGGAACCAAGACCGAAAGGAGGAAGGGAGAAACTCAAAAGGAAGAAGTAAAATGGGGTATGTCAGAAAAAAAAAATTCAAAAAAAAAATAAAGGGACAGAGAGTGTTTTGAGAGGGGCTGAGAGATTGATGGTCAGGCCAGGGTGGGATGGAAACGAAGCACGGCAAGGCTCGGAAGTGAATGATTATCAAAAGTTTGATCGGGGGGGAAGAGGTGGAGATGCAAGATTTGCAAGCTGGTTTAGCCCAGCAGGCGACAGCAGGAAGAAAAGCGGAGAGATTCTCCTCCCGCAGCAATGGCGGATGATAAGGTCACGGACCAGGGACGAAAAGAAGTAGATTAATAAGAGAAAGCCAAGCTGTGGGGGGTGCGTGGTCGTAACGTTGTTGCAGTGAAGAGTGTTATTCACCACAAGCAGGAATCTAGGGCAGAGCAGGGAAGGACGGCGGAGAGTCGTCAGGTGTGGTGACAGGATCTGCAGGGTTCAAAGGGACACATTCCTCTTTTTCGCTGCTGCTGCTGCTGCTCCCATCCCAAAGTGTCTCCGGGTGCGGCGTGGGTGCATGTATGGATGTCTGCCTGTCTTGTCTGTCTGTTCGTCTTGTTGTCCGTCCCGGCCAGAGAGGCTGAAGGACGAAGGAGAAAGTGAGGGGAAAGGCAGAAAAGAAAGTCATGTGCCCAGACTCGCTTGCGCGACACGGAGCGGGATGACTAATACAGGCTTGGCGTTTATCTTCGAACCTTGATTGGAGGACGGGCATCTGCCTGTCTTGGCTCTTGAGTCAATCGACGATTAATGGAAGTTTGCTCGACCTCCACCAGACCTTCCCGTGCTCCATCGCAGCACCACCCGGGTTATGATGCGGAGTCCTCTAGAGAGCTGCATGGGCCGGAAACATGAGTTCACACACCGACGATCAACTTCATAACCTAACTCAAAATCCAAAATTGGCAGCGGAAAAACCCATGACCCGTGGTTCGGCGTCCGTGCGCTCGTCAGGATACCGCTGCAATCATATTATTGCCCGAGCGAACGAGTCATCTTCATCATCATCGTCGTCGTCACTTCAGGTAGCCTTCGGATCTTGGAGCCGTAACAGTTCGCTCGCGGATCATATTCTTGTCTAGGGCATGGTCGATCATCCGCCCACCCAGCAACCGCCTTGACCTATTTCATCCAGGTCAATAATTTCCTGGAGCGAGTGCATCCATACACTGCACTTCGCGACCACTACACATAAGGAGTCCTTTGCACATCACATCTAGTTGCGGCACGGCCAGATATGGCATCAATCAAAAAGGCGGGATCTCCTAAAGCTGTGTATCGACTTGACTTCTTGATAGCATCATGGATCCCTATCGATGTTAGGTTACTGCATACCCTACTCCATACATAATATTTGCCTTCCGGTTCCCAGTGCACAGGTTTGGGGAAAGTTTCATAAAGCGGGGTATGATGTATACTCTGTGTTTATGAGACAGACACTGGGAGCAACTTTTTATGATTCATCTGTCTATTACTCCGTACTGATGGCCTCAAAGACTTTGTTTAGCGAGCCATTAAAGTCCAAACCGAGCTTGTTCATTTTCTTTTCTTTTCTTTCCTTCCCCGCCCCTGTTCACGCACAGCAAGTCAAACAAGATCAAACCCAATTTCTTCCCGTGAGGAAACCATAACACCATCATGTAGCAAGGCACAACTCCACATATTGCTTGTGAAACACTTCGCCCTGGCCTAATATCTCACAAACAGCCAGCAGAGTAATATGTATGCAGCTCATGTGGTCAGGTTTGACTTCTTTGTCCGACTCTGGCAATCATTGCAATGTACTTCATAAAGCCATGTTTGATTTTTTTTACGAGACTAGGCACCATCTCTTCCAGCTCACGGGACAATTCTTCCCTGTAAGGACATGCATGTCCTGCAGTGTTCTTCATATCCAGCTATCCTCAGCAGCTCATTTTCCGCGTCATTACTCGCCCCAGCCGCCTAGCTGGACTCGCATGTGAAATCTCGCCATTTTGGTTTTGTGTAACCTTCCCACGCAAATCCTAAAGTATGGAAATATTTATTTTTCTTCAGGATATTACAGTTCCGTTTGCCTTTATTTCGGCCCACACTAAGAGGTGATTGCCTGGCAACGCTCCCTGGTCCAGCCGGATGCGAAAACCGGCTTCGACATACGGAGTACGGAGTACATAAGACTAAAACATGGCTAGGCAACAAGCTCGCTCATCTTGTGCGAGCGGTCTGCAAAACGATACCTATGATACGGGTGGAACAGAACGACCACCGGCGGATATCCAGGAAGCGGCCGCCAATGTCAACATCCTATTCGCCTCGAATCCCAATGTTGAGTCAGTCTCCTAGAATCCCGGTTCCTTCTCGCTACTTCCGTCCGACTTAAAAAGAAAAGATAGTAAAACAAGGAGAAGATCGACAGATTAGTTATACAGAGGCGTCAGGACGATGCACTCGAGCCTGCGTTCCCTGGAACAAATTCGAACTGCCTTTTGTTTTCCTTCCCTAAACTTACTCAAGTGTGCAGAGCACATAATCCACAATATTCTCATCAAGACTACTCACCTCAGGCACTTCGAGTCCCAAAGAGACATGCCACCCATTTAACACATGTCTTTGTAACCCCATGATTATTCGCTCCAGGGGCCGGTGTTATCAATCGTTGTGCCGATCCCAGAGCGTTTCTGGTTTGGCCTTTCGATCTGTGCTGCGTTTTGGTCCCATGACTACTATTTTGCCATCAGGTAGCAAGGCCAAGAATCTTTGTCTCACAAAGGTTGAGCATTTGACTGGATAGGTTGTGCCCAGTTTAACAAGCCGGCCCATTTGCCTTACGCCCTAGCTTACGGAGTACTTGATGTCATATTCTGCATAAACAATTTCTTTTCATGCGAGGAGACTTCTACAGAAAGGAACTGTTCGGCCTTCAAGGCTCTGAGGTGGCCCATAGAGCAATTATGTGCAAAAAATGTCAACTTGCTATATCCCTCCGTCGGAGCACTACTCTAGATCTTGAAATATTTCCCAACAGGTAAAGGATTTGGAGCAAACGAAACAGGTATCCAGGCCCGCTGGAATAACGGCATTAAGTCCTAAGATTGACGGGCAGTAAAATCCCGTAATCGACCCGAGGAACTTTGGCTAGTGATCTCTATATCCCTAAACCCGCATTGGTTTTCTCGTAAATCTCCATGTATACCTTGTTTGCGTAGTCCTTCTGGAGAATGGCGTAGAACATATCAAGATTGATATCGCCTCTCGGACACATCACGAAACAGTTTTCAACTTGCATTTCGGTGCCGAAAACAAAGCTCCGTGTTAGGGAAGCAGCTGCAGCGATAGTCCAAAGCCATACATCACCAACTCCGGTCCCGTTACTCAAGCACAAAGAGCCGATCTTCTTCAGATACGTCGTGACATATAGCCAAGATTATATGACAATCGATCAGCGAAAACACTACTCCGTATTTGCTCGCAGGTATCTTTGTGCAGGTCTCTCTCACAAACAAAAAAAAAAAAAAAAAAAAAAAAAAAAAGAAATGCCGGCTGTGGAGAACTCGGACGGTGCAAACCTGAGATCCTTTGCTCGCAGTTTATCGGAGGGGCATTTTGCATTTTGCCCTATAACTTAACCCGACCACCCATGCCTTCGACAAAGTTCACCAAGCTAGGGAAAATGCCGCAGGATATAGAGATTTAATCCAGAGCCATGGCTCGACTCAAGCCCAGTAAGTCTGGGTAAAACGGTGAGCCTGCCAGGCGAAGGGTTCAAGGCCGTGAACGGACGTCTTTGGTCGAATCGGAGATCGGATCAATTATGCAGGGTGGCCTTCATTTACTTAGGCAATGACAAGGTTGCCAAGGAGAATCCTGAAACAAATTCCTCGAGAGCATCTTTTTCGCTAAAAGATATTGTTCCGACAGTGCTGTGGAACGCCGGCCAGTTGGGTACCGAGCCGTGTTTACAAATGTATGTGATCACGGCCAGGATCCCGGGAGATGGCTTGATATGATTAGCTTTTCGCTGGGAAGAGAGCTCACCAGCATTTGAAGACTGTTTCAGTTGAGAAAGCTAAAAATTTACGTATCAGTCCCAAATCATTTGTTAAAAAAAAAAAAAAAAAAAAAAAAGGCTTCTCGGTCATTGTCCAACATCTCCATTCTTAAGGCGGTTGAGTTAGCGGCAAAATCACACAAACAATAAAACAGTTAGTTACCTCCTGTACGGAGTACTCTGCATAGCAGTAATAGAATAGGAGTTAGCTGGTTGGTTATTGTCATCTCCAAAGCTTGGCTGTGCAACAATCGGAGAGCACAGAGATGTGGTAGGCAAGTATGAAGTCACCTCCAGAACCATGCCAATTCCGCGCCTGTACGGAGTAGTTAAGGAATGAGGTCGCCAGCTACGGAGGACAGAGCAGGCCACCAACTGATACAGAAAGGCTTGGCATGGTCATGGGTATTTAGTGACAATGCTGTTTACATCCATACTGCCTGTGTCTGTAGGTATTGAATTTGAGGCCCCGACCTTGGTAGGCAGAGGCCGCATCAGGTAGTAGTAGTAGCGGAAGCCCGTAAACAGATAACTGTCACATCACAAAATTGAAGGATTGATGTAGCTCTGTATGATAGTAAAGTATATATAAAGTTAAAAGGAGTAATATTCATAGCAATATGTATGACAGAATCACTGAGAAAGAACATGCTTTTTGGAGGAATCAACTTGGTGAGGACAGTCGGAGCTGGAGAGATATAGAAGTCCTAAGTGCTCTTATTGAGCCTCCAGAACATCATACCTAGATTCAGTGTAACTTAGTTATATGTATTGTAACAAGCCTAAAGGAGAATGCTTGTGATATTTTGACAGCTCCAAACTGGGTGAAACCTTAGTAGCCTTATTATATAACCCATTTCTTCACCAAACAACTCTTGGTGCCTTTCTGTGGATTGTAATGTTTTGAGCTTGAGGACCAGCAAGACCATTAAAAACATGCTGTTTTTCTGATGCTCAAATGGCTACATACAACAATCAGACAGCAATTGCACTAGGGACACCATGCCTGTCCACCAATGGTGATTAGGAGCTGCCTACAAAGAAAGCTAGGGGCATTTGGGCAGAACAACAAGAAACAAAAAATATCAGAATCTCCAATTTGGGAATGAAAAGAAGACTAGGTTAGTCCATGTCTTCCTGCTATTTAGATGTTACTATCCGGAAACGGGCCATGAAACTCCTTGGAATACTTTGTCCACAATCATCAATTTTGATGAACATTGAAGTGCTTATCTGGCTTCTAGTCTAAATAAATAATGATACCTGGTGCGTATCATGATGATCAAAAGAATTTACTTGCATGAATGGCCCTTGCCAATGGGTCCTGTGTGCAAATTGCTAGTGGGCCCCTAAATAGGTCTCATAGGGCCCATAATATTTGCCAAGATAGGCATCACAAGAAGAATAAATTTCTTCCTAGTAATAGCTTACGCCCGCTCAGTGTGATTGTTAAAAAGTGGTGTGAGAATGATGATCGCTGCCAAACCACTAGTGCTTTCTCCGCTATCTGGTTGTGATATAAGGCTGGCGCATTCTTGTAACTCCTCCACTTCATATTCAAAACAAAGGATGAGGTATGAAGAGTATGCTTCATATCTGCTTCGCTGCAGGTCTTCCCCTCTGGTTTGAAACAGGAAAGAAGTCGAACTACCTCCGGTAGCAAAATTGTTCTTCTCGGCTATCCAGCCTTGAGGGGCTCGGATAACTTTCCACCTGAGCGCACCACACTGTTTCTTGACGTCACAGATTTCGAGGTATCTTCGGCTTCACTCAGATGTATAGAACAATAACCACGGCCCCCAAATTCTTGTTCCCTGTCCATTCTTCCCATGCCTCTGAAGCCTCTGCTACCTCTACTTTCTCTGTCATCTTCAAGACCACCTTTCTCTCTCATGCGTCCGCTCACATCACTATTTCTGCGCCATCCACTGCTTCCTCTGGGTCCTCTCCACCTGCCTCGCATATATCCAATGTCCTCGGCCCATCAATATGACACTCAAAAGCATGTTCACGCGGATGGGAACCTGAACCAAGAATAGAGCTATGGGTTTGTTCATAGAAAAAAATAGGTAATGTATGAAACCACAAAGATTTTGAGAGTGTATAAAGTGATGAAAATATTTGGGAGACATATGGTTTATGGAACTCGACATCTGTTACCTTCTAGCAAGCTCCTTATATAGCCAGCATCGGTGACACCTTTTCTTATGAATTACCTTACTTCTTAATTCTTTCTTATGTACTCCGTTTTCAGTATGGAACTTGATATTTTCACTCAAAATGGCCAGTTGCGCATTTCATAGGTGCATAAAAAATAGATGGATAGTGAGAACTTATGTATGGAGTACATCATTGAAATACAGAGTACTTGGGCCTGAATGAATGCTTTAACTACTCAAACCCGCATTGTTCCTAGTATATTTGAGAAGTTCATTGGAAATGAATAGTAATTATCAAGGGTTCCATGTTGATTGACAAGGAACTAATCTTCTCACTAGGGTCAAAATATGGATTAGGTTGTCCTAGGAAGCTCTTTTCCCTCTAATTTCCTCTTCCTGCTTTCATGTCAGGACATTTTACACCTCCCTCCCCGGGGGGAGGCGAGGGACAATGCGTTGTACTCGGAATCTGGCAATCAGACACCACTAGCCTCTTATGGAACTCAGTCCACATTGCCTACATCATCGCACAACAATCGCGTGTCAAAACGGTCTCCGGAGGAGAATACGGATAAATTCCCTTTACACTCTTGAGATTTTCAGTTGGTGATCCACCCGTTGCGAGTCTGGGGCCACAATATGTATCCAGGACTTGTCGAGACGCTAGTCCCCAGTTTTCGGGACTAATACGGAGTACTCTCAGTAGGGACGAGGCAACGTCCCGTCACGCGGGCCTTGGGCTTTCGAGAGAACCCCGTCTGATACACTAACAGGCTAGGGTCCATCTGAAAATTCAGCGCCCCCGAGCTCTTTCAATACCGCATTCAAAAATTATTCCCGGCTTTTGTAGACATTGTCACCTATAAGTCCTGACCTAGACCGGAGATACAACGGGGGTTCAAGCATTGTAACAAGAACCAAAGCTGTGTTAAATGTATGGGCTGATACAGGTTGTGGCGTCAAGTCATTGTGAACTTCATCCACTTCAAGGGGCCTGAGATTGAATATTATCACATTGCTTCACAATAGTCTTTGATAAAAGCCCTGTTCATTTCCAGATTGTTCCTTAGGAGAGGTCATTTGCAATTAGCAGTGATATGGCCTCAAGGGTTAAAGAACAATACATACCCAGGGCGCAAGACAAAGCGAGAACCGCTCTATGTTTCCGCATGTGAAAACCATCAGGGAAATTCACAAACCCCAGGACAGCAATCCCACATCTTTTTACCCCAAGGCTAGGCTGCTATGCATGAAGGCATTGTTCAAGTTTTGGAGGCTTTAGGGGCAGAGCTATTTTGGAGTATACCCCTTGTCCGTAGGTTGAGGCACAATTAGCGCGATTTTGTTTGAATACAACACTAGCGAGTAGCATTGATCCAAAAGCCAATGAAACATCATACTACTTACATAGAGTTCACTGCAAATCAAAATGCAAATCTATTGGCTAGAGCATCTGGAACCATCAATGAAGTTGCAACATGTTGGTGCAAGAAACACATCTCTCCATGAAAACCTGCATCTTGTTCTCCATACAGCACTCTCTAATGCCTCAACCATGGTCAAAAAAGCTCTTTTGAAAGGTATTTCTGGCCAATATGCCTCTGATTTAAACATTTATGCTGGCTTAATTTTCATACTCTTGCTCGGCCAGGTGGTTCGGCGGTGAGACAGGGCAATATACTTTTTAGACTTTCTGTGTTGGCCAATAGAACATGGTCATAGTCACTGAAACCTTGGCATACAGTAATAAGTCCATATCAACCAATTATGATGTGTAGTTCTCTGTATTCTATTACACACTAGAAACCACGCTAATTGTGCCTCAACCTACGGACAAGGGGTATACTCCCAAAAGTAGCAGATCATACAGTCCTTGGTGACAGTGTGTTCCTCAGGGAACATTCAATAATATAAGACTTGGGCCCGGCAATTAGCACCCGAACCGCGAGCTTGCTCCTAGATCAAATTCACCATCTAGGCCCAACTAGACATGGTATGGTAAGTAGTTTTCGAGCTTTTCCGTGCAACTTCAGGGCCGAGAATCCATCTCCGATACTCTTATCGGCCGCAAGAAATGGCTCTCCTGATGTGGCGGCTTGACGTCTCTTTCGGCTGGGCGGTAAATTTACTGATTTCTTTCAGAATGAAATGCAGAGGTTGGAGGATTGGATTTTACAGTTTCCAAAAAATCCTTTACGTGCAAAATCAAAGCGGCCGTTGGATATGCTGCGCTCGAAATCTATAAAACACTCCATAGAGATCCAGCCCCGAGACAAGAGTCGCAGGCCGGAGAAAGGGGGGGGAACTTCAAAAGCAAGATTTAACTGAGCCTCCTCCGTATTACAACCAATCAACAAAGAAGGAGAGAAAAAAGCAGGATACAAATAGCCAGGGTTGGATCTATGAGGGCACATGCGCAATCCTAGTAGATTGTGCCTCACTTTCCCTCAGTTTCACAACACCCCTCATCATCCTCCTCCGCAGTAGCCTGGGTTTTAGCATGTTAAGTGGATGTTGGCCTTGATTCTAAATAGTAATGGGCTGTTTTTTCCATGAGGAGTGACGGATGTGTTTTCCTTGGATATCGGACCTCTTTGCCGGACGTGGTCCTCTTCCCAACTCCACTATAATATGGGGTCCACTCTTAATGGTGTATATATTCTTCACCCAGGCATTATCTAACTCATTGCGGTAATTTGCTGCGATGCGAAATACTCCTCTGACGTTATCAGTTCCTGCCAAGGCCAAAAAGGATTCCTTCATGCTGTCATCTGCACCATGATACCAGAATTTCCCTATGTTTTTGTTTGGGGGAAATCCCACCTTCCCATGTGCCTGTATCATAATGGATTCTGTATGAGCATTTACGATGTTGTCTTGCACAACCCAGCGCAGGCTGTTAGCTTTGTCTCCAGCAGTCTCTTTCCAGGATTGCCACATGAGATCTGACCACTTCAGTCGAACAGCAGGAGCAGACACATCTTGACTTTTAAAGTTAACTAGCGCGACGATAGCCCCTTTGTCTTTGTGGAAGATATTGTTGAAAGCAATCGTGGGCGCACCCTCGCTCTTATAATTCATCAGCATGTAACCCGGTCCAGATTCCAATTTAGTGATAGCCTGTACCTCCGCATCCGGTACCCAAGAAATCGGTGCATGGTCGACTCTTTTATATCCGCGCTCCCAGGATATGGGGGTGAAATCCGCTTGTTTGGATTTGAAAACTGCATCTAACCACTTTTGAGAGTTGGTGCCTGATTTCAGAAAATAGTTCCAATCTCCAACATCGGAAGGTGGAGGCCGTAGTGTTCCCGGTTCTGGGATTCGATCCCCGATCGTGGCTCCCGGTGAATTCGGAGCTTTAGGTTCGGGGGGGTGTTGTACAGAGGGCTCATTCTGTGGCTTTCCGCCACGACCCGGCGAGGGTCCACGAGATGGGGGACGGATTGGAGGGGCCCGCGAGTTCTTCAAGATACCATGGGCAGTCTGGAACGTGCCTGCAAGCGAATTTCTGGACAACCCCCGTATCTTATGAGATTGCGGGACTAATTACTGGTTAACTCAGATGTTCCTCAAGCGTGACAAAAGGCCCATACCATGATCATTATCAAGCGTCTGGAGCCCTGTGGGTTGCCTGATAGGAATATCGTGTGGAACAACGCTAGCCTTGAAAAGCGGGAAGGCTACCAGGAGCAACAATTTTGATGGACTGAGGCGCATTATGACTATTGGCAGACAGACAATGAACGATAAATATCGAAGGCTTTACTCCATTAGAGGGTTTGGATAGCGGGGAGGAGCAAGGCACCAGATATTTGAAGCTTCGAGCCTGACATGTAAACAGACGACCGAATCATCCCGCTATCTGAGTTGAGTGTAACATGAATAGCTGAAGCCGGCTTTTTGTCCGGCTTTTAGGACTTATGGAATTTGGTTTGCCTCTCGGACTTAACCATATTGTTGGATATATATCAAGACCGGCCTCCGCGTCGTAACACCCTCAAGCTTGAATCGCGACACAAAGGGCGCTGTATCACTGCATCCTCCCGAGTTCTCCACCCGTTACCGATTTAAACGTTCCTCAGCTCGCTCTTAAAGAGCTGTGAGGAAGTTCGAATCGCTTCTGGAAACATACGAATGTTACACGATTCCTGGGATAAGGGTCAGCTGTTAATGTTTCATATTTGTTTCAAGAACACGGGTGAAAAACAGAGGGGCGATCATGGAATCCTCGATGTGCTTATGTGGGACTAATCATACTCAAAATTTGAATCACACGATCGGGAAAATTCTCGACCACTAGTGACAGGCGAACAGAATGGCTGGACTCTATCTAGCTATTTCACGTATATGCAAGTTTTACCACCGGAAGCCCGAAAATTAGTCTGATCTGCGATTTTGGTTTTTCAGACCAAATAAGGGGATATCCGCGTGAATATCAAGTATGCAAGACGAAATCATGACGCAAGTCGATAAGCATACACCCTGGAACGGCTAGGGCGCTTGTCGGACTCGGGGATATTGAAACAAAACGCAGATGGTCAGGGCTGCCTAGAGTAAAAGAACCGAAGCGGGCATACCCTCGTTTTGACACTTTCGAGATATGGTGTCACGGCATGATATTTCATAAAGTTTCTGGGCTCTGGAGCTTGAATCAGATGACCTTGAGTTGCACTTAAGTAATAGGAGACAGAGCTTGAGATCTTGTCCAACTCGAGCGGATGATGTTGGGTTTTGCAGCATGCGGCTCTTCCAAACGATACTTTGAAAATCGTGACTCGGGAGAACAGCCAACATGAGTTTAATTAGGTAGAGTAGAGTACTGGTAAGCACCAACATCAGTTTACCTACTCTAACACAGTGCAAGTTCATCGTCGTCTTCTTCATCATTATCCCATCCCAATTGATCATATATTGACTTCTCCGCATTTAAGCGTGAATTAATGGAGACCTGTACCGTGGGAGACGCGCTGCCGTTGGATACAGATCCAGCACATTTTATGGGAGTTCTGAGGGTAATAGGATCGACCGCTTTAGTTGAGAGAACGGAGGTGTCCCCGGACGTTTTCGATACACCAAGTCGGCGTGGAAGTAGCTGAGGTGGAGTCTCCTCAACGCCAAAGGTAGACTCGTTATCGTTTTTCATGTTATAACCTGCATATGAAGCTATGACTCCATTGTTAATATGGGACCTTGGAGGTTTCGTAGGTGTCGTAAACCCAGGCGCGGACGATTTGAAGTTACCCCGTCTCAAAGGTCCAGGAACTTTGAAAGGCTTTTCGGTGGGCTCTAAAACGCCAGTCGGACCAGCTTGAGTATTGACAGTAGAGCTTGAAACCACCGGAATCTGTGAAGAGCGTTTTGACGGGGTTTCTTGGACGGACTTCGGAATGATTTTAGGATTAAGCCTCGATCCGAAGAGATTGTGCGATCGCAGAGCAGAAGATTGAATGACTTGCTCGTTCACGCCAAATGATGTCGATAAACCTATCTCTCCATTCGATGCTAGAGGACGTCTTGAGATGGAAGGCACACTGGATGTCTCACAGTCTTTCTTTCGAAGACCTTTAGGAGTTACAATTACCTGTACTCCTTCGCCTAAAGGGTTCCTGATCGGATCTTTCTGCTTTCTTGAGCTCCCGATCGAAGCCCTCTTCTCCGCAGAATCCGCCCAATCCCGAGCTACCAGCTCTCTGTTCGGCTTTCTTAGGGCATTGATTGCTGCATCCAATTCCTTCTTTTGTTCAATAAGCATGGCCATTTTCCTGAGTTTTGTTTCATGCTGCCGCGCAACAGCATCGAGATCTATTTCCCGGTTATCGATACGCCTGGGCTTTTGGATACCACCCCGTCCCCTTGAGACCAGAGACTGAAAATCCGGCTCGCTGGACTCTCGTTTGAGTTTTGGAACAGCCGCATTGAGTCTTGTTATGGCAGCTTTCTCATCAGTTAGAACGCGTTGAAGAGTCCGACGAGACCTTTGATTTTGTTTCTTGACCGTCTCACCAGCGCTATCCGCTGAACTCTTCTGCCGCAATATAGTGGGACGTTTAGGTGAGGCGGATATAGGCCCACCAAGTTTTCCGCTCAGAGCTCTGCATTGCTCTGGAAGGCGAGAGGCGTAAAAAGGGACTATAACCTCCGTGCAAAAGTCTCGTAGTTTATCGTTCTCCTTACCCTTGTCTTGCCTTTTCACAGGATTAACTGAGACAGGATCATTCGAACTTACCGTATGCCATATACAAAGCCTGTCTACCAGAAGTTCGAGAAGCATGCCTAAGTCCTGAGCTTTCTTCTTGGAGACCTTATTTGCCCGTGAGACTTGCAGCTCTAACTCCGGAATATTTCCATCAGTTGCACCCATAGAGAGTTCCAAGGACATTGCCTCAAGAATCAGAAGTATTTGGAGCTGTGTTTCGCGGAAGCGCAGATCTGCTACCAATTGTTTCAGCTCTTCATCTCCGGAAGATGCTTCCAACGGCGATTCTGCCACATTTCTGTGGCTCCACCACCTTGCAATTAAATCCCGTTCATCTGGATACAAACCATTTCTCCCAATTTTTCTCTTTCTGTTTTTGCGCTTTCCTCCTTTCAGTGAGAGTACAGCGGCTTTTCCACCTTCCGCGAGGCCCAGGGCGAAATTCCGCACCACTTCCGGCACAGAATCTCGATATTTTATATCCATTCTTTTCACAGGCATAATGCATTCCCGGTAAAAGTAATAAAGATCTAACACACGCATGGCTGCAGTATCCTTAGCGGATTGAAAAGCTGCGCGCGCGCGAGAAAGCGGTCCTTTAGCGAAGTAGGCTACAGAAGCCTGTGGGTTGTGAGCCGCCTAAACTACAATTGTCTAGTTTGGCCAAATAACTTACTTTGGAAATATAGAGGGTTTCGAGGTACTGGGTTTTAAGATTATCCAATATGTCTCGGGGGCACGGCGAATTCGCTGATGTCAAAGTGGAATTAGCATATAAGCTGAAATATGTTCAAGTAATATACCTTCGATATTTTTCTGACCGGGACTTCCAAAGGAATTCTCAGGCCCTTGGTGGATAGCATCGTACAAACAGCCTAGTTCGATGGACGTATTTTCTTCCGGTACGGGAACACTCTCGGGCTGTTCAGTGATGTTTGCACTTCCTGTGATTCCTGGCCACTGATCAAATACTAGTGTTACATCGTTTATGGCGAGGTTCCCAAAATTCCCTCCCTCAAAGTCGTGAAGAATTTTAGCTCTCTGGAACCAGTCGTCTTCCCCGGTTGCTGAACCCGAACTTAGACAATGGCCCGTTCCTTCAGGTTTCCAGCCCTTGGACGCGACGATGACGTCCCCTTCTCGAATATGACGACCTAAGGGACATACGGAGTATATACCCTTTTTCACTCTTTCGACAACATATAGCTCCTCCTCACAATCACTTCCTTCTGTTGGGCCCATAAAATTTATAGACGAATGCTTTTCACCGCGCAAACGTGCAACAAGCACGACATGTCTTCCCCTATCCTGTAGTCCGATTTCAAGGGCGAGAATATTTGAAACGAAGAGTTTCCCCGGCGCTATGCTTCGGGGTGGGTTCGGGCAAGGATCCAGCCATGAGAGGGGTAACCTAGATCGTGGTAATAAAATGATAGGTATGAGGGTTTCTGTTTTATCCGATAATGAAGATGTGTAGGGCTGTTGTGCGGAAAGCATTAGCAGAGCTTTGGGTGTTGAACGAGGAGGATTGTACAGTATGAACATGCAGCACACACCTGAATATCGATGGCAGAGGACAATATGCATTTGGCACCGTTCTTGCCATCCTCGTGGAACCTCTTTCTTTTTTTCAATGCCGGGGCCGAAAAGTCACTTTGCGTGTTTAAAGATGCTAAAGATGAGGGTTCGAGTACCGTGACATTTCGAAGGGACGCCATTCATGCTTCACGAAGAGATGAGGTTTATCGAGTAAGAACTAGACTAGAAAAATAGTCCCATACATAAGATACATTAATGTGCAATATGGAGAAGATTCTGATGATTTTAACCCTAACACCTGGTCGAGCGTCATCGCTGGTGATTGCGTTTTCCGGCGCATCTTCACGCGTCATGCCACATCCATACGGAGTACATGTACGGAGTACTCCGTAATAATACGGAATACGGAGTATGAGGTACCCCGTACTCCGTAGGCCGTAGTTCCTTACCCTCCGAATCCCGTAATAGTCCGTATAACTATAAACTAATCACATGACTTGCACTGAGTGGGCAGGTGTTCCAGTAAGACGATCTCATTCTCTGTACTCGGTAGCTCGACTTCCAATCCCTCATGACCTTTGTTGAATTTTGGGGATTATTTTGCATCTTGAGATATCACATCCGTTGAAGCTGCTAAAATTTACATAGAGGTAGCAAAATTGATAAATCTGAAAGAATAAGAGGCCACAATTGGCCCTTTCCATCACCGTTGGGTCATCCACCGTTGCGACTGGGGAAACCCGATTATCCATTGCATATAATTGTATTTCCTTCCTCCCTCAGGTCCGATGAATTAGTGTGGTTCATTTTCTATGTTCCGAAATCCAGACAACTTCTGTCGAAACTTTTACAGCGCCCTCTGTAACGCCATCCAGTAAAAAGAAATTGGTATCACATGTTGAATTTTTTGCCAAAGCGCCGTGGTCATAGGCCTCGTGCAATGAGAGAAAAGGAAAGCGGGAGAAAGAACCATCCATCTATAGCCGTGCTTTGAGTTGTTGAAAACAAAGCAAAATCGTCGCGATCATAAGACATTTATTTCGTACAAAGCGAGGCTGGGAAGTGGGAGACTTAGAACTTGAGAGTCTTGGGCTTTTCCCAGGCGAAGCTCTGGTCTGTGAAGTGGCCATTTTTGGCGGTCTTGTAGTAGATCGGTTTGGCCAAGTCAAGTTCCTGCACAATAACGCCGGGTCGGAGGTCGAAGTTGTCTCTGATAATCTTCACCAACTCGGCGGAAGATTTGGTGGAGGTGCCATAAGTTTCGACGAAGATCGAAAGCGGTTCAGCAATACCGATAGCATAAGAGAGCTGAACAAGGGCACGACGAGCGAGGCCGGCGTTGACAAGAGACTTAGCGATCCACCGTGCAACATAAGCAGCAGAACGGTCGACTTTGGAATAGTCTTTTCCGGAGAAAGCACCACCACCGTGGGCACCCCAGCCGCCATATGTATCAACAATAATCTTCCGGCCGGTTAGACCAGCATCACCCTGAGGACCACCGATAATAAATAAGCCGGATGGTTGGATATGGTAAATGGTGCGGTCGTCCAAGAGGTTTTCGGGAATGACCTTTTTGATGATTTTGTTCAAGATCTCTTTGCGGAGCTCTTCAGTAGTGATATCCTCACTGTGCTGGGCGCTGACAACCACAGTATCAACGCGAAGAGGCTTCATCGCACCATTGTCATGAGCATATTCAACGGTAACTTGAGTTTTAGTGTCAGGGCGGAGCCATGGAAGGCTGCCATCTAATCTAGCCTCCTTCATGGCCCGATTGAGCTTATGGGCAAGCTGGATCGTCAATGGTAACAATTCAGGGGTTTCATCGGTGGCATAGCCAAACATAATACCCTGGTCTCCAGCACCGAGTTTCTCCAGAGCTTCGTCGTAGTGAAGACCTTGGGCGATATCGGGAGACTGCTGCTCAATGGCAACAAGGACATTACAAGTTTTATAATCGAAACCTTTAGAGGAGTCGTCGTAGCCAATGTCTTTGATAGCGTTTCGAATAATTCGTTGGTAATCAAGATTGGCTTTGGTGGTGATCTCACCAAAAACCATGATCATGCCTATTGGTGCAGGTTAATACATCAAATTACAATTATCAACAACAGCTAATATTTTTTCATCTTACCAGTCTTTGTTGCAGTTTCACAAGCGACCTGTCATCTGAGCGTTAGTTTTTTGAATGATGGTCAACGCAAGCGGGGCAAGTCACCTTTGACAAAGGGTCCTCAGCAAGGCAGGCATCGAGGATGGCATCGGACACCTGATCGCTGTGTCTATAGTTAGATTCAATGGGCTCAAACAAGATCCACTTTTACAGGGCGGCTTTGGTCAAGCACGTACGCAATCTTGTCTGGATGGCCCTCTCCAACAGACTCAGAGGTGAAGAGGAAAGTACCCTCTCGCTTTTGCACGCCGTTTGCGATGGAGCCCATTGTGCTTGAGTCTCGGAAAACAATCGATGCAAAAAGAAAGTTGGGATAGAACTGAGGTAGTTGAAAAAAAGGGAGAATAAAAATGGAAAAGGGATAAAGGCAAGAGGGAATGCTGATGGAAATGAGGGAGAGAGGGGTTTTGAGAGGAGGATTTCGGAGTTTCTCTTTTCAAGGGAGGGGCGGAGCAGTGGGCTTTTTGCTTGGGGGCGCGGAGTAATTTTTGGTTCGTTCGGGCTCCGAGCAGTGTTTGCTCTGTTTGTCTGGATTGCGACATCGGGTGTCGGAAATGGTAGGCGGATTAGAATGGCAGAACAACGCATGCCTCTATTGTGCATACTCTGCTCGTCATGGATAACCCCACCCATCCCAACTTGGAGAAAGCAACAAACAAGCTCAATGGCCTTTAGCAGAGTTATTGATCAGAGACACTAGGAGGATGTGCTGTCGTGAAGTCCGTGTTCCTCCCGCAAAGTTATCCATCCACACACTCAATTTCTCACACCCCACCAATTAACTAGTCAACATCCCGGGCGGAGGAGAAAAAACCACTTCTTCAGGAAACACACAGTTACAACTGAATTTTGTCTTAGCCTTCTGGCCTACCATCCAAAATCTTTCCATCCCTACTATGTCAAAATTCGGTGTTTTGGTTATGGGCCCAGCGGGCGCCGGCAAGACGACCTTTTGCACCGCGCTCATACAACACCTTCAAAACGCGCGACGCAGTTGCTTCTACGTAAATCTCGACCCCGCCGCTGAATCTTTTGCCTATGAACCGGATTTGGACATTCGAGAGCTTATTACTCTGGAAGATGTGATGGAAGAATTGGGTCTTGGCCCAAACGGCGGTTTGATGTACTGTTTTGAATTCCTCCTTCAGAACCTCGATTTTCTCAACGAAGCGCTGGATCCATTGAGCGAAGAGTATTTAATTATATTTGACATGCCAGGTCAAATAGAGTTATACACTCATGTGCCGTTACTGCCGTCGCTGATACAATATCTTTCCCGTGCTGGCCCGTTGAATATTTCGCTTTGCGCTGCATACCTCATGGAAAGCATATTTGTGGTGGATCGCGCAAAATTCTTTGCTGGCACCCTGAGTGCCATGTCTGCCATGATTTTACTAGAGATACCGCACGTCAATATCTTAAGCAAGATGGACCAGGTCAAAGGGTTGGTGGGAAAGCGGGAACTGAAGAGATTTATGTCCGTCGACGTTGAGCTGCTGAATGATGAAAAGAATGATGGAGAAACACCCTGTGATCCCTCATCTACCGGCGAATTACTAAGCGGCAGCTCCTTCAAACGGCTAAACCGTGCTGTCGGTCAACTTATTGACGACTTCAGCATGGTATCGTTCTTGAAGCTAAACGTGCAGGATGAGGATAGCATTGCGGGAGTGCTAAGCTACATTGATGACGCCATTCAGTTCCATGAGGCACAAGAGCCGAGAGAGCCGGCAGACGAGCAAGAATATGACCTGGAGTGAGGCAGCTTCTGCGTTGTTGAATACTCCTAAAAGCCTGAACATGATAAACCGTTGGGGTCGGAAAGCCATTTGAGGCTTACCATCTACTTCGCTCCCGATCACGATGCTGTGGCTTGGAAGGCTGCAAAGGTCCATTCATCGCACGAGAGGCTTTTTCCCACCAGGACCGGCCTCTACAATGCGGCTTCAGCTGACCTGGCTGAGCCGCAAATCTAGAAACCTGCCCTTTCGAGCGGTGAGAATGGTGATATGCGAGAGTGACACATAAAGAGACCGCATGGGCTCCAGAAAGAAAATAATGGTATACGCATCAAGATGCCACGAGCACAGTCACCCATAGACTTCGATATGAAATAGTCCAAGAAAAACCTCAGTTTATGGCATGCTTGTAAATATGCCAATTAAACTCTTGCAATAATCCGGCTATCCCCTTTGACCCGAGTTCAGCCTCCGTCCCTGTCCTGTTCTCTTATACCCAGGCCCGTTTCTGCTTCGTGTAGAGGTATCACTTTCACTCAACAGCTGCTGTATGAATCCTTCCATCAGCCCCAAAATCCAAGCGGCATCTTGCGATGCCTTTCCCCATCCGACCTTATATACATAATAACCGCCACCCAAGATCGCACTCCAAAATAGGAGCCGGAGAAAAAGAACAATCCAAAACGTAATCACTCGCCGAGCATAATCAAGGACTTTGAGCGAGATTACGAGAATGAAGAAAAGGATCAGGATTGAGTAGAGATCCGGGGGCGAATTGATCAGGGTGTTTATAGGGTTGATGATATATGGTTCGGCATATACAAACCGGAGGTATTGGAAGTACTCATTGGCGATAGCGGCATAGGAAGCAATCTGGAGATACACGGATGGTGGAATATTCTCTCGTATTGTGTGGAAAGTAGGGATGACGTATTCTACAAATAAAACGTAGACAATTAGCTGACTGTCAATTGATCTAGTGCTTCCTTATATCCATTAAAAGGAGTGGTTTTCTCTATTACCTTCAATGACCTCCATCTCCCTGGCAACTTCTTCGATCGATATGCCACACAATTTATGAATGTTGAGCTACGGGAATATGCTCATAGAGATCGCGCACTGCGTGCGAATATTTTCGTGGAGCGGTAACTTTTTCAGGAGGGGTGAAATAATGGAAGGTTGATTTCGAGCTCAAGAGAAAGAGTGAGGCCAGCCAGCTTTAAAAAGTCCAACAGTAACAGCCAGGGAATATTCAGTCCGGGGTATTACTACTTGGAAAAAGCAATGAAAATAAAATAAAAAAAATATTATGTTTCGAGGTTACAAATCGTGCTTTTCCGACGGCTCGCATACTCGGTACTCTGCACCTCGCGTTGATGTTTCGCGCTCCCATGCAAACGGAACAAACGTTTGATACTCATATTATCCCCTCGTCCGGCCGCCAGGCAAAATTAGCGTAGAAATTAGCGTGTACAGTAGTGTATTTAATACTGGAATTCTATTGGAAACTGGTGTATTTGGCTGTATTTAGCAGTAATTTGTAATTTATTCCCTCTAAGCCTATTTTGATTATATTACTCTGTACTCCGTACTCTGTACTCTGTACAATTCCATAGAATGGCACTGTTCCCAGCAACACCCCTTGAGGCAGAGAGCTACTATAAGCTGAGCAATCATATAGTGATCTAGGGACCTGCCCTTTCTTCATTTGACTCTGTTGCTTTTTATATACTGACACCAGACACAAAATGCCATAGCTGACAATGTAGTTTGTGAATGAATAAGATCCATACTTGATTATTGTGGTAGTAGGGGGTCAGCAGATTTGAAGAGAGTCTTATAGAGTTGTTCCCAGAATGCCATATGCCCAATCAGTCTAGTAGTAGAGCAGGAACAAGATAGCTGGTAAAGCATATAAGCATTGATTATTGCATGGTCAAGCAGCCACCAGAGAACTGGCAGTCAGGTCCTCTAGCTGGTGTGATGGGTCTCATAGGATTCTCTATACTCCATACTGATTTGATATATCAATGAAAACGCGTTTTTGAAAATCAACACAAAAACCAGCTATGAATGTGTTTTGCTTAACCAATAGATTCCCATATATTTTAGTGTGTGAACCTATTGGTCAGAAAAACGCCATTAATACTGTAGTTTGTAATCTGGTACCAAGGCGCTAATTTTGCCTGGCAGCCGGACGAGGGGCTTGGCGTCTGTATGGAGTACTGCCAAGAGCCTTGGCGGAAAATCCGAAAACAAACCTTATATATGGCTGCGCATTTTGAATTGCTCTTCAGGATCGGATCTACAATCCAGAAGCGTATCAGCATTGGTGGTTTAGTGGTAAAATCCGTCGTTGCCATCGACGGGCCCCGGGTTCGATTCCCGGCCGATGCATTTCGTGATAACTTTTTTGGATCTTTTTTTAAAGGTGAGGATAGCAAAAAGTGCTCTATTGTCCTCGGCAGAGATGTCTCTCCTCCTTTGTACGAGCTATTTCACAGAAAAACTAACATTAACTTTGGGTAGCTCGCTCTAAGTATTTCTTTAGTAAGGGGCAAGTTGCCTCCTAAAAAGGGTGAGAGTAATGGTCTTGTTTGTTTGAAGCATGCACACTGAAGCCCATCCATTCTTTCACCAATTGAAAGCCTCTTCAAAATAATCAATTCCTTTGTACCCTTTTTTAAGTAAATCACGTACTGCGGCTCTCGTATCATCTGCCATCGCCGCTGGACCACACACTAACACTGCCGTTTGCAGGCCGCTATTGGATACAGGCTCCTCGTCTCCGTAAGCGTCATACAATGAATGGTTGATTATCTTTGTGATATTCGGACGACCATGCTTAATTGGTATCGACGTTAAAGCGCGGTGGCCATGGATTGGATCTGTGTCTCGAGAAAGTAGCTGGCTAGTTTCGTCAAGCGCTTCTTCGGCCGACGGCGATGAACATGTGGAATACGACGTGGAATAGAATTCTGTCCTAATGCCCATTTGGCTAAGCAAACGCAGCTTCTCCCCGTCGAGGAGCTCATTGTAGAGTTCCCGTTGCTTTGAGGCCATAATCAACGTCATATTTCTTGTTCGGGTGGCCGGAATAGGCAAGCCTTTAGAATGAGGGGTATCTTCCGTTAGCTGTAAAACGGGCCCGCATGAACGTCTCAAGTGCTCCTCGATATGTGGCCATACACCCGCAAATCCAGCTCCTCCGGCAATCAGGATAACATTTTCGTATTTGTGTAGCGGAATTGAGACGCCATACGGGCCTTCAAGAAGGAACGTGGACTGAACTGCACAGCCTTGCGAGATGCATTCCGACTGTAACCTCCGCGTCCAGCCGTTAAAAGGTCGAATCCAGAACGTGAGAGAGTGACTGATTGGCATTTCGATCTTGTGCCTCCCAGGAGAGACAGGCCTAAAGTGATAAGGTTCCCCTTCTATGTGTTGGGACCAACTGCCAACAGTGAATGGATGGCTTTCATAACCTCTCAATTTCAGCGGCTGATAAATATAGTAAAACTGCCCCGGCCGAGGAACCAGTGTTCCCAAGCCTGGGACGATTCGAAGTCGGATGAGGTTAGATGACCTATCGTAGTACGCTGTGCCTTTCGAAATCAACGGCTTCTTGCCATTGCGGCGGAGGTAAATATTGCAGTGTACCAGCTTGACGAGGCGGGCGGCCCTTTCTAATAGCCAGACAATCACCACCGGCCAGAGATATTTGTCATATCCTCCTGTAAAGATGCTCGTATGGCTATTAACAGTTAGCATTGCTCGGTGTTAGAGTCCTCGGATCATAAATGGTGGTATTACATGAATAAGCCAACTAAGATTACCGCTGAAAGGGCTATATGAATAAGCAGGAAGACCTCATAATAATTACGTCGGAGCCAGATAGACGAAAATCCAAGGAGGAGCCCCATTCCGATAGTACCCTAAATGACCAATGCATTAGAATAGGGAAACTGAGGAAGCTAAGGGTCATGCTCAAACTTACCACTGCTCCCATGTACCACCACGCCGACGGCCAATATGAGAGATACGAATGCACTTACAACAGTCAGTTGCATAGGTCCATGCTGGAGGGCTGACTTTTCTTACCCCTTAGAGTCAACACGGTATAGCCCACGGAATGAATGATCGCTTGTATTGTGGCGACTCTGGCAACAGCGCGGTGAAAAAGGTTGAAAGTTCCGAAGTTCCAACCTGTAGCCCAGAGGAAAGGATTATTTCTTCCTGCAAAGAGCCATAAAAGCACTAGATTCGCATATGACATTATGCCTGCTCTATCAGAGAGGTAGCGCCATGCCTGGGTAGAAATATCATCCCAGCTAAATCAAATTTCATGTCAATTCCCGGTTTTCTGCACCCGAAGAAACACACACACACATATATATATATGTGTGTGTGTGTGTGTGTGTAGGATCCGAATACACTTACTAAAGATTTCCTTTGAAGACGTCGTACCCAACAATAGTGAGGGCTAGGCTGAGAAGATAATAGAGGACGATCACGATGGCCTCGATGCGGGTAGGAACTGCACACCAGTACAAAAGCCGTTGATGATAATCGCCAATTGCAGGTGGAAGGATTAAATAAGCTCTGATCCAATGGCGAGTGGTGAGAAAAGCCGAAGCGAAACGTCGCGGCGCGGATCTCGCGAGCGAATAATGCCCTTCTTGATCGTATCTCCAACGGAGTAATCTACCAGCCAAGAAATATTCATATAGACGATTAATAACACCACATAGTAGAACGACACCCCAAAACCAGTAGGAAGCGTTCCTATCAGCCGAATTAGCATGGGAACTAAGATAAGATATCATTGTAATAACCAACTCACCCGAATGCATGGTGTGCCCAAGTCTCGAAAGCCCATGCTCTCTGCGAGTATATGCTATTAGCTATTCTAAGATGTATTCAAAGAACATAACTGAAATATAAAAGAGCATCTCACATTAGTCCTAAATGCCCTCCAAAAGTAATTCCCTGAAATAAGAACCGGTTCCGGTAATCGTATCCTCTTAGCCACTTCTCCAAACTCCACCACTCTCAACGAAGCAAGATACTCATCAGAAAGCTGCGGTTCCACATCTTTATAGGGTATTCTTTTAAAGCCTTCCTTTTCGCAATCACCATCCAACACGTGCAAACCGGGCTCAATATTCGAGAGAGAGCAGTATAGCTTTATAGCGGCGTAAAGAGAATAGGTATGGAGCCTATTTGTGCAAATATAACCAGTGTATGTAGAATTGAGGGAGCCGGCGAATCTTATATGAGACAAAGCCTCTGCAACTGAAATTACACAGCGGGCTGATTCAGGGATATCGGCGGCCAGGGACACCCCGGCCGAAAGGACGATGGATACGGAAAGAAAGCGCATTGCTTACTACCTTTCTCTGTCTTTCAGGAGAGAGTCTCTAAAAACAGCGTGGAGATGATGGGAAGTATCCTGTATAAACGAGCCTCTTCTCACGAGAAAGGACAACAAAGGGAAAGGCAAAGAGAGCAATGTCACAGAGCACTTCTAGAGTCTTAGCATTTCCGGAAAATGGGAATGTAACGAGTTACCGAGCTATTTTTCTTTCCCTTTCTTTTTTTAAAAAAAAGGAACCAGGGGAATCAATCTCTGTGTGCCGACAACACCCGATTGAAGAAATGCTAGGTGCTCGGACATCCGGGCCTCGACACTGACTATTTTCGACTCGGGATGCAAACACAAAAAGCAAGGATAAAAAAGAACAAGGTATTTTCACTTTATCTTAAGTGTCTTCGTAAGGCACCGGTAAATCTTCAGGAATGCATTTGAGAGAAGAACGAACAGGCGCAAGGCGAGAAAGGTGGCTACACGGTTACCAGAAGGCCGCGCATGAAGAAAATCTGATCAGATAAGGAAGAACATGGGCCGATAGGCCCACTTCACGCCTTGGCTTGGCAAAGTCAGGCGCCGCATCCTGCTGCGAGAATGGTTTATCGTTCGGATGGATGCCTGGCCAGTTGTTAACCTCAGTCAAGTGAGCCATATTTGTTGCAGCAGGAAAGATGTGCCCAGAAGCTTGTTCTATCATATTATTTGTAAACAGCCTGTCCTTTAATCTCGAGACTGAAGAGATCAGAAGATTCAGTCTCTTTGCCGCCGCAGCGACGAGCACGGATGAGTGTTGCCCATTGGATATTGCCAGGTGGGGTTAAATTAAGGTTTGGGTCTAAGATTATCAGATAACTTTGTTTTCAATCTGATAACGTTTCGGGGCTTCGGTGTTTGGCAACACGAGGTTCACACAACGGAGAAGATGATTGACTTTCAATTCGTCCACAATAACATAAATCTATGCGCTTTTTATTCGATCGGTCTCCCAGGAGGCTGGGCAATTTCGTTATTTTCTGAGGGCCCATCAGGGCAGGGTCTGTCTTGATCGAACGAGAAAACGCGACTGGGCGATCGTAGTGCAATAGCTAAACCATCATTATCAGATTCCGATTTTATGAAATGGCCATAATATCATTATAACCACATACCAAAATACGGGAGATAATTTAGAGAGACAGAAGTAGAATAGGAAGCTTCGAGAACGTACATCACCCTATTGGGAAGAGAAGTATAAATCACAAACCATACCCTTTGGGCAGGATAAAGAGAAGGGGGACACAATCCAGGTGTCTAGAGAATCACACCAATCCTGGTATCAAACTCCAATGATGCATCTTATTTGGAAAAAAAAAAAAAAAGAAAAAGAAAAAGAGAAGAAAATCACCAAACCAACCGACTGAAAATGCAGTAAAAAATTAGGCAAATGGTGTGAAGGTAACTCCAAACCCAATAATGTACATACAATACATTAAGTCATGATCTTCCGCTTAACCGCCTAAGATGCAAAGAGATGAAATGGGAAGCACCACCTAAAGGGGAGAGCTTATTAAAAATGAAATAAGCTAAGTAGGGACGGTCAATGGACACAAATCCATTCGATCCCACAATTCAAAGGTATAGCCCTTGACTAGAAATTAACGTGTGAATTTATCCTCGAGGGGAACGAATCATAAAATTAGATATATAAATGCGAAAATAAATGGGATATGATATGAATATCATCGAAATAGTCGTGTAAACAAAATGAAACAGATCGATTGATCAGTGATTGGACACACGTGAAATTTTCGAGGGTCCGGACGGCCATTGGGCAGCATGTCGGTTGTAAGGAATTTCGCATTAGAATTTCGGATGCGCCAGTACGGTAACGTTGACGTTCATATCATCATGTAAGGCTGAAGATCAGTTATCACCATTGTTGATTTGGTCAATGATCTGGGCTTGAAGCCTCCTCGTCCGACGGAGTGCCTCGTCTCTGTAGATTATCATGTCAATGGATGGCTCTTGGATGTAATCGGACATATAGTTTATCACTGACCTATCGGTTTGGAGTTCCGCGACCTCAATCTGGGCCTTATTCATTCTGCCCACAACTTGCTCCATCTCCTTATCCGCATCTCGCAAAGCTTTTTCAAGCTCCTTCACTTTCGCCTCAAGGCTTGAAACGTGAACGGCCTCGTTCAATGCAACACCAGGCCCACTAGTGGTGACCTGGAGGCGCGGGGATCGCGGACCAGAGAAAGGCGAGGTTGGAAGAAGAGGCGACAATAGCGCTGGACTCCGCACTCCGTTTTTAGCACGTAAAAGCTGAGCATTGTGGCTCTCATTCAAGGCTAAAATTTCTTGTTCATGCTTAGCCATCTCATCTTCGGACTGCTGCTGCGCCAAAATTAATGTCTCCTCAAGCAGCTTTAGCTTGGCCTGCATCTCATTGATTCTTTCGGCTGAAATTTTTTGTTCCTGTTCACCTTGGCCAATAGCCTGAGCCAGCCTATTGCGAAGTGCACTGTTCATCGCAACTTGCTGTAGCACTTGACGAACGAGGGCATCCTCTAAGTCGGGGTCATCTGCAGAGACGAAACGTCCTTGTCTATTGGACTGGAGTTGCCTGTACGCATCCTCAAGAGACTTAGACGTGGCATGGAAATCGCTTAGGTCATCTGCTTCAAGGCCATGGTCCGCAGGATTAACGGCGTGTTCGAGGAGGGCTCGCAAGGAGCTCGTCTCTTGCTCTGCGCGGTCAAGGTCCATCTTTAAGCCGGCTAAGCCCTTCTCGCACTGCCATTTCTGTTCCAAAGCGTCGTCTGCGCGCCGCCTGAGGATATTAATTTCTTCTCTCAAAGTTATAACTTCTCGCTCATATCCTGGTCTGCGTGGCGAGTTAGATTGTTTGATACGGTCTATCTCCAGCTCTAATAGTCGAACACGCTTTTGATGTTGTTTGGCCAGATAATTTTGACGCTCAAGGAGGCTTTTCACAGTTTGATGGAGAGCGTCGCGTTGCATTTCGACGTCCTTTACCCGATCCACCAGTGATTCTCGAAAATCGCGTTCTTTTCCAATCATAGAGCTCGGGCGGGATAGAGACCCTGATCTTGACAAACCACCTGACCGGCTTGGGGGAATTCTTGCGAGGGAATTGGACCTCGAGAGGCCAGACATTCGCATAGGGGGTTCTCCATCTTCTTCGGCTATGGAATTGAAGCGAGACTGCTGGGGTTGCGTATCGGTGATCATTTTCCGGCTTTGGCTCAGGAGAGAGTTTTCATTCCGAAGAGCTTCTATCTCTTGTTGCATGCGACTCTGAAGCTGATCTCGCTCATTTCGATGCTGCTCCAGCTCCACCCTCATGGCAGTGAGAAGGTCTTCAAAGTTATCTTTCAACTGTCTTTCCTCTGTTAGCCGCCGACGCGTATCTTCTAGAGCAGTTTCGAGTTCCTTTGCTCGAGCAGCTGCATTTGAGGTATCTACTTTCTCCCGTCGGAGCTGTGTAGCAAGTCATTGTTAGCGCAGGATGTTGCAAGGGGTATCTAGACTGGATGCCCATACCTGGTGCACTTGGCCCTCCAATATATGTACGTGAGATTCGGCAACCTGTCGGCGAGATCTCTCCTCCTGAAGTTTTTGGGACAAGTCGACTTTCATCTGGGCTCGCTCCTGTTCATATGATCGCTTCATCTTCTCAATATCTTCTCCTTTAGACATTCCATTCTCACTCGGAGGATATTTAACGGAGCCATAGCCAGAGTCGGAAAAGTAGTCGCTGCCGCGACGATGCCCGTCAGGTATACTCATTTCCGTCTGCAACCGCTCAACTAAGTCCTCCAAATCCATTTCTCTCCGTATCGAGCCTGCCAGTTCGCAACTTATCTCGCGCAGTTCATTTTCGAGGTCTGCTACCTTCGAGCTGATGGCATGCTCTGCTGGCATCGTATGTGCCCGCGAAGGCAACATCTTAGGGGATGGAGCAGCAAACGAGTCCCGCGAAGGGAATCTAGATGATTGTGCAGACGGTTGAGTGGATGCTATCATCGGGGATGGCATCGGAGATAGAATAGAATCCGATATTTCCGTGCTATTTGATTCAGTACCAGGAGACGCGGCGCTCTTCCAGCCGAAGAATGAGGTGATTTTGCTACCGGGAGTTTTAGGAAGCTGTTTGTTGTAGTCGCTAGAACCGGATGACATCTTACGCGAATTGAGGTCGATCCGCAAGGGAGGAGGCCGGCTTGAAGGTAGATGAAGCGCCATGGTCAGTGCTCGTTTCGGTTCCTTCCCTTGTTGTGGAGGTAGATCACGGTGGGTTGTTGGTATTAGCGGCTGGCTAGCAATGCGAGTATGTATAGAGTTCTCGAATGGGGAGACATTGGCAACTCTTGGTTTTGGTATATCTGCGGTCGGAAAGGCTGTGATGGAACCGCGTGGCGTATGTAGAGGACTCTGGCCGTGAGGATACCTGCATATGAGAACAATGAGAACAATGAACGAGTCAGCGAATGTACGGACGGGAATATAATTAGCATGCAGGGTCAAAGGGGAAGGCGACGGAAGCCACTAACTTATCAAGATCCCTCAGGGTGAACTGCTCCTGTTGTAGGCAAGCCGAAGAGGGTATATTGTTTGTGATTGTTGTTCTTGTGGTGGTCCTGGTGGCGGCAGATGGAGAGGAGGTTATGGACGACCGGTGATGAACCGCCGTACGGGTCAGAGGAGCAACATTGGGAGGAAGGGGTTTCCTGCGAATGGGAGATGAAAGAAAGGCAGGACTCCTGGGAGAATGAGGGTGAGGCGCAAAGGAGCCCTTTGGGGACTGGGGGCTTTGGATGGACTGTCTTGACTCGATCGAAGTCGCTACGGTGCTTGATCTCGCGACTGACGAAACAGTGAAGACACCGGGGGAGTCGAGAGAAGGGGTCATCGTCAACCCTGGCAGATCGTGGTCTACCGGATCAGGGGTGAATTGTCGAAATGCCGGGTCATTTGGGGTTATCATGCTAAGGCCAGGGACCAATCGGGAATGATTAGCAAAGCTAACGGCTTAGCGCACGGCGGGAAGGCTTGTGTCAGGGGGATCAGTAGGAGGAAAGTCAGCGGCCATGGATGCGAATCGTGAAGGCCGAGACGTATATCTGGAGGGCTATCGGGAATCCAGCATCACAGCTGAACGATGAAAACTAGAAAGACGAGGGGAAGGGTGGAAGTTCCAGGCTCTACAAGCATTTAGCCGGCAACCATGCCAAACCGCAAGATGAATGGTCATTGACGGGAGGCGAAATGGTGGGAAGGGTCAATGAAATGGGCTTTGTCCATAATAATAGAAGTCAGGGGAAGAATAGCCTTGGTGGAGTGGAGAACTGAGGCCGTCGATGCCAGTGGAGCGAGAATGTTGGACGGCTAGGTTATTTTGGGACGGGGCGGAGGCCAGGAACACCCCCTCCTCGCCAATCAGCTGCGGACCTGTCCCTGCAACGAAAACAGGCCTCAGGCAGTGAACTCCTGTTCCTGCCAATCACCACAAAGCAACCAGCCCGCGAGCCGGGCTGGAGTCGAGCCTGGCAGAAAACGCTGTTGCTCGAGCCGCGGCAGGTTCAAGAAGAACACAGGGTTACTCCGTTCCTCTTCAGCTGCCATCCTGAAGGATGCCAAATCCTCCAGTAACCCTGGGTCTTGTTTGTCTCTGAGCGCATGGCATATTTTCCATTCGACTCACCGGTAGTTACAGAGTGCGTAAGTTTGTTGTCTACCGATGGACGGAGGTGCTGCAGATTGGGAGACCCGAAGACTCGACACCCGCCAGCAGCGAACAGCCAATCAGGGCAAAAGTTACCGTTCCGGAATTACGAGAGTTTCAGGGGCAAAACGCGGTCGCCGGCCATTCAGCAGCCTTTGTTGACGGCGCGAACTGTCACGGTAACTTTCCCAACTGCCTTGACCAAACACGTTCGTCCACACACCGATGATACGGCTTTTGCAACACAGCGCTTAATTCGGCTGACGTCGGCTGACCTTGTCCTCTTTTCAACACCAGCGCCATGCGACACGGAGGAACCCACTAAACATGACATCGCTAGCTGCAGCCCTCCGATGAAGACGCGCATGTATGTATGTATGTATGTATGTACTCCGTACTCCGTACTCTTACTCCGTACATATCTACAGATTACCCCAGAAGGAGGACTCCATGCCCGTATCGATTCGCTATTCTGTTTTATGTACGGATCATTTGCCAGAGTCAAATACTCCGTATATGTTACTTATTTAGCATCGGTACCGTAGGACAATACTCCTCAGTAATGCTCATACCTGGCAAAGACAAAAGCCCGATCCGAACCTCGGAGAAGTAGACTCTTCCCAAAAAATGTAAAATAAAAATAAAAAGTATCGGATGCACGAAGGTTCTAAGTATGTAGATTAGCAAAGGATGTCAATTAGGAGTCGAATGTCGCTGATATACAAGAGAGTCCGGGAATCATGGCAGTTTTAATTAAGATCTCAGTTGTCAAAGGTATATCTCAACCATTCCCCAACAGCTCTCAAGCTTTCCCATCTAACTGATTCGTCCCGGTCGGCCATCAGCTCCATAACCCGAGCCTTAACGCCTAGCTTTTCGAGTTGATGACGACGTTCCGGAACTTCCCGTACCAGACAACCAACATCGTGGCATGCGATTGCCAGCACTTGCTTATCCGTCTCCCAGCTCTTCGACAGGATTTCAGCAAGCTTTTTTGGTAGTTGCCCACGCTCTTCGTCGAGGATGCGGCGGGCGTTTTCACGCCAGAAGGTTGTATTCTTGTGAGGCGGGGACCATCTTAAATGGCCTGACATAACTTCCGCGGCATATGTATCGAAGGTAGTTTGTGTTTTGGTATATTCTTCGAGCATATCAGATAGAGATTGCATAGCCTCAAGAAGATCTTCATCGACATAGTGTCGAGCACCCATGGTAGTCAACAAGGAAGGGAGGCCGACGAACACAGCCACGGGGAGTAGAGATGTCTTGTTGGTGGAAAGGATGTTCAAAAGCGTGTAGACAAGCAGACGAGTGGTTTTCTCTTTCGGAGAAATTCGCAAAAGATGTGCATAAAGAGCGATAATTTCATGATCCCTAGAGGTCCGTTAGAGGTGAAGTTCGAGCACAGATTAAGCCAGGAGAACCCGTACAATTCTAGCTGGTCACCGACCAGCTTACCCTCAAAGCTAAGCTCCCAGATCACGATGAGCACATGATACAGGAGCTGGATCCCTACACCGCCTCCAATCTTCATTTCAGCCGTTCGGGCGCTGCTTCCAGCGAGGGTGGTAGATCCGTTGTCTTTCCCAGACCCTGCAGCAGCGCGCAAAATGTCCATAAGCGGTTCCACAGTAGCCGCCCTGTGGTCCCAAAACAACTCCCTAGATCGTGACGTCCTTAAGAGCTCTGAAAAGCCCTGCACACCAATATCCTGAAGGCCGGTGTCCGCATTTTTGGTTAATGTCGCAAGGTACGAGAAAAGTCGCGGAAGGGCTTCTTCATCCTTCCGCCTGGTTTTCTGGGAGGAAAGCAAGGAGGCGGAGATGAGGTTGATTAAGAAGCACGAGGCTAAAAGTGGGATCGGGTCTTCGGGGGTGGAAGAGTGCTGGAGTAGAGGAAGGAAATGTCGGTAGCTTCCCTGATCTTCGAGCAGTGCTTTCTTGAGAGCCGGAGCATCTAGCATCAGGAAAGAGACTTGGTTAAAATGCAATCATCCCTGGACGATGGTTCTGAAGACAGTCGGTGCTGAATCGGGTTTCGCATACCGTTGATTAGATCCCCGGCAAGCACCAAAACATACTGGATGATGTCGGCGCGCCTGGCGGCAGACTCTAAGATACTCTTCCCGGAGCTTCCACCAGCGAGAAGGTTTGTATAGGCGCTCAAATCCTTTTCAACCGCTTTTTGCCTTTGATCTTTCCTCACTTTATCGACAGCCTTGACCCGCCTGAGTTGCTCTTCGGTGATGCTTCCAGCTCGAACTGCGCCCTCCCATGGAATAGGCCGGGCACGGATATTGTTCTGCAAAGAGTTCAAGTACGTGGGCGAGTCTAAAGACATTATCGACGAAAAGGAATTTAAGAATAATATGGCATGTAGTTGCAGTGCATATGGCCGCGGGGAGGAAGGGGTTGATTATAACCCTTGGATGCAGTTCATCTGACGTCGAAGTGAGCTTCCCTCCATGCAGCTACGGAGTGACATAGACATGGTCGTCGGCTGTGGTTGGCTAAACGACGCTAACTAACTTGTGATGCGGCCTGGGGTGTGCCAAGAATGGGCTTGGCTAACAGGGCAACCCAAGACGGCGCTGAGTTCAAGGTAAAACGAACTCAAATGACCCATTGCTGTCCTTGACAAAGGCTTTAGTATGAACTGACAACTGCCTGTGGTCGATTGTTTACTCTCACGCTCGATAGTTATTTCAAGCCCACTTCTCATGCCGAACCAGACAGTCTCCCTGATTAGGAGTCGGCGCAATATCCAGAAGCGGGAGCCAATTTCCAATTTACCAGCCTGGAAAAGGGCCCCGCGAGTTTCGATGGGACGAATCGACAGAGTAATTCAATGACAGGCTTTGCCACTGTTTAGAGGAGAGAATCTATATTTTCCTGGATAATGTCTACCAATCCACAGTCTACAAAAACTCCAAAATGGTCCGTCGGCTCCTTTCTGCAGCAAGCGGTCGCCGGTGTCGAGTCGCGTTTGGATACTATACTGGCGGAAAATGACGACCATATACCTGCAGATGAAAATAAGAAAGAGAGTACTACAGAGCAGCCCAATGTGTTCACCGGGAAACCTTCCGCAAAAAGTGCCTCAGCTAGTAAGTCAGCGGCTTCTTCTTCTTCTTCTTCTTCTCTTTTTTTTGTCCCAGCATTCCAGTAGCTTACGGTCGTAGCTATTTCAAGAAGCTCCTCTTCTGCTCGGAAGAATGACCGTCTCCAAGAGAGGCTTGCCCGTGCGATGGTGAAGCAAAGCGGATCATCCTCAAACGTTGTCAGCAATCACTCTTCGCCAGGCGTACCTTCCCAGGCTCCCAGCCCACGTCCTTCTACAGAGATTAGGGCGAGTGTAGATAGCCCAAGAAGCATTCTGGAAATTTTGACAAGGGCCGACGATGTATCTACTCTACTCTCGAGCCCTGATGTTGGCAACTCGTCTCGCAGAACATCGGAGGACATACCCGCAGGCTCAGGGAAAGTGTCTGGATCCGAGCCGCGACAATCCATAAGTTCTGATAGAGGTACGACTTTGTTGGATTCAAGTCAGGATGGGTATCATAACAGACTTATCCCGGCAATTGGGGTTTCTGCGCCGCCCAATGAAGAAGAGACAGCGACTGAAGGGGCCTCATCTCGATTACAGGCTGAGCACGACACCGCTGAAGCCCAGTGGCAGGAAGAGATGCACGGTTACATCGAAAAAATTGACGCTTTACAAGCTAAACTAAAGTATTTGGCCAAGGAGGCGGCCGAATCGGCGAAGAACGCGGCTGCCACTGCAACTCCGGGAAGTTTAGAGAAGAAGTTGTTTGAGAAGGACGAGCGTATAGCTGCCTTGATGGAAGAAGGGCAAAAGCTGTCAAAAACGGAACTGCAGCACCGCGCGACCATCAAGAAGCTCCGGCAGTATATTGCAGAAAGCACAAAGTCGCAGACAGACGCCAAAAGGCGAATAGAAAACATAGAGAAAGACCTTTCAAAGGCAGAGGATAGAGCTCAACGCTTTGAACAAGCAGAGAAACGGGCTTTGTCGAAATTGAATGCTCAGGCGAAAACCGAGAAAGACTTGGGGAACGTTACTACGGAACGAGATAACTTGAGAGCAGAAGTGGCGGATCTAAATTCCCGGCTGAACAAAGCAGTCGCCAGAGCCGAAGCAGCTGAGCGAAGAGCACAAATGGGCTCATCGGAAGCTGAAAGCCGACGGGTGGCAGAACTCAAGGATGACCTTGCTAGCGCCAAAATTGAGCGCGAAATAAGCGAAGAGAAATTGCGGAGAGAGATTCGAGATCTAAAAGAAATTCTTGAAAGGGAAAGAGAGCGTAGCCGAGTACAAGAGATGGAGCTTCGGGGAGAATTATCGGTGTTGGAAGGTAAAATGGAAACTTTGCGGGCTAGGGCAGAGGAGGTATCCTCCAGTGCCACGGGCGACGCTCAAGCAAAGCTTCTGCGGCAAATCGAACGATTACAAACGCAGTACGCAGTTGCGAGAGAAAACTGGAATGGTATTGAGAGCTCGCTGATATCTCGTTTGGCAAATGTTGAAAACGAAAGGGACGAATTCGCACGAAGGGAAGGTGACTTGCGACGGAAGGTCAGAGAAGCGGTAAGCTGTGCTACGTGGAGCGAAAGTGAGAGGAAAATTGCTAATATTAACGATGGTGCAGAACCTGAAATCTAAGCGTATTGAAACCGAAGTCGAGAACTCCCACGAAGCTTTCCAGGAAATGGAAAGAGACCTAGAAGAAAGTAGACGAGAAGTAAAGAAGTTATCACAAAGGCTCCTTAAGGCAGAGGCCGACCTTCTTGAAGCGAAGCAAACATTCGAAACTGAAAGAGAGCGCCAGGATGCTGCATGGTCTCAACGCCTCGAAGAGGAGAAGTCGAAATGGCATGAGCAGCTATCATCCTCGCCACCATACCTTCACCCACATAGCGAATCACCTATGACAGCAAACCGGAAGTCTGAAACTCTTGCAACCATGCCTGACCGGCCTTCAAGCCGCCGATCGCCAGTGCTCCCCCTTTTCCCTCCAGGACTAAATACCCCACCCAGACAAAGTTCATATTCATCACTAAATTCAAGTCTCTGCCTTCGGCATCTTCCCCATGACAATTCCTCGGCGTCGTTGGAGATTTCTTCCGTGCAGGTGTTAGAGCCAGAGGAGTATTTCACAGGAGCTATAAGCCCTGTAACCCCATCAGCTCCGGAAACCCATCAGTCCAAGGGGATAAATGATATAGTCTCTGCTTCTACGGTTGCTGCTGGTCCCTCGGTTCAACTTGTTGAAAGGATGAGTGCTACGGTCCGCCGTTTGGAAAATGAACGAGCCGCATTTAAGGATGAGCTAGTTTGCATAACAAATCAAAGAGATGAAGCCAGACAGGAAGTCGTTGCATTGATGAAAGAAGTGGAAGAAAAAAGAACTTGCGATAAGCGAATACAAGATTTAGAGGCAGCCGTTAGGGACTTAGATGAAAGATACCAGACTACACTCGAAATGCTTGGTGAGAAGAGCGAGCTCGTCGAGGAACAGAAGGCAGATATCCAAGATTTAAAGAAGATATACCGGGAGCTTGTGGAGAGTACAATGAAATGACCAGCAGTATATATATTCGACAAGTTCAACCCAAGACCCAACTCTATGGGTAATATTATTGTATTTTCTGTTCCATGAGGGGTTTGCTGATCATTTGAAGGTATTAAAACAAAATTAGAGGCATTAAATTCATCATGGCAACTCAATTCCTTCCCGCTCAGCGGCTTGTAGGATATACTTCCGAACCTAGAGTGATAGGAATAAATGAGGAATAAATTCTGCGAGTTTAAGTATAATTATGCGTACCTTGATATCAGGAGCCAAATCAATGGCCAACCTCCCTTCATTGTCCCTTTTGTCTACTTCCGCACCGGCGCGCAAGAGTACTAATGCGGCCTCCCCATGACCTTCTGAAATTGCGTGATGCAATGCAGTTAACCCATCCACGTCAGTAGCATTCAGTGGACTTCTCCCTTCTCGCAATAAGATATTGAGTATTGGAACTGAGCCGATTGCCGCGGCACGGTGGAGAGCAAGTTGGCCTCGATTATCGCGGACTCTGGCACTGCATTCATTAGAGATGAGAGTACGAACAATGTCCGTGTTGCTCTTGGAGGCTGCAAAATGAATTGCGTTCTATGTAGACAATTTAGTATTCAAAGCAGAAACGATGAGGATTAGACGCTCTGGTGGCACGGTAGGGCGAGATACCTGGCCTGTGGTGCTTTTTAGATTGACGTCTGCACCCTTTTGTAGAAGGAGCTCTATCATGGGCCGGCCTTCATTGTCCTTCAGACTAGCCGCGATCATGAGAGGGGTCCATCCCGAAGAGTCCTAAATCGCCGACAACTGAGATTAGTTTTTGGCCATGACATATGCATAGTATTCTAAATTCCAACGGGAATATATAAGCTCCACGAACGGTAACATCTGGATCAAATTTTTTCTGAGAAGCTAACAGTCGAGCTATGGGCAATTGATTGTAAGCTGCAGCCCAGTGAATGGGCAAGCGGTCATCGCCATCTCTCAGGACAGCAAGCTTTGGGTTGGCCTGAACGACGAAGTATATTAACAATACTGGCCTAGCAAATAGTTTGCATTTGATATCCAAGAGCTCCGGTGCCACCTACGTTGAGCAGAGACTCAACTTCAGAAGCTAATAGTTTGGCTGGTCAGAGTGATTGAACTTGCGGAGAGGAGAGAGGGAACTATATACTCTTCCCTTCACGAGTAGCCTCGTGTATAGCAAATTTGGCATGATAATCAGGATCCATTAGTTGGGCAATTAATTCCGCAAGTAGTAAATTAAAGAGTCATCAACTTCTAGTCTCGTCATGTCAGCCATGCGAAATGCCCGCGGAGACGGGTATCAGGCGACTTTGAGTTGGCTATGAGAGCTTGGTTCTGTCTTGGCGTTGAAAGACCGGCTGTCGGGCCGTCTTGACAGGACTTTGAGCTTGCAGTTTCATCTTCCTCCAGTCTTCTCGCCATTCGGAACATTTGAGAAGTACATATTGCAGATGAGCCAGGAGAAGGCATAAAATTCAAAGCTTTTGTTTATTCTTTCCCCCAAATCGGATTTTCTCCGCGCCAACGCGTTTTGCGCGGAGCAATTCTCAATAGTCAAATATCACAGAGGGCGGATTGCGCTTTGCGACCATGGACGTTGCCCAGAGCTCACCAACCTCCGATCAAGCTGTTCGAACCTCCGTAAAGCGAACATTAGACCTTTTCGGTTCTGATTACCTCCTATCTAATTCATCGACCTCCACCAGCGGTGATTCTATTGGCGTGTCATACCGTCGAAAAGCAGAGTACAGTGATTTACAGGCACTTCCTCCATCGTTAGCGGAGAAGCAAGCAAAGGCGTCGGCCGCCGGTCGAGCAAAGCGCCCAAAAAACAGAGCGGAAGGAGGTACAGCGACCTCGACGGCACTCGTGAAAAGTTCGTCCTCAAGCGGGGTCCAAAATAATGCAGACGGAGCTCCTAGAAGCCTGGTGCGACGGCCAGCAGTGTCTCAACAACCTAAACCGGAATGGCATGCTCCATGGAAGCTGATGCGCGTGATATCCGGGCATCTTGGATGGGTTCGAAGTTTAGCCGTGGAGCCGAATAATGAGTGGTTTGCCAGCGGCGCCGGAGACAGAACGATTAAAATTTGGGATTTGGCTACAGGTGCTCTCCGACTTACTTTGACGGGTCATATTTCCACCGTTAGAGGCCTGGCAGTGTCTCCACGACATCCCTACCTATTTTCATGTGGCGAAGATAAGATGGTGAAATGCTGGGACCTAGAAACGAACAAAGTTATTCGCCATTATCATGGCCATCTAAGTGGCGTATATACTCTCTCTTTACACCCTACCTTGGACGTGCTAGTTACAGGTGGCAGAGATGGTGTTGCTCGAGTATGGGATATGCGAACTCGGAGCAATATCCATGTCCTCAGCGGCCACAAGGGGACTGTCTCGGACGTGAAGTGCCAAGAGGCAGATCCACAGGTCATATCCGCTTCCCTGGACGCCACTGTCCGGTTGTGGGATCTTGCTGCAGGCAAAACAATGGGCGTTTTGACTCACCACAAGAAAGGTGTCCGGGCTTTAGCTATCCATCCAAAAGAGTTCACCTTTGCAAGCGCTAGTGCGGGAAGTATCAAACAATGGAAATGTCCAGAGGGTGCGTTTATGCAGAACTTTGAAGGCCACAATGCCATTATCAATACTCTCTCCGTCAACGAGGACAACGTTCTATTTTCCGGTGGTGATAATGGGTCAATTTCTTTCTGGGATTGGAAATCAGGACATCGTTTTCAAACATTAGAGACTACGGCACAACCAGGCTCCTTGGAGGCTGAAGCTGGAGTCATGTCTTCGACGTTTGATCGTACAGGCTTGAGATTGATATGTGGCGAGGCTGATAAGACGATCAAGGTGTGGAAGCCTGATGATGAAGCTACCCCTGAAACGCACCCACTGGATTGGAAACCTACGCTAGGAAGACAGCGGTATTAATTGGGGAGCTATTTGCTGCAAATGGTCCGCCTTGGTGTATTCTTGCATTTCATGGCGTTTATCCTGTTCTTAACTTCGCTTGAATGCTTGTAATTGGGCCTGGGAGAACTTCAGTTGGTTACAAAATTATATCTAGATCTGTATCTGTTCCTCATTACATGACCAGGCGTTCACGGTCGGCCACATGACGGCGTGCCCGTGTATACATAATCATACCATGCCTCTAACATTCATATCCGATTCCTAACATCTTTGCTTCGGCATCATCCCTAAATGCCGCCTTGACGTCCTCGGGTGCGATCCTCAACCGCACCTTTCCACTTCGGTTTCCTTTACCCAACGCATAACCCATTCCATACCCATTTTTAATCCCTAACTCCCCCTCCAATGCTAAAATCCCCGTATTCATTAACTCAACCGCTGCAAATCCCATCGCATGAACGCGCGACTGGGATAATATATATTCTTTTAATACCGCACTAGCCGCACCGGTCACTGCTATTGCACCATCAGATATGCGTTTTGTTTCATCAAGGATATCACCAAGAGCCGATTCGGTAATTCCCGTGCGTCGGACACGTGCGAGGAGGCCGGAAAGAAAGACTTTGGCCGCGAGAGGGAGGCAGCGGAGAGATTGTTGGAGAGGAGTGGATGTCGCTTCCTGGATGGCTTGCTTGATTGTTGCAATTGTGACGCGAGGTAAAGTGACTGGCTGCTGAGCTGATTTAGGCTCATTGTTTTGTGGCTTTAAAAGAGGCTCCTTGATATTGTTTCGGCCGCGACAGCCGCTAGTCTTGCTTGGTGTGGGTGGCAGATCTCCATCTGCATCTAAAGAATGACTGTTGTTCTTCATTTGGAGAGCTTCGCTAGCTTGTTCTGCAATCTCTACTGCACGCCGACAAATGTCGAGTGCGCGACGTGCATCTCCACTAACAGCTGCAACCTTCCGGCTAGCGAATTGTATCGCATCAGAATCCACAATATTTCCCGGAACGTTTTCGAGACGTGAGCCTATAATCTCCATTAACTCCTGATGTTTATATCCCGAAAATGTAATCCGAGTCAAGCCAAGACGACTCGATATTTTGTTGCTGAGAGTTCTTTCTGGGAGGTCCATGGTATTCGCTACGGCTAGAACCACGAGGTGGGAATGTCGTAGAGCCGGCCAGTTAAAGAAATTGTACATGACAGACTGATTTTTTGTAACAAGCTGATCCAGCTCATCCATCAGGACAACACAGGGTACCCGACGCGGGGATGGCCGGGAAAACTCCCGTTCAAGAAGGCCAAGGGCATGAGAGGGTGATACACGATCCCCTTTGAGAGCCTCCCATAGTAGGGAGTAAGACTGGTGCGGATCTGTGACCTTCATCCCGTTTATTTCAACAAAAATGAAATCATCCATCTCTTCGGACATCACTGCTGCATTTAGATGTGCGATGACGTCCCGAACTGTCGCAGTTTTCCCGGTTCCAGGAGGCCCAGAGATATAGATACAAGTTCCAGTACCTTCGGTAATAGCAACACGAAGGCTATCATATACAGTGCAGAACTCTGCATCTCGACAGGGAAGGGAATTAGGAACCGTGGAAACATGGAGAAGATTTCGGGCTTGCCTGTAAGGGGTGGAGAAATATGATGGCGAGAGAATACGTGTTCCAAGGGGCGTGAATTCAAGGGGCTTTTTCACTAAGATCCTGTAATCGCAGTTATTAATCCAGCTCTGTCAAAATTGTTTAGGGGAGCGTTGAAATATTGGCATACCTTTTTTGGGTAGGGGTCATGAGAACCTTTTTGCGTTCTGAGTGGGGAGTCCCTGCTACGGATGTGGTTTTCTGCTTCTTTCTTGGTGTTGTTGGAGTGGCAGCCTTTGCCTATAGCCATATCAATCAACATCCATTTGAATCGTCTCCAATTAAATTGTATCTATGACTTACTTCATGGTCGTCCGCTTTTCGCTTTCGTGACCGCTTTAAACCAGCCTTGATAATCTCGATGAGCTCAAAAATGCCGTCCTCGCTCTCTCTATAAATGTCCTCCCAGATAAACTCTTCCGTATATCTTCCTTGAAGCTGATTGACGCCTCTCCGACAAATGATACACTTGTTATATTCGGCCAAAGCAGACCGGCCCTTTGGGGGTTTACCGTCTGGATATTTGGCATAAAACGCATCCTTAGAAAGCACCTTCGCTTTCCCATTGATCGAAGTTAAGGGGTTTACGTTAAAATCAACGGTAATATACTGCTCATTTGGAAGAGCATCGGATCTCTTCTTCTTTCTCGTAGATAGAAACTCATCTGGCGATGCAAACCACATGATATTTGCAGCTTTCAGTGGACATGTCTGGTCGATGGAGCGTCCATTTTCCTCTGCTTCTTCCTCAAGGAACTCACAGATAATTCCGGCCCAATCCTTGCCCGCTTCGGGGGATTTGAGAAGAACGGTTTGACCCAATCTGCATTCGAAAGAGCCCATTCGCGCTCCTATGATCTTTCTCGGAGCCTGGGCAGGTGCTGAGTTTGACTGTTTGCCTTTCTTCTTTCTCGTCGCATCCTCCTGATGCTGCTCCAAGCCACTAACCGGGAAACTGCAGTCATAAATCCATTCCCAGGGAAGATCTTCACATCCAAGCTCGTCATCAGAATCCTCATGATGAATGCCTCCTTTTGTGAGCCACAGCTTGGCCAATTCCTGCGCTTTCTGTTGAGGGTCCTTTGGTGGCATGGCGTTGAATTGTGGAAACGAATATCACAAGAGCATAATCATCATCGTTCAATCCATCAAACGCATTTTCGTTCAATTCGGTCGAGAAAAGCAAAGTCTCAGTTACGCGAAACCTCGACGCGTCGAGAACGCGAGATTGAGTTTCCAGTATTTCGATTAATCTGTTTGCAGTTTAGCGTGGATTAATGATCCGCTAGTCCTATTAAGGGCTAGTCATAGAATGCATGCTGTGAGCTTTGCGAGAAAAACAAAGGCCCGCTAGAGCACATCCTTGCTCAGTGCGCAAACGACCACGAAAGAACGGCGGTGGTGTGCTGTTCCTGGAGGAGTCCGGTCGCCCGCCTACGACTTCAACAACTATAGTGCTTATCACTTTAATCCAGCTGAGCATTAACCGATTGCGGTCCCTTATGACATTGATCTTATCACACGGCGATTGACTCCGGTCAGCCTCTCCGCCGCCTTCTGATAGTGACACTCACAGGCAGCCCTCCACCGATTAATCCGTCTTTGTCCCCAATCCCCTGGCTACTATTTTCTCTCAATCTTCATCAGCATGTCTTTATTTGGCGCTCAGAAACCTAGTCCGTTTGGGTCTGGTTTAACAACAGGCCAATCCCAGCAGGGTGGAGGTCTTTTTGGTGGCTCACAACAACAGCAGCAGCAAAGCACCTCGCCGTTTGGAACATTGGGAGTGCAGTCAAAACCCGGCGGCCTGTTTGGTGGTGTAGGCCAGCAACAAAGCAGCAGTCCTTTCTCTGCATTTGGTTCCGGCACGCAGCAGCCCCAACAACAAGCTGGCGGTCTCTTCTCTGGGCTCGGAAGTTCAACCCAGCAACAGCCCCAGCAGCAAACGCAGCAAACTGGTAGTCTTTTTACTGGGCTAGGCAGTTCTACCCAGCAACAACCACAACAACAAACCGGTAGTCTTTTTGGAGTTGTAGGCTCCCAACCTCAGCAGCAACCATCGCAGGGTGGAGGTGGCCTCTTCTCTGCCTTTGGCTCGACTTCTCAACAACCGCCACAACAGGCTGGTAGCCTATTTTCAGGTCTTGGTCAGAAGCAACCGCCGTTTGGGTCAACACTTGGTGGCGTTGGGCAACCGCAAGCACAATCTCAATTGGGTCAGACGCTAGGACAATCTCAGGCTCCTGGTTCGACCATATGGACACCCGGCCAAGGGATGACTGGTGGTAAGTTATACGTCATTTCCGGAAGTTGACACCAATGCTAAGAGCCACCCAAGTCCATCGAACTGTTCCGATGCAAATGATGATCGTCAAAGATAAATGGGACCCAATACACCGAGCCTCTCCATTTCGTTCCTACCTGTACAATTATGCGAGCGACGAGACTGCGCCGTTCTTCCAACCAGGTCCAATCGATGATGAGAATAAATGGGAAGACGCTCTGCGGAAGCGTCCTGGGCCCGCGTACGTCCCAGTTCTCGTAAGGGGCTTTTGGGAACTTGGGAAACGGGCCCAGCGACAACGAGACTTTTTGACCATGATACAAACAAGGCTACATGAAATCAACAATGCCCTTACCGAACTACTATCCCGTCATGACCTTACGATTTCAGTCAGGATCGCTGCATGTAGGAGGAAACATCAAGTGTTGAGCCAAAGATGTCTCGCGTTGGCCTCAAAAACGCAGTTGCTTAGGAATCGTGGATATGCCATGGATGAAGCGGAAGAAGAGCTGTCAAAGAAACTGCTCCAGCTTGAACGCTCTATGTTTGATCCAACTCTAAATGGGAGATCCGAAGAAATTTGGGCGAGGATGCTTGCAATCAGAGAAAATACAAAACGTCTACAAATGGAGATTGAACGAACAGGCAAGGGAGCGGCACAACAAGAAGATGACACTTTGAGCGATGCGCAGCTGAAGGCGGCCAAAAAGGTATGACATTGCTTCGCAGGCATTTACCTTGTCAAGTCAATCTTGCTAACCGTGTATAGATTTTGGATGATTATGCGTCACAAATACAACACCTAAATAAAGAACTTGCCGCGATTCAGAAAGATTATGAGGACCTGGAGAAATCTAGCATATCTTAAAGAGATATCCACTCTAACGTTTCCGTCCATCTTGACGTTTTCTTCTCTTCACCTGGACTGTTTACGGATTAATTTGTAACCTCTTTGACCGTGGCGTTGGTGAGAGCGTGAGCGGCTATCGGGTTTATATTTTTTGGGATTTCCCGCCTAGAATCAAAAGCAAGATATTCCAGTACTGCTGGCCAGCTATTTATTGTACATGTGTAATGATGAGACCTGATACACCGAGTTTGCCTTCCCTTAACCAAATCAAATAAAGATCTAAAGTCAAATAGGCTTATCCTATCCTCGAACAATCAAACCGTAATGCATAAGCATGGAGGTTAATGTGCCTGTGCCTAAACGTGCTCCCTGAGATAGTAATGGTATGTATAAAGAGGTTTCGGGAGTGGGCGGTATGCTTCGTAGCTCATAGCTGGCGGTAAATTAAAACAATTTACGGACCAAATCAATGGCGAAAGGAGCTAGGAAAGAACGATAGCAGATCAGCAGCAGCCCTCATGATGAAGTGCAAATTTTTCTAACATACAGAGATATAAAAGGATGCTTCCGGCAACAACCATGTTGACAGTTTGGCGGGCTTCAACTTCCCCGGCCTGCAGGAATAATTGTCAGTCCTGGAAAGTTGCATGCCTCTTTGGTATTGCGATGTTCTGAAGGACCTCATGAGCGAACAAAGTGCTGGCTGACCTTGATCTCTTCCTTGGAGAGCTGCTCTTGACCTTGGCCAATATTAGAACTCCTCTATACTTTGGACAATGTTCCGAAAGTGATTTGAAGGCTTACCTGGCATAAACATCTTGTTAAGATCAGAATAGGGATCCACTCAATGAATAAAGAGCTTGCTAAAATATTTTTAAGTAAGATGTATAATCAGGGTTTGGAGAAGTTGTTGTTTAAGGCCGATGTTGCTGCTGTCATCATAACTTTTTCAGAGGCCCAAAATTTAAAGTTTTGATGCAAACACCAACCAATCCGGTCAAAGAGGAAGCAGATGAAGGTCGCCTTCGAGAACCTCACTGTAGCACCACATTCAGTTCCAGTGGGTTTTCTGTTCAGTCTCCAATTTATATTCACTTTTCTTCCCCCTCTTATTCCTTTGCTCTTCATTTAAAACAACAATACCCTTTCTTAACGCTACCACAACAGCTTTCCTGTTTCACCTGTCCTGTTATCACACTCACCTCCCCGGAGCCTTCTTCATATTGGTTTCTAAGCAAGCCTATTATCAAAATGTCGGCCTCGCCAGAGCCTCGAACTGATTCCCCACCAGTCGATTCCACTATTGACAACGAAGAAACCGTGGCGAACGACCCGGTCCCCACAGATCCTCTTGCCGCCGCGGATCTCTCTGATGATGAATCCGTTCTCTCTGATGTTGATGAAGCGCAGTTTGAAGGTTTTGACCCGGCGAACGTCGCCATCGATGATCGTCCAGCTCTCGCGATCGATGAGGAGAATCTCAAGTTAATCGGTCGCCATAAGCGCAGAAGAACCGAAGAGGAGGACGAGGCGCAGCGCAAGAAGAAAAAGAAGGAATCCAAGCGTGAGAAGAAGAGTCGTAGGAAGCAACGGGATAGCGATGATGCATTCAGCGAAGGCGAAACGGTGGAAGGCAGACGGTCAAGGAAGCGCAAAGAAGGCAGGGAGAGAAGCAGCAAGGTCGTCGATGAAGTGAATGAGGAGGAGTTGGACCCAGCTACACGTATGATCTATTACGGCTACCCGATTTATCGCATTTGTGACTAATTTGTGGTTTCAGGACGTCGTCGTGCCTTGGATCGGATGATGGACGAGGCGTTGAAAAAGCCTACTAAACGACGTGTGAGAAAAGCAGATGGAATCGTATGTGATTGTTTTATCTACATCTACGGACGTCATGCTTATGAATCAACATAGGATCTTGCGGATCAAGCCGATGCAGAGATTGAGGATGTCCGTCGCAGGATGACCGATGCAGCCAGACTTGACAGCATTGCCCGCAGAGAGAACCGTCCCGCCCAGCACAAATTGAAAATGCTTCCCGAGGTAGTCTCGCTGCTAAACCGCAATCAGTATGTGAATAGCTTGGTGGATCCGGAAATCAACCTTCTCGAGGCTGTCAAGTTCTTCCTGGAGCCTTTGGACGATGGCTCGTTGCCTGCTTACGACATTCAGCGAGAGCTTTTCGCCGCGTTATCGAGACTTCCAATCACCAAAGACGCATTAATTGCCAGTGGTATTGGCAAGGTTATCGTGTTCTACACCAAAAGTAAGCGACCACAAACCACAATCAAGCGGCAGGCAGAACGGCTTCTAGCAGAATGGACGCGCCCTATCTTGCAGAAGAGCGATGACTACTCCAAGAGAGTCTATGAAGAAGTTGACTTTGATCCACGGCATGTACCATATTTGCAATTTCCAGTTGTCCTACATTTCTCGTGTTGTAAATCTAACGCTCTTGTTTTCACAGTCAACTTGCCGTTCGCCATCGACAAGTATCCGCCCAAGCCACTGCTGCCGAAGCTCGTGCCAGAGAGCTACTTCCTCCTCGTCTAGCGAGCCGTGCCCGCGCCCAAGGTGGACATACGACATATACAGTTGTGCCTCGCTCCACCCTGGTGCAGGAAAGCAAATTTGCTCGCCCATTGGGTGCTAGCGGCGAGGATCGCTTCAGGCGTATGAAAGCTAGACAGATTGCAGCGACGAAAGCCTCGAAAAGATGAAATTTAAACATCATTAACCAAAATCGTGATGACCACGCTAGGCCCCGTTGGCTTTTATCACTGGATGATGACTACCTTATTTTCTTGCATGCCGGAGGACGAGGTGATTTGCGGAGTCGACAACTTATTAACTAATAACTTCCCCTACCCCATTATTCATACTGCCTCTTTATCCGCTTTGTTGTTTTGCTTTGGTTCTGTAACGATACGTGATTTTCATCCCCTTGAAGCTTTTCTTGTTCTCGATGGCGTCCCGGGAGGTGGATTAGGCTAGGGAGCAAATGGCGGCGTGGGTTACAGCGAAGGTAACTAGTATCAACAATAAACCCAAATTATCTGTTATGAATTACTGGCGGCCCTCCAGTCTCAAGGCTACCTGCGCTGGGGAGACAAAACCGAGAATGCTTGCAATTGAGCAGGGCGTTGAAGGCGTGCATTCAGTTCTACGAATGCCTCCTGGCTTCAGTGCTATCAAGCGCGCACCCTTGCACTCCACTGGTACATAATATACGCCGCACGGGCGGTTTTCCTTTGCTGAGTGGCAATTATGACATATGCATATATATATTAATTACATGGAAGTGAAAGGGTTGGGGAATATCGGGCCTGGACTCGACAGGGGGCCTAATTATCGAGTACAGAAGAGTCAGCTTGGGAAAAGACCGTAATTTGTGGCTATATGGCTCTCTAGTTTGGCCCTGGCTTTGCTCGTCACATCGCTGGATGAGGAGTGAAGCCGCATGGCTCATACGAGCGGAGGATTCCGATAGGTAACGTATAAGTGGAAATTGGGGTCTATCATAGTTGGCCTAACGACAAAATTTGCAAATCAAGGCTTGTTAATATGGATTACTTTATTTCTGCAAAGAGGTCATTATCAGTGGACACCTATACCCAAGGTATAATGACCGGAGCTGAAACCGTGAAAGCCAATGACTAGCCCTTCACCTCTACCATTTCAAGGAAAGCGCTCGTTCTCAAGGACATGACGATAGGAGTCCGCGGTAGGTATACTCTGCGGAACATTCTGTTTAGCGATGATAATTACCCCGGTGCTGCGGAAGATCTCTGTCGGACAGGAACCCAGAGTCTCCAGCTGCAAAGAGGCATGTGTACATTAGCTGCATCGCAGCCTTCTGCACGACAACATTTTTGCAAAATAATAGTACTGTTATGAGGAGGGCTCGCGGGCAAACACCATACGCATCGAACCGTAACAGTCATGGGGAAGCAATGTGACGGCCAGCCATCTTCCCCCTCTAACCGGATGGTGCGGGCCAGAAGAGCAAAGAGGAATGCGTCTGACACCCTGTCATACGTAAACTGCTCCGGAGGTGCTCTATCACCACAGAACCGTCCTTTCACTCTCATATCCGATCGGTCGCTCTTCGGCCTCAATTCCGCACACTTCCTTTCATACTGTCCATTCCAAGGAACGGGATACGATTTCCTGAACTCGGGAAAGAATATCTTTTCCGTGGTGTCCTCCGCCGGCAAACAACTCAGCCAGAAACATGGCTAGTCGTGATACCCACAGTAGTAGGGAGTACTCGCGTGGCGGAATTGGCTCCGAGAAACCACGAAGGCCACGATTATCGATCCCAAGCATACCCCGCCGGGCTTCCAAACACGAGGAAAAGACTTGCCTCCTTTTTTTAAGTTGATAATTTGTCCGCTGCGGAGCAAGCAGCTCTGATTCACAGGGGCCAACTACATGCATATTTCTTAGCCAGTTGATGGGCTAGCGGGCAGAAATTGGCACAGTATTGTTGTAATCAGCCCTGCCAGAGCTACTCCGTAGATTGCAGCTGATAACAACTTGGCTGGCCCCTTGAGACGGCGAACAAGTCGAATCGCTGGTTGTTCATTTAAGGTTCAGATCGGCAACCAGCCAAGCTGCTATAAGTTAACGAGTGAATGCTCATGGAGAACCAAAATAACATGCAAAGTGACGGCAAAACCCAACTCGCAAACACCTTTGTTAGCCAAAGCTTAAGGTGATTACTCGAGGCTCGTGTACCAGGGCCTATAGGTACGAGGCAATTTTCTCTGGAGCGTATCTGCCGAATAACGAGCGGGGTATTTTTGATCATCGCTCACCCAAGATGTTACTCATGTATCTTGGAGAACCCCAACGTTGACGCCTCCGGAGTGCGGAGTAGGCGGGTTTTCTTTGTAGATCCGGGGAGGGGGAGTAACTCGGTGGATACCTAGCCACGAGGAACAGTATGTAGCTCATGGTAATCACACTTGGGTGTATGAATGTAGAGTAGCAGAACACAAGGTAGGCTTGCAGATAATATCTTTCGCTCCCCTTGCCCATCGTCCGATGGATGTTGCAGTTCTATATGTAGTGTTGGTTATCCCATACATCTGGAGCAGCAGAATAGCCCGGTTATTGGCATCCAGCACACCGAAATCACCCTTCCAACTACTCGGTTATTTAAATAGAAGTATGCCACTACATGTTAAACTTCAGGTTAGAATTAAGGCCATTGATACTCTGTAGAAACTACTAATATTGAACAGCACAAATGAAGTATAAGGAACACCATATTCTGCTTGAAGCATGAGATATAACTAGTAGCAACTCAGGAAAGCATATCTGCTTGCTTGATTCAAAAAGCCGAAGGGCAATTCGTCCTATTCCACTGGAACACTGATTCACTGCCTGGAGGCTTATCTTGCGGATTTAGGCAAGAGTTATTCACCGGATCCTGATCACAAACGATATCTGAAGTTCCTATTCTCTTTATCCGTCATATCTTCAAATCCTTCAAGAGCTTCCTCCGCCTCATCCGTACATTGTCCTAAGCGATCTCGGCTCTTGTTGTCAAAATAGCATAATGTCGTGTAGAAAACTTGCAGGACTATCCCGGCCCCGTAAGTAGCCAATAACCCCTTGATTGCAGACATGTATCGCGGCGCCTCATGAGCAATAAACAGGTGAGGCCCTGCTATATTTCCCGCGCAATAACAAGCGAAATATAGCCCCATTACGGTAGAGCGCTTGGTATGGCCTGACACATTTAAAGATGGCAGCGTCCAAGTTAGAACGATGGGGGACCCGACGACAGTCTGTAGCGATGCACACGCCACGAGCGAGTAACGGTTTTCGAGTGGGATGGTTAAAATACCGATCAGCCCTGCTACTCCAGGAAGACACGAAAGCAAGACCGTTACACCGACCATATTTCGGATGGTAGAAATGTAGCCAAACACGATACCCAGAATTATCTGAGTACCGCCGGAAGGGGTCTGGAGTAAACTGGCTTGCAGGCCAGAGAACCCAAACCCTTTGATTAACGCGCTCAGAAAGTTGCTTACTCCGCCATTCAGAATCCCGTAGCATACTCCCATGAGCAAAACTAGATAGGATTTCGGGTCGAGTAAAGCTTCTTTGAGTTGATATGGGCGGAACTTTGCATTCTGAATTCCAGTTTTATTGCGCCGGATACGCCACACTGCGACGACCCGTTCATACTCAGTGAGCATTTTTGCGTTATGGGGCCCATCTGGCATAAAAAGTACTAGCACGATTCCCCAAGCGACTGTCATTGCGCCAACGACCTAAAACTTCGGTTAGGTACTCTCTAATTTAAAAGGGTCGTTCCAAAAAACATACAAGATAGATAAGCTTCCAGTTGGGAACGGAGAGATTATCAACATGTCCTAGGCCATAGCTGAGGAGGGCACCGATGATAGATGCCATGCCGTTGGTAGAAAGCCAGAATGATGTCCTTAGAGGTTGCTCCTCACGAGTCCATAGGGTAGCAGAGAGCAAAAGCCAAGCCGGAGACACACAAGCCTCCACGGCGCCGAGGAAGAATCGCACAGCGAAAAAACCTGCGAAGTTGAAAACTGCAGCTTGAAGCATACAAATTCCTCCCCAGACGAAGAGCATGTAGCCCACGAACTTCCCAACTGGCACTCGTTGAAGAATGAGGTTAGACGGGTATGAGCCCACAAACCAGCCAAAATACAGGGCTGAAGCAACCCAAGAGTACTCATCACCGCTCATATGAGTATCCTCTTGGAGGCCATAAGCATTGGAGTAGTTAAGACTCGAGGATGGTTAGATGCTGGACTTTCATTTTGAGGAGATAGCTTACGTCATTTTATCCAAAAAGCTCAACATATAGGTGGTCATCATCATTGGAAGCACGAGCAAATCCAATTTCCATCGGACTCTCCCAACATCTCTTGCGAGTTGCTCCTGGTCGTATTGTAGAGACTGCTGGAAGAGACCCAACCCAATATCTGTGTGAACCGTAGAGTCCTTTTTTCCGTAGTCAATGGCGGCGCTGAACACCTTGCTGAGGCCGCCACTCTTTTCTGTCTCTGTGGCTACATTATTGCTCTCGAATACCGTTTCATGCCCCTGTATACAAGGATTCTCCTCCGTGAATTTCTCCTCATCTACCATGTTGAAGTGAGGTATATGAAAGGAGAGCTGTTGCCAATTCAATCAAGTATATGGGTATAAGATGGGTTTTCCGATGACGGCCTTCCATGAAGAAGTGCCAACCCAGAATGTGGCGATAGGAGGATATAAATCATCAAGAGAATTAAACATTGTCCAGTGCAGGACTGACGATCTTTGCTGGTGTCGCCATAGTTGGCCAAAGCTGCATGGGCTGAAGATAGAACATGATCAGAGTGGCCTTCGGCCGATAAGGAGAAAAGGGAAAGTTGCTGCGGAAACTTTCCGCAGGAGGTACGGTGAGGATTTTATTCATTTTTGTGAAAGTCATAAAGTCGATTGTATCAAGTCCTCTTAGGGTATTATGCTTGATCTTGCTCGTTAGGGCAAAGAGTGTCAGGCATAGGTCGAGAACTGTTGGATTAAACTGTTAGTTACCCCAGGCCAAGCAGACGGGATAAGCACTGGGGAACGTGCTCTCCACATGGGGCAAATCCCTAGCTTGTTGGTTAACGTACTCCGTAGCTAAGTTAACTAGTAACCTTGACCAGAAAACGGGCTAGACCCAATCGACGTGTTTGTCATGCCGCTTTGAGACCTAGCTCATGTAATCTGATAGTAATGTGGATCCGAGACTTACCAGGCTTGAGACAAGATGTCGCTCTCGGCTCTAACGGAGAAGCGGATGCAATTCATTGGGAGATAAAGCCGACAAAGGCCTTTCGACATCCGTCGAGCGATTGTCAACCTGGCAAAAGCGTGGCGATATCTAGCATTATCATCAAAACTTTGCATTGCCGACAAAATACCAGTCATGGCGTCGGCTCGGCATCAATTCCGTCAGCTTCTGTGGACGTCGAGAATTACCAATTCCGTGCATTTTCGCCGCATGGCAGGACAGGTCCCTTGAATTTGTGGTTATGGAACAGGATGACTGAGACACGCCGAAGAAAATGTGACGAGCGTGACCCGAGTGTCGAGCATAAAGGAAAGCACCGTCAACTCATAACCAGAACTCATTCTGATGCGAGTATATTTTCCTAACGAATTCCAACGACACATTTCGCAGCCTGGTAGTTTTGGCCACTAAATAATAGCAGAATCAGCAGTTTTAACGCTCTCCCAATTTGCAAACACAGAAAGCAATCCAACAATATCTGACCCTTCGCGTGACAGGGAAAACATGCAACATGAACGACAGCAAACACAAGACGTTCCCCGTCCCAGGCATGAAGCGTTGTCATCCGCACTAGCCGGAGGCGATGAGGAGAACCAGTTAGAGAACCAGCTATCCCAGACAATATCTGGCACGTTATCATTTCCTGAAGGAGGTCCGGCCGCCTGGCTTGTTGTCTTTTCGTCCTTTTGCTTGATCGCCGCGAGTTTTGGAATGGCTAATTCCATGGGGATTTTTCAATCGTACTGGCAACTGAATCAACTCTCTGCCTACAGCTCGCAGGCAATTGGATGGATATCCTCGACCCAAGTATTCTTAACCCTCTTCCTCGGCGTGCAGGTCGGGCCGCTTTTCGATCGATATGGGCCCAGGATATTAACACTCGTGGGTTCAGTGGGATGTGTCGGGTATGTGCTATTATTGGGGGAATGCACAAAGTATTGGCACTTCATGCTTTGCTTTGGAGTGTTGGCCGGAATTAGCTGTGCGATCCTCACTACCGTTGCGCTTTCAGTGATCTCCCACTGGTTTGAAGCGAGAAGAGGCTTAGCAACTGGAGTTGCGTTCATGGGCACAAGCTTAGCGGGGATATCGTTTCCTTTAGCGCTGAATCCCATATTAAATCATTTTTCGTGGGCTTGGTCAATGCGGTTGTTGGCGCTTGTCATATTTGTCCTTGTGTTCCTAGGCAATCTGTTCATTCGAGGCCGGCTCCCAACTGGGAAGCAAAAAGGAGTCGTCAGTTTGAAATGCTTTCAGGATCCAAAATTCACCTGGGCCACTGTTGGAATCTCGTGTATGTTAAAAACCCTTTTCTTATGTATCCCGCACCAAGAGAATACTCACAAAGTAATTTAGGTTTCGAGTTTGTGCTCTACTCCACGTTTGGACTGCTCCCTACTTACGCCCTTGAACAAGGGTTTGGGCAGCGGACGAGTTTTAACTCGATTGCGATACTAAATGCGTTAGTATATTCATTCCTGATGTTCGACGAACAGCTACTAACTCGGTCAAAACAGCGGCTCAGCAATTGGGCGATTCACAGCTGGGTTCATTGCAGACAGCTATGGTCGGTACAATAGCATGTTACTCTCCATTTTGATCTCTGTATTTGCTACGTTAGCGCTCTGGTTGCCTGTGGGCCATAATGTTGCTTTATTTTATGTCATGGTGCCTGTGTTTGGTTTCGGCTCTGGGAGTGTCGTGAGCCTCGCTCCAGTGTGCATAGGACAGCTCTGCAAAGCAAGTGAGTACGGTCAATGGTTTGGCACAAGTTATAGCATGGTGGCCCTCGCGTAAGCCGTCCAGTGTGACCCGAATGATTGAAGTCATGCTGACAACAGGATTAGTACTCTAATCTCTATTCCAATCACAGCCGAACTCCAATCAAGAGCGGGAACAACGGCGTTTGTTGCTTTCTCCGGAGGGGTGTTGGTTCTCGCGCTGGTTTCTTTTTTAATGGCGAGATGGGCCTGCCTTGATTACAGGTGGAAAGGGAGAGTGAAAATATGAAAGTGTCAAAAGATGAAACGCAAGACAATGCAGTACCGTGTGAAATCAATACCGCGACTAAGGGTTTGGCCATAATTGGAATTCCATCCGCAGCTCTCGTACGCGGTGTGGATCGCAGTTAGGTTTTCCCGACATCACACCGCACAAGTTGGTTTATAGCATTGTTGCCATAAAAGTCGGCGAAAAGTGAAAAATAGCGATTCTATCAGGGAGGTTGAAGTGTTTCGCAAATGTTTGGCGATCGGTGAGGTCGGGATGGCCTCTGAGAGAGAGTAGTCGGACCACAGTCCTTCTGATTCCCAGTCGTTGTGCCCGGGGATTCTCCGCCGCCGGATTGATTTCGATTGCCCGATGGACGCACCGGCGAACCTAGCACTAGATGACGGACCGAGATTCGAGTATGCTACATTTTTTGCATCCGGATACCACCCGGCAGCTGAAATTGGACACATCCTTCATGCCAGATCATTGAGAACTTCACTTGCCTGGACCGAAGTTCACCTGGTACAGCCATTTTGTCTCAAACGAGCCCCTTGAAGCCAGTCCAACGATGTCAATGTGTCACGTCGGCGGAAACAATATCCTCGGCTGAGCAACCAATGACCCGAGGTGTGATTACGTGCTTGACTAGATATTTGGCCTGTATGTAGTTAACGGTGTCAGAAGATTCACACTTGTTCAATATACAGTGGAAGCTGACGGCAATGCTGAGCACATTTCATTTCTATGAAGATTGAAAATCAACAATCCTATTATCATTTCTTGTTAGCCCACAGGTCTTGTACTGTTGAAGATTCTGTTAAATTGAGTGAGGAGGGTACGCACAGTCCGTGGTCAAGTTTCGGCGACAGGCAACAGGAATAGGAATTAATATGTAGATGCTGATAGTATTGAATAGTCATGATCTGTAGCTTTCAGTAAAATGTCACTATCAAAAGGTAGGGTCCATAGAAGCGCCTTATATCACTCCATGGTTGGCAAATTCCGTTTCAAATCTTTCAACTCAAAGCGTCCAGCGGGCTTGGTTCGAATACCAATAACGCCAAAACAGAATAGGTTAAGTTACCACATTGGAACTGTAAAGATAACTTGGCAGTTTAATATGGGCCTCCCAGGGCTCCGTGCTATTCTCTAAACGCGCATAGCTGAGTAATGATACCTGCTGCCAGGCTTTTTTTTGATATCTTTGGTACCTAAAATGCCTCTTCTCGTGTAAAGTGAATTATTCTGATCTCAATTCTCTCGATTAACAGGCTCAGGACTTATTCGAGTCTTGTAGAGCAGCATGTCATGAGAGCCTGCAATGCTTGCAACTCAACTATCACCTGAATCATTGTTGTTTTGCGGGGCCATCAGCCTCAGAAGTCTTCTTCGACAGACACTAGAGCTTGCAGAAAAGGCGCCAGCCAGCATGGTGGGATGCTGGAAAAAGTGAAAAACAATAACAAACAATTTACCAATCTCTCACTTGTTTCCAACAATGATCTGATGGGAACATTAGGCATCGAAGTTGCGCACCTCTGTGGGTGGAGGTCCCGGGTTCTCCTCCACGTGACCCAAACTATATTTCAGCCTTATCACCGTCCGCTGCAACCTCGACTGTCATCATAATCACCCCAACCTTGAAGACCACGCAGGATGGGTTCTGTTGTTCTTCCACACTTGCCTACAGCTTGGCATGTCGACCAAGCTATTCTTTCTGAAGAGGATAGGCTGGTTGTCATTCGTTTTGGACGCGACTGGGACAAAGACTGTAGGCAGATCCATAACAAATGCGTTTGTTTTCTAACCTACCCACCCTAACTAACTCTCTCATAGGCATGGCCCAGGATGAAGTTCTTTACAAAGTTGCAGACCGTGTGAAAAGCTTTGCTGTCATTTATCTTTGCGATATTGACCAGGTTCCGGATTTCAAACAGATGTACGAACTTTACGACCCGATGACAATCATGTTCTTTTTTCGCAACAAGCATATGATGTGCGACTTTGGCACGGGAAACAATAATAAATTGAACTGGGTGCTTGAGGACAAGCAGGAGTTGATTGATATTATAGAGGCAATTTACAGAGGCGCTAAGAAGGGAAGGGGCTTGGTTGTTAGTCCAAAGGGTGAGTGGGATTTTGTCTGTCATCACCCTTGTCGCATTTATCCCTAAGCTAATAGCGGGAATTTTTCATAGACTATTCCACGAGATATCGTTATTAATGCGTGGCAATTGTGGCGTTGCTCTCAATAACTAAAGCCATTACTCAAGATAGAATTTCCACAAAACTATGAATTTGGGTTGGTTCATTACTGGATCTGATTCAGGGGGCTATCTTCAGGGTTTCCATGCCGGATATGATAAACAATGGTATGTTTAAATGACCTAGCGTCTGTCGATATCTCCGTTTCAATGCCAAAGCTTAAATTTCATGTGTCATCGAGATTTCCTTTGGTAGATATGTGAGGTTGCTTTCTAGTTAATCGGAAAGCCCCAGGGCTGTACAAACTCGACCTCTGGTATTCCCAAAAGATATATTTGTAACCGGAACGGTGGCAACACTGGACTCCGTGGCACCTGTCGTGGATTGGAAGCCTCAACATTCCGTACTATGCAGAATTTTTGGCGTCACATATCTGACAAGCATACCGTGTCCAGACATCCCGAATGGAGGGGGTTCTAGGGAGACATTGATATTTCAACTAGCTCCCGAGAATGGATCTCTCCAACCGAGGAGAAGGGACTCAAGGCCTACCCTTGTATACACCTTCTACATTCAGAAGCCGACTTGCTTGGCTCGGTCTACTTTTCGCAAATATGCTCGCAACCGTTAACTATGTGAAATTCCAGCAAGAACCGGTTGTCCTATCGACCAGAGAGTCCCTGGATTCAGGCAACCTTTGAAGCATAGGTTTCCAAGTGGCTTTAGAATCGGAGGGTACGGCCCGCCAGGTCACCTGAATGTGGTGGCCGAATGGCCTCTGCACCACCGAGATGGACTCCGTAGACTTTGAGTCTTCGATGTCTCCTGGGACCAGCCGATTTGGCTCGGCCATCCGAAAAATTAATTTGCGCGGAAAAGTGGGTCGGCTCGATGACTCAGCATAGATCGGCGCAATCCGATCGGTACAAACTTTAATTGGACATCAAATTCTGACTTTTCGATTTTTTTCTGATATTCAGTTTGGAGTAACTCCGTAGCTCGGAGCGATTAGATTGGAAGACATGTTATGTTCACGTGTTTCTTATTGGAAGAGCTGATTTATTCCTATGCGGTGAGAACCCTCCTGGCTTTAATGTATATGATTATACATACATACCCTGGCGCAATCAATGCAGCGAGAAATGATTGCTGTAAGTCACTGCTAGATCCATACCCAAGTATTTGGCTCTTGGTCGCCTTCTCATTCCTTCTTCTGTGCTGAGACACCTGTAACCAGCCTTGAGGAAGTGAATCGGGAGAGTAAAGAGTATCCAACGGGGTATGCGAGCACCCTGTTGAATTATCAGTAATTACTAAACTATTGTGTAGCGCTACAGCCGATCACCTCTGCAGAGAGGACAGCTATCTGCGTCGAGGATGCTCTACCGAAGACCCTTGCAGGTATCATGGCGCTGTCCTATCAGTACAATAACGGGACCCCGAAGGAACCGGCCGGTAGCGCACCATCACTACTTTTACCGACTCAATTTACATGTAAGATATGTATCTCCTTTCCATAGCTACTGGGTAAATCGTGATTGACAACCGTCAGGTCCAACGCCAACATATTTCCTCAAAAGCCGAAGGCTGTAAAAGCGGCAACACTGATGAGGCTTCTGAACTTCCAGACGAACAACAGATCTTCGTCACATACAAACCTCTTCTTGAGAAGAAAAGTAAGGGAAAACTTATAAAGGGTGTTTCTCTTAGAAATATTGTCATCAGTCACAAACGGGCTGCAGAGTCCCTGGTTGAAAGACTCGGAATTGATACGATTGTTAAGACCCTAAAATCTCTTGTGCAGAAGGGCGTGTTTCATTCCGAGTCAAAAGCCAAAGAACAATTCCCAACTTTGTTTGAGACTTCATCCACGCAAGCTGCAGAGCATCCTCAATCGGAGGAAAACACGCTCGAGCCGGGGAGTGAAATCCTTGAGCAAGTGAGCCTTTTAGATCAAGAAACCCCGCAAAAAGACGAGGTTCAACCCGCCGGTGAAGTGGATATTGCCGAAGAGACAAAAACCCGAAATTCTACTCCGCGTAAGCCGTTAGCGACGACTAATTACGGTGCCTTGGATGCGCAGTGCTCTGGGACCAATATTCCGGGGACGAAAGTTCGCTCGTTGTTCCCGCCATACATCCCGTACAAGGTCCAGCACACCATTCTTTCGAAAATTCAAACTTTACTGGAAAAGAGTTGCTATGAATTCACTTCAAAGTGGGCACCTGCACTGGCCTCCGAGAGAGGATGGGATTGTCCTGAGGCTATCGAATTGAATAGGTGGACGGGAAACATGTATTATCGACTCAAAAATCTGCCGGACGGTGCTCTGGACAATAGGTATAACTCGGACATATCCTCTGTGTTCGCCTCCTTGTGTGGACTTCGACATGCCGCCGTGCACCGGCTACATGTTAGTGTCAGGGGATTAGATGACATGATCCACAATGCTATAATTTTCACCGGCATGATTCGGGACACTACCAGGGAGTGTCAGTTGAACGAGCTGCATCTCGAACTTAAGAGGATCACGCGATCGCAAGAGTTACACTTGCATTTCCTCGAAAGCCGATTAAAGGATGAATTCACCAAGATACGAGAATTAAGAGAGGAACTGAATAGGAGGGAGCAAAGAGCTTTAGACGCCATGCTAAGAGAAAATAACGAGAATCGATTTCTAGTTGGAGAGTTGTTAGAAGAATCCTTTGGCAAAGTTTTCAACAGTGGCCTCGAAGATGAGAAGCTGGAATTCGACGCGAGCAGTACGAAACAGAGACTGCCAGAATTGGGAAACAATGATGAAAATGAGGTCATTATGTCGCAAGCGAAAAAGGATGACGGGTTCCTGACTATGAAGGATGCATCCCCTAATTTACCTAGAACTCAAATGAAACTAAAATCCCCACTATCCGAAGACGAAACCGCAACATTAGAGGCAGAACTCCCGGATGAACTGTCAAGAGTTGATGGATCGACACCGGACGACCGCTCAGTAAAGCCCGCTGAGATGTTGCCAGCATTGGAAGATTCGGCTAAAAGTTCTCCAGGCAAGAATGCAGAACTTGAGGACGCAGTGACTGACAGTCATGCGTCAAATCCGGCTCCAGAATTTGATGGTTCAGAACGACAGGTTAATGAGGACGAAAAGGAGTCCAAGGATGCTGAATCATTATTTCAGACAACGGAGCAACGTGATGGGCAGGAACTTGCACTAGACAATACCCGGCCTGGGGAACTGGAAGCTGAAAGGTTAGTGGTGCAAGACCAAGAACCCAATCCCCTTAAACCTTTGGATTCACAACCACGTCTATTAGCGCCGACGTCAAATCCAACCAAGCTTGCATGGCCAGCATCCCCAGTTTCGGAGGTAGTGGGGATCCCATCAGCAACAGAAACCAGAACGGTTGCCTCACCGCCTGAAAAGCCAACTGATGAAATGGCGACTGGATCGTCAACTCAGCCCTTGACAGCCAAGGGAAGTGCACAGCAACTGATCTCCGGTCCTAAATCCACGTCCCAGATGAAACAATGTTATATTTTATGAAAGTTAGCCTTTGAGCGCAATGCTTAGTATTAGGACATACCCCTATCGAGGTAGTCTTTGGGCATTATTCCCCCAGGAGTTTGGGTACGTACAAGGTCAGCACCGAACTGAGCCGGGCTAGGTTCAAGGAATCTGTATAATAAGGGAGGTGAATAAAGTATGGGATCTCTCATGTTACTTTACTGCTTTACACCTTTTTCCCCTGCATCATATCCTGTAACATACTAGATTGGGATAATCCCTTGGGCGTTATTAGATTTTATATTTATATTTTTCTTTTCTCGCTTGTTTGTTGAGAGCTGGCTAGTGCAGCAGGCTCCTCGACGGCTTGATAGATGTTGTGTTTGCCATACAATAGGTAAGATACATGATGTGTGTTGAATTTTATGAACCGTCGAATAAATCGTTAACTAACCAACCGGCAGTCAGTCAGTTAATACAGCTGGGACGAACTCTTGATATGTAGCATTTAGTTAACTACAGCAAGCTAACTACGGCAAAAGGAATCCGAGCTGGGATAACAACACGCAAACTTCGTAAAGCCGAGACTGGCTATGTATCTTTCATGGCGTCGGCTATGTCGGCCTAAATCCCATCCAAGGGGTGTTTTTTGACTTTCCGAGTCTCCTTGACCGGAGCGTGTTCCCCATCATTGGACGACCAAAACATGAGATGAGGATAGCTTTCCCCGCTTGAGTGGAATAAACTACTGGGCTAAACTATTTATAAGCAAAGGGCATCTCACCAATTCCAGCACCCTGCTTTCTCCCGGGGAGTTGGGATATCAATCACAAAGATTCCGCCGAACCCACGTCCACCATGTCGGCCCGCGACAATGAAAAAGGCTCGGCGCGGTCTCAGCCGAGTCACGCAGCGGCGTCCGAAATCGAAAATGTGCCGAGACCTTCCCGGCAACAGTCTTGGACGGGTACTATGATAAAGGTTTTTATAATTTGCGCGTGCGCTGGAATAGTATCCAAATACATAATCCCTCTGGACTCTATCTTTAAGTCTGTTCACATAGACCCTCACGACTATGCTACGAGAGCGAATCGAATACTGTCGACCACGCCACTAATTGACGGACATAATGATCTTCCATATCTTATTCGACTAGAGACAAAGAACAAGATCTACGATCATGAAAAATTGCCGTTTCGAACCGGTTTGCTAAGTCATACGGACCAAATAAAGATCCAGGAAGGGAAGCTTGGAGGTCAGTTTTGGAGTGTCTTTGTCGAGTGCGCGACAGACCCAAATGCGGAGATTGATGATCCCACGGTATGAAGTGCCAATTTGAATTAGAAGCCCAATTGCTGTTACTTTGCATTGTCCGATATTGGAGAGGTGCTAAGGTATCCATTCCATGTTTAGTGGGCGGTCAGAGATACGCTTGAGCAGATTGATGTCACAAAACGACTCGTGCAAGAGTACCCTGACCTTCTCGAGTACTGCGAATCGGCATCTTGCGCCAAAGCTGCGTTTAAAAGAGGAAAGGTTGGCAGTTTTCTGGGAATCGAGGTACGAATTTCAATTGCATTCTCCATCCTTAGGATCCGGTAAACGGCTAAAGAAATGATGATTAGGGAGGTCATCAAATCGGAAATTCGCTTGCTTCACTAAGACAAGTGTATGATCTTGGTGTACGCTACATCACCGTAACACATAATTGTGACAATGCGTTTGCCACTGCAGCCTCAACCGTCGCTGTTGGGAAACCAGATCTTGGTCTGACGGATTTCGGTCGCGAATTCGTCAAAGAGATGAACCGCCTTGGCATGCTGGTTGACCTATCCCACGTGTCCCATCAGACCATGCGAGATATCCTATCTGTGACAAAGGCTCCTGTTATGTTCTCGCATTCCTCTTCGTACGCGCTCTCTAAGCACCTCAGGAACGTACCTGATGATGTGCTGAATGGTGTTACCAAAAATGGCGGTGTTGTAATGGTTACATTCGTACCCTCATTCCTAAAAGTGGATGATCCTGCTTCTGCAACTATCCACGATGCAGTTGACCATATCCTCCATGTAGCAAAGGTGGCGGGGTGGGATCATGTTGGCATTGGCTCTGACTTTGATGGTACTGCGGATGTTCCCGAAGGTCTTGAGGTTAGTGTCCCTTCCTAAGTTCTCATAAGGAACCACCTCCCTGGCTAAACCTTTGATTAGAATGTCTCAAAGTACCCGCGGCTTATTGAGCTTTTACTTGAGCGTGGAGTAACGGACGAGCAAGCTCGAAAGTTGATCGGAGAGAATATCCTCCGTGTCTGGTCAAATGTTGAAGAAATAGCCGAGAATATCAGAGCACTGGGGGAGAAGCCCAATGAGGAGACTTGGTCTGGTAGGAAATGGACAGCGGCAATCGATATTCCGATGCCGTTTATGTTTAAAGATAGCGCAGATAAACGAAAAGAATTGTAATGAGGCTGCTGTGGATTAGTGATTAATCCTGCAAACATAGTTGATGAACATGTACGGAGTATTCATAGGGGTTATTTCGAAGTCGCTCAACTTTACTGTTTTCCCGGCAGGAGTGGACTGTGCCATCTTCGTACTCATTGAATCAAAGGCTCGCGAACCTAGGCATATGTGTAGGGTTAGGAAAATTAAAAGCCACCAGACCAGCCATTGGGATAATGCAAGCATGTGCTGTTATACACACAATAGTTAACGTGCTTTACCCTCGGGTTAGCAGTAGGTGCAAACCTCTAAACTATAACATATGTCGGAATAAAATTGGTCATGAGTCTGCCTGTTTGCCGTTGTCCAGTCTGTTGCTACCAGCAGGAAGGTTAATGGAAGTTCTGGAACCCAGCCTTTATAAATGCCCCGAACATTAGTTCGGGGATAAGCTCCTACGAAGTATATCTTTTGATATCGCACTTGATAACATGATGCTTGTGGCGCTCATTCTCGCGGGTTTGGATAGGTATTCCGGAGCCAGTACTCCGTATGGAGTACCGACTTGTTGATGTGCTCAGTTGGCCATAACGCGAAGCTTCCTTTCACATGGTTGGTACAAAATACAGAGTGCTCCGTAGGATAGCCGAATATATCGGAGACACCGTCACGTCTAAGGGGACCTCATAACACTACGGAGTACTCCGTACTCCGTACTGGATACTCTATACAGGAGTCCAAAGCGCCCGAATAAGTACCACTCAGGAGTCAGGGGCAAAGAGATGTGAAGCAGGTGAGCCTCGGCTCAACTTTAAAAATAACTCTAACTTCCAGCTGAACTTTATTCTAACGGAGCTCTCGGATCGCTTGTTGGAATGAAAGAGAAGAATCACGACCCAAAAAAAAAAAAAATACTTCCTCGAGTTGAAACTCCCTCATTCCTGTTCTCTCTTGTGTTAGCTTCCCCTTTGCAATCTTCACTCGTTCAGGTTGCCGCGCTTTTGTTTTTCTTCAAATCACGATAAACGTATGAAATAGAGCTACACGGTTCAATTCTTCCTTCGTTCACTTCTGGATTCTTAGCTGCTTCTTCTAGCCTTTGCGGCACTCGGTCATCATCTGTGCCGCATCGCAATTTCTGCACAGTGCCTCCGATTTATTGCATTTAGTGGAGTATAGACTATAAGCACTTGTTTCCTACTCTGAGCTCGATATACCAGTTGATACAGCAATGGCTGTCCTGTCCCTTCCTGGTTTCACTACCTTAAAGACCATCATAGAATGGTGCGTATCGCAATGCACATGGAGAAACGCCGTTTTCATATACGTCTTGTTCAATCTCAAGTCTGCACCGTTTTCCTGGCATGTATGGTTCCCTCTTTTTAGTTCTACATCCTCTACGGAGTACAACGTTCCAATTCACTCGGGGTCGAGAAACTTAGCTAATTCCAAATCTATTGTAAACAAAAATAGGTCCGCCTCTTCTTCCATCTCTTCCGTCGCATTCGCTGGCAACCGCATGTCTACCCCGACCCCAAACTCCGATCCGATTCCAAGACATGCCTGGAGCCGCATCTCCACCCCATATTCATGCCAGCCGGTTTAACTAGCCGCGCTCCACTTTGGGAGACAGACTATAACTGCCACAAATCGAACAGCACCTACTTTTCTGACCTCGACATCGCCCGTACTGTTCTAGTAACGAATCTCTACACACCCGGGTTTAGGGTCCTCCGAAAGGAGATGGATACGGAGGTTGACGAGCAGGGGAAACCGAAGTACCCCCGTGGTAGACTGGCAGTAATGCTGGGTAGCGTGCACTGCACCTTTAAAAAGGAAATCAAGCCTTATGAACGCTATGAGATGCAGAGCAAAGTTGCCGGATGGGACGAGAAGTGGATGTATGTTTTGACATTCTTCCTTCGACCGGAGAAACGTAAGGGTGAGGGAAAGACGCTTCTTGCCGTGGGAGTGAGTAAATACGTGACGAAAAAAGGTCGCTTGACTATTCGCCCTGAGAAGGTCCTGAGAGCAAGTGGATTGCTACCTCCACGCCCCGATGGGGAAGTTTCAGCAACGGTGTCGTTGGAAACACCGGCTAGTGGAGAAGCAGTTAATGTAGAAGATGGGTTGGAGGAGTCTGCTCTCCGGGAGGTGTTGACACTCGGTGAAAGCACTAATTTGGATCTGGCGGTGTTGGAAAATGATAAGAAGGCCCGCTCCTCGTGGGATAGTTCGATGTGGACCTGGGAGAAAATCGAGCAGGAGAGGCTGCGGGGGCTGGAGATCGTGCAGGGCTTTATCAATATGGACGCGAAGTTGTATGAAGAGGCAGCGTCGGTTTTATAACTTCCTATGTGGGGAGAAGTTTATGACCTTGAATCTCCAGTAATCGGCGCCGGACCTTTTCTGTCCTGGCTATTACGTTTGGGAGGCTTTATTGGTGCAGTTCAGGTTTATTGGCAACGAGTGCATAAACTCCGAATAGGACATTTTAATTATATACGAAGTAACTCTTAGATATTCTAGATATGGAATTGGATTGATATTATTACAGCACTATATTTTCATAATTGTGTGTAATTGTCAGACGGCATTCAAACGAGCTCCATCTCAAAAGGAATTGCCTCTTTTTTGATCTGTAATGGACGTTAGCTGCCGATGTCGGCAATGTAGTATATAAAAGAAAAAAACAGAAGGGAAAGCCTGTATTCATTTATCGAATACACACCAAGCTTTGTGTATATGAAGACCACCTAAGTCCAATAAAGGCCACCTAAAAAATGTGAGACTATGCAATGCAGAAAAGACACAAAGCCTTTATGAAAAAAAAAGAAAAAAAAAAAAAAAAAAAAAAAAAAAAAAAAAAAAGAAGGGGAAAAGGAAAAGGAAAAGAAAAAGAAAAAGAAAAAGAAAGAAAGAAAGAAGGGACCTTCTTGTTTAAAGAAACAGAACAAACCCGCCATATATCCCTTTCTCAAAACTAAACTCGAAAACGCCGTTATGATGTGTCGGAAGGAGAGATTCATCAGGTAACGATTTGAGACGTTTCCGTAGAAAGAGAGCAAGGTTGAGAGGAGAGTAGTCGAGTATGAAACCGGACCAAACCGGTGGCGCTCGCAAGCGTCGTGAATTCGTATACTGTACAAATTAAGAGAAATTTTTGTCGGCAACCAGGTTTCTGTCTCCATCGCCGGCGCGGAGAATCAAAGCAAGCTGTCGAGATAGGTGCGATCTTTGTATTGAAGTGATGACGGCGGGTAGAGAAAACCAGTTAGCTGGAGGCGGTTTCTCAAGAGATTCGTGATTTAGGTGGCCTAGACCAACGTTGTAACATTGCCAAAGGAGAACGCATGGGACCGTCTTCGTAATTTTGCTCAGTGGCCGGGGTCGGCCTTCTCCTTCTTGCGATTCATCCGCTCTTCCTCAGCGTCAACCATGTCCTTCCATAAATCCTCACTGCCCTGTGCTACTTGGCTTCCCTCTTTGCCCTTTTTGGCCTTCAAAGCGTCCAAGACGCCTTTGCCCTGTCTCTGGTCATGAATCTCAAAAGCCGCGGAGGCACACAGCACCGCCAGTGTCAGACCCTGCGCATAGACACGAGCCTGCACGATCTTCTGCTGTCCACTCAAGTACGGATTTCTCCCCACCAAAACAAACGAGCCAATCATGCTAGCAACCCAAGTGGCACCGATAATCTTATACTTCTCCCTGCGAGCGAAATCCATGACTCGCTCCATCGTCGTCATCCTCGCCCATTGCTCGTTCCGCAGGCGCTCCTGTCTCTCGGTGACAAGGCGCTTTTCCTGATGCACGCTGTAGTCAAAATCTCGCGAGCTGATATCGGCAGCGATGACGGCAGCAAAACTGCCGGCAGAGGTGACGAGGAAGGCTTTCATGGGTAGTGTGAGAGTTCGGATGGTTGTCCAGCGTCGAGAAGCAAGTGCTACACCGGCGTATCCCCCGATCAGGCCGAGGACACCGCCGATCGAGCCACCCTTGACGACAGCACTGTTTCATGCTGGGTTAGTCTTTTGATGCAAAATTTCGACAAAACCGGGATACCTGGGTACGTACTCGTAGTGCGCATCTTCCTGTTCCTTGGTGAGGAGCTTCATTGCGGTGAGGAGTTCGACTTTATTAACCGAAAAGAGATCGAAATGTGTTGATGTCCAAAGCGTGGGACTTTGGGGGGATGTAGCCGTGGTAATCGGAAGAAGCGAGAAAAACCAGCAGCTGGGTCAGGAATACGATGACGTCGAATTTTTCCTTTTTTTTCTTTATCTGGAGAAAACCGGAGAACTCTAGTAAAGAATGCGGAGGATAAAATGAATACCCCAAGGAAAATTCAATTAAATAATGACAATTGAGCTATCGCAGAGGCAAATTATATGCTTTGATGTTCTTGCGGATTCTCCTCCATAGTCTTAATATACTTCACTGCTCGGGATTTGCAAGTTTGTTGGCGATGGATGACTCTTTGGCGGTTTTGCCCGATCCAGCGAACAGTCGGCGTTTGCTCGGGACCCGCCGCCCTCCAATGACGCCACCTTTGAATGTCAGGAAATGTTGTCGCTCTGGTTCTCGAGTCGCCTCAGCGGGCAAGTCAGCTGGTTCATAGATCCACTGTAAAGCTCCTCCGCGGATTTATCGATAGAAGATGTCGTCCAGGCCGAAAAAGCAAATGTGCCCCCCCCCAAACGAAGAACTACCAGACACGAGACAGCCTCTCGTGGTCCAGTAAGAGGATCGGAAATGATGAGGGTGTGCTGATGATTCCAAACCCACCAATTTATCATCAGAGAATATTAATCTCATATTTTCTTCGCTCCATACAGAGTAGACACCCAATAAGTAGTGACAGCTACACAGGAATGAACCCCCTGATCTGCATTCATTGCGATGGGGAGAATGAACATAGAAGAGCCGATATGTCAAAAACTTCTCTGTGAAAATACACATGCCTTTGCAAATTCGATATAGGGTTGTTAGGGAACGCAGAGAAGCAACATGCGAATGCTTCAAGATCAATATGTCTTTTCTCAAAGAAATTAACCGCCGTTGCTACCTGAGAGGAGATCTAAATGGCGGTCGCAAGAGGGCCATCAAGAGGGCCCGTAAATCATCGTGGTTAGACCTAGTTAAGTGTCCAGACCGACTCTAGCCAGAGGGCACTGTGAACTGCACCCTCTGCTTATGTATAAAAGTATTTGGGTCCCTGAACATTGATGAACACTGCTATGTATACACTGATAACCGGAGTGCAGTATGTATTCCAACAAAAGACAAAGAATATTAAAAAAAAAAAAAAAAAATCTTGGTATTACCATGTTTCTTCACCTTCAACTTCATCGTCATCGTCTCTTTCATTGATCTTTGTAGCATTCCGGCCACTCCGGACGTGCGACATCTCATACTGCTCCGTACCGTTCTTATATTTCATACCGTGGTGTCCGATGTCTGACGGCTCAAGGAGGTCCCGAAGTCTCTTCTTGCCTTCTTCCACGGCTTGATGCGAAGCCGCCTCGGCCATTTTCACCATAGGACCCCAAAGATTGAGCTGGTAGATGATATAGGCTGCGACAGAGCAAAGGAAGAGCATAAAAAAATATACAGGGTTTCGAAGGACTGTGTGGGGTAGATTGTCAGCATAAACAATAAACGAGGGAATCCATCGACAAAACTCACCAGCAATAATCTCATTCCAACCAAGTGCCAGCAATAAAATGTAAAAGTACACTGGAATCTGAGTCATTCCGCCAATCGCACTTCTCTTCGCTTCAACATAAACACCGTCGGCTGCCTTCTTAAATCGAACTGTCAAGTCCTGCCTCTTGGTCTCGCTGAGCATAGTCATCTCTTCCTCCAAACTTTTTCCGTCATCGTCAACTCCGCCAATTGGGACCAAGTCCTCCTCGTCGGCTGGGGTTGCAGCACTAGGGGTGTATCCAACCCATCTATCAAGTTGCGGAGTCGCATTTGTCTCCTGGAGGCGAAATCTGGATAAAAGGGGAATAAGGGTGAGGGTGGACTCCCGGGCCTTGGTATACAGCCCCTCAATATCATCTGTAGGCCGCCATATTCTCGGAACACCCGCCGAATCATATCGGAACTTGTCTTCAAAATTCTCTCGCAGTTTTAAAAGTAGGTTACCTTCCATCATCTCTTCGTCGATCTTGGATCGCAGCACCCCCCAAGCCTTTCTGCGCAACCTCCATAACCCAACATCGACCTCTTCTAAGCTAGCATCAAAGCTACTAGCACGTTCAGTGAATCTCTGCTCAGCCTCGAGAACAGTGGCAACAAATATGGACCATATTCTATCCCAAATGGTGTCTTCCGATGGTTTATCGCCTGTTTCGGGGGCGCCAGAACCGCCTCTACCCGAGCCAAGAGCATTGAATTCGAGCCCCACGGACTCGCCCAGTCGAGACCGCACCCATCGTTCAACCCTCGTCGCAAGGCGCCTCATTTCGTCCTTTCTAAGTTGCGCACTGATCTTCTCGAGATCCTTCTGATAAAGGGCGAGTTCTTGCGTGTAATTACTCCAACAAGCACCCTCAATGACAGTGGCTTTTGCATCGTCTTCGAATCTCTCTAGCGCGATTCTCTTCTCCTTGTTTACAATGTCAGCAAAATCATAGCTTGCACCTTTCTTTTGTCCAGCTTTAACAGCGGCGGAGACAGCATCGCTAAATTGAGCGATACCAGATTTGTGAGCGGCGGTAAGCTGACCAGAGAACAGAACTTTGAGACGAGTGTCCATTTTGTCTTCCAGCTCTGCCCTTTTCATTTGAAAGACGCGCTTGTGATAGCGGCTAGCTTCCGTCTCAAAAGCACTTAGAGTCTTCACCCTTGCATTTTTCATTGCTGGACCAAGGCCAGCGAAGACTTCGGGATTTCCGGATTGAGCCGCTTCCGCCTGTTTTGTTTCAAACGGAACAACGGCCTCGTCAAAAGCGACAAGGACTTCGCGGGAGATCTCATCGCAACGAAACTGAGCCAGTAGTTCTTGTTGAGTTGGCAGATCCAGGTCCTTATTGTTCACAATCTGATCCCATATACCCTCAGCATACACAGCAAAGCCATCGGCAGGAATACGTCTATGGTACTCGGATAAAAATATCCCGCCCTCCGTCTTATTACCTTTGGAAGGATCTCGGTGTCCTTCACGGAAACGCATGCTAAGCTTCTTGACCTCTGCGACGAACTTGTCCGTTTGAAAATTTTTGTGTGGAAGGGCTGCGAATTCGAAATCGAAATAGTCCTCGATTGTGGAATTTTCCAGGCCTGGAGGCTTCGAAAGCGACGTCCAAATGCGCTGGAGGTCCTGCATCAGGGTGTTCTGCAAATTTTGGAGGGGCGTGGTTCCTAAGAAATCACGAATCACGAAGAAAAGCAATGACCGTGGGGTAGATCTTCATCCGAGCCATCAGCAAATATGTTTCCCATAAACGTAAACCGTAGTGAGGGGCGCCATACTTTTTGTCTTTCAGGAACAGTTGCATATTGACCTCAAATACGGTTTTCAAAAGTCCCATATTTGCCCCCTGATACAGGCCAACTTGATGTTCCCAAATATTAACAATCAGCACTTCGCTGGTCGCAAGCGCAAAGAGCGCACTTTTCCGCTCGAAATCCTGGTCTTCGCCGCGCTCTCGTCCATCGGTACCTTCAACATCCATGACAAGTATGTTATCGGCCATCCTGTTATTCTGCAGATGAGGCAAGCTATTCTCCCGCTCACAATCCTGGCGCTTATTCTTGGACATCCATATTCCCTTCGTAGTCTGTCGTCTCTCGGTTTCGGACATGACACTGAAGTGTGTGCCAAAGAGGTAGTTAAGTAAAGTAGATTTTCCGGTAGACTGGGACCCAAAGACAGAGATCAGATGGTAATTAAACCCGGCGGGTGTGACGCCTTCGTAAGCGAGGTACTTGGAGAGGTTGGGACTGAGATAGTCAACGAATAGGTTAGATTCCTGCATGCGCACAGCTTCAGGGAAGTCCTGTCAACAGATTGATAGATAGTCGAGGAGCGTACTTGAACTCCTTGTCCTCATCCACCACTTGCACCCCATGCTCATAGCTTGCCACAGGATCATCCTCTGCGTATGCGAAATGGCCGTTGGACACCATGGCTACTACTTCCTGTTGCGCAGTACTCTGCTAGAGAGAAGAAGGCAATATATCACCCAATCAAGGGAAAACGGGGTAGTACGAAGCAAAATTGCAGTGTAAATGCGCAAGGTCGCATAAAGCTATGTGGAGAGGAAAATAGGGTTCAGATGTTTCGATTTTAGAGCTGCCGGAGACAGCACGAAACTGCCTCCGCAAGATGCAAAGATGGTATATGCTTAGAGGTACTATCAGTCATTAAGGGCAATGAGAGAAAGGAATATAGCCTGTCGCCATCTGTGGATGGGAGTAGGCTGTGATTTGACTGTTTATCGGTCAGGGAGTGTCTGGTGATGCCAGTTCTGGAGCCACTGGGGCAGGTTGTGTTATGGGGCGCTAAACTATTTAAGGAATGGTGCCATCCTGGCACTTTTAGACTTCAAAGAGCTCGATCCAGGGCGATTCGTTTGAAACACTACTTTTATTGCTGTGACCAGTCAAATGGAGATAAGTACGGAGCAATTGTCCATATATTGTCACGTATGACTCTGCGAAAATTGGGCAAACCACAACACTTGCCCAATAGACTGCCTGAGGAGGTTCGGCTGCAAGTATGTAACGATTAGTCTCATGATTTACTCCGTAGTTCAGTTGAAGATGAAGTGTATATACTCCGTACTCCGTACATAATCACAGATCAAACATTTGGGTATCAGATGCCAAAGACAAGGAGATCTAAGCCAACACGCTCCTTTATGATGGTGGACTTGGAAGACTACTGGGATCCAACCAATCCAGATTCCATCCTTGATCAAGACAGAGATCCAAGCCCAAGCTGGGATCCATCCGCCACCCGCGCATGTCTTCATCCACGTTAGGAATCTTGCTCACGTCAAAATCAACGTTGGGGAGGGCAAGAATGTTTTCGAAAGACACAAATCCACCGTCTAAGAATGGAGATTGGCCATCTCCAGACCGCCCAGTGCGCGGGACATCTGAAACAGGTGTCGCTGTTGAGGGCGTGATGTAATCCCTTGAGTCGATATCGGAACGGCTAGTGCGTTGAACAGATCCAGGTGAATAAGCCTGCTGGCAAGATTCTGGTAGTCCAAACTTCCTCCCGGGGCGAAGATAGAACGTTCCAAAATACGGGATAGTAACCTTGCACCCGTTCTGATAGCCATTTCGACATTCTTTTGGGGCTTCAGGGGAGCCACATAGCATCTCAAGAACGTTCGCGCACTGCGCTGCCACGGTGCCGTATGGACCAGAAGAAATCTCTCGAAAGAGCCGGGCAGCCTGTCTCAGCATTTGCCAGTCCTCCGCATCTTCCAGCGTTATGTGCTGCGGCATTTTGAGCACTCCAAGCAGATGAATTCCAAGAAGCATCGCGCCAGTAAACATCTGAAAGTCAATCATCTTGCACGCAGTGTACTGCAGGCCGGCATCAGTTCGAATTTTCTGGTAGAATTTAATGCAATTCCGCGAGGATTCAAGCGCAGCATTGCGGCAGTACCGAGACCCAGCGTCTGAATCCGAGTTTAGAACAAACGGAAGGTGAAGCATCACACGGGTAAAATTGTGCACAAAGTGGCATAAAAGCACGTCACCAGGCCCTCGGTTAGGCTCTACATCTAAGCTACCCTGGCGGAATGGAGCTGAGAGCTCACTGAGTTCCCGATCAAGCTGGAGTGTCTTCGGAAGCGATAGGTTGTTTGGATCTTGATTTCTATCGATTATCCCGCCATAAAAGAGACATAGTCGATAAACATAACCCTCAGAGGTTTCAAAGAATGCAGTCTTTTCCAAAAGCTGCATATGAGGGGCGACAAAGCGGTCGGGAACGGCGTAAGGAAGGCCCAGTATGAGACTCATATATCTGTCACAGCACACCAATGAACACCAAATATATAAATGTCGCAAGCTCATTCTGTCATTGTGAGGTAGCGCTCGGTTCATTGACAAGTGCAAACCATGTAATTGGGCAGATTCGATACCCCGGCGAAAAAGCCGCCAGGCTCTCCGAGGTCGTCCCCCAACCATATAGTGCTTTCCGGCGAAAAGCAAGCACTCAATCCCAGAGACAGTGGATGCGATATCTTCATCGCTGAAAATCATACGATCTACAGTGGAGAGGACGTTGTGGGTAAAGCTAATTGGAGAGAGAGGGACTTGGAGATCGTGAAAATTGAATGAAGCAGACGATTGATCAATAGCCATAACGAGAAGGATAAGGAGCTTGGCGAGGTCGCCCAATGCTTCTGGGCTTGCAACTTCCGGCCTATCGGCAAGAAAGCGTGATAGATTATCGCCGCAAATTTCAGGGTACTGCTTTAGTAGACCACCGTGCAGATAGGGGAAAGTCTGCAGAATCTTCTGCATGTCCGAGACCGGTGGCATTAGTGAGAGTAGTAAAGATCTTAAGGCTGCATATTCTGGGGACTCGCGTTGCATCGAAAGAGATTCATGATTTTCCCCAGGAACTGCAGATCGGGAGACAATGTGATTATCGAAGAGTGACAATAAGGGCGCCTGCTCATTCTGACCTTTTGGCGCCGAGTCAGCGGACTCTGGCGGCGTCGGAGCACAATTCGTGGAGTAGCCATTATGCGATGCCGAAGCTACCAGAATGAACAGTCAGCGCCGTAATAGTTATGGCCTCAACAAAATCAGAAAAAACAAGACCAACCGAACGAGGACTTAAGCAGCCCATCGTGCAAATGCTTCCCCCTTTCCTCTCCTAGCTGTCTAAGGATGTCTTCCACCGTGCTCTCTAGAACCGCGACCCGTTCTCGTAAACTGTACGATGGCTCAGCTGTTCGGGATTGCGACTTATTTAGGTTTACGGGCGCATGCTCCTGGTCGATACAATTCACTCCTCGCGAAAAGCATTCATTGCAGCGTTCGGGCCGCGAAGAACTAAATGTGCATCGGATCTTGCGACGTCGACCTGGATGGAGAGGTATCAGAACAAGCCCGAGGAAAAGAACAAGATATACGTAGATACAGATAACTGCCACATACATTCAACACAGCTCTTTGTCCCCTTTCTCATTTTTTTGCGAGGCGGCTGAATATCAGAGGTTGCTGGGGGTAAGCTCGAGAGGGCTTTAGACCCCGAGTGGTATATGAAGGGATCCATTTGGAGAAGGGCGTAGTTCTATATTGCGGTCGAGAGGGATAAAAATAGGTCCGGAGTAGACCCAAGCTGGAATGCTGAGATTAACTCTCTACTTCATTGGGAGGAATACCATGGGAGATCATATGCAGCTTGACTCCGGAACAGGAGGAAGCTGCCATGAAAGAAAACGGACATCGTGATGCTCATAAAGTCCGTCGCAAACCTGTCCCACAAGGGCTTCTGAGCTCGTTTCCTAATATCAGCATCTCCTATGTCGGGCGTTTCGGACGAATTTTGTCCGGGCAAACGTCCGATTTCTCGTCCGAGGCTATTATTTGTTAAGGGTTACATAAGCCAAGCGCTTGCACAGCCCATAACTAGTTAACTGGTGCCTAGATTAGACGAAATCCCCTTTCCTCCGTAGATAGCTAGCGAATGACAAGCGAGTCCATCCATCATGTGGGACTCGGACCATTTTTTGCTCCGTGCACTGAAGATAGGTACTCCGTACCGAAGGTTCCAATAGAATCCCACCTGCAGCTCTCTATTCTATTCGCTCGCTCTAACTAAGGGTTACTCCAATGGATAAAATATGTACAGTCAGAAATGCATCATAAACATCAGTACTCCGTAGAGTCTCTCATATACTCCTTACCGCTAATTTTAAACACCAGCCCAAAACGTGCAGTTAATGGCCTCTTTAGGCCACACTTCCCATTGTTGCCTTCCCCTTGATGTTTCTGGGCCTGGCAAACAAGGAAATGGTGAAGCTCACACCAGCGGTCGCCACGCAGATAATAAACACAACCTTCAATCCATCCATATAGGCAATCAACACGCCATTAAGATCCTCCGATCCAAAGACTTTGTGAAGTTCAGCAGCACCAGTGGCAACCACTAAATCGGGTCTTACGTTAGGTGCAACTTGAGGGAGTTTCTGGAGGAGTTTGTTCACCCAACCGGCTTGTCCGGCCGACACCCAAATGGCACCGCCCATGGTCTGTAAGAACATTGTGATCGCAGTGACACTGGCCAGATCTGAAGAGGCGACGAGCGCCTGATTGACGATAACAGGTACCTGGATGGCAAGGCCCGCACCGATCCCCACGAAGATTTGATATCCGATCCATTTCCCGGTTGGCGTGTCCATGTCGAACATGTAGATTAACCCACTGCCGATTGTAGCAATGCCGGATCCGGCGATCATGAGATAAGAGTATTGTCCAAAGACAGTGATCAGTCCGCCAGAAATAATTGAGCATATGCTGGTTGCTAAAATGAACGGAAGGTTGCGGATCCCGGACTGGGCTGCGGAAACGTGCTTAATCGACTGGAAATAGATCGGCAGGTAATAGACCAAAACGAAGAAGGGTCCCGCAAAGAAGAAGACGTAGAGCAGTGAAACAAGAATGTCGCGGTTCTTCAACAATCTTGGCTGAAGGAGAGCTCTTTCGTCCATCCACCACTCGTTGATCACGAATAGGATGACCAGCATACCGAAAACCACCAGCGTGCCAATCACCTTGGCATCGGACCATTGCTTCGTGACTCCACCCCACTGCAAAGCCAGCAGGAAGCTCACCACGGCACACATGATGATCGACGTCCCCACTAGATCCATTTGGAGAAGCTTTTCTCGCAATGTCGCTTTAGCCGGTGCAGCGGCGGGCGGTGCCTCGAAGACCAGTATCAAAATCACAATACTGACAGCACCAATAGGAAGGTTGATATAGAAACTAGATTTCATCCGCTGTCAGGCCCGTGCTATGTAGGTGATTATTTCACTGTAATTTTCCACAAGACACTTACCACCAGCGCCATGATACTTTGTCGGTAAAAACACCTCCCAAGAGAGGGCCAATGACACTAGCAATGCCGTAGGTTGCTCCAAGGATACCGGTATATGCAGGCCGTCGATTGGGGGGTGCAGCAAAGGCGATGATAGTGTACGCGCCACTCGCCAGTCCAGAAGCACCAGCACCAGCAATGGCTCGTCCAACGATCAAGGTCGTGCTATTATTAGCGACGGCGCATACCAAGGACCCCAATTCAAAAACGAAAATCGAAAGCATAAACACCGACTTTAGGGGGAAGTATTTGTACCCTTTACCCCATGTGGACTGGAAGGAAGCGATCGTGAGGAAGAATGCAGAGCCGTACCAGCCAACCTGGTCCAGCGACTTAAACTGGTCGGTGATCTTTGGGATTGCAGTGGCAACGATCGTCATATCCAGTGCCATTAGAAAGACCGCTAGAATCAGGGCAATGACGATAAAGAACGTGGCCAGGGGGCCTGGGTATTCCATTCCATCATCCGCCGCATCTTCGGTACTCCCCTCTTCTTCTGGAGCGCCGGGAAAATCCCGAGATTGCTGAGTGGCTTTCCCCGATTTGAGCGATATTGGATCCGAGTCGCCTTGCACCGTGGTGCCAGATGAGGTACTGGGCCTTGGGGTCACCGAGTCCGCTATGCTCAGACCCATGATGTTATAAAGAGAAACGATAACTTTTGTGGGAAAAAACTGAAAAGATGGGTTTTCCTTTTCGAGGAGCTCTTGAGAAAAGGGCTTGAAATAGTTTCCGTTGCCGGCTCCTTACTCGGTGATGATGGACGATGAAGCGACGTAACAGCCGCTCTTATATATTGAGAAGCCATCGAAGCAGTTCTCCGTCGACTCCATTCGGAAACCCGACATCTTGCTGGAGGAGTCATGATGAGAAAGACCACCGGACGAATTCGTCCGTTCGACGTCAATTGTCACTTTGGCGGAAGTAAAGAAGCAGTCTAATAATGACGTGGAGGATTACTTGTCAGGTTCCAGCCCGCTAACTAGACTCTTGGCTACATTCTCAGCTTTCCAACGAGGAGTCCAATGAAGCCGGATGGAGTGATGATTCGGTGATGGCTTTCGTAGGGCTGGATTGAGCCCGAGAAGTTGGTTACGGAGAACTGTGATTCACGAATCGGCAAAAATTGCGCCTTGGCTCCGATGCGGACTCATCCATTCTACCAATTACTAATTCCTGCTTATCGGGAATTTCATTACGCCGTCGCTACGGTACTCCTCCGATAGTTCCTCCGTATAGACCAAACTGCTCATTATCACTCACTGGCAATCGCGATGGAAGAGTCCAGAGCCAGAGAAAAGTCAATAAGATACGTGGACGAGAGACCTCTTATCCTGGCCCAGAGGCTCAACTTTTCTCTCTCTCCCACCAGTTACAACAAGCAGCCGCTCGAAGGAACGGTAAGCAGTGGCACCTACAGATGCCCCAACCCTATTCCTAGGACTGAAATCGGCCTCGTGTACGGAGTACGGAGTCGCCTGGAATATTTCGGGTCAAGACGGACGAGTTGACGCGAAGATTTCCGTTGCTCAACCCCCAGAGCAGATCAAAAGTTTGATCGACATATGAAAGAGCCAGTTCAATCAGCTTTCGCTGTTGCCTAGTCTAAGAGATAGTTTTTGGCAGATGTCTGGGGGACAATATTGAACCTCAACCCTACATACTTGCTACCCAGGGATCCATATCCATTATTTTTACTTTCAAAATGAGTCTAGTTTATCCCAGATCCTTTTGCCTAATGGAGAACGTGAGGTGGGTGTAAACTGCCACGAGAAAGGTTCGTTAATAGCCCGGGTTCTCCTATTTGCATAATATAATGATAATCGATTTACATATACCTCAAGTTGATATAAATGCAATTATGCAAAGAGAAACTACTTTAATCTGCAATAATGTTGCAGAGCTGATAAGGTATTTTGGGCGCAGAGATACTGTGGGCAACAAGCATGTAGTTATTACCTGTAAGTAAGGGGTTACTACAGAGTTACCGGACGCGGCCCAGTTTTCCACCATGCCCAATCCGTCCACCGTTTGGATTGAGTAACTACAGTACTGCCCTCGAGCCGTCGTCCCCGCCGGTTGCCTCCCGGAACAAGACCGGGAGTGGGGGTCAAACCACCCAAGCTTTAAACCTTCAGCTTAGTGACGCCAGACATATGAATGGTTGTGGGCCTTCAAGGCTGTTAAGCAGTATGCCCTGTTTGCTTGTGACAACTTTGCTTTATCAGTCTATTAGTAGTTCCTGGTGAGGTCTCATTGACAACCAGGGAGGTTTTAAGACTGCGGAAAGTGCAGTAATGGGAGTCCTGCGAAAGACAACCACACAACAGACACCTATACAGAGTACATGGGTATGTAAGGAGCAGTTTCAAACCTATTAAATGCGAGGCTTTAACTGTTGAGAATAGGGTAGCTAGTGACATCACAACCAGGAAACGGGAGGGATGGGGGAAGAAACCATAAGGGGATCGGCTTTTCTTTTATGCCTTGTATGGACTGAAGTGGCAGTTCACACAAGGGGAGCCACAACCCTTGATGAGTGTTTCTTTTATTCTGCTTGTTGTGCGCCATCTGACTACTGTAGTTAACACACTACTAAACAGCTAGTGAACTAGGACAATGAATATGTGTGTGGTGGGGTGATTGCGTGTTAGTGTGCAATTCAGCTTATGTGGTGCATCCTCAAGCTTAAATCATGACCAATTATCAAGCAGCGCTGTTGTTGTTCTGGGCTTACGAGGCAACAAAGCATACGTCAAAATTGGGCCCTGGACACAGTATTTCATGAGGATAACTTTGTCTTCTTCTTCTTCGTCGTCTTCTTCTTCTTCTTCTTCCACGAGGCCTGTCTCAAAAATATTACATTGGTTCCTATTTTATTCCCATATATTTGCCAATCATTCCAGGTGAGCCTGTTCAATATCGTGCACCCGGAGCTTCCTTTGGGCAAACGGGGCGAAACCTCGGCATCCCGAACTCAGGCAGTTAGGGTTAATTTGAGGCCACCGATCTCGAAACCCGAATTTTGAGAAGCATACTCGGAACACCAAAATCACAAAGCATCGAATCTACAGGGACAGAACGGAGAAGTATATATTTGCGAAAGTATTTTACGTCCTGAGACGACGGAAACCGCGTGAATTTAAATCTCCAAACGCCTGTCCAAATCTTCCTCGAGTAAATCTGATATCCATCCTCAAAACACAAGTTGAGCGAAAATCTCAACCGGAAACCTAAGCAATTATGCCTCTCACTGAGCTTGCCCTTCTTCATCTTAAACCCACAATCACTGTCGACAATGCCGCTCTTCAGTCCTCCCTCCGATCCGCAAAGCACGCTATGGAATCGTTCACTGGCTACCCATTCCACTTCTTTACGCAGGTCGAAGACCCTTCTTATATTTACATCATCGGCAACTGGACCAGCCTCACCCAGCATGTCGATCAATGGATTCCCTCAGAAAAAAACCAGGCATTGTTAGAAGCTTTAGAGAATTTGCTTACCGTGGAGTGGATGTTTCATTTGGACATTGACCAGCTGGCGACTAAGGAAGGTTCAGAAGGCATCATGCCATTCTCAGCACCAATAGTTGCGATTGTGAGACATTTCATAGCCGCGGGGAAGAAGGATAGTTTTGTGGCTACATTCGAGAAGAATAAGCAGTCCCTGGTCGAATTCACGGCCCCGCAGCCAATCTGTGGAGGGTGGAGGATCGATCGTGAACAGGAATCTGGGAAGGATGGTGCGGAGAAAGACGAGTTTGTATTATTCTCTGGGTGGCGCAAGATTGCACATCATGTTGATTTCGCGCAAACCGAACCATTTGAGAGGTATAAGGAAATAAGGGACTATCTAGCTGCTTTCGAGGTTAAGCATGCAACAAGATGGGAGATATAGGCGCGATGCAGGGTATAATCAAGCAAAAGGAAATGGCTGTTCTCGGCTATCTGATACATGTGAACGCTTTGTGAATGTGATTCCAGAAACAATACTGAAATAAAAAAAATTTTCCACAGAAAGCAAACAAGGCGAGCGAAAGAAAAAAAAATCTTCAGGAGAATCTGACAATGCGGATCCTTGAAATGATGTCACCAGAGTTTTGCCTGAAACAATTAGGATGAAAATTGCAATTTGGGTCGCTTGCTCTAAAACACCAAGCAAGCAAATGAAGAAAAGAAAGAAAAAATAACAAAAGAAACACTGTGAGGCTATGCTTTGATACTTAGAGTGAACGGAAGGCCTGTTCCAAATACATATTGAACAGTTGTTCATCAATCACAGCTCCGAACCTAATTGAAAGTCATCTGTCAGCACCATCTCCAGAGTAAGGCAGCCTAGAACACCCAAGAATACTCAGGAATCACACGTACCCAAAACATTGGACTTCCTTTCTCAGCTGTACAGTCAAATTTCGCAAAGTTTCCGCATTAAGCTTGTGAAACAAGGAGTGCTGTTTAATCCTATTCCATGCTTGCACTGGAGTTATATCACCTTCAAGGTTCAACGCCCCAGCGAGGTCAAAAAGCCGATCAAGATGGCAGGCGGGAATCTCCCATGTGTCATTATCATGAAGTACATCCGGACCATTGGCAAGCAATGGTGTTTGGAAAGTAAGAATGTGACCAGAGAATGGGGACTTTGCACAAGATGTCCTTGCATGTTGTAAGCAGTGGCGTTCCAAGCTTTTCCAATAACTAAGTCAGCAACCGTCCTGATTTACTTTTTGGTGGGGGGGATAGGGTGAATGTACAAGAGAACAAAATCAACTCCAACTTGCGTGGCATCTAATCCGAGGGGATGGCCTTGGGAAGACGTTGGCAGCACTGCATGGTTGCAATGATTTGGTCCTACAGTATGGTTCGGAGGGCTTTGTGAGGCGGCATTCGGAGAGTCATTCGTAATGGCAGGTTGCAGGCAACAGGGAGTTTGGTCTGGAGTTGGCATCTTTCGGCTGTCTAGATCTATTGGGTCTGGCGGGAATATCCGTGGCTTGTCGAGAGCACCATCCACAGAAACTTGTAAGCGCTGCTCATCACCGGGATTCCCAATCACCCTAACGATAGTGGGTGGTCGAGTCTGGGCACTTGGAGCTTGGGCCTTTCCCGGAAATGGGATTCCATTCGCAAGCATGATATCACGAAGTATCTTGTTCTCGTCCACTATTTTCTGCGTCTCCATCGTTATGGAATCCTCCTCATCGCGCAAGGTACGAAACTCCCGTTCGAGGGCCTTGATATAATTTTCCTTTCTTTCTCGGTGATTGCTGGCAGTATAGAAAATTATAAGAACCCTGGCCGTGATCCGCGGAGCTGTCTCACAACTATGTACTCACCGCTGGGCTCTCCTGACCTGTTCCCGCCGTCGCGCATGCGCAGCCTTTGCTGCGTCGGTTTCGTTTTCAGCCGTGAGTGTGCCTATTAAACCTTCAACATCATGCCACTATAGTGAAAATAATATAACACAGGCCGATCCGGAACCATGATGTGTACCACGAGACATAGAGGGATTGGCATCGTTGGTGGACAAAAAGAAAAAATCAAAAGCACAGTTCCACATCGTAACACGATCAAGGTGCCGGTGAGGATGCGTCGAGGGTGATTTCATAGAGAGGATCAACCCGCCGCGGCGCCTGATCTGTGCGGCTGGGGTTGCTCTCTGGGCAACTCATAAGGAGATTAATAGATGGAGACCCCACGAGTCCCTAGTCGACCAACAGCGAATAGAAACTTGACAAAATGGAGCAAAAGGGAAAAAAAATTCCAAAAGCTTCGGAAGCGAATAATTGAAGGGGGTGCAACACTCACCATTTTTCAGTTTCGAAATGCGCCCCAAGAGCGGAATCTTCTTCTTCGATCGCTGCCACAGCGAATCCGTCAAGGTTGTGGTCGACATGTTTGACAAATCTTTTTTGGGCTCTTCCTTGTTCCTTTTTTCCCCTTTCAAACCCGGCTGTTTCGCACCAAAATGGGACACTGGGCGGACCTCGTGAAGAAAACCTTCCAAGCTCGAGACCTTTTAGAATGCGACTAATAAAGATTCCAAATCATCAAGCCCGCATCATGCACAACCTAAATCTGCATGCGGATGATTGGGAAAGAAATGTGCATACACCAACCTCTGAGAAGACTTGAGAGATTCCTAAACCCCTGAAGGAGAGAAAACAAATGGGCTTGAAGAGAGAAGGGTCGTTCTGGGGCCAGAGAGATTGTTGGATTCCAGGGAGAATGGGCAAGGAAAAAGCATACACAAACTAGCTGGATCAGGAATAGGAGGCAGCGATGAAGTGAGGCATCATATTCTGATTTGCTGCTCGAACGCCTTATGTTGTACTCACCATGAGGCCTGAGCAAGCGAATTTCGGCAAGTTCCTGGCTCGGATCTTCTGGTAAAACCGAAGGGGGTTGTTTCGTCATCCCCGTCCTCGACGCCTCAGGGAGAGTGGCGGAGGCGCGACGATGCACCCAAGGTTTGATTCAAACCCTGATAGGCGACCCGCCTTGGCAGCAAAACTCAATTCGCGACACTTTGTCACTCTGTCTTGCCCTTGCGGAAGAACTCTCCCCCTTCCCCCCCTCTTAGCTGCCATGGAAATGTCACTTGATGTCAATGCCCCAGGACTCTTGTGTAACCTGAGAGGAGAGCACATGTGGAATCACATTCGCTGCCTTCGAACGGGTCGTGGAAAGCATCATGGCCGCCTCATACTTACTCTCCCAGCCCGGTCAGCCCAAACCCGGCCCATCGGAACAATGGCTATACCAGATCTCCAGCCAGACGCGTTGGATGCCGCCGCAGTGCGAATAAGTTACTTGCAACCGCTGATGTGCTTGGTGGAGACCTTTACCAATTGCGTGTACGAAGTGCACATTCCTAACGAAGCACGACGTGCATGCATTTATATGTCGTCTGATGAGGAATCTTTACTTTGGGCGCGGGTGGCCCAACTTGACGGAAATCGCTGATGCAGGACACGGTAAAGTGATAGTGAAAGTCAGATAATTGTGATAATTAACTATACGTCAACCCCTTCCCGTGCTCCCTTCAGGGCCGTTCCTCAAACCTCCCGGGACGGGAGTTTAAATGCAGCCACCCTACTTGTTGCGAAATCCGCCGATTGTTTGCCCATTGGTTCAACCGCAAGGAATGATCTTGAATACTTTTCTAACCGCGTCGATTTTTCCGTGCATCTCCGCAAGAGCGGACCGCTTTCGTTCCATAGAAACCTCGTCATTGGGATCCACTGAGATTTCACGTTCCAGTTCCACCTCGTCTACTCCGTACCCCATGTTCAAAATCGGTCCGATCGAACACGATATTAACATTGCCCTTTCTACTCCGTACACGTCGTGAAACGGGGCGATCTACGCTAGCCAAAAGTTGCTCGACAGAACGTATAAGATTGGGATTGACACTACGAACAATCTTTGCGGTTTCGGAGGGTGAGTCGACCTCGAACTACAGTAGGACATAACGAGCCTTAGGATCCGGGCGCACTTTAGCTTGGCCATTTCTTGTTTCGATTGCGTAGGCCACGTTCTATGTGGCGATAAAAGCATGTCTCTATTAAAATAAGCATCCTCTCAAAGTTTCGACAGCCAAGATCGTCGAGACGTAAAACCGGGCGGTGAGCATTTGTTCCCACTGTTAAGAAAACCTCTGGATTTATCATTGAAGCAGAGTTTGCATTCCACTTCAATGATTAGCCGGAGCATGCGGTCGAAAAGTCCGGCTTGCATAACTACTTGAGGCCCTGCCTGCTGATTTCGCGGAGTCTTGTTGAAGATGCAACCGAAACTTGCAGGCCCATAACATCTTTGACCCAACATCAATACTCCGTACTCCGTACTCTATCCGCAAACAAAATTAGAGTTTCTCGGCTTATCATTGAGCAAGGACTTCCACGGCTGCGACTGGGAATCGGATTTTGGAACAAACTGAGCCAATAATAAAGTTGAACCAGTGTTGGGATTCCCTATTTGATTGATTTCGTACGGAGTGCGGAGCACTCAGTTAAATGTTCTGGCGAAAGAACATTTTTCTGGGGGCTTTAGGCAGGCATTTTAAAGGACTCAGCACAGTCCACGGACTTCAATGAGATTTCCAGGATATTAACACTTTTATGTCATTCTCTTCTCAGTATATGGTGCACATCGGAGTTTCGCTGGTCAGATGCCCTACTCATCAGCCTTCTAGCCCAGCATGGTATCCTGTATATTGGACCTCAGCCTTCATTGAGATTGCTCCAAATCGCTTTCTGCTGCTGGGTTTTAAGACGGGCATCATGAGACATTTCCTTTTCTATGCTCGAATCAACCTAGTTCATGCTGGAAAGATCCTCTAGGGACGAATAGAGTGCAATAATTATAACATCTTTGAGGATGTACTCGACGATACCGATCCACAATACTCACGGTCTTCTCTTCATGCTGACGATATCTTTTTCCAAAGCATCTCATTGGTGTATTCATCCCGTCCGGGGAGCCTTCGGCTCAAGAATGTAGTTTCGCTCTATCTTTCGGGGCAATTGGGAAGGATCGCAACACCCGGCCGCACAATCTAGCTCTCTCCCCCCCAAAATTTCGTTGCGCCTCTCAGCCGTGAAGCCTTCCAGGCGGCACAAGGTGATCACAGACGAAGGCAGGATGGGAAGGCCTTTCACCTGCTCCTCAATAGAGACATCCTGCGCTGCGTCTCGGAAAACCATTGACAAGAACCGCGCGGTAGCCACCTCGACCCTCTTCTTTGTCCATCTTTGGTTGCAAGAGATTGAGGATGACCTCGCCTGGAAGAAAATCAGGATTATTGGTGTGATCGCGGATGCTCTTCGCATCCGGGTCTGTGGAGCGACAGGTCTCCCCCATAGAGGCGCAGACAGAAAAATGATACATGTTATACTCCGTAGTCCTGGCACAATCGTCGGCCAAGGGCTCCTTTCTCAGGGCTGCCGGGTGGTCCTATTGACATTGGGTATCCTTTTAGAGGACCGCCTTTCAATTTCTATTGCGCATGGCCTTATCACCTAAGAAGATAATTGTTGGAGCCATATTTCTCTGGGTGTCTTTCTTGACCCTTTGGGCGAAGAAGCGGAATGCAGACAGGAGGTACTACGCACAGCCAAGGTGGCGCACACGGAGCCAAACATCACCAGTGACCATCTCCTGCTTGCCTTCTCGATTTTCATGCTTTCTTATAAATCGACGAAGTGGCTCCCCAACCCTATTTATTTAAGGCCTGAAAAGCTCAATATAACGCTGGAAATATGATGTTTTGATATCCCCATTCCCCAAGCCCACTCAGTGGAACAATGCCATTTGGATGCTGACCCTGGCTCGCGCTATAATCGCCCCTTGCATATTTAGTTAACATCCTGGTGTGGCGCAGCGGGCTGTTTCTAATTTAAGGGCAAAACTGCGCTGCTACTGTAGCTGCATATGTAGGATCACTGTTGGGCAGGTTGGAGTTCTCTCGCCAAACAGTCGCGCATTAAAACTGAGCAGCTCCCGGAAATCAGAGGTGTCCTCCCTCATGATGCAAGAATACACCGTATACCTCCTCTGGCTTCAGACCACCCGATTCAAAACTTGAGGTTCAAAAAACAAGCGCGACATTTAACCTGCTCGCTTCTAACGATAGGACGAGCTCGTACCGAAAAAGCAGCCGATCCATCAATATGGGCAACCGCGACGAAGCAGAGGCGGCTACGACAGAGCAAAATGACATCGCACCACCGCCATACTCACCATGCGAGCCGCCATCACAACCATTCTCCACCTGTCAACATGTATCGCCCGTCGCCCATTTCTCGATGAACCAGTCTGTCTCGCCATATCACCCGTTCCCCACTGCTTTGAGTGCGTACTATCAGTGGAAAATCACTCGGGTCTTCCACCTAGGCGATTCGACCAACCACAAACTTTACACTGCTTCAACACATGCTGGCATTTCTTCGAAAGGGCCAAACATACCCTGCGTTGTCCTCTATAACGGCCCGAGTGACAAGGACCCCGCGCTGGCCGTCGTCAGTGAGCAAAAGGGCTGGAATCTCAAATCACCTATCAGCGTTATCACCCTTCCACCATTAACCCCGTCGTCTGGCCCGGGCCTCAACCTGACCAACGATCCCGCTGCGCAAGGGGACACAAGTTCGGTGACAGAGATTATGCGCGCCAGTGTCTTGAGTGACCGGAAAACTGTTGTGTTTCGCTTCTCGATTGAGGTTGGCCGTGACGGCTTCCGACGCGAGCGATTCGAATGGCGAAAACTGAAGACTGACGACCCAGACTATGCAAAACATGCGGTTAAGCTCTTACGTTTTCGCTCCAGGCCCACGTCGGCCTCCTCCAAGGATGGGTCTGGAGCAGCCAATTTCGAAGGAAATGGTAGTGATGGATGGGGGGATGGCTGTGAGGTCGAAGTTGTCGCGGTATTTGGGTGGAAGCCGGTTTGGTCCATGAACAAGCCTTTTAACATTCGCTTCATGGGGAGTGGAAAGACGGGCGAGTTGGGAGACCGATGGGCCGTCATGGCTATCATCACGGGAATGAGGATCTGGTTCCTTGACAGCCAGAACAGGACCATTGCTACGAGTATTGAGTAAGAGCCTGCGAATCAATTTTACATGACGAAGATTCGATTACACTCTAGTTTGAAAATTCGGAGGCGCCATGTATTAGATGGGGTTGCAATAAATTGGCTACGCCTCAGATATTCAAGCCGACGAACTTGAGCATCACACTCCCTAGCTAACTCCAGTTCACCATCACTTCGATAAAACCATCGATATCGATCAGTCCACACCAATTGCAGCGGCCGCTATCATACGAACGTCTCCTTATCCACTAGAGGTCACCACTCATCACGACTGGGGCTAAACGCCTCGGTTCAAATGCTCGTCTATTCTATCATGATAATGATTAACGGTAACTACATACACAGGGTGTTCGCCATGTGACTTACCACCGACCATACTCATTATTTCCTCTCCGACAAGCCGACACCAACACCTATACCAAGGGCAGTCCCAATTACTACGCCGCTGATGATCCCGATGATGAGGAGCTTCACACGATGACCTCTCACAGGTGGTGCCTTTTCATACACACCAGTATACTCGGACGATGGTCTTGTAGACACAGAGGAATCCTTGAAAGACATCTCGGGAATAAGGGAACTTGATCAAAATTCGTAGGATGTTCAACAAGAAATTTTCGGGCTGCAGTCTAAGAGATAGATCATAATGGAGGTTGGGTGTGAGGATGCGATATGAAAGAGAGACAACCGATTTAATATATCTCTGATGGACGCAAAGTACAGCCGTGACTACTATTCTCGACTTTCGGTCTTAATCAAAGCTGCATGGGATTATTTTACTAACCGAAACATTATTTATTTTGGGGTTACCAACGTCAAAGGATTAGCCCCTGCATATCCACAGCCATCACCAACCTTGCCCTAGACATGGGGCCGGCGACAACATCAAATGCTCTCCCATCTCTGGGCTACATGTGGCTACCCAACAGAGAGATATTTTGATGGATCGGATTCTACGCCACCCACGGAGCCATGCTCCTGCGGTCTCATCGTGTTCTTTTCTTCCTGCGCTAGACTATAACTGTGACATGCCGCCCAGTGCAAATATCGGCCATGTCCCCCATTTTCGCTCTCTGCTGTCAGCAACTAGCTATCGTTTCTTACTAGCAAAGCAAACAGAAAAATGATTTCATTGATTTCTCTCTTGCTGAATACTTTCAGACCTTCCCTCCTGTTCGTGGCCTCTACCATAGTGACGACAGGAGCACTTCATTTCCCCGCCAAATACCACCGCGTCTTCCTCTTACCGACATGGCTACTAGCAGCTTGGTCATTATTTTCCATTGACAGCAAAAAGGCACTGGGCGGTATTATAGGGCTCGATTCATATACAGCCTTCACAAGCACCATTTTCATGCTTATCCTTCCTAGTATTCTGTTTATGCAAAAGCACTCGCTCGTCGCAAAGCCAGATAACACTCCTGCTGCCGCTTCTAGCAGCAGTGTCATTCTCCGGCCGAACAGACACACCATCTCTGCGGCATGTCGCATCTGGAACAATCCCCGGCACCTCAAATTCCGCCAGCCGGGCCCGGGATCTACGCCCTGGCGATCTCTGCTCTTTTTCACGCTCCGAAGCGGCCTTAAAGTGGCCGCCATCGTCATCATAGACCGCATGCTTGTCAAGAAAATTCAAGCACATCTCTTCGCAAACAGCAACGTTCTCGATTTCACACCAGATCAACTTCCAATCATCCGACCTCTCCTCGGTATTCGCATTGATGAAGAGGATGTTGATCCCATCTCCAGACACCAGTTCCTACTGCGCGCATTCATAAGTGTTTCATGGATCTGGGCTAATTTTGTGTTTCTCGAATCGTGTCACGCCATTCTGGCCATTTTCTTTGTTGCCATCCTCCGTCTCGACAATCCAGAAGACTGGCCATCATTGTTCGGAAATATCGCCGATGCGTGGACTGTGCGTCGGTTCTGGGGCCGCTTCTGGCACCGCATTGCGACACCAACGCTTTCTCAGTGGACGCGAATTATCATCCAGCGAGTTCTACATCTTCAGCTCACCACTGGCGTCGCAAAGACAGTAGAAGCTTTTGGGATCTTCTTCTTGTCCGGGTTAGCCCACGCCCTGGCATCATGGCGAACGGGCGAGGGCTTTGCGCACCTTGATATATTGTTCTTCTGCGCCAATTTTGTTGTTGTCGCGGTCGAAATCCTCGTGGCAAGGCTCTGGAAATACGCAGTCAAGGGCACATGGATTGAGTTGGAGCTGCGGCGGAATTCCAAACTGCGTGTGGTGGGGAGAATATTGGGACTCGTATGGGTTTTTTCGTGGTTTTTCTGGATGGTGCCGAGATGGTTGTATCCGAAAGCGTTGCGTTTGTCAATCAAACAGGCGTTGATGATCGAATCTCTTATGTTAAATGCGAAGTCTTAGAGTCAACGTTGAAAAGGCGCATAGTAATTGGATCCAGAGTATGGAGTAGGTAGGCGTGGAGTGATTAATTGTGGAATATACCTTTCAGATTCTATTTATCAGTCTCTGTCAGCCAAAAATGGATATGTATGTACATGTTTTGGGCATAAGCATCACGACGAATTATCTGAAGTACGTGATTAAGTTTGCAATCTGTGGGCTTGGTACTTCATAATCCAATAACAGCACACATCGATGATAAAGCCATGTTCGTTGACCAGTTACTCTTTCTTTCATCCTTTCCCAGTCAATTTTTCTTCCTGTCCAAGCATTATTTGAAACATCCCTATAGCACCAATGCCAATAATCAACAGTTCCCTAAGCCAGGGAACCTCCCTGAAGGCAATTGTCACCCAACCCAAATAAGGCACATACCCTCGCACCATGCCAACAACCTGGGTTCGGTACACATATATTTGACCAGGAGGGTACAGCGCCACATCTCTTAGCTTGCTGTTATCGCCCTTGGTCATGATTAACTGTCGGCCGGTCCCACTTTGGCGAGAAGTCAGCCACCCCCAATCCCTGAAACACATAGTATCTTCTTCTGCACCTTTCGGTCTCCGAATCGAAGGCATGTCCCGGGGGGGAAGGAAGAAATGAATAAAACTACGAAGAAATAAAATAGGAACAAAGCTTGGCTCATACTTACTCGTACTGCACTTCCACTGCGCGATGGACCATCGGCAATGGGTTTCCCTCGAACCAAAGGACAGGGATATCTCCGACTTCCACCTGCTGAGTCCAATTCGAGAGGAAGATGATATCACCTCTCTGGAAAGCGGGTTCCATAGATCCTGAAAGGACTACCATAGCGGGATGGGAAGTGTTGGTGGCTAGGCTGAGGAGTTTCCACGCCATGAACGTTGAAGCAAGGATTCTGAGCACGGGCAGGCATGATGACAGTGCGGTTCGCATGACAGTGATGCTCAAATGAAACCAGTAGGGAGTATATTCGGGGCGCTGCAGAAGTTGGAGTTGGGTCAGAAGACATAGAAGTAATCTATATCACGATCGCAAAGACATCGGCTTGTGGGAACAATTGAGTGACCTAGTGGTCTGGATTGACAAGACTCAGGGGGGATTCCAAAACCATGGCTTTATACATCATTGATGCAGGTTCAATCAACAATGTAAGAATGAACTCATGCAATGCGGGGGCCAAACCCCATGTGTTTGTCGGCTTAGCTACTTCTACGCATCAGTGCGGATGTGGTGCTGTGGTTGCAAGTGACAGCGGGATCTAACCTTCTGGAGATTCCTGAGTCACTCAATCACTTTGCTACATAAATTTAGCTAGCTTCTCTAGTTAATATTTAACCAGTGAAAAAGTTTAACAAAGTGAAGGTTTGAAACAGCCAAAGTAAGCCTTAGAAGCACAGCTGAGGGATGCTACCTGGCCCCATGCATGAGCAACAAAATTTGATTCTATCTTTAAACATAGGCAAACCATGCGAGACATGAAACATCTGGCATCTATTTCTGATCCAATCTCTGGCAGTGTGGCTGTTCTTTGATCATTTTCTTCCATCTACAAACTAGGTAATCCAGACTACTCGTCTTATTCATCCCACTAAAATTGAGATTGCGCATGCACTTGATCTTGAATTCGTTGCAATATGACTTAGCGCAGTGCTGGAATCAGCATCCCACACTCATATGTATGCCAGGGCAAACAATTAGGCTCATAACTAACTACCAACAATTCTGCTGAGGATACAGTAGGATTGAAACCCCTCTGCGCATATAGGGTGCTAGACTCCTGCTTCTATCCCCATAGTTCCTTTATTAGGTAACTTCTGGATGGCAATACTTTCGGCCCTTATCGGACAAATGTGGGATTGTGGCTATGGAGAATTTGCAGCTCCTTGAGCAGGTTGGATCCTTCGAAGGAGAATGTAGTTTCATCATCATCCTTCGCTGAATGACAGGCATTGAAACAATCATATCGCTTTCCCTAAAAAGCCATTTTGGGAGAGAAGAGATGCCTATAAAAGGGCTGCATTCGACCTGTCTAGCTGCGAGTATTCTTACCAGCAACAACAGCATCGTCCGCACTCAACTCACCACTTGCAAAAGATTACTTCTCTATATACCCTCCTGTCCCCAAAATCGAACTTCGCCAGATATCCTATTCACTCTGAAATCCACTCTGAAACCGATCAAGATGAAAGCCATCACCATCGTCGCGCCCGTCCTCGCCAGTCTCGTCTTCCTTCAGGGAGTTCCCGCTCCAGTTTTTGCCGCCCTTGGCACTGCTATAGCTGCTGGAGGTGCTGCTGGAGCGGCCGCTGGAGTGGCCGCTAGTGGAATCAGCGCTGGTATCATTTCTGGTGTCGTCGGTGGTATCGTTTCCGGAGGAGTTAGCGTAGGCGTCACCTGCGCAGTCACAAAGTCCTGCAAACACCGTCGTTCTGCCTACATTCACGCACGACAGATGGCCCGGGAGCTCAGAAAAGAGCTTGGTGTCCGAAGGGACGGCGCGGGCCCTGCACCTCCTGGCGTGCCTCAACATAACTGGGACGACTGCTATAATGATGCTTTGAAAGGCCACATCACAATCACTGGGCCCGTTAACGAAAACGATATTCGAGTGGAGGGTCTACCTACCAGCTGCATGGTACTCGCCACAGTCCTTGACGGCAACACTTCGGGAGGTCCCACACCCATTCCCTGCGGCACTTCTTGCATGGATTGGACCGGCATGACACCCGAGTACTATGAGGAAATCCGCGGTATTATCAATGCCCAAATCCTGAACCAATAGACATGGCTAGGCTTTATGACATTGTCAAACAACAAGGCTGGGGATGCAGAGAAGGCAAGATAATAGAGCTGAGTTTGCTGGAGTTGAAGATAAGAAGGAATTGAGTGAGGGTCTGTTTTTGATTTTCAAAAATCTGTTTCTTGTATTTCAACCTCCCACTTGTTAATATTTAAGGGTATCTGTTCGAATTTGCAAGTCACTGTATCTAAAGAATGTTGGTTTTATTGTGAATATATATTGACAGTTTGATCTTCCACTTTTGCTTGGGAAGCTGTCACGTTCCAAAGAATGGGGCATTATTATAAATATATATATATATCGCCATAATAACAAAAGTGAAAATGCATTAAAGGTGAAAGCAAGTGATTAGTTTGTAATTCACACAAAGGTACTGAGCAGGGCAGCGATGCAATGTATTTGGGGGGAACCAAGGTGGAACTGAGGGAGGTTGAATAACTGACTAACTATATCCGGCTAGCGACATTATTAGTTAACCAGTTAACTAACTGTCCCTCGTGGCTTGGTAAGGCTCGGCGAACCAGCTTCCTTGCCGAGAGCTTAACTAACTTACGCTTCACCGAGTCGCCGATCGCGCCAATCTTGGCATTATTCCAGGTACTTTCTTTTGCCACTCAGTCTCACTTCCTCCATGGCGAGTATAATTTCTACTCTTTTCATGTTGCTTTCTACCTTGACTTGCGAACCGCCTTTTGACGTGCATGTCTCATTTCAACAATGTGCTCAAACCCACTGATGAATCTGGGTTCGTGGTTGGGGAGGAGGGACTTTTCTGCCCATGTCCTCCTTCAGCGGCTCACATTGCTTCTGATGTGGTGAAGGCCATCTCTGCTGATATCAATTATGCCTGACCGAGTTCTTGGATTTGCTTGATATGATGACAAAATATACCCTATAGCCACTGACATCTTAAACGCGATTCGCAAATTTTGTTGACATCCACATGCTTCCTTGGAAGATCCGGCTGGCCAAATAATAAGACTACCAGCCCTGCTTCGCAGAGCCCTGTGGATATTGTTTATTTCTCCTGGTTGCAATCACCTTCCAAACATTGAATAGATTGATTCACACAAGAAGGCTATTCTCTGACATTGTGGTTCCTCCTACTTTAGATAAGGTTCAGAACGATCACACATGACATTGTGATTATACATCCTAGCTTAGTCCAATATCTATGGGAAATTGACCCATCTATTACCCAATACTGGGAAACAGTGGATGTTTCCCGCCTCCATCAATGCTAGACTTGATGCTAATGGATAGACGCATGTGTTTGCTCACATAGCCTTCTGAAGGCATTTGAAAAATGATGCTATGTATACAGCTCTGGTCGCTCCGCGGTTATCACAGTGAAGAAATTTTTCCATGGAAGTTTTATACTATTTTTACCTCTAGCCTGGGCCTGTGACTCTATAGATACTCTTTCAGCAACCTTAACAAATTATGGCATGGCTCCTGTTGTGATCTCCGCTTATGTACTATGCCATCTGTGGGAGGATATCGAAACTGTTTGGTTTTAGCCAATCGCCCTTTCACTGGGAATTTAAACAAGGCTTGTGTGTTCTGTTTCCATACACGCGACTACCTCATCTAAGCTTGATGATCTACGCTCCAAATGCAACCTATGATGATTAGATGCGTGGAACAGCTTGCGTGGGGAGCTTGCCTGGTGGTTGAAATGCGCTAGCTGTATATATATATATATGGATATATATGAATATATATATATATATATATTCAGGGAGTACAAAGCGCTGACCAGGAGATTGCTCAAGGTTAAAAACCGGAATCCTCAGGTTCAACACGGCTCTGCTAAACAGTATTCAAACTCGGAGGACTGTACTATATACTCTTCATGTCTCCGAGAAGCAACGAACGAATGATTTCACTTTTTCCCTTCGAAAGCTCGGGAAGATGTGGCGCAGATGCGAGTTTGTCTCAGGATGGACCCACGTTGCATAGCAATCTGGCCACATACTTCAGAGTCGTGTCCTACTGTATCAATCAGTGCTATGAAAGGCCCCCGGAATGGAAGACTTTCAGGTATAAATAGGCGACGCTTGGCCTTGCAGACGGTCTCTTCCGAACAAATCAGATACTACGGCACCTGTTGCGGATCGATAATATACCAATAGCCGTGTTGAGCCTATAATCTCTAGCATCCTGATAATCGCGCGCGTAAACTTAAAAGTTTTTATTGCGGATTAAAATTCAGGTAAACGTCGTAGTGAGTTATCTACACAGCTCAGCCGTACCGACCTGTCACCCAATATTTCAAAACAACGGACCAATAATTGTTGATTATATCGAGCCAATCATATAAATATGCATCGTCTACGGAGTAGAGATGTATTCGATGCTTTCGTCAGGGTACCATCAAGTCTGGTGATCTTGCGAATGATTGGACCACCAGTGGGCTCAAAATTTCTATCTTTGACTCGATATTGTTTTAGAGAATATGAAGTATCCAAATTCCTCTGGATAATCAATGCAACGGCAACCTCAAGGTCCCCCTCTGGAGATGTGGCTCCTAGACGAGGATTTGAGGCCAACTGACGTATCTCCTGGGGCGGCGTTGCCAGCGAGAAGAAGAAAAGGGGGAAAGTGAAGAGAGATATGTAAAATCACTGGTTTCCGCTGAGCAGGAAAAATCATTGTTCAATTCTCCGCAAGCACCTCTGCTATCCCCGTCAGTATACTTCAAGCCGACACTTTTGAAGAGCTTCCTCTTCTCGAGGTAAGATGATATCTATGTGATAAATATAACAGTACTCGTCTCACATAGAGAGCCAGCCAGCACCCGATCCAGTTAACCATGCACGTCCTCTCCGCCGTCACCGTAGCGCTGGCGGCCTTTTCGTCCAGCACTCTTGCTGCAATATGCCACCACGAGGCCAAAGGTGAAAATTGCATGAGCAAAGATGATGCCAAGAGAGCCGTCGCGGCTTACTGCCGTGGTCACTTTCACAGGAAGTGTGTCAGTTGGAAGAAAGTCGAGGGCACTGAGGGAGGCGTCGGATACGTTGCCCAAAACGGTAAATTCAAGAATGAAGATCTGTGCGTTAAGGCTGGTCTGTTAATTGTCGAACAATGTTATGGAATTGCGGCCGGTGGTTCTCGGACACGCAGATTTTCTGCTCTCGACTTCAGGTACTGCGAGTGGTGATATTTTCGTTTTCGGGAGTGCTTCAAAACTGTGAAGCGTGGAAACGGCTCTCCAAATAATCATGTATCGCTATTTGGGTATAACATAGGACAAAGATGGTGGCGATAATGAATGGAACGTGAACCTTGCGATTGTAAAGTTTGATTTCCGGGATATCTTCACCAGACTATCTCTTCTTACAGACGAGAAGTCCGGGCCGTTGCCGGCTTTGGAAACACGAGCCATACCTAACGCGATAGGAATATGCCATTGAATAGAAGCTCTGGAATTAAGATCATTCAATTCGTGTGAAAATAACAAGTCAAGAAGAGTCGAGAGAAGCTATATCATATTGTTACATGTAGATTCCTTCCCGTGTAAAAAAGACCAAAGTAGCAAATGAACCCACACGAAAATTAACATGATGTACAGTCAAGACACAGACTCCGTTTATTGGTACCCCAGAATTCACCTGTTTTAGCATGCGTGCTTATAAAAGTGGTACATGAAATGGTAGTAATGGCGAGAGAGCGTAGTTCAAATTGTTTATTTAATGACACGGGTGACAAGGCCAGTAGCGACGGTCCTTCCACCTTCACGAATGTTGAATCGCTGGCCAGCCTCGGCGGCAACTGGGTGCAAGGTGGTGCAAATCATTTCGATATTGTCTCCTGGCATAGCCATCTTGTCTTGATCTTCTCCGGGCCAGCTGAGCTGAGCGGCTTCGTCTATAGAATTCAATCAGTACCATGTCAACGAAATTATCGCAGTATTACATACCGGCAGTGCGAATGAACATCTGTGGGCGGTACTTGCTGCTGAATCCAGATTTGCGCCCACCCTCAGCTTCGGTAAGGACGTAAAGCGAAACTAAGAATTCAGTATGGGCCTTGACACTGCCTGGGACAGCGACGACCATGCCACGGCTAATATCTTCACGCTTAACGCCTCGTAGGAGCAAGCCGGAGTTATCACCAGCGCGAGACTCGTCGCAAGACTTCTTAAAGGTTTCGATATCGGTAACCTTGGTTTTGATTGGCTCGGGCGAACCGCCGACAATTTCAACTTCGGAGTCCTTCTTGAGGATACCACGCTCCACACGGCCGGAGACAACGGTTCCTCGTCCGGAAATAGAGAACACTTCCTCAATGGACATCAAGAAGGGCTTGTCAGTCTCACGCTGAGGAGTGGGAATCCAGGTGTCGACGGCCTGCAAGAGCTCATCAATCTTGGTAACACCGATCTCGGGTTGTCTTCCTTCGAGGGCACAGAGAGCAGAGCCAAAAATGATGGGAGTTTCTTCACCCTCAAAACCGTAGCTGGTTAGGAGTTCACGCATCTCCAATTCAACAAGCTCCAACATCTCCTTGTCCTCGATGGCATCAACCTTGTTCACGAAGACGACGATTTTTTGGATACCGATCTGACGGGCGAGAAGTAAATGCTCTCGAGTTTGAGGCCTGTCTTTATATTAGTGCCATTTAAACCAAGATCCGGGAGTGCTCTCGGTTGCATACATTTGACCGTCTGAAGCAGCAACGACGACAACTGCGCCATCCATGTTGGCTGCACCAGTAATCATGTTTTTAATGTAATCGGCGTGTCCAGGGCAGTCGACGTGGGCATAGTGTCGGTTGTCTGTCTGGTATTCGATGTGCGAAGAAGAGATAGTGATACCACGCTTTCTCTCCTCAGGAGCCCTGTCAATTGCACCATATTCCAAGAAGCTGGCCATGCCCTTCTCTGCTTGACGCTTGGTGATGGCTGCGGTCAAGGTTGTCTGTGGAGATCGTTAGGGAGAGATTCGAACAGTGGCTCGGATTGGTACCAACCTTTCCGTGATCGACGTGACCAATGGTGCCTTTTGAATATTAGCTGAGAAAACAACGGATTAAATCTGCTATGCAACCTACCAACATTGACGTGGGGCTTGGTTCTCTCGAAGGCGGTCGCCATGCCCCGAGCAACCAGTCTGTCTCGAGCGAAGACATGTTGGACAGGATTGACGGCTCTCGGTCTTTGCAGAGAGATTCTGCTGGTCCTGAGAAGGACATTGAGAGATCTAGAAATGTTCGACATCTTGACAATCCTTTAATGAAAGAAGAGGTGGAATTGGCAAGGCTGCTTTCCCGTCGTCCCAACTTCCAAAACAAAATTTTTCTGACGCTGCGACAGCTTCCTCTCCCAAAACTTTTCCGAACAAGGTTGCTTACTCAGCACCCTCCTAACAGAGCTAGCCAATCAGAGCGCAGCCCTGGTCTCCAGCATTGACTGCGCCACAGTTGTGGAACATGATTTGACGGGCTCACCAAGTACACTGTGGAGGAACCGCGCTAAATCATCCCCATACGGACAAAGCTGCGGAAGACGAAGGACTCTCGAAATTACAGTATACGTACTCCGTACGGAAGACTCGCAAAGAAGTGGAAACCAATCTGTCTAAGGGGTATATTGTAGAAAAAAGTGAACAAGGCCTCAATATAACCACATTTCATCTCAACGAATCGACAAGGTGCACGATGATGTTATACACCCACTACTTCTTCCCTTCCAAGAAGAACTGGACATGGCCTAACAGTCGTCCCTGCATTTTCTTGCTCTGAATAGCTCCAATTTCCTGTATTTTCTCTTTCACTGCTGCCAACGTCTTTTGCGCTTCGGGTTCTGTAGCCTTTCTCTTCCGAGCTTTTGAAGTCAATATCAATTCCACCTTCTTCCCCTTGGCAATGAACGACTCCATCTGATTCAGCCGGTTTTCAAGATCATTGGGATCAATTGCCCAATTCAACTCAATTTGCTTCGCGGGCTTGGGTTTGGACGTTCGGCTTCTGGCATATTCTTGCTCGCGCAATGTCCGTTTGGTCATGATTTTACAAATAGAGCCATAATTCTCGGATGGCGATATCAACTCAACGAGGGAGTACTCTGTGCGATCGAATCTGCCGAGTACTTGTCGGAGCGGTATTGCCGGGCCTATCGATCCATCCTCCTCCACAATGTGTACTCGCTGATGCCGAATGGCCTCGTCTCGCGGGGCTTTGAGTGAGGGGGTTGTGGGAATCTTTGGCCACGGAATCTGCTGGGCACGAGCACCGAAACGATGCTGCAGAGGCTGACGTTCTGAATGATTTAATCTCTTTAACTTGTATACGTTTAGGGACCCTGTAACTGGGCGTCGCGCGTGGGTCTGAATACGCGGAAGGAACGCAGACCGGAGGGCTTGGGCGGCGGAAAACACGGGTGGTGTGTGTGTCATGGTAGCTTTGAAGAGCAAGAGTGTGAATTGATAAATCAGATGAGAGACTAAATCGATCCTTTTCTTTTGTTGAACCTGTAGCTGCACGACAATTGACGGCGTTAATCCTGTGATGTTTCTGAAAGCCAAGAAATACAGGGCGAGCAGGGATCGAGCCACACTTTCCGCGCCACAGTCCGAGTCTGATTTTGCCGTCTCGCGAAACTTCCAGTTGGCTTCTCAACTTCTGTCCTCACTACAATTTTCTTGTCAGTTTTACGGGGAAAAAAAAGGGGTAGGGACTTAGGAATGTATAGCTGAATACCGTGCAGATTCAGTTTTTACCCATTCTTGATCGCGTCGCTTTTCCATCTATGACTCTTCGAGGGCGTGCCACTCGCTGAATACCCCTGACTGGGATTGTTTTATTGCGTTGATTTCTTGCACAAGCCGTTGTTTGTTCAGGACCGTATGTCCTTTGAGACTACAATTAATACTAGTACTTCGACGCCCTTAGATTCACGATCCTCTCTCAGGCGAAAGCCCACCACCCGAAAGCGTACGAACCGAAAGGAAAAGCGCCTCGAAATCCTGGCCAGACGTGGGGACCAGTCTTTATTGGAGCTAGGGAAAGGTTGCCTAGCCGTCGTTATGACACAAAGCCAGAGGACAAGATACCTGAAAACGGGCGGTGTCCTCGCTCTTTTGCTGTTTTTCATATACATTCTCTCGCCGTCGAGTAACCCATCCACGTCCATCGGAAGTCACACTGCAACGTCGAAATGCACGAAACCACATCACCCCTCGAAGCCTCTAATTCAATACGCGTTGATGATCGATGCTGGAAGTACTGGTTCCAGAATTCATGTCTATCGATTCAATAACTGCGGCCCTACCCCCGAGCTTGAACATGAGGAGTTTAAGATGACAGAAAAGAGGAAAGGCGGAGCTGGACTCAGTTCTTATGGTGGAGACGCAGAAGGGGCTGCAAAGAGTCTCGACCCTTTGATGCAGGTGGCTTTAGATACGGTGCCGGAAGAGTACAGATCTTGCTCGCCGGTGGCTGTTAAAGCGACAGCGGGATTACGTATGCTTGGCCCAGAGCTTAGCCAAAAGATTTTGGAAGCGGTACGACATCGATTAGAAACGGTGTATCCATTCCCGGTTGTGTCGAAGGAGCAAGGCGGAGTCGAGATTATGGATGGAAAAGACGAGGGTGTATATGCATGGATCACGACCAACTATCTTCTCGGGAATATTGGTAGCCCTGAGCAAAACCCCACAGCTGCTATATTTGACCTCGGAGGAGGCTCCACTCAAATTGTTTTTGAACCGATGTTCAAAGTTCCGGACCAGATGGAAGACGGTGATCATAAATATGAGCTCACCTTCGGCGGCAGAAAATTCACCTTATATCAACACTCACATCTCGGCTACGGGCTCATGGCAGCCAGGAACGCAGTTCATAAAGCTATCGTTGAAACAATGCACACTTCTAATGGTGAAGACCGATCTTGGCTTTCTGACCCAATTATTAATCCTTGCGTTGGTCCCGGCATGGAAGCCGCTGTCAACGTCACACTTGCTGAGGATCATCCCCTTGGAGCTAAGCTTCAGGTCAAAATGGTTGGCCCAAAGGAGGGTTCCTCAGCGGCAGCTCAATGTCGCAGCATTGCTGACAAAATTCTCCGGAAAGATGCCGAATGCGCTCTTAAACCTTGCTCGTTCAATGGTATCCATCAGCCATCCCTTGCCAAAACGTTTGCCCGAGAGGATGTGTACATTTTCTCGTACTTTTATGACCGCACGGCTCCGCTTGGAATGCCTGATTCGTTTACTCTGCGCGATCTTCAACATTTGACAAGCACAGTTTGCTCTGGGGAAGGTAGCTGGGGTGTGTTCAGTGGAATCGCCGACGCTTTAGAAGAACTAAAGGGTCGCCCCGAATATTGTTTGGATTTGAACTTTATGCTTTCACTCCTTCATCATGGCTATGAGATGCCTCTTGATAGAGAAGTTAAGACAGCAAAGAAAATCGATGGAAATGAGCTGGGATGGTGTTTGGGTGCCAGGTAAGGAAATATCCGGAATTGATATTTCCTCCCTTCATTTCGGCGTGGATGGCATGCTAACACTTTATTCTTTAGTCTTCCCCTTCTCAGCAAGGATTCCGGCTGGCAATGTCGTGTCAAGCAAATTACTTAAAGATAGACTTAGATTTCTTTGACGACTGTTTCCCTTCGCCCTCTGTCTTATTTCTGCGTATATAATAGTAATTGATGACTATGGCGATGTTGACAAGAAACGTTGATTCAAAGCGAACAAGTTCTCTGTGCGCCCTCAATTTCTCCCTTTAAATGTCATGTTCATTGTTTCTTGGGCTGGGCCTTGTTTTCATACCTGTTGAAGTCTTAACATGTACTCTTCCCTTTATCTAAAATAGTATTCTTCTTTTTGGTGGCAAAAAGAAAGAGTCCATATTTTGCAAATGCGTCCTTTTGGTACGACTTGGAGAAATATAAAATTCAGATTATATTGGAAACTGCATGTTTTTGGGTATCATAAATCAAACCAAAATCCTGGTAGCCAAGAAAGCGTATATCAAGATGCTAAAGGTATCCAGAAAATATTATTTAGAAGGTGGGCCAAAGAAGTTTGGGCACCAGTTGGTATGTTGCTGTGATGGATATCATTGTTCCATCTCTTCAATTATTGGCCTTGTTGTTATGGGTTTATTCCCCATTAACCTATCCAAGACATCTGTATCGCCTCTGGACCACCGGGTGCCCTCACTTTCACCATTGGAAGAATCAGGGCTTCTGTCACTACTAGCCTCAGACTCATCATCCGATTTCTGTTCCAGGACTCCAAGGCCGAGATTCTAGGGTCTAGATATCAGCTCAACACTCTTTCGACAGATACAAGGAAGCACCGCTGACCATCTCAATGTACTGATCGGTCCTTCGACCTTCACCATCGGCGCGATCATCGACGTCCTCACTATCATCGTGAATTTCGGCACTCATTACTTTTCCTGCAGCAATGTCTCTTTCGAGATTGTCATTCGCAGCTCTGAGGGCGGGGAGAAATGCCGCGAGACGCGCTGATAGGTCGGAAGTAGGGATGCGATACATAGGAGGTTTAGGGCGTGTGAGTATTATAGGCTCGTTTTCCTCATCTTCGCTCGGTACTGAATGTACAGCGTCGCCGTTGGGCGCGACAGAACTTAAATCATCACGATCGCGGCGACCACTCGACGATGATGAGGAAGCCGAATAAGGGGTAGGAGCTAAAGAGGAGGAAGAAGGGGAACTTGGCGAGCTTAGCTCGTGTGAGGCGGTGTTGTGGGAGGATGCACCGCTGTTATCGCTGTTTGTCGAAACGCTGCGATTAGAGTGGGGTCGGGGCCTTTTTGGGCTTGAATCGGACACGTCGGTTTCGGGAGGGCGTTTGTTCGATGATCTCGACATGATATTTATCGAGATACGGAGTTCTGGGATGCAATGGTAGCCCGAGACTAGCGGCGAAGATCAGACGTTTGCAGCTTGTTTGACTTTTGAAGCTCCTGGCGGGATTTGTGTCGGGGGCGATGGAGCAACCAAAATTGGCCTTTGAACGGTATGAAAGCTTCAGATGGATCAAACGGTCGAACAAGATAACTTCTGTCTCGCGTTGATCATCCGCAAACAGCTAATGCCCTTGAATATTCGAGGCTGTAAAACCGTTGCGACGCATGAAAAGTTTTGAGAAATCGACTACGGAGTACGGAGTACGGTACTCCGTAAACTCTCTGTAGTGCGACAATCTGACATCATTCGATTCTGCTGTCCAATCTTAACGGGCGGTCAAGGGAACCAGATCATATGATAACAACGGAGTACTGTACCTACCGTAGTGGATTTTAGGAACATATTTTTTATGGTGCCTCCCGGTAGCGTTGACGAAACTTCAGCGAGACGGCTCGCTCAGTCACAGCGGCGCGAGTTACAAACTCCGCCGTCGCCGCAGTCGAGACGCCCCCTCAGTTCACATATTCCTTCTGGGGCTCACGCTCTTCCAAAAAAAATATATGGAATTGATCACGTGAATGACCAACTGGCCTTGTGGCGTAATTGGCAACGCGTCTGACTACGAATCAGGAGACTGCAGGTTCGAGCCCTGCCAAGGTCAATCCTTTTTTTTTTTTTCTTTTTTTTCCTTCGAGTTCTCTCGGGTTTTGCTCGTCTTTGAACCTGCAAAACGGTCGAGCGACAGAAACACAAATCATTAAACCATGAACACGCTACTACATAACTCGCTCTACAGCTGGCTAGCAGGTAACAGTTAATTTATGTACTCCGTAGAAAATTAAAAAAAAAAAAAAAAAAAAAAAAAAGCAAATAAAAAGAAAAATAAATGAGAGACAAAAGAGAAGTGGCCAGATTCGTGACCAATTGACGCGCCACAAGGCTGTTCCCGACATACATATGGAGCATGTATGTAAAATTTTTGCATGGCTCGAATGGCTCTCCTGTAACCGGCATGCTCTGCGGCATGGCAGTGGTAAGTATCCGTGGTTCTGTACGGAGAAGTGCGGAGGTATCCGCATGGTAACTGGCCAAAGCCTAATCTCCGCATTCTCTCTTACGCCTACGGAGTAGGGAGCAATCGTCTCCATAACTAAACCCCCCGAACTCATACCAAGCCTACGCTGATTGGCCTTGGATGTCCGGAATGAGAGTGAAGGGGGTTCTTTGGCGCTATAAAGTGAAGGCCTAATCATTGCCGTTTAACTTGCAGACAAATCCAAGTGTGCTCACCGGCTCGAAGGCGCGCTGTTCTTCGGACTTGGGCCGGCGGGGGTCATAGCTCGTTGACTAACAAGTTCATACTCCGTACGGAGTACATAGTTACTTAACCGCCGTGTCTGGGGTTGACCGCGCCTCTTTCAACTCCTCACAATCTGCGGTATTAACTGCCCGCTCCGGCATCAATGCTTCAGCATCCCATGAAATGTGGATCTGCTTCGATCCTATCCCAGCTTCAACTAGCTTAACATTGTGCTGTGTTTAGGTGGCTGCTGAATTTTTGCTTATTTGGAAGAGCCGCAGGCTGACTTCTCTCATTTACGAGTGTGATGCTGGGTGCACAGCCATCAACTAGCACAGCAAATTACAAACATCCCGGCAAATGGTGCGGACCGCGTGTATCCTGAAAACGTCTCCCTTTCTCCTTTGGTCCTAGATGGTTTGAGCTTGAGTCTCTTCTACCTGGAAGAAGAAAACAGCTGCCGAATGCCCATCTCCGGCCATTTTTTTTTTTCCAGCTGCAAATTCCAAAAAATGCCCTCGTCCACCATGAGCAATCCGAGCATTAGGACCACAGGCCCAGATTTGCAGCCAGACGAGAGTAACGACGACACGAAATCCCCCGCAACCCGCAAATCCCTCCACCAGAATATTATTGGCAAACTGCGGCCGCTTCCTTTCCAGTACCGATGGGTAGTATGGTACGAAAAGCAGGTGGAGTCAACCAACTACGACGAGAGACTATATCTGCTACATGGGGATGTTGCGGATATCGCTACCTTTTACCGAGTATACAACAATTATCCTTGGGATAAAGTCAAGCTGCGAGATTCAGTACATATTTTCAGAAAAGGAACGAAGCCAATATGGGAGGACCCCGAGAACGCGAACGGCGGGTGTTGGACTTTCCAGGTCCCCAAGGCGAAATGCCACGCCTTCTTTCACGAACTAGCCATTCTCTGCATGGCGAATGAACTACAAGCCGCCGTGCAAGGAGGTAAGTCGCGAGCTGCTTTTGCATTTCAAAGAGCCTTAAAGATTTATATCAAGCACAACAAATCTAACTTGTTCTTCCTCTTTTTTTTCGACCTCCCTAGAGCACGATCATGTTCTGGGCGTGTCTTCCTCCGTCCGTTTCAAAACCCACCTCATCTCTGTCTGGAACAAAGCCGGTAGAAATGAAAAATCCATCCGAATACTTGGGGAGACAATCATCGAGCGCCTTTCCCATGAACTACGACCGGCCTCGTCAAAAACGTATTACTATAAACGGCATGACGAGCATGACGGGTATGAAGCTGCCATGAAAGCTGCCATGAAGAACAAAGAGGAGAGTAATAATGCCACAAATAAAGAGACCAGCCAATGTCCATCAAAGGACCCCGGCGGCGGGGATGAAGCTGGGAAGTAAAATAAAATGAAAGTGTCAATTTGGAGGTTCTCGTATACTCTGGGGGCTTAATGATTTTTGACATTGAGAGGGACTCTTTCTTTTATGCGAGGATGAGGCATTCCGATAGATTTATGTTGCGCCTTGCGGCACCTTGGCTAACGTGTATTTGACGACTAGCGTTCATGGTTCGGTTCCTGAAGTTGGCATTTACTTCCGCTACAATCTGCAATGAAGCATGACAACAAATTGGGACCAAATTCCTTCTCCATACCAATCTATCCATCAGACATTAACAGTGCCCATTACACACATGACTAGGGTATATACCAAAAAGCTGAAACGAAAACGATGAAGGCGGGAGTCAACAACTTGAACCGGCCCAACTATTCGTAGGAAATATGCGCCGCGCAAATATGCACCTTGAACCCAAGCAAAAAATCAAGTTTCGATGATTATCCATCAGCAGAGAGCGTACAGAAAATCATTCCTAGGGCTCCGGCTTCTCCGTCTACTCCTGCGATCATCTCTATCAACACTCGAGCCACGGACTGAACTCGCACTGCCAACGACAGAGCCACCACCAGGGATATACCGATCTATCCGGCTTCGATCGTGATCGCGCTCGCGATCTCTATCCCAGTCTCTGTCCCGATCACGGGACCGATCACGAACGCGGTCCCTATCGGACCATGTTCTGTCCCGCTCCGGTGAGCGCACCCTTCGTTTAGGCGAGCGACTTCGAGTAGAGGTCGGTGGCACATAGCGGTCAATATCGAGCTGGTTAGGCGATCTAGATCGACGAGATAGTCGCCTGCGGGACTCAGAGCGGTCTCTCTCCTCCCGGCCCCTGCGTGTCAGGGAGCGAGAGCGAGAACGAACCCGAGACCTTGATCTTCGACGCCGTGAACGTGAACGTGACCGCGAATGAGAGTAAGCGCGGGGACGATAGCTACGGTCACTTCGATCCCAGTCTCGATCCCGATCCCGATCCCGGTTCCTATCTCTATCCCTCTCCCTATCTCGGTCTCTATCCCTATCCCTCCCTCTTTCCTTATCCTGATCTCTGTCGTTTTCCCTTTCTCTTTCTCTTTCTCTTTCCTTGTCCCTATCCCTCTCCCTGTCCCTGTCCCGGTCCCGATTGAAGTCCCTATCTGAGTCTTTCTCTCTTTCCCCTTCTCTATCGTGAGGCCGATAGCCGTCGCCTCGATCTCGATCCCGGATAGGCGTTCGGCTCCGGACACGACTCCTCCTCCGTGTATCCGACCGATCATCTCGATCATGTCTCTCACGTGATGGCCGATATAGGTCCATCTCACGATCTCTTCTCTCAGAATCTCTCCTGTCAGAGTCCCTCCAACGATATCGGTCATCTTCATAGCGCGACGATCGCCTAGTTCGCGACCTGCTTCTGGAATCATCACGTTGTCGGCCTCGGTACTTGTCGTACCGATCTTCAGTAGCTTCTCGTGTTGTATGATCAGATGCTCGTTCTGTTTTTGGACGAGAAGGGATGCTGGTTCGTGTTTGCGCCTGATGTGGTGCTTGGGCTTGCTGCTCTTCCATCTCCAACGCTTCTGCTTTCTCAAAATCAAATTCAGGACGTTGCCGGGATTTGGCGGCAAGCTCCTTCCCCTCCTTGAGAAGAAGTTCTAGAGCTTCGTCTTCCAAAGCCTTTTCGTCCACAGGTGCGGGAGGTTGAGAGGGTTCCCGTGGAGTATCGGACCGTTCCTTTTTGGGTGTTCGCTCAGATTTTACGTCACGATTCCAATCTCTATCACGGTCTCTCCCACGGTCGCGATCGCGCTCGTCACGGCGTCGATCGTCTTCTCTTTCACGTTCTCTTTCTCTCTCTCGTTCCCTTTCGCGCTCCTCGCGCCGGCGTTCTCGGTGCTCTCTCTCTTCTTCATCACGTCGCCTTCTCCGCTCTTCGCGCTCTTTTTCTCGTTGTTCTTCAAGTTTCCTTTCCTCTTCGCGCCGCTTCTCGCGCTCGACACGACGCTTTTCCTCGCGCTCTTCACGTTCTTTTCGTTCAGCTTCCTTTTGCTGTCTCCGGAGCTCTCTTTGTCTCTGTCGTTCTTCTGCTTCAGCCTTGGCGCGTTCTTCTTCGAGTTTTTTCTTCATTTCTAGTTCCTTCAATCTTGCTTCTTCCCTCTCCTGCCTCTTAGCTTCTACCAAACGGGCGTATTCCTCATCTGTAGTATTGCCCTTTCGTTGCTCTGCCATAGCAATCTCCTCGCCCACTTCCTGCCGACGAATACTTCTAAGGGTGTCGAGGATTTCCTCAAGACAGTTGGCAGACAATGCATCTATTGCGTTTTCTACACTTTTGTAGAGATCGCTTCGATCCACAGCGCCTTCTATAAGCGTAGCAGCTTTACCCCTCTCGCGGGATAATAGCGAAGGGTCACGTTCAATTTCAGATTCCGCCATTTCAATTAAAGATACGATAAAAGACTTCTTCGCCTCCTATAAAGAAACGTATCGGAATTCAGTAACTAGTTGGGCTGGCTAGATCTAAGGCATTGGTTGTCTCTGGACTTACACTATCATTATTGAATTCAGCCCATATTTTCTTCCGCGCAGCATCAAATCCGCCCTTCTTCTTGAAAGAGTAAAGCAAATTATCAATGGCTGCGCGCTGGGCAGGAGAGATCGGCAGCTCCGAAGCTTTGAACTTTTTCCGATAGACATTGCCGATTTCTTCTCCCGACCGCTTGGTACCAGTCATTTCAATATCGGACGTAGCCATCGCTACAAATATCCGGGAGGGTGACTGTAAGGGGAAGGATTCCACATTGCCAGGCCTTGCTGGCTGCATGCGCCGGTGTGGCAGCTCAAGCTTCCACTGGAGCGCGACGGATACGGATAAAGGTTCCCCCAGTTCCGACAGTCCTTCCCGACGAAGGGTTGGTGTGCAACGCATCGCGACGACATCATCCCGAATCAAAACGCTCAGGACTCAATTGCGGCCCTCGCTAAGGGAAAACCCCAATAAAAATCAGAGGCCAGAGGATACTAGTCGCCCGCCTTCTCTTCCTGTACATTACATTGAGACCATATCACGCCTACTATCCGCACATCTCACTTTGGTCGCTCCGCATCAACCACATTCTAACCCACCATGCCTGTGCATAAGGTGCTTTTTTGGAGCGGTTTCGGTACGCAACCTTGTATTCTGTGCATAATCTTGCAAAATTACAGTTAATTGCTTCGCTGTTATTACCTAAGTTCACATACACCGTGCACTATATCCCCCGCTGTATAATAGCCGATGCCTGACATATTCTTCTATAGGTATTGCCGTCCGTCTCTGGCAGCTCGGTATCGAAATGCGCCCCTTCTTTAACAGAGAATCTTTATGGGTTTACCCACTTTTTGCGACCGTCGGCGGAAGCTTTGGATACTGGCTTGAAGGGGTCGAATCGAGACAATTGAAAATGCTCGCAGATAGAAAAGAGATGCTTTTGGAAAAACGACGAAGAAGAGCCGAGAGAGAAGCTGGCGAGCCAGGGTTGAGCAAGATAGAGGAGGGCGGAATGCTGGCCAGCACTTCGTAAACAATACTTGGGTGAATTCGATTGAGACCCAGGTGGCAATACAATCTTGAGCGGCTGGTCGGGTCCGATAGAGTATAAGGGACGGAGACGCAGAGAAAAAGGACAGGATGTCCAAAAATATAACGAATGGTTCGGTTCCGTGGAGGCATGAAGAAAAGGACTCTGGCATGTTCTCTGCGATTTTACAATTTCTCTGCGATTTTACAATTGGTTCAATTCTGTCAATTCAACTATGTTTTCCGAGAAACTCCCAAAGGACGGTATGAAAAATAGATGTAAAATAACTACATTTTAACCTTGCATCCCTTTTCAGTTCTCGTTCATTGTTTTCAAGTGCCAAAACCCGAGGAAACTGAGCTTATGCAACACCCTTTTGTTGGATACGGCACCTTTAAGGTCTCAGTCACCTCATTTTAGCATGTAGGGGCTGTTCCAACGTTGTGCAGGGAAGCGTCTTCTGTAGCATCCGTGTCCTTCGGATTCTGCTTCTCCTTACCCTTACTCTTCAGTGCGGGCTCGATCCTCTCTTCTGCGTCCTTCCCATCCCCATCTGCAACGTCTTCTCTGTGAACTTTCCTCTTTGGCGAGTTGGGCGGATCCATCTTCACCTCCTTGCCGACCTTTTCTGCTTCGTTCCGTACTTCCTCCTTTCCATCACCTGTTTTGCCTCTTTGCGTATTTTCAAACTCTTCATCGGCATTTTCGCCCATTGACATTTTTTCGACAACCCTCCTGGTCAGACGCTGCTTATGAAGAATGTCGACAACTTCCTCGCGTTCTGCTTCGCTTGCCCCACTAATGGACACAAAATTGGGTATACCATGGCGGAAATGCTTGATAATTCCCCATTCCATGGCATGACTGATAGGACGACAGCACCCACCAGGGCAGAAACAACCTTTAAAATCCATGTAAATATGTTCTAACTGCAGGCGCTGGCGAATGAATGTTAGGGTTCGGCCCCAAAGAAGATCATTGAGCCTTGCAATGTCTTTCTCATGGGCTGAATCCAGAAAAGTGGGAGTGGTATCGGTCGTATAGTCTGAAGAGAAAGAATGCGTGCTTGCTTCGGCGCCCTGGCAGTGGACTTCCACTTTGCATTCATTTCCATCTGTATCTTCGACATGTTGTGCCGGTCCATTCTCGCTTCCCTTATTGATTTCGGCGTCATGACCTTCGGTGCCGTCACCCTCGTCGTCCCATTTGGTATTGTCTCCACTGCCCTTGCCAACTATGTATTCCTCCGCACCTGCGAGACGTGCACTGACAGCAAAGATCTTCTTTGCAGCCGGTTTGCCAGCAGGGAATTTATCCTCTTGACGCGTTATAGTCTGACCCATCATCTCCAACTGAACACGAAACACACCAGTGAGATAATGGAAGTCGCAAATATCAAATATGATTTCCACATGGCGAATAAGCTTGATGTTTTGCGCGAGGCGCGGGTATTTCTGAATCATGCAGAGTAGAAAGTCCGGGACGACGATCGAAAACTTATTTTCTTTATAGAACACTACAGCTGCTTCCTCGTAAATCTGTTTACAGACACGTAAAACAGCGAGATTTGGTTTCTCGTACTTTTTCTGCTCATCATTGCCCGACCTGAAGCACGTTGGGACAAATGGCTTGATGAAGACACGCTCCGGAACAAGAGCGAAATGATATATCTTTTGACGCACATTTAATGGTAAGGTCAAAAAGCAAGGCGTTTGTACATCAGCAGGTCTTTCAATTAAGTTTTCATTATCAGTTTCCTTGATAAGAGACTGTGGAGCCATGATGGTTGTGAATCATGGCCGCATAGCTTTGTAAGAGAGGCTTGGAAGAAAAGGAAGATGAATGAGAGTTTGTTGTGTAAGAAATGTTAGGAGACTGGCCTGAATTCACTTCTCTTGGGATCGCCACAGCAACCGGCACTTGATGATGACGGTGATATGTTGTTTACCCATAGCAGGAACTAACTGCTGAGAGGATAGTGCAAAAGAGAAGAGTTGGCAGGAGAAGTCTCGTCACATTATCAGGATTTGACATGGAAGCATCTCGAAGCTTTTAGTGCACTTTCAAAATGTAAACATAGGCTGAAACGTATTATAGCAGCCACATAGAACAAATAGACACAAGAAACATTGCTTCAAGGGTATCATGGTATGCTGTGGGAAGAACCAATTGAATAGCTTGAATCCAATGCTTGGAGAAAGATCACAGCTGTTCAACATTTAACTGAATGGAGACCTCCCATTTCTGGCCTCCAGATCCATATCCTCCTCCGAGTCGTTCCTTGATCATACTTGAGATCCGCTCCCGCAGTTTGGTAAGGCTATCTTCCGGTCCAGCGACCCTAAGTTTGAGATTTGCCATGCAAAGCCCATAATGGACCTGCCAGAATTTGGCTTCTTCGACTCCTGAGACAGATGGGTGAGACACGATGTCTTTCATCAGGCTTGAAACTCCCCGTCCTGAGTATGACATCAAAAGCATAGATCCAAGAGTAGCCACAAGTCTTATCCCCAGAGCGCACATTGACACAGCAACTGCCAGAGCAAAGGCCCTGTCCATCCACGTGTAGATAGTCACAGACAAAAGAGGAAGAAGCAGCAAGAGAGAGGAGCATGAGAGCGTTAGAAAATGTGCCGGATTGCTGAGTAAAGAAGGCAACGACTCAATGTATGCAAAGCGCATTGCTTTTCCAATCCTTGCATGGTTTTTCAGGCCAATGGCGGATATGATAGTGGCTAAAAGAGCAAGAAGCGCAGTGATATCAATACTCCCGGAGGAAACACGTCCATGAGAATGTGGACGATGGGACCCTGAACCCGAAGTCTCTAGGAGATGAGTGATAGCGTGAGATATGAGATCTCCGCCCATGAAAAAGAGCAAGACAGAAAGGGCAAAGCCGGCGACCACCTCAGCACGTTCAAGGCCAAACGGGTGACGGACAGTCGATCGCCTCCAGACTTCAAAATTCCCAAGGACGTCAACAGCGACGCAAAGCATGGCTCCCAATGAGTCGAAAAGTAATAGATGTGAAAGTCCAGTCATGGCCATAGATCCATGAGCACTCCACAGCGTATTTCCGGCAACTGCCATATGGCATAAGCTCCACCAAAAGCGGACCTTTTGCTCTTTAGACATACTGCCACGGCATTCTTTTAATGTCGGAATAGGCAACGAGTTGGGGAGTGCCAGCGGTGCTCTTGGAGGCGGCTCGAGGAATATCTGATGAGATACGCTGCTGTGCTTGTATTTGTGGCCACGACGCTGCCCTACGCCCTGTGTCGAGGTTAGCTGAATTCGGTGACCGTTGATAAGCTCAGGCTTACGGATTTCACGACTGGAGTTTTCGCAAGAGCGGTCGGCTTAAAATTGAAGGGCCCCGAAATATCCTGGCTGGCTCGTCTCTGTGGATTCCAAGCGGGATCTGAGAAAAGACTTTCGCATTAGCCCTTGCTTGCCATAGGTTGAACTAGCCGTATCCCATACCTCCAGATGCAAACGTGTCGACCATGGGGGAAAGGGCATCGCGGGAGAACGAAGCTGTCATCGGAGTCGCCAAAGAAGAGCCAACTGAATTAGCAGTCGCGGGTTCATCAGATGGAGGAGTGGGAGTCCGTGGAGGGACGGGGATTGAGGGATTCGAAGCCATGGCTGATGAAGGCTGAGGATGGTGCAAATCCTTCTTCCATGGGAGGAACAAGAGTAAAAGCAAAAATTATCCAGTTGTTATTGCCATGCTCAGCACAATCATATCAATTCACAGAGGGAAATTGGTTTGTTCTGTTGTCTTGTTGTTGTATTCATGATACATACGTTGGTCTAGCAATCCCAGGTGAAAGCATATTTGGTGGAATGCGTTCACAGGCGCGCCTTTCCACATCTCAACCACCATTTGTTGGTCCTGCATACAGACTTCTCGCCACCATCCGGCCTCAAATTTGGCGCTGGCAATGGATTTTCATTTCAGAACAAGGGATAAGGCTTCCATGGTTTCTGTTGGTTGCTGTTCATGGATAGCCGCCGTGCCTTTCTCGTCTTCCTTCTCCTGTTCTTCCTCTTCACCGCGCCAGATCCGCACCCACGAGCGCCGGTGTCCAAGGAGGAGCTCCAAAAGCAAATAACTGACGAACAGCGCGCGTTGTCCTGGCTCAACTCTTCAAGATATGGGGATTTAAATAGCCAGAACGATCGCTGGCTGCCGCTCGCCGGATTAACAAAGGACGACGGGTACGCATGGGGCCTCCTCCCTGTGGTGCAAACTCGAGCCAGGAAACAACTACATTCTATCCTTCATACCTACGGGATATCGGTCCCGGAGCTCTCTTTAGCTCAGTCCCATGATCTCACTCCCGAATCCAACCTGACGGGCTTGATTCTCCCTGTGTACCGAAATGTCACTGGCAGGGTGCGGGGCGATTGGGTACGGTGGATGGAACCAGAGCTCGCCCATCGCCCAAACCTGAACTTGACGTCCATAGCAACAAAGCATGACTACTTCACACATGAGTTTGGGCGCAATATCACTGCAAATGATGGGCGACTCGTCCTTGACTTTCAAGAGGAGGAAGGTGGCAAGGCCTTGGATGTGAACGGCGTTTCCGTCAGAGATATCAGAGCTCGCATGTTAGTGGAGATGAACGATGCCCTCGGCGACAGTTGGGTTGTGCCACTGTTTGGGATACACTTCCCGGCGACAGGGGCAATCGTGTTGACCACTACGAGCGAGAAGTTTGCTGGCATTACGGCTCTGCCTCATTTCGCTTTGTCCAGAGACAGTTTCCAAACCTCTCGCCGATTGCTTAACAAGACCCTCTCTGATGCTCTGGAATTAAAGCGGACCCAGCCAGAACAATACTTGCCTTGGTCGTCTTTGCCCTATGACGGGGAGACAGCGGCATTTCCGACTCCTAAATGCGAATATATCGTTTATATCCAGCAGCATCCTGTCGTAATTGGAGCTACAACTGCCCAGACGTCTATACTAAATGCTATTGAAAATGAACTTCGATTTCCTAAAGGCGCTCCTATTCCAAATCCACCCCCAATCGTGATGTCGGCTGCTATGATTTCTCCTGACTGTGGCTTCTTCCTTGAGTCTAAGGGGCCTCCAGTCTATACCCCTCAGGATGAACTTTATCTTTCGGGTCTAAAGCGTGAGGAGTATTCTAAATATGCGAAACGATTCATTGTTATTATTGCTGGCATTTTTATTCTGCATATCAATCTGCTTATGCGGCAGATGAAAGAATCGTCCACCCCATCAACGCGAAGCCGAGTAAGCTTTTTTACGATTGCGGTGATGTCAATGGGAGACGCTCTGCTGATATCCTTCGTATTGGTTCAACTCTGGTCAGAGGCTTCGTTTCTATTAATCACCGCTACTTCATTTTTAGCTTTTTTCTCCATCAGCTTTCTAGGAATGAAGTTCCAGATTGAGATATGGACAATCCAGGAGCCCGAGCGAAGAGAGGCTCTCTCTAGTTCTGGCTCTTCTCAAACTTCTTCCACTCAGCCAGGTTCCCTTCCCGCACCGGCTACTAATCCAAGCCCGCGTGACACCGGTGCCACTCCAATCATCCTTCCTCCAGATCAGGACAGTCCCTCAGATGAGACACCCCCAAATCAAAGGCAGGCCAACAGCGAACCCGGTGTCAGCGCAGGGGCAATGTATACACGGTTTTACTTTACACTTTTCAGCTTGTTTTTCCTCTCCTCGTGGGCGACTTTCTGGCCAACTCGCCTTGCTGCGATATACGCGGATATTCTCATCTTTATCTACCTTTCTTTCTGGATACCCCAGATATATCGAAATATCATGCGCAATTGTCGCAAAGCGCTTCGGTGGGAGTTCGTGATTGGGGAAAGCATGTTGCGTATTTTCCCCTTTACGTACTTCTACCTGTTTCCCCGCAACGCCGTGTTAACGACGTTTAGCTCGGCTGAACTGTTCGCTTTTGCTTCGTGGATTTGGATCCAAAACTGGGTGCTCGTTACCCAAGATATTCTCGGCCCAAGATTCTTTGTCCCAAAGACTTGGGTTCCACCAGCATACGATTATCACCCAATACTGCGAGATGCATCTGCTAGTGGATCAGGTGAAGATTTGGAATCTGGTGATATCCTACCTCTAAGTTCACTCCGAGCAGAACAGCGGGACGGTCCTGAAAACTCGCGAGACAACAACAAACAAGGCAACAAGGACCGGAAAAGAAAGGTTTTCGACTGCGCCATTTGCATGCAGGACATCGACGTGCCTGTTCTCTTAACCCCTGGAAGCGGAGCAAGCAGTTCAGGGACTAGTGTGACCGAAAGTGCCACAAATCTTCTGAGTCGGCGTACATATATGGTTACCCCGTGCCGCCATATTTTCCATAGTTCGTGCTTGGAGACTTGGATGAGACTGCGACTGCAGTGTCCAATATGTCGAGAATCGATTCCTCCCGTATAACAGCTATGTACATACTATGATCTCTCCTTGCATTGTTACAGTGACATCTGATTGACACACTCTGCACATATTGATCGAGAATAAATAAAGCCGTGAAAAGGACGAAGCTAGGCAAAGCTCGGCCTAGAGACAGATGCCCTAGGATGACGGGGTTCGATAAGCTTCATGCTTAGGGCTACACAGGAAACGACGCTTTTCATGCGCCATGGTCTTAGCGGCAAATTTGGCCTAGATTGACGGTCGATCTACGGAATACATAGACGTTTACGGAGTACACTCACAAAATCTAGGCCGAAGTTACCCCTGAGGCTTCTAGTGAGAATTTGATGGGAGGCTCGACTATGGGTAACCATTTGGTTCACATCCATAATTCTAATCGCTATCACATGACCTCGCCTCGAGTGAATCCGCTCCAGAGGGAAATTCATGCTCTCCATGAAGACACTGAGATATAGCGGGGAAGCAAGCTGGGAATACAAACCGGCGTCAAGTTATTTAGGCGAGATTTTAGAGTTGAATTTGAGGGCGAAGAAGGGGATTATGGCAGCTAGATTGCATTTGTACGGACTACCGCGCTCGGGCTTTAATATGAGATATTTCTTGTGAATAATGTTGCTCCTCGGAATGTGAGCTCGCCTTTTCTATCGTGATGTAGCGTTGGTACTACTCCATCGCTCTAGGGACTGCTTTCATTTACGGCGTTTGGGGTCGGTGGATTGCAGCCTCCATCAAACTCAGCAGCCGAGTTCGTCTGCACTTCAATACCCATTTTCCAGAAGGTGAGATGACTCGGCTTCAATTCCGCGAAATTGAACATTTCAACTGAAATAATTAAGAGCCACCACTCTCCTGGAACTAGCATGTTTCTTCGGCAGATGAGAGGCTCCAGACTCCCTGTTGGAATCGCTCTCTCCCGAGTCCGGTTCCTCAACGTCGAGGAAATGTTTTGTCACGATTCCAGCAATGGGCCCATTGTGACAAGGATGACCCGATCCCAATTGTTAGCACGTCGTATTCCGTACCCCCCTTTGTTTTTTTTTCGCCCCCAGAGCTGTGATGGCAACCATCAATCATGGACCTGTCAGGAGCGTCGCATGGATGTGCTGAAACAGTTCCCGGTCTATCCGCCAATGAGCCCTGTTACCAACCAGACTAGTGAGCATTCCCGTCCTCTGGCGTGTTGCAAAGACTGTTGGACCCACGCCTTCCCCTTGGCACAGAGCTGAAGCCGCTGCCTGAGTAGTAGGGTGGATAGCAATTGATTGCGCTGCTGGGTGAAGCCTTGGGCCACATCTTGAGTCGATACCTGTACGGAGTACTCCGTAGAGGTTTTCTTTTTACTTTTGTCCCTTTTGTCTCGGTTTTTTTTCCCTTGCTGATTCTCGTGAAACTTGATGGTGATCCTCTCTTCATCTACAAGTGAACAGAATGTTGTTACTATGGCAGCTCTGTTTTCTTGTGTTTAACTACCTCCAGGCTGTCCGAGCACAGTTCATCGAGCCGCCTGGACCAGATGGCAGCAGACAATATAGACTCGGCGAAACAGTCACCCTGCGTTGGGATGGAACAGATAGCTATAACATCCTATCGCTGGGGATTTATCAGCCACAAGTCAACATGACAATTAGCTGGCTCATATGTACGCCATTTTCTCCACCTTGACATCTTGACGAGGTCGCTGGGAGAAATGAAGCTGGTTTACTCACTTTCGATTTACACAGCCGATACGGTAGATCGTCCGAAAAAGATCTCGTGGACGGTCGTCGACTACGGCTTCGATCTGACTCGATCGAATTTATTCCAGTTCCTGATCGTTAACGGCACACGCTTTGGCGCTCCGATTGATTCGCCAAAGTTTAGCATTGTAAATGCCACTGACGACACGTCCGACACCACCACAACGTCATCATCAATAATGCCTTCGTCGACGACAGCGTCGCCACCAGTCACTTCAACCTCCGATTCAGAAGCAGACAATAGGAGCGACCGTGGCCTCGGGGCCGGACCTACTGCCGGCATCGGGGTGGGTGTCACGGCAGCAGTTGGTGCAGTAATTGCTGCCGGATGGTGGTTATTTCGAAGACGGCGCCGGGCTGCTCAAGCCAACCTTGCCGCAGAGCCACTTTCAAGGGAATATATGCAATATGCGGTCAAACCAACAGCAGCGACACCACCACAAATGCTTGATTCACAGACGATTGTCCCAGCTGAACTACAGGGAAGTGATGACAGGCTAAGAGGCAAATAGAACTCTCCTGGATACTTCTCGATACATGTTTTGACAGCGAGCGAGCACGACAATGAGACCGCAAAAAGCCCTGCAGAAACTGATATATGTCATCACTCATCAACCGTAAAGCCCGCCTTGCATTTCAATATCCTTCCACATGCTCAGCGAGCAACAGTGAGCCGAATATGGTAGAGCAAGCTTCCAGGCTTGCTCGTTGGTCTTTGGATCCATTTCTAATGATTTCCCTTCAACTTTCCGTTCGCAACCACCTAAACCAGTTATCTACATCTACTCGTTATGCGTCATTAGCGGAAACTATTGTCCAAATATGAATATAACACATTATTATGGAAGTACCCCAAAAGTTTCCTATACAGTATCCATATCATGCCGCTTTAGCACAAGTTTCTAGCAGCTTATGTTATGCATACCAATGTCCATCCACGGGCTCCTCAACATTTTGCTCCTTTATACCAAAAGCAAGGTGACCCACGTCTTCACCCATATCTGAAAACTGTTGGTAGAATGATTCCGGCATCTTAACCACTCCCCAACGAAGTCGACTTTGCGCCATTTGAATCAATGCAACCTTCTCACTTGCTCCTATATCATCCTTGCAATCTAGTTCACCCTGCCTTTGCTCTCCGCCTGAGGGAGGCTGGGCGGATTCAAGCAGACCCTGCACCTCAAACGTCTCTAGCTGAGAGATCTTCTGCGTAAACAGCTTATTTTTCGGTGAGGTGGCTTGGGGCCATTCTCTCAATGGAACCTGTTCATACCCGTCCTCTCTTTCGCTCCCAGCCAATGGCGACATTGAACCCGTTGCCGAAACTAAAGACAAATGACAAGCAGCGGATATCACCATCGAGTTGCTCCCCCCCAAGACCATGGGACCTTTCATCCTCTTGCTGCATAATATAAAAGGAATGGTGGCGAGAAAGCAGGCAATCAAGAGCACAACAAGGATCGATATTGTTGAGAAGCCAATACCAACGTAGGAATCATCGCTAAAACCAGAAACACGAGGCACAGGATCTGGCTGCACCGGATTGAAGTATTGATAAGATTTTTGTTCGACCAGAAAATAGCCTGTGAGGGATACAATATCAGTACGAATCCGCATATAAGGGGGCCCAACAGAACGGATAACTCACCGCCCTCGAGAATGAAGACATATAGCGTGTTTGATACTAACCAGTGCAGAAGTACACTGATGACAATCAAAGGGATACTGTACCGATATGGGAGCTGGAGTCGGTAGGTTGATATTTGTTGGCCTCGGGGGCGAGTGACACGAATTGGGCGGTATTTTTGGCTAAGTGAATTCCACTCTTTTTCAACACATAATCTTGTGTACAATGCATTATACACAAAGTACGAAAAAGACAAAAGCAGTTGGGGTGCGTTAGCCAATATAATGGCGGGCAACAGTAATAGCCCTGAGGACCCTTCTGTATTTAGGAGGCCATTGTGTGGGCTATGAGAGAAGGCTTGCTGTCTAGAAAGCTGTTAACCTCGAGATTAAAGCGAAAAAAAGGAAGGGGGTGTGCTTACCCGCCCTTGACAGGGTACGTGTTGTTTGCAGTCACAAACATGGCGACCAAGAAGATAATTACGCCTGTGAAAATAAAATAACTCCGCACCCATGCTGAAATTGGTATAGCTGAAAGCCATCGCCGATTTCTTCGGCGCCATTGCTGCGGCTGTGGTGGTGGTTCCTGTTGAGGTTGTATCGGTCTGGATGTCATGCTGCTCGAAATCCTGTCTGCAACGAAACGATCCAGTGTGCATCTTGCCGCAGTTTTCTCCTCTGGCGCTGTGATGAACGAGACAATAGCATCTCCTGGCACGACCAGAGAATCCTCTGGACGTGGTGTTGCAAGGACCACTATACATAGGCATGTTTTCGTTATAAGGCAAAAGAAGACGATCAGCAGCACTTTGGTTGAGAGGCCGACTTTGCAAACTGGGTCGATCTCTTGAACTAAACAATATTTCAGGTCAAACTTCAAGGCATTTTGAGACTTAACTATCGGTCTTTTTGATTGCAAGCTGGCCTCAACAAACTCGTCCAGCAAAAAGTTAAAGCTATAATGTGGGTTGATCCTGTCTGCGGGAAGGACGTCGTATCCCCTATCAATTTGTCCGTAAGCACGGCTGCAGTTTTGAAAACATCCTGCAAAGCGATGCGTCCGTGGGTTAAGATCTGCCTCCGTGCTACACATAGAAGAAAACCAAAGAGAATTGCTTTCCGAAGCAGGGACATACGGGTCCCAAAATTGAGCAGCATTGCGAGACGGAGATTCGAAGATGCCGTCTCGCGTCCAACCCAGACGTTTGTCTCTGCTGAACATGAAACTTGAGTTGTGGGACTCGACAACCATCACCACATCACCGTATTTAGTGCGCGCGGAGCAAAACTGATACTGTGATCGGCACTCGGGAACCTCGATGCGTTTCCAGCCGCGGGATTCTTTAGCCGTAGATGAAATTTTCTTAATCACTTCTGAATCATGGTCTAAGTAATCGGTAAGACTAACTGGTTGACCGTATCCCGTTACACCCGTAGCTGCACCAGCGGGCAAGAGCAATGCGCCTGGCGGGAAGTATTGGGCGCCATTGGCGAAGCCTTCTGACGCGATAGTAAGTTGCCACTTACTCCCTTGATAATCGGTGGTAAAGATGGCACTGTTGAAGAACAGATGGACCGGGATTGAGCTGAGGAAAAAGAGAAACGAGCATATCTTCTTAAAATTGGAGATGTAAAAGACGTTTCTGATGGATGGAACGCCGACTTCAAGGGAGATGCTCTTCCTGTGGGCAGAATCCACTTCGCTCCGGGATGGAGAGCTCAAAACTTGCATGAAGAAGTTGGACGAGGCGAGTATTCCCGTGGAGAAGACATTGAGAAGTAAATGCAACCATATGTTAGCTTTCTTGGTGGTGGCGCAATTGCCTCTGAAGAGGATGACATTCCCGTTGATGGTGCCAAGTTTCGCGCTGCTCCAGGCCAGAAGAGCGATATTCAAGAGAGTGAAAATGGATATACCCACCGTGTTGAGCACAGCTGTTTGTCGCCACCCGTTTTGACGATAGCGCCATGCCTTAGACAACAGCTGCTTCATCTGCCGTGTTTAACGCTGCCAGCCAGACAACAGACGTTTCTCAGCGTGTGGCATGTATGCCAATCGAAAAGAAGAGGAAACGAAGCAAAGGAGGGAGGAAAAAAAAAAAAAAAATTCAACTCGAATCCCGCAAATGAAGAGACGGCCGCTCTCTCAACTTGCTCGAACTGCGCCTGTTAGCGAGGCTCAGGAGAGGGGCTTGAATCGCTTGATTCAAGGGCTAGCAGATTCCAACCAGGTCCCTCAACAAGGTCCACGCGGCCCAACAGCTAAGGATCGACATGTTTGGGCGGCCGAGATATTAGCAGTTTTGGCTGAGCAAGGCTGACTAGGGAGTCATCCCGACCAAGTATGACGGGAAAAAAAGAAAGCTGCATTACGTTCCAGGTTCAAGGCTTCGAAATAATTTAGCCTTCAGAATGGCTGGGGATTGTAGGAGCGGATTGAGCATTTCTTGAAGTTGATGTGTTGCCGTGGACCTAGCAGGGCTGTGAACCGTTTAAAGTTTCGCACTGCTTAAGTACTTAGTTACGTAGACGCTCCGTACGGAGGACGCGACGATGAAATTAGCTGGGAATATTGATGCGGCTTTGCGCAAATTTTCCTTTGGGTGGTAGGATTAGGATGTAGAATCTGTTGAAGAAAGATGTATGTACAGAACATCGTGTATGCAGCGTAGTTAGACGAGATAGAAGCAAAATAGCAACCAGCTCGAATCGCTCCCAGTTCTACGCTCTTTCAGCCCGAGGGTTAGAGCATTTAGTACAAGATCATGTAAATCATAGACCAAGAGAACGTAGAACAACGACTTATACTTCGACATTTCACGCAATGGACGTCGAAGGATGGAAGAGTGTTGAGACGACAGCCGGCGAATTCCAGCAATCGATAATGCGAGGGACGACCATTCCTTGTGGGCTTTTCTAGTCCTTTTTATTTTTATTTTATTTTTATTTTTTTTTAAACAAACGACACAAACGGGGAGACCCTAAATGAGGCGCATGCATCTCAAGACAATCGGCAATGAAAAGAAGTTCGCAGCCTACTCCTCTTCCTCCAAGGAAGCTTTATAAGCGGCCTCATCCATCAATCCTTCCAATTCAGTCTGGTCGGTGACCTTGATCTTGACAAACCAACCGTCAGCCTCAGGAGAGTCGTTGACGATCTTTGGTTTCTCCTCCAACGCAGTGTTGGTCTCAACGACGGTGCCAGAGACCGGAGACATGATATCGGAAGCAGACTTGACCGATTCCACGGCGCCAATGGTTTCTCCAGAACTGACTTCGGATTCAACAGCGGGAAGTTCGACGAAGACAACATCTCCTAGGGACTTGGCAGCGTAGTGGGTGATACCAACAGTGGCTAGAGAGAAGTGTTAGAGAGGGATGGAGAGGCAGGGACGTTATTAGAGGGCGGATTTAGCCGTACCGGTAGTGTTATCTGCGGACAACTCGACCCATTCATGCTGCTCGGTGTATTTCTTCGCCTGGCCTGATAGTCAATCGAGTCAGCAAAAATCGTTACCAAGGTTGAAGCGCATCTGGCGGTGTTATGCGGCGAATGTTGTGAGAAATGAACCAGGCGGAGATATAAAGTCATGGGTCAATTATGCTATACGTACAGAAAGCGCTCTGTGAAAAGCCCCTCCTGGTATTATAGAATGCATTCCAAGAGGGAGCGGCATAGCGGAGGGGAGAAGAGCACACTCGGACCTTGGGAGCTGCCGCAAAGGCACTCCACAGCGGGTTCACAATTCGAACGGCAGCCGACGACATTCTGATGGCGCAATTGAGATACAGTGGGAAATGAATTGATCACAATGGAATTGAATTTTTCTTTTTTGTTTTCACTCTCTGGTGAGTAACAATGTTCTGTTGTGTCGATGCAAGGATGCGACAGCAAAGCTAGTGTGGGTGGGAGAAATGCTGCTTCATTCGGACGAAAAGAGTCTGGAATTTGGTCATTCTCCGACGGGAAACTTGGAGTCGGCAGTATTTTCAGAGCCTGTGAAAGGCCAATTGTTCAGAGAACAAACTAGATTACCAGATGAGCTCTAGAGTACCATAATTCTCAGTATTTTAACCTTTTGTGTGGTTTTATCCTCTGTGAAATTCTGTGAATTGCAATGCCTATCTGCACACATCAACAGCCGCTCTTATCCTTCTCATGGAGCTGGGGACATTGGTAATACCAATACCTGACCTGACAAGTTGCTTGTACGCTAAACTGCAACGAGATATACGGGAGAAATTCAAGTACCATATGTCCCAAATAAATTACAGTAACGGAATTGATACAATTATCTGAAAATTAAATACAGCGTCTCTCAACCCTCAATCTTCATCTTCTTCACCGTCCAAACCCGCCCTCCGCCACCTAGTCCATCTCCTCACGTTTCAACAATGCTATACGAACTAATTGCAATTGTACGTTCGCAGTCCATACTGCTTCCATCTCCCAGAATCCGAAGGTCTCTAACTGTCATCTTCGCAGGTCCGTCCGGGCAGTCTCAATGAAGTAAAAGAGTAAGCTCTCAACTCTCTTTACACGTCTCCCTAAAATCCCGCCCATCCCCCCCGATAAAAAGGAGCTCACCCAACACCTGTCTTTAGAATTGCCCGCACCGCCGGTCTCCAAGTCCTCCGCTCCGGCGGCGTCGTTCGCGGCTTCACAAACTGGGGTGCTTTCCGCCTCCCACACCCCACCACCAAGCATCAAGCACAATACACCACAGGCTACCACTTCATAATGCGCTTCGACAGTTCTGGGCCCGTGCAGCAAGAAGTCCGTCGCACGCTGGGGTTGGATCCCCGGATGATCCGATTTTCCGTGGTCAAGTTGGGTTCGACGCTGGAAGAGATCAAAGATGTGGAGGGTAAAGTGAAGTGGAATGATAGACAGAGACTGCAGGACCAGATCTAGGGGATCCGTGTTCACCCGGTGGACGGGCGAAAGTGTGAAAACTGTCGGTGGTGGGAGATATGGGTCTTTTGCGACTGTCGTTATGATATACACATTTTGGCCGTGGGGGCTCACTGGCGTTTTGAAGAGTTGCATTGCATTCTTTTTTGTGTCTGTTTCTCGATTTCGACGACAAACGGGGTTCTTGTATACCAATTTTATGCTGGGATATGGCGGTCCATAGGTGGACTATGTACTATAGAACTTTTCTTCTTACTCTGGCTCAAAAGCGCCTTGCATTTCAACGGAGTGTTGCATTGATCCCAACGCCGAATCCGGTATCTCCATTTTCTTTCTCGATGCCATGCGATAGCAGGCAAACAAAAATAGTGGTACAGTGTTCCGACTCTATACTCGGAGCATTAAAAAAAGACACGGGAAGTGGAAAAGAAAGACTATACGCAGAGAAGAGATAATATTTCTCATCAGAAGCGAGGGCCGCCCGAATTTCATCCGTTAGTTGCAAGAATAGAAAGATATGGAACGAAACCACCTGTATATGGCCCAAAAAAGAACAATTGACGCCATTCAAAATGTGATAAGTCCCTGGTATATAATATGGCAAAAGCAAAGTAAAGGAAGACAGTTGAAGAAATGCAAAGTGCTTTAACGGAAAAGAAACAAGTAAGTAAAGGATGGTTAAGTTGTTGTGATCCTAAAAGAGACGCCAACTTTTCGCTCTCTCTTTCGAGAGTGAGCCTCGCTGCTGGGAATTCGGTTTGCTCCTTCCCTCCAGCTGTCTTAAACTCTCAATCTTCTGTAACACTAGCTCAAGCATCTCTTTTTTCTGAATTATATCCAAATGACGACGAATCCGCGGGTCTTCGCGCGCAAATCGCTCAACTTCTGCGTCGGAGAGATGGCGACCGAGCCTCAAGTCCAGTTCACGAGGGAAATGGTAGTAAAATTCGGAAAGAAGCTCCACGTTGAGGAAAAGGACGGCTGTGGCGGTGAGTTTGTCGGCAACAACGTCGAGGAATATTTCCGGACAGTAATATTTGTTCTTCTTAGAAGCGCATTGCTTTGAACGAACAGCCAAGAGCCGCATCTTTATGATATCGGCCCTGTCTCGAAGGAAGGCACCCTCTCGACCTAATATTACGTGAGCTCACATCCCAAAGTCAACTAGGAACGGGGCGAAGATACAAACCTTTTTGTATCAGGGCAGCACTGAATCCGCCTGCTCCCCCAGTACCATCACCTTCAACTTGAACATCGCCTCTTCGCACTTTGTCAACAAAGTTCATGACGTCTTTGAGTTTACGTTTTCCCACCGAGTCTTCAACATGCTTCAATGCCGATTCGCAAGCCTTTAGCTCTTCTTTCAATACCTTACCGACATTCTCTCGGCCTTTTGTCCATTCAAAGTCATCAACTTCGATTTCGTACTTGTATGGTTTGATACAATTCTCAACCTGATCGCTCGTGCTAAAAAATCGGTCATTCAGGATGCTCGTAGTGGCATCTCCAATGGCCTTTTGAGCGTATGGATGTGAAGCAAATGTGGAGCAGGCGATCAAATCATCGACGCGATTCTGCAACGCATTTGCCACAACAGTAGTGGCCAGTCGTCCAATCCCCAATTTTGTCAAGGCTGAGGACGAAGCATCCAACTTTCTGTGCCAATAGAGAGACTCTGGATCGGCTTTCGGTAGGTCTGTGAGGGGATCGGGATCAGGAAGGGGAGGTGATAAGTCATCGATGGGTCGATTCCAATATCTCTGGGCAAGAATATCCATCACACGCTGGTCTAGATGAGCTTTCAGCAATTCTCGCACCTGTGGGCGGCCGAAACTTTCAGTGAATTCTTTAAATGAATGCTTGAAACTGTCCAGGCTTTCCGCAAGGTACGACTCTGCGCTCAGGGGCCGGTCATTGTACTGAACTTTGAATTCATATGTCGCCTCCTCCAGCTCCTGCGACACCGCATCCCGTGTACTGGCCAAATTGGCCGCCATGGTCTGCTCCAAAACACGCATCAATTTCTTTCTCAATGTTGTCGTCCCAACTAAGACCTCAGCGCCAGGTCCAAACTGCTGAGGGTGGTTGCCGAAATACGTATTCTCATTCTTGACAATAGCATTGGTTAAATTACCAGAACCTCTTGAGAATAATCCCGAAGTAGGAGGAATTCGTGAGATTATTCCCACGTATCCCAATCGCAGGGGGTATTTCTTATCTGAGAGTATACTGGCCCCTCTATCGGGATCGACAAGATCCATCTTCGTAACAACCCCGATTGTACGTTCTCCTCGTGGATCAACACGACGACTAGCTCTTAGTGCTGTCGAGTTTGCGAGGTCAACGTCTGCTGCAGAAATTGCGAGAATGATGTTGGGTCCTTGGATATACTTGTCACAAAGATCGGAAATCTTTTGCTTCAGTTCCGCCGGCTGGTCGCGGCCGGCAACTTGAATATAACCAGGTAAGTCGATAAGAGATAAATCGGGCACGTGGGGTGAGTATATTGAAAGCTGAATAGGATCATCCGCGACGCAATCTTTCTCCGGTACCGCCAGGTTTAGCTCTGTCAAAGTACGCTGGATGAGGCTGAAATCAGTGATTTTGCCAAGACCCAGAGCTGGAAACTCTCCATATTCAGCCTGAGAGTTTGGTGTATTGATTAGAGTCAATTCAATAGGTCTCCTCGTCACCATATTCAATCCTTTGGGGAGGAACTCATGTCCAACAATGGCCTCTAAAACCGAACTTTTCCCGGAGGACTGTGAACCAATAACAACGATAGAAGGGAGGGTGAGAGAGTTTGATTGCCCGATGCGTTGAAGCATGTTTCGGATTTCGATCATCTTCCTCGTCAGAGTCATCATTTGCTCGTCCACTGCTCGCCGCCCTTCCGCAACTTCGTCGTCTGTCGAATCGTACCCGAGAGCCGAGCCGGTCGTCGCGCCTGCCACCCCAGCGGCACCAATTCTGCTCTTTTTAGGGCCACCACTTCCACCAGCTCCATCGCTACCGGACCCGCCGCCGTTTTTCTCAGCATGCTCCTCCAATCGAAGTATCTTCTGTGCCCACTCGGGTAACTCGATCCCTTCCGTCGTCCTCTCCCATCCTCTCTGGGTCTGTTCTGCTACTCCTTGGATACCCTGAATAGCGCTAGATGCAATTCCTCCAGCCGTTTCGCCAGCGGATTTAAAAAAATCAATGACATAATTCCCCGCCTCTGGGATATTGTAAATGCACGGGTTAGCCCCATCGCCATGTATTTCCACATCGCCTTCCGCATGAGAAAAGGGAATAACGTACGAGAAGCCTGATACTGCAAATACGCCAACCCCGCAATCATCGCTCCACCAAACATCGCCGGAACCCGCACTAACTTCATCGCCAACTTTGGAATGATCCTCGCAAACGAGATCGTCCGCACGGCGGGGACATTATGTATCCAATTCTGCCGGATCACCGAGGGGAGGCGTGCACGTAGGTAATATCCATTTCCCTGCGTGCGTAGGAGCCCGCCGGACTGAATACCGCCTGCATGATGGAGACGTCGGGCGGCCAAAGCGCTTCTCCTAGATAACAGCGCGGAGCTGCGGGAGAGTAGTCTCCCACTCATGATTTCTTTCTCATGTGTCTATGGGATATGCAAGCGTGTAGCAGTGATACGCGTCAACTGGGCCCGTGTATCGTTGAAGCATGCCGGCTTCTGGCTCGAGAAACCGCGTTCGACGCTTTTGGGTGGTTACCAAAAATGCCGAGACATCTGGAGTATCTGACTAATCAAGTATTATTTAAACTAGCCATATATGTACTAGCATAAACCTTACCCTGCTGGAGAGACTTTCACGTGACACGGGTTGCATCACGACATTCGAAGCTCCGATTTGCACCAACGCAGAGGAGTCACCAATAAATGCGAGGAGCCGGGGACGGAGGACAAGAGGTTTGAAAAAAAAAAATAAACTATCTGGTTATTCTTGTCTCTTCTCTCTATGATAAGATCCCTCGATTCTCTTCCAAATCTACTTTTCTGCGAGCCAGAAAGCCTGCTGGATATTGTGCATTAGGAGCTTTACCTGTGTGTTGGCAATCGAGAAGGTGACAGCTCAGCTAAAACTAATGATATAGGCAACCTTATCTCGAGTTAATGCAGACAAAATTGTTTTCCCAATCTCATTATTCATTGATTGCTTGTCCTTTTCTTGTAGTTGTCTCCAGGTGAAACAACAGCGCAGATTGCGAGTAGCGTAATCCTTTTTTTTCTCCCCAGTGTGATTCACCACCTTGACCGGCCGCTAGTCTGTTTGCTTTCGAAGATTTGACAGGTCATTATTACCCGCCATGTGTCGTTTTCTCGTATGTACTGAGATTTGATATTTATCGAAAGGCACCCTGATCCGAGTCGCTAACAAAATCACAGGTCTACAAGGGCAGGAATGACATCCTCTTGAGCAAGCTCATCACCGAACCCTCTCACTCCATCCTTACACAATCCTATGATTCTCGGCTCAGACTTGTGAGTCACCTCATCCCCGGCGTGGATTCTGCGGACAGCGCTTTCTGACACTCGCGTCTTGTTTTCAGGACACCCGCCGCCCGGTGAACGGCGATGGTTTCGGAGTAGGGTTTTACACAGATCCAAAACTCGGCCGCGACCCTTGCATCTTCACCTCGACATTACCCGCCTGGAATTGCGAGAACCTCGAACGCATAGCCTCGAAAACATGCTCATCCCTGGTCTTTGCGCATGTAAGGGCTACCACTGAAGGAGCCCTTGCAGATAATAATTGCCACCCGTTCCAACACAACACGCTGATGTGGATGCACAATGGAAATTTGGGAGGGTGGAAATATATCAAGCGCACTCTGGCCGATTCACTCGCCGATAAATGGTATCTTGGCGTAAAAGGGGGCACAGACAGCGAATGGGCCTTCGCCTTGTTCTTGGATCTAATGGAGCGCGAAGGAGTCAACCCAAGCGACGCACCGGAAGGCGGCTTCGGTCATGTGCTTTTACGCAAAGTCATGAATAGGACAATAAGCAGAATCAACGAGATGGTGGCGAACATCCCAAAAGATTGCCCGATGACCGACGTCGAGACCAGAAGCCTCCTCAACTTTGCCGTCACAGATGGCCACACCGTAGTCTGCACGCGATATGTGAGCAGCAAGACCGATGAGGCTGCAAGTTTGTACTTCTCGTCCGGGACAAAGTGGAAGGAAGGGAAAACGAAAGGACACTTCAAGATGGAAAGGCACGATAAAGGGGCCGATATTGTCCTAGTTGCGAGCGAACCCCTAACATTCGAGAGACGTAAGATATCCCAGCTCCCCCTATTTTACCCGATAATTTCGCTGGTCAGAGAAGACGTGCTTTTGCTAACTATGTCATTACAGATAACTGGGTGACGGTACCAACAAATTCTATGCTTACCATCCACAAACAAACAGTTCTTATCCATCCCATCATAGATGAGTTTTACGATGAGGATCCAAATCACGATCGCTCCGCCGGCTTCGCAGTTTCCAAGGGCTTGGTTAGCAAAGCACCAGGCACGACTGTTGCCCTGGGAGAAACGGGGACTCCGAACACATCTGAGTCAACGACCCCCATTGAAGAGCCCATCGATCGACGGCAAACAGATGAGGTGCGCAGGCTTCACTTGCTAAATCGAAAGATGGCACAGGCCAGTCTTTAACGCGATCGTGTTCAAACACTGATTGATTTCTGGAAATTCCTGCTATTGGCTGCTGGCGTCTCTTTGAGCCGGCCCCCAAAAATTGTTGATTTTTACAAATAGTTATACCACTGAGCGGGCGTCCTTTAGATATAGGTTGGTGTCTCGGGCGTCTTAAGAATCTATTATAGCATGTTAGCAAGCTTTTTTGGGTATCACACAAAGATATTTATTTCAATCTTGCTCGCCTTTTTTTTTAATTTCCCACAGCTCCCGCGAGATTACTTACCATATCGGGCGAGAAATCCAAATTCAACCGGATAGGATCTGTCGTAATAACATCCAAAACGCAATCTGCGCAAACCAACTGAGGGCCATTCATATATCCTCTCCCGAAATATTGGCATGCCGAAAATACTTCATTCCCATCCACGCCACCACCACCCAAACCCACGCCATCACCGCCGTCAGTATAATCAGCGCTGGATAGTATCCCACAATTGGCAGCGTTGGATCATCCTCTAGCTCCGGCGGCGCATAGGGTGTCTCTCCAACATCCCATGCCCAGCTCCATACCCCCAGACAGCTGCCCATGCCCACGACAAACACCACCCACGTCACGACCAGTATGATCCAGCCCCACCATTCGGTCTCGGAGTAGTCCCATCCTTCGGGGGAGGAGGCCATTTCGGCGGGGTTTGTTGCGAGCGGGGACCGAACGCGCTGGGAGGGAGCGCGAGGGCGGGATTTCGCGATGGTTCCGGCGTCGTTGGAGCCGAGGGGTGGGAAGTAAGAGTCTGAGCTGCACGAGAGGGTGGGAATTGATAGCGGGATGCGGCGCGGGGGCAGGGAGGATAAGGCGGAGATGCTGCTGGTGCTTGTTTGACTGGAGAGGCGCGAGAGGGAGTTGGTGAGGGGCGGGAAGGAGACCAGGTCGTCCTCGTCGGTGGGGACATCGTCGCGCAGGGAGCTCATTGTGCTGCGGGCTTCCGAGGCCGAATGTGAGGTGACTTGCTGTACGGGTTTCTTCATCTGCTGTTGATGCTGTGGCTGCTCCCGCCCTTGGGATGGATGGTGATTCCAGGCCGGCTGGGGAGATGGGCGGACGGGAGGCGTAGGTGGTCGTGGAGGAGCTCGTTGATCGAATGGCCGCGAAGCCATTGTTGCACCTTCATCGTGTCCGACAGGTAGAGAGAGATCAGGAAAGCGCGTTAGACCATCGCGGCTTGTCTGCTCCGCGCCCGTGTCCTTGTTTCGGTCGATGTCTTTGTTGGGAGAGACATCGCGAGAGACCTCCGCAGCCCGGCTGGGCGGGCCCTTCTGGGCCATTCTCAGGACTCCCGTCCCCAACAGCGCTGTCTTTCTCAGGGAGCCTTTTCTCCTCCTCGTCCTTATCTGCTGCTGCAACGCAGTGGCCATAGCCCTCCCTCCCCCCGCTCGCGCCTCCAATATCTCTCGGCCCAAAAATGGCCCAGCATCCTCGCCCTGCATCTGGGCCGCGTTTTCACCGCCGCGTTCGGCAACATTACCGCTCGACTGGTTCATACGTGCAAAGGTAAATTTGGAAAATAATGACGACGAAAAGCTTCGTTTGTGCAGCACGCTGGAGGCGCTGCCGGATCTAGACCTTCGACCGGCTTCATTGTTCCCGCTGCGGTGTGGAACTGGCGCTCCTGGTTGCGCGCCTCCATTTTCCATGGAAACCGGCGGGGAACCAAGGGGCGGAACTTAGACTCAAAGGCACGGAAAAGACCTTGGGCCAAACTTTTTTGTGTCGTATATTCAGCGCAACAGGAATCAAGCCGCAGACTGATATATTTTCGTATGATAGTGTCGGTCTGAAGACAAGCAATTGGTTTTTAGATATTGGGCTGGGCTGGCGTTGAGCGTACGCTTCTGGGCCAACCTCCTTTCCGTCCAATCACCTCAAAAGCCCTCCATTTTTTTTCTTTTTTTTTTTTTTTGTTTCCAAAGCTCCTTAAAACAATCCCTTTCCACGAAAATCACGACCGAGTACTATATAGATCTTGCGATATCTGTAATCTAAATCTTTACTCTATACTCCGTACTCAGCAAATATCTCAGAATTAACGGGACGAGATACCGCTTCTGGCGCATATTAGAAATATTTCATTGACTACTCCGTACCTTCCTGGCCAAACCGAGCCCAGCTACCAAAGTAAATGACCATCCCCTTGGTTTTCTACTCTTCTATTTCTGGGTTTCTCAAAGAGCTCAGATTTGAATACCTTGATATTCACTATCCTCAAGCCTTGTAAGCTAATAACTAACTACCATTCAAGTCTTAACTGGATTTTTTTTTTTTTTTTTTTCTTTTCTTTTCTTTTCCTTTTTTTTTCTTTTCTTTTCTTTTCTTTTCCTTTTTTTTTTTTTTCCTCTTTTTTCTTTTCCTTTTTGCTTTGTTCTCAATATCAACAAGCCATTTTTACCAATGCCACGATGCCTCGATCAATGTAGAAGGTTGACAGGGAGCTTTAAACGATGCCTTAGATCCAGGTTCCAGGCGTTCAGAGTCTTTGCCACAATAGTTAATCCCTGAAGGGTCAAGATTACACCGTAGCACCCCACACTCGCATCCTTGGATCCCTCCATGCTGTTTACTTCGCCTGAGTCCACTCCACGTACCGCGGTGTGCCGCTCTTCGCAGATGCCAGCAACATATCAAACTCTGCCTTCGTAGCATTCTCTCGAAGCCGCAGAGGCCACTTGGGCGCTATGGTATTAACCCCCTTGATCCCCATCTCGAAAGCCTCGCTCAACTTCGAGAACTCCATAACCTGCATGTATCGATGAAACTGCCCTTCTGGATTCCGCAGAAGCGCTAGACCCTCTACGATCTTGAACTTGTCCGGATCGTACGGAGATGGGGAGAGCTTCAGCTCTGAGATTCCTGGAATATATCGCTCCAAATTTGCCTTCTTGACAAGACTGTTCTTGGTCACGTTGTTAGGCTTTGGCTTGCCGTCGACCGCGTTCATGAATAGAGTCAACATGGTTGCATGCGGATTCTTAGATTTCTCTTTGAGCATGACACCAAACGCACCGATGCAGTGTCCGATCCCATAGTATTCTTTGTCGGCGAGGTTGGAAAGCTGATATGGTTAGGATTAAGGACGACAAAACTTTTTTTTAGTCGGGGAAAAGACATTACCTCAATCCTATCAAATATTGGCCCTCCAGCCATGGCCGGAAGGTATGCCGCCCTGACTTGGAAGAGATCGATATGACACTCCATAGCCGAAACGCGACGACAAAATTTGAAAATGATATCCCTCAGATAAAAGAAAAGAGCGCCATAGAGGTCATTTTTTGCCAGGGGAGTCTTTACCAAGATGTCCTCAAGACACCAGCCCTCCAGAGGGTCGGCAACATCTGGCAGAAGCCAGCCTTTGCTCTCGAAGAACAGCGTCCTGTCAAGCTGTTAGCCCATGACTTCTTCATTCTTAGTTAAAGAAAACAAAATTAGAAATTAAAAAAAAAAAAAAAAAAATGGGGGCTCCTCACGGATTTGGAGTATTAAACTTTGCACGACATGAGCCAAAGGGCAGCACAATACCATCCTCGCGGAACTTCAACTTCGAGACGCGCCAGAACGGTGGGTTGGAGTAGTATACACGCTGAGCGGAATCCAATTTGTGGATAGCCATTGTTGTATCCTGACGAATGCCCATAGCGTTCTGAACCGACATATTGTCCGGGACCTTGAAAAACTGACGCAGCCGAAACCATTTGCCCTTCTGCAAGACTAGACGCAGCGAACATTGGCCGCGCCTCCAAATCATTGAGAATTCATTGTTTGGACGCTTACGTATTTTTCTGCACACATGGTCAACGAGTGGCAGCAGCTTTTCCTGTACCGCTTCCAAGATCTCCGCCGGGATGAAAGCAGAATACCACAAATGGAGCATAATCGGCGTCGCTTCTTCAGGCGGAAAATTGAAAGCCGTGAGAAGCAGGATTGCATTTCTGGCCACAACGTCAAAGTTGGAATCGTTCACAACGAACGTCAATGCCCCGGTATAAGTATTAGGAACGTCAACGATAGTCTTTACGACGTTGCGTATGTCGCCCGATGCTTCCTCACATCGGTCAAGATTCAGTATAATTTACGAATAGAAGGGATCTCCTTACCAGCGGAAAGCACGCTAAGATCTTGAGATGCATGGCTCCCCTCGTTCTTCTCCAAGTTCAGCAAATCCAATGCCGGCATATCCCCGAGAAGATTTTCCTTCCTATCTGGGCGCCCAAAGTAGGTTTGACTGGCAGAGCCTGCACCAGAAGACACGCCGGGTTCATCAAAAGCTGGGGGACGCCTCTCAACCGCCCATGCTGGCCTCCATGTCGCTGTTCCTAGAGGAGACTTGCAGAAAAGTTTGTGTTGTGCCCAGTGAGCAGCTTGACAGTCCTTGCTGCAATACTGGAGGAGCACAAGATCAGCATCGTATCTTGAGGGGAGGGCAAAAGATTCTATTGAGGACTGACCTGAACCAAATGGCATCCACCACATCCTTTGTCGGCATTTTCTTGACACGAAAATTGAGTGCCATCATCCAAAAGCTTAGTATTGGCACAGAGCCCGGAGTGAAGGAAGTCCTTCACAGGCATGTTGGAGGTGTTCTCCCTTTTACCAGGAAGTCTTGATCTTCTAGGCCAAAGAATTGCCTAATAAAGGAGCGAAAGAAGATGAAGATCAAGGGGAAGGAGAAGGAGGAGGAGAAGAAGAAAAAAAGAGGAACTGAAGGAGCTGAACAGAACCTAAATAATCAGTCCTCATGCGTGCAATATTGTGACAATATCGCATCGTTTACAAGATGGTACAAACAGCTAAAATGCTCGGCGGGCACTCCTGTCTGTTCTCCTGACAGGTATGGCTCATTATTTCGGGTATTCGGATCAGTAGCACAAGGCCCTCCTTTTCCCTTTATCGACATTGTTATCTATCATCTCCCTGTCTAGAGTAAGTAAATCTTACTCGACATGGATTCAAACGAAATCAAATAGGTATTCTTATAGGAAAGCAATACATTCTAGATATATACCTAGAACAAACGCCCATCCAAAAGACCCAGCGTTTTCACTACCACTTCAATATCAATTATTAAGTGACAGGTCTGAGAGCAAGAGGGAGAAAGATCCGCAAGGCTGCACACTTTGACAGCAGCAAGTGCACAATCCATTGGAGAGCCGCTCGGATTGAAAGGCAAGCATGTTATAATATGGGGTCATCCCAGCCAGTATAAGCTTCACACAGCCGGTTATACAGAGTTTGGCAAAAAAAAAGAAAGAAAGAAATCAGACAGGACCACAGATAGACTGGAGGAGACCAGAACGGCTGGCTTGACGTGTAAGGATACATTTTCATCCACGTAGTTATCTAATGCCTTGTGTGACTCAGGGAGTTCCACTTGAATCAATGGATGCTTGCGAACAGACCAGAGAAAAAGAAAAGGTATATCACATCTTGCACCTTCAAAAGTGAAAAAGCAGCAATTTTTGCAAAGCCTGTGGCGGAATATCGCGGACTGAGCCAGAGGCATACTTCGTACAGATGAAGGAACTGATCAGGAGAAAAAAAAAAAAAATTAAAAAAAAAAAAAAAGGTAGGACCATACGCTACACAGCCAATCAGCTAGGAGAAAAATTGGAAAGCACAACTCCAACAATAACGGATATTCAAAGTCGAGAGAGTCACATTCAGTAGAAAAAGGATTTCATCATCACTCGGAAATCATAAGATACTTTTCGCTTTTCAATCAATCCTAAGGCGCTCATGGGGAAATAACAAAAGAGCCAGAGAGGAAGAAATTATAGCACCAAATTCCCAGTGAGAAAAACGCATAGCATCTTAGAAACTGCAAGTCATAATAAGGAGATTTCGAGAACAATCTTGAATGATGACATCGAATAAATCCAAGGGGTATTGTTCGTTTAATTAGACAGGAAGAGAATTTCATTCGAAAACGGCCAATACTAAACGGAACATCGAAAGCAGAATGAAAACTCTCGCAAGAGCCCACTTGGATCGAGCAATTTGGAAAAAATACTTGGGGAAATCTCGATGACGAACCATCAAAAGAAAAATTTCAAAGACACACTCGTTGAATAATAGTAGGAACCAAAAAGCAAAGAAAGGGGCAAAAAGAAAAAGGAGGAAAATACCAGTAACACGGGTTCTTCATGATAAAACGGATTATAGATGACAACCCAGGACAGGGAGTGATTGAAGATGGCATTACTAGTGGTTATCGTTAGGTGCGAGATTTCGAGCGTGATTAAGCTTGATAGCCTCCAAAGCCGTTGCCGAAGTTGCCAGCATTGGGCTGTGCCCATCCCGATCCGGGATTGTTCTGGCCACGGCCGTACCCAGCAGCACCTCCGGGAACTTGACCATAGCCCTGGCCGGGCATTCCAGGGCCAAAGTTGGCGCCAGACTGATCCCAGCCACGGCCGGCAGGATTAGGACCTGTGGGAGAGAGGGTTAGTAGAAGGGTTGCCAACTATGGTGTTAGCTCCAGCGTATTTGGCTACCGACCTTGAGGGGTCATAGGCCCACCAGGACCACCATATTGGGGGAAGTATGGGGAGGTACCGGAATTAAAGGCTGGGTTAGCACCTTGCTGAGGAGAATAGTCAAATTGGCCAGTTGGAGGGCGGTCTTTACCCCACTGCAAAAGAAACTAAATTAGCACCAAGGTGGCTCCCAACGTCCAAGGTTTAAAGGAAAGCTTACACTGCACTTCAGCGGTCGCCCATTGACGTTGTAGCCGTTGAGCTGGCAGATGGCCATGGCAGCATTCTCATGAGTATCCATCTTGACAAATGCAAATCCCCGATCGGCCTGGAATCGAGTTTCGACGACGTAGCCAAAGTTCTGGAACAACGGAACAAGGTCGTTCTGAGTGGTGTAAGGGGTCAGATTTCCGACGTAGCACGTAGTCTGCCACTGAGGGGTTTGCTGGACGACCATGTCATAGCTCTGGACACCGTGTGTGGGGAAATGATGATGGCCGAAAGGAGTGGTCGGCGTCATGCCCATTGCGGCCATGGCCTGCTGCTGAGAAATCGAAGGCTGACCCTTCTGGTTGGCCCAGTTGCAGCGAATCGCACGAGAACCCAACCATTCACCATCCATGGAGCTCAAGGCCTTTTCAGCATCAGCACGTTCGCGGAAAGCGACGAAACCGTAACCACGGGAGCGACCGGTCTTCATATCCCACATAACACGGGCCTCGGAGACAGAGCCAAAGGCAGAGAAGGCCTGAAGCAGAACTTCGTCGTTCACTTCATTACTCAGATCGCCAACAAATATGTGGAAGTGGTTGGAGGTGTCCTCCTTGTTCGCGTTGTTCGACTGATAAGCCCAGTTGACACGGATTTCCTGTCATGATGATAGACTTGGTTAGAAGGGAGAAGGGAGAAAGAGCAAAAGGCAGTTTTGAAGAGAGGCGGGGGAGTTTTTGATGTGGATCACATACCGACTGGTGGACGCGACGGCCGTTGAGAGTCTGCATTGCGCGTTCTGCGGCACCTGGATCGTCGTACTCAACAAAGCCGTAGTTCAATCCCTTGCTCTGGAACTAGGTTGCATCAATCAGTAACTGCGCTTTGTGGGAGGTAGTGGTATTGTGTATCAGATGTTGTAAAGAGTTGTTGATGACTGTATCACAGAGAGAGAGAGAGAGAGTTTGTGTGTGTGTGGTGTGTGGAGGGGCAGCCATGGGAGTCATCTTCAACCTTGCTCCAAACAAAGAACCCGAACTGGGTAAGCGTGAAGCCACTTACATTCTTGTCGGGGATAATCTTCACACTCTGGACGTGGCCAGTTGTTTCAAAAATCTGTCGCAGGATATCCTCGGTCACACGTGGGTCGAGACCACCAACATACAAGGCACGCTTGTTTGGCTCGGGAGCGGCTCGACGCACGTAGCCACCAGCGCTGGTCGGTGACATCATGTTGCCAGACATGGGAGAGGTGATGGCAGTAGGGATTGGGTTGGTGTTTTGGGGGATGACGACGGGCGGCAGCGGCGGAGGTGGCATGTGTGAAGGGTTTCCCTGGCCGTTCCCCTGAGCCTTGTCCAACTGCTGCTGGCCGGGAGCGCCTGCAGGTGCCTGTGGAGGAGGAGGGAGGGACGAAGAGGTGGCTGGTGGGGCGTTGTCGGCCATTGTGTTTGGTAGAACGCAGAGAAACAAGCAGACGGAACGGAGAAGGTCACGTCAGGAGAGATTACTCGACTGTGAGAGGGATGAGTATCTCTTCTTGTTCTTTTCTTTCTTTTTTCCTTTTTTTTTTTGTTTTTGGTGTGTGTGTGTGTGTGTGTGTGTGTGTGTGCTTTTTCCCCTTCTGGATTTGACCGGGGTATTGCTGTCGAAGAGATGGCAGAAGTAGGCAAAAGTGTAACTACTGGTGAAACAAGATCCGTCACTATCGCTGGTCGATGGTCACTCGATGGGAGCGGGAGGAAGATGTACGCACGGACAGCCGGTTCCAAACCGGTCTAAAAAGGACTAAAGATGCTGGGAGACGGCGCAGCTGGGGTCGATTATTGGTGCGTTGATGGACTTTTGTGTTGACCTCTTCTTGTTTTTTAAGCTAGCCAAACCGACGCAAACTCGATCGGATGCCGACAACGCTACAGCTAAAACCACGAAGACTTTTTTTTCCTCTTTTTTGAGGGGGAGGGGCGGGAGAAAGACGTTAAACTGTAATCGTAGACGTCTAACGGAGAAAGGTCGCTAATGAAGAGAGGAGGCGAGTGGAAAGAAGTAGAGCAATCACGAGGAATGCCAGACGCCTAGATCCGCGATGCAGAGATAGAGACGAGGGGCGGAGGAGTCGAACGAAGCTTCGAAACAGAAAGTCGCACAACGGGGAGAAATTGGAGGTTATCGCACGGGATAGGGAAGAAAATTGCCAACACCAACAATGGAAGAAGCTGGGAGAAAATTTATCGTGAAGGAAGAGGGAAAAGAGATAAGTGGAAGAGGGCGGAAGAGAGGGAGGGAAAAAAAAAAAATCAAAAAAAGAAAAGAAAAAAAAAAAGGAAGAAGATGGAAGAAAAAAAAAGAAACAATGGAGGAGAGAAGCTAACAAGCCACGAAAACAAGACTTGCTATGATGAATAGGAAAGGTGGGACGAAAGCACGACACACAGAATATATATAACAACAGATTGGTACAGAGAGGAAAAAAAAGAGAGAGAGAGGGAGAGAGGGAGAGGGAAAGAGAAAAGAGAGCCACACAACCGACAAAGAGGAAAATAAAATGCACGTTTGGGATCTCTTGACTGGGATGGAGGAGGAGAGAGGAGGAAAGAGAGAGGAGGAAGAGAAAGAGAGAGAGCAGGAGCAGGAGAGGAGGAGAAGAGAAGCAGAAATGAAGAGGCGGCGGTTTGGCGGTGGTTTGTTGGTGGTTCTCGCTGGTGGTGGTGGGAGGAGAAACGGCAAGCAACAGCACAACACCTGCCCTAGCAGAAAAAGCAGCGAGTCACAAAGAAGCTTGTGGGACCATGCCCGGACAGGAAAAGGGCGTGCTTGGCGACTGAGTGGCCGGTACGAGCTGATGATTGGCCGCGGAGCTGGGATCCTAAGCCGCTCCGGGTCTAGCGGCGTCGTTTCTGGGGGCGGAAAGGGGGATTAGTCATTGGTGCCATGGGCTCAGCGAGCTTTCCGGTCTTGGCGCGCCATTCCGCTTTTGGGGCTCTTCGTTCTGGACCGCCCTTTCCCTTTCTCGTCGGCCGCCACCGCCGCCTGCTGTTTTCTGTTGTTTACTGCTGTTTTTTGCTGCTCTTGCCGATTGTTTCTTTTTCTTTTTCTTTTTCTTTTTTTTTTTTTGGATATTGCCCTATCTGTTAAGGAAAGATCAGTCGGATCCCCCCACGAGTCTCGCATCGCTTCCTTCCTCTTGCTACTTACCCGCGCCCGCTTTCTGCCAGATCAGGCAGTCAATGCTCATCATCCCCCAGTCCTGGTCTCGGTCTTTTTGTCCTTTAAGCGATCTTCTGAACGCTTAAAATTAATCTCATCTCGCCAGATCTGCCCAGTTCCGCCCAGCGCTACTTGCACACTTCCTATGCAGCCATGGCCACGCCCATGCAACCATGCGATGAATCCCTGGAAACGTTGACCGCCATGGTCAACCAGACGGTCTGTCCTCGACCTCGCCCTTGCCGCTTTTCTGCCTTTTGGCGTTCAAATCAGACGCTGACACGCGACTCAAACCAGCTTATCGAGACCGGTCGATTCTTTCGAACCTGCGGGTCGCTTCAGTCCCGAACCCAGCTGAAGAGGAATTTCCCCGCCGTTCACGAACAGTATCAATCCGCACTCGATGACCTGTCCGAACAGATCGTACGTCAACAGCTTCCACCTTTCCTCCCCCAAAAAGAAGAAACATAAAAATGAGGAAAAAGGAAAAAGAAAAGAAAAGAAAAGAAAAGAGAAACAGAAAGAAAAGGACAATTTTGTGCTGTATTTACTGACTTGCTGCAGTTCATCGCAAAGGCGTTTCTCGAAAAGGACTATGAAGCTATCGTGTTGAGAAAGTCAACGTTACGGGCTTCCAAGCCTCTGGCCACTACTCAGGAAGAGAAGACAAAGGATGTGCAGATGGAGGACACCGATGAGCAACGCCGAGATGATGTCACCATGAAAGTTGAGTCGAAATCTCCGGCGCAACCCACCGTTCCAACCACGCAGCCTCTCTCAACAAGCACGCCCCCCGCACCGCCCGATTCGGCTCCAGATCAGAATCTCCTGTCTACCGCTCCTCCTACCACCGCGGACACGGCGCTTGCCCTACCGGCAACGGCTCCGGCGCTCCAGCCACCTTCCGTCGAGGAAAAGAACCCTGCCGGTGCCCCACCGGAAGCAGATCCTGAAAGCACCCCCGCGAACATCAGCCATATAGACCTAACGGAGGAGATGGGTGCACCGGAAGGCCCACTTCCGCTGACTGAGAGCGAGCTCGACCTTGGGGGAACATTCGGGTCTCTTCTTCCCGGGCTGGAGAGCTATGCAAATGCCGGCACCGACGAGGCCATCATAGGACTGCCAGGCCTCGAAAGCGGCACTGCTGAGGAGGCCAATCCTCCAAAGGATGCATCCAATGGCACATCTAATCCGGCAAACCCATCCACCACGCAGACTCAGGAGGCGGGACGGACCGACATACCTATGGACGACGTGGCTTCGGCGTTTGACGATGCATTCATCGGGGCAGCAGATTTTGTGGGCGGAGGGGATGACCTGCTGCTCCACGGTGCTGATATCGGGGAGTTGGACGACTCATGGTTTGCGTGAAACGACCTCAGCCGGGTTTAAGCTACCCCAATTTTTTTGCTTTTAGCGATAATCACTGTATGACTTCGATACCCCATATGAATTTGATGTAGAAGCGAAAAATTGCCACTATAGATATCTACAAAACATCCCTAGACACATTTCTTCTCCGTCGTGATTACGTCGTCGCGTCTTGCTTGAGATAACAGACGGGGACATCCCGCTGGCCGGCTGGCGCGGCCGGAGAAATGTCGGCGGTCGTGCCGCAGAGGGGGGGGGAGGTATCTTCGAGCTGCTTCGTGTCGGTCTGCAGCATCGCAGACCAGCTGCAGCAGACCCCTGGGAGGTCCCTGTAACCTTCAAACTAAGACCTGATCCCGGGCCTTAGAGGGTCTCGCGACCCCAAGCCTCAAAGCACTTCCGTCTCCATATCGTGACGCATAATGCTCCGTACATTTACATTGATGTTTTATCCCACCAAAGAAAAGCATTTCCGTCCTCGGGAAGTTATATCCTCCTCCTCGGAAGTCTACCGGGATGGTCTTTCTTCCCTTTCTTCCCTTTTCTTTCCCCCCTTTCCCTCTGGAGGTTGGTTTTTGAAAGAATAATGTAGTTTATGTATTTAGATCCGAGGACGTCCATCAAAACTTTCACTCTTTTTTTTCCCCCTTCAACCCCGTGATTTAACGATTTTTTTCTTTTTTTCTTTTCTCTTTTTTTTTTTTTTTTTTTTTTTTTTTTCAAGCCCCGGAGCTGGGAAAAAGAAAAAGGGTCGGGGAAGTGCCCTCGTGTCCGCCACGTTAGAGCCAATGACCGGAGTTTCGACGGGTTTGAGTTCGAGCGCCGTTCCGCGGGACTGGCCGAGTGATGCAGGGAGAGGATGGCCAGATGGGGCTGGGGATGGGGGATGGGAGTTGGATTAATTTGAAAAAAAAAAAATAAAATAAAAATAATAAATAAAAATTCAAAAAAATAAAGAAGAGACAAGATATTAAAATCTGACTTCTCAAGCTACGGCGGGAGATAGTTAAAAACTACGGAGTTACATCTTTTTTTTTTTTTCCCTTTTTTCCAGCAATTCTTTCTGTCAAAAAAAACTTCCCGTCGATCACTTGTTGCTGTATTGATCTCGGCCAGATCCGACTTCGATCTTCAACCTTGTCCTGTTTGACGCCGGATTGACATCTTGGCAGACGGACTGGGGCGGACGGCGAGGATCATCTTTCGCGTCGCGCTCCGCTTTTTAGTCATTGCGGGGAGCTAGTTCTGAAGGCTTGAAGAGGTCTTGGAAGCGGGAAAAAGAAAAAAGAAAAAAGAAAGAAAGAAAAAAGAGAATTGACATCATTTTGCCGGGGCATTTGTTTTTAGGTTGAACGTTGGGAGGGAATTTTCTGGAGTGAGTTCCAGATCGTCAGGTCCTCCGAGGTTATCATCACCAGTTGCAAGCTACTACTGTACACTTCCTCAATTCTTCTGGCCGCGAACAAGCACAAGCTTCGAGTTTGCCGGAAGGGGAAAAAAAAAAAAGGGAAAAAAAACACGCTTCTTTTTTGAATTACGTCAAGGGGACCATTCGAGGCGAAAAAAGCCCAAAAGCTCGGGGCGGCCGTTTTTAGCCTTTGTGCTTGTTCTCGATCTTAGGAATCCTTTTTTTTTTCCTACATCCGGAGTATATTACTCTGCCCTTCTCCCCTATGTAATCGCTCGTCGCCGAGAAAAACTCAAAAGCAGGAGAATCCGTGGGCCAGACTCCTAAAAAAGGACTTTCTAACCTCCCCCCCGAGGTTCTTTTCTGCACCTCCGACGACCAGGTGGCGCATCTTGACGTGGAGCTTATTCTGCCTCGTCCTGCGGTTCTCTTCTCTTCTCTGACGCCGACCCATCTTCAACCACTTCTCTCTTCCCTCACTCGCTTCCTCGGGAGTTCTGCCTCGATTCAAATCCCCTTTTTTTATCGTAGAGCTCCGGGAATTGATGGTGCTTTTCATCGTCCAACGACGGAGTTACATGCCATCCAGTCCGCCGCACGTCATACTTTAAGGTGGACGGACTCTTCTCCAGTTTAGCCACCTGCACCTTTGTATCTGCGGCCCTTTTATACTCTTTTTTTCCTCCTTTTTCTTTTTCCTTTTTCTTTTTTTTTTAGCCTCGGTATCTCTCTCCACAACTGCTCCCCTATATCTTAAAGAATTCTGGCGACAAGCTTTGCTAAAGTGGCGTTGCAACGGGAAAACGCGAAACGACATCTCCTCCACGTTCCCCACCCGGAGCACCCTCTTTCCTCGTTCCAAAGGCATCGCCGACCCCCGAGACCAGGGTGCTTCGTACTTGACGAGCCGCCAAGCGAACCTGCGCCCCGGGATGAGGAGATGTGGCTCGACTTAGAACACCAGACCCGTGCCGACGTCCTCCGTGACCGGCTCCAGAACGACGACTCCGCCCGGTCCTCCATCAGCTCCGATGCCCCCTCCGTGCTGCCGCCGCTGGCGAACGAGAAGCTCGTAGCCTCCGGAAATGGCATCTCGGTTTCGATCGCCCAGACGGAGCCGGTCATCTTCATGGAAGGATTCGATGCGCGGGAGGCATCGAAGACGTCGATGCTGAGGGGCCATCTGCATTTGAAGATCTCGAAGTCCACCAAGATCAAAAAGATATACCTCACGTTCAAGGGTGCGGTGCATTCCGCGTGGCCAGAAGGTGAGAGACACCTGGAGTTGGGGGGAAGAGCGCGCCTCGTTTTTGCGTTTTTGAAGGTGATATACTGACTGCTGCTTCTTCTTGTTCTTCTTCTTCCTAGGCGTGCCGGGTAAAAGGGCTCAGTACAATGACGATCATAGCCTGATGACGCATACATGGCCGTTCTTCAATGCTCAGTTTGGCAGCGCGGAGAACGGCTACGGCGCAGATTTTGTTCAATTGACTCGTCCGCAGGGAGGCAAGGAGGGATTAGGCATCTCGACAATCGAAGTCTTTAACAAGGCACACTCGGCTTCAAGCATGGAACGAGTAGGTATAAAGGAGCTCAGAAGCCTATCTCTCAAGCACACGCCATCTCGAAGCTTCGTAAAGGGTGAAGCGTACTACAACGGGCAATCGGTAGCCCAGAAGGGATACAAAACCTTCCGGCCTGGAGACTATATCTACAATTTCGAGCTGCCGATCGATTCGAAACTCCCCGAGACTATCAAGACCGATTGCGCTTCGGTCAAGTACTGGTTGGACGTGAGCGTGGAGCGTGCTGGTGTATTCCGGCCAAACCTGCTCGGTGTGAAGGAGGTTCTTTTCGTTCGCACGCCGTCTCAGGGGTCATTGGAGCAAGTCGAGCCAATTGCGATTTCTCGTACGTGGGAGGATCAGCTGCACTACGACATCGTCATATCCGGAAAATCTTTCCCATTAGGAGCCAAGATCCCAATCGCATTCAAGCTCACCCCTCTGGCAAAAGTAGCCTGCCATCGAATAAAAGTGTATGTGACCGAGACGATCCAGCAATGGACCTCGGGCAAGACCGCGCATCGCCTTGATAGCAGTAAGCAACTCCTGCTTTTTGAGAAGCGTGCGGACTCTGCTAGCGTTAGCGCCTACCCGGGGAGTAGGATGCGGATCACTGCCGGTGGTGGAATCCACTGGGATGATCGAGCCGCCGCGGCGCAGGGCCACGAGGTAGTCGATCCACGTCGGACGAGTTTGCTCGGTGATCTTGAGAGTGATTTTGGAGCCGGACCTACAGAGATGGAGTTCGATGTGCAGCTTCCTACGTGCCCACTCATGAAGGAAAGGGACTCTTCGCAAAGATTGCATTGTGATACGATGTACGAGAACATTGAAATAAATCACTGGATCAAGGCAAGTCATTTATTTCTGTCAATTGTCACTAGCACATCAGCAAGACTCTAACACTCTACAGATCGTTCTTCGTCTATCCAGACCGGATGAAGCTTACCCCAAGAAGCGTCGCCACTTTGAGATCTCGATCGATTCACCATTCCATATCCTATCCTGCCTAGCAACTCAGTCGAACATCTATCTCCCGTCCTACTCCTCCCCTTCATCCTTTCCTTCTGAAGAGTACGAGTGTGGCTGCCCCGGTGCCCAACCAACCACGAAAGCCCCATACCACGCCCATAGCGCCAGCCCAGCCCATCTCAGCATGCTCCTCAACATGTCCAGCGACCCATCCTTCCACCCACAGCCATCCAGCTCCACCAGCTCCACCAGCACTCTCACCGCCGACCAAGCCGACAACAGCAGCGAATCCAGTAATCCCTCCAACATACCCACCCGCCCCATTCACCTTATCCGAATCCCATCCTTCGCACCGCCCCCGTTCGAGGACGTCCCGCCACCACCACCGCTCGTCACTCCTCCACCAGACTACTCCACGATCATACCGACCGACGACCCCAGCGCTGGCATCCTGGATTACTTCCACCGCCTGCATCACGCGGAGCAGGAATACGATGAAAACACGCGCGGTAACGCGAGAGTGGATGTCCCGCTAACGCCAGGGGGCCGGGTGCACCGGAGTATAGAGATACCTAGGGAGTTGGTCCGGATCGACGCGATTGCAGATTGAGAGGCAGGCAGACAGACAAACAACTACCTACCTAACCCATATTCATCTCCATCTTTTGTCCATTCTTTTTACTCCTCCTTTCTCTCTTTCTTTCTTTCTTTCTTTCTTTTTTTTTTTCCCTCTCTCAAACACCTTTTTGGAGCTATTGGTATTCTTATTCAATATGCCTGCATCATCGGAAGGGGCGAAAAACGGGTTTGGTTCATCCCTTAGATCAAGGTGTCACGGGAGGGGTGCGGTGTTTTGGTTGTCCTCTTGAGGAATATGTATACCTGCATCCATTTATTTTTGTTTATCTTGCCTTATTTTTTTTTTTTTTTTTTTTATTTTTCTTTTGCAAGCCGGAATATCCTTTCCCTCTTAATTGTTTAATCCTTCGAGGTTGCAAAAGTGAAGAACTAATCCTTACTTTTTAACCAAAATAACAAGCATGCCTTGCATGGGGGGTGGTAATTCGCGCTTTTTTCCTTGCTTCTCCATTTCCCCCCCCTTTTTTTTCCGGCAACATTTTGGGAAAGCCTTTTCATAACGTGCTCCACGCCGTACGGATATGATGCTACTACGAAATACTGGTTTCTTATCTCGCATCTGTCTCTTTTTCTTTTTCTTTTTTTCTTTTTTTTTGCTTCTTGACTCAAATGGTAATGGGTACGACTTGGAACGAATTTGGCCTGCAAATAAAAAGAAAACGTGATTAGTGATGACCCCCAAGTCTGTACTTTTCGTCAAAGAATGTGTATAGGCCAAAAACATATAAGTATATTAACTAGCATATCGATGACATGAAGTCGGGAGCATGTGTTCTGTCTAATCCGCTGCCAACGTACTTTACACCACACATAAATACGGAGTAGATATATAGTAAATACGAGGCACTGTTCTTATTATGATAGGATACCGGGACTATTTCGACAGGTAATACGGAGTAGTTCTACCTATCCTTTTTGATTGTGAGATCTATCCTACATTCTGGGTCATTCTAGTAGGAATTTAGTTACAGACATTCCACTCACAGAAGAAATCAAATGTTGCCCTGAATCCCCCAAAATTCCCCGTGTCTTGCGAACGAGGGCAAAGGCTTCCTCAACAAACCAAAAAAAACGCCCTGCCCAGCCCCGCCCGCGATGGGTACCATCTCGTCCACTTGCTCTTGAGAAAGGCAGGAGAGTTCCCGTGCCAGATACTCTTGAAATTCTGTCTTCTCCACTATATCAAGAGGAATCCGCACGCTTCTTCCAGGGAAATGTCGGACCAAGCGGTCCTTTGCTTTTGAGGACCTCTTCGCAGCTTGGGGATGCCTCGAATGCATCGACAATAACGCTTCGAGCCTGTGCGTCACTTTGCATGAGCCAGCCACAGTTTTGAGCGCGTATGAAGCACATCATGCCCCCCTGAACCGGTTAGACAAACCGTGCTGTTGGACCTCAGGGATGTTTTCCACTTACTGGAACCATTTAGGTTTTCCAAGACTTGGACAAGATCAATCTCGGAGATCAGGTCTTGCTTGCCAATCGCCTTCAAGTTCTCAAGCATATCGGCAACGGAATGCCACGTTGGCCGGGCCTCTTCGGAATCATTTTCAAGAAAGATTCGCGTAACACTCAGCGCCAAAGAGATAAGAGCATCTTCGTGTTTCCACTCATCAGCGTCTCCAGATTGAGGTAGCTGTGGCGGGAAAATAACATTGTTGAAAATGAATTCGAAATCTCCTTCCTCCAAGCTACCTGCCATAGTTGTGATTCTTTTAGATGGCAGACAGTCTAAGCACAAAATAAGAGTATCCCTAACACTGCCACAGGGTATGGTATATATATTGGGCATATTGAGGAACCCGAAGGAAATACATACATTGGCAAGTCGGTAAAAGTTAAAGCCTTTTACTTGCCAAACCACATCCAGGCCACCCGTAACCGCGATGCCCAGGTTCATGACACGAACGATGGCGCCAACGTCCCATGGCCCTTACGCAAGGCTAGTCAGGCTCCATTAGAGCCTGGATAGGGACAATTCTGTCTCACGATCGCCCACGAAGCCTGATCTGAGGCTAAACAACCTGAATCCCTAACCAAGTTTGCAAGAGGCCGTGGCCAGGTACACCCTCCCGGCCTGCGTATAACAAGGCCATTTCATATCAATTGACAAAGAAGGAGCTGCAGTGTATTCAAAGGAATGACATTAACAGGGAAAGGCTAAATCCATTGTTCTGTTTCGACCATCTGAGTTCTCACACTTTGTGGAATTGTGAATTTAGGCGCTAAACCCTGTTGGGAACCCACCTGGGAGCAGACGGCTGCGGGTGTTTGGCCCTTAGCCGATGAAGGGCTGCAACAGAGAATATACTGCTCGTCCCGAAGCATTTTCATTCTCCCTCTTCTTGGGTGACCTGGGGCTTTATCCTCTTCGAACTTCCATCGGCATTCCTCTGGAGCCCTACGCAGTACTCGGAATGCTTATTCTGACAATAACGAGGGCCGGACCCAGCATCACACAAAGGGGCTGTGGTTTAGTGGTATAATGTTCCCTTAGCATGGGAGAGGTCCTGGGTTCGATTCCCAGCAGCTCCAATTTTTTTTGCAGTGATTCTTGTGGTTACCATTGACTTGTTGAGATCGAACTGTAGCCAACATTTCTCCTTTTCAGTTTTTACGCAAGCGGGCTAATTATGCGCGGGATCAAAGTTGGTTCAAGAATTCTCGACCGTTCTTCTTCCGCAGTTCATTGAAAACATGCCGTTTCAACTTCATGACTTCCTCTACTTAGGCTGCAAAGCAGAAACCTCATTGTGATGGACAATTCCCGTCTCAACGTGGAAAATCACATGTCCTTTCCGGAAATCAGGGTCAATGCGAATACGACTACGGAGTAGATGCACGCCAAACCGTCGCTGGCAGGTTGGACGGCCCGGCAGAAACAAACAGCCCCCAACGCCACCGTCCCGCATCGTCCATTAGCGGGCTGGTCCCGACTTTTGGAGATGTGATCGAGGCACATGGTTCCTTGTGGCCATCTCCACAGATATGTCTCACTTTCGTCCAATATCTGGTCTCTGCACAGCTATGTCACCTTGGAATATGTGTAAATAGGTCTTGCTCGAGTGTTGGATCCGCGGCGGGAGAGCCATGTTGCTTTAGCTATTCTGGTCAAGTTTCGGGGAGGCGAGGCAGGATGGCCTGGGAAGGGTACCCTCGGCGGCTCAGACATGGGCACATATCCGCCTTCAATGACGACATTGGAATACATAATACCCCGTACGGAAATGATATCACCTGGAGATAGCTTTTCGGTTTCCAAACAAAGCCCTAACGAACCCCAGAATGATCGAGCTCCGAAATACCTGGCTCGAATTATGAGAGTGCTCATCTGGAATCACATCCACGTAAATAATTAACATCCGGCCTAGCCGTTTCTCGACGGGAGCTTGACCAGAAATCCATGCAAAAGAACCTTGGTAATTCTGCGCCACTCACATTGCTTTGTCGCTTGGAGCTTTAGTTCAAGCTTGGCTAGCGGGGATGCGACTGATCGCCAGCGGTAGCAAGCACGACATACATTAGCGTCCTCATTCAAACCAATTGCTGCCGGTCCAATTATTGCGTCGCTAGAAGTTCCTAAAGCAACTTGCCAGCAGCCGTTGGAAGCGCATCGACTATAGCCGTAGTGTCGAATTTTATCTCCTAGGCATGGATACCAACCGGTCCCCCTAGTTACAAGCAGGCTAGACTTGATGCTGCTATTAGTTCCTACACCCAACAGTTTGGTACCCAGGAAGGGAACATTGATACCAGTGGTTGACCTTGAATGCACCCTTAAAACGGCCAATATATGAACCCTGCAATGCAAAATGCCAGGAGATTCGCCCCTTTCCTCCTTTCTGGAATGGGGAGATCGTGACATCCCTCGGTGGTCCCGGGTGCTTCCTGAAAGCAATGCCTTTGTGCTCGTGAATCTATGCCTCCGTCAGCGTTGCAACCAATGCTGAAACGCCCTCTGCTCTGCCTATTGGGAATCAGAATGTCAGCAGAGTAAGCGTACTAGGCAAGATTGATCCGTAATCGCGTGAATCTTGGGCCAAGATGCGGTCCGCCCAGGCTTTCATTGTCGTTGCTGGCGCTACAGGTGTCGGTGCAGCCGTTGCCGTTGGTTTGCTAAAACGGGATACACCAGCATGTGCAGTAAGGAAATTAAACTTCGTCCCCAAATGCTCTAAAGACTACAATGTTGATATAGTGGAGGATGTAGGAAAGCTGTTTTCAGAGCGCTGTCAACGACTACGCCTGCGATCAGTGGCTGACAGACACCGACTGCTGTGAGAACACGAGTTATCTTTTTGACATTGGGGAATGTCTCGACGATAACTGTTCGGCAGATGCTGGATCTGACGCTTGGGAAATTATCACAAACGAATGTTATTCAGCCTATGTCACAATTCAATGGGATTATGATATCTTAACAGACTTCATCGCAACGAGATCCGCGACGGATGTCACCACGTATAGCACATCCTATACAACAATCTCCTATACTTCTACAGAAACATCCGAAGACGTTTCTGCAACTTCTACCCCAACGACGTCTTCGCCCGAATTTACAACCTCACCAATATTGACTCCATCGCCCACTCAGTCACATACTACCTCATTTACAGAAGACGATGAGGAAGAGAGCAGTAGCGGCATAGACGAGACGACTACCATAGCTATCGCGGTGCCGTTGGCCCTTTTTGGAGGGCTACTACTATTGCTACTCCTCTGGTTCGCGTTGCGAAGGACTGGCCATGTCCGTACAAAGCCAAAAGTTAAGGATATCTGGTTCGCATTTCGAAAGATTATCGGTCCCCTTACAAGGGCCAAAGTTAAGGAACCGGAGGAGCCACCGGCCACAAAAGAAGAAGATCCACCGATGATATATGAGATTTGTGGCACAGAAGTCAGCAGAACGAACAGCAATCAGTTTCTTGAGTTAGAAGCGTCCCCTGCAATGCCTAGGTTCGACGGTGACTCGCTTATGACTCCGAGGGTGTCTCGGTCCGAAGCTGGCTCTTCACATTGGAATACTCAGCCGACCGGGGAAATAGACCTCGATAGAACCTCATTCGCAGGGTCTTCGAGACACCAACGAATTGATAGTGGCTCAAAGCTCTGTGCGCCCTTCCGGGCCTCAAATTCGGAGTCTGTGAGCCCCATGACTCCATCAACCCCTCCTCCAAGACCGGTACGCATGTCGGATCCTTCGTCGTCGCGGCGCCCATCATTAGTCGACCCCCCGACTAGTCCTGTATCCGATCAAGGTAGCGAGATAGACGGTCTGCTAGCAAATCTAGCGGCAGTGGAGCAGCGGAGAAAGGAGCGAGCATCACAGCTACAAATGCTACAAGCAGAAGAAATGGCAATAAGAGAGGAGGAAGCAGCGATATTGGAGCAACTTCGGAAGAGAGCTTCAATGATACCAGATGGCAGAGGGTCACCTCGGCCATCATAGGATCTAACCAGAATAATGCTCCTTTCACGGGGAATAAAAAACATACCTGTCGTTGAGGGAAGGGCAGTCGTGTCACAAATCAGACACAATTACGCCCTCAAACCCTATTTGTTCAGATCCGCATAGGAGCCTAGCCGCCACATCAAACCCAGTTCCCTCCCTGTGTGAAAGATGTATCACCATGCCTATCAATCCATAAGATCCCATTTCCTGTCAGTGCATGTATATACCCATCATGTTGACTTCATGTTTCTCGCATTGTGAATCTAGCTAGTAGCATCATTTTCCTTGCATTGCCTCCAGCTTTTCACATCTTAATCTTGGCGCGCTCTACGCCTAATTCCTCCCTGCCAGATATTTGTCTATATGGTGATGACCTTTTTCCACGCATAATTCTGCTATGCCCCAAATTTCAACGCAATTCATCCGAAAAGCACTCATATGAAGCGACCTAGTCTAATAACAGAGGGCAATTAGGCCAATTCTCTTGCCAATTCCTACGCTTCCCCTCCAAAAATGTCAAAACTTCCTCTCACGAGGACAAAGTGATGCAGGGCCAACACTATAGTGAATCCCGGCCTCAATCATCGCAAAGTAGACTTTTCCTGCAGCTTAGTTTTGATAATGGTTTAGAGAGCAGTGCGAGCGGGGCGTTCATCCGCGAAATTAACCAGAGCTTTTAGAGGATCATTAATATCAACGAATGACGGCCGGCGGAATTTGCTCAGAGACTCGAGAAGCAATGAGACCCGGTTAATCAACGCAGTGCATCCAGAGCCCAGTACTGCGATAGTCAAGGTCAAGTCCTGAAGACTTACGCAGTGTTGTTCAAGTTCATGAATCCACTTTGAGGTGAAGATGAACCGCTCGTCTAGCCCGCCTTGTGATAGCCATAGCCGACACAAAAAAGGACCCTAGTGCGTCAACGAATTGATGACGGACCACATCAAGCGTTTAGCGACGGAGCATTTTTCAGGCGAAGAATTATTGCGAATTGAATGGATTGATAATGCATCGGCGAGAATAATATATGGCTCGACGGAACTGTACGGAGTAGGGTTGTCTGAAATGAATTCTTCACGAAACAGGATTTAGCGTGAGTTACAAGCGGAGGCAGGCATTGGATTTAATTCCACGGCGGTATATCTGTATCAAAACCTCCCAAAGCATAAACTCAGGCTTTTTGAGAGAGTCGAACTAGTCTGTCGATACGCATCTGATCTTTGGAATGGTTTCACGTATCAACTCAAGAAAAGCAGCTTACATACCATAAAATCACTCCAGGTCTCTATATCACCAAACTTGTCTCCGTTAAGTGCAGCTATATAAAATCAACACCTCAAGATGTCCAGGGTAATAAGGTCACACCCTATCCTAGGTAGAACTTCGCCATTGCGGCTGTTGTATCCCCAGTAGGGGTGATCGGCTAGTCATGTAATATTTAGATATATATGATTTCGTCAACATTGACCTAGGAGCCTAAACTCGGCCTCACTGTCACTCGCATGATTCACCAGAGACTCGATCAGCGGATCCAAATCGTCGGACACTCCCAAAACTAGACCTATCTCCGAAAATATTACCCGTTTTCTCTGCTCAGCACGGTGAGACGAATGGCTTGCACCAAGCTAGTGAGAGGTAAGTGGTACACATCGAATAGGGTTTGGGAAGGTAAATAACCATATATGCTGGAACATCTCCAGTAGCAGGGCTTCCATCTGGCCAGGTTCCACAGGAGAAATGCAAATGTTAACGTGCAAACGCTTGGGCAAGGATTGCCAATGCAGTTGAAGGTTAATATAATTAAGTCTATTGGCATTGTATTGTACCTCGAAACGAACAGGTGCACCCGGAATAGAAATTCTAGAAGAAAAAGACAAAATTCAAAAGCTGAGTATAACTAACTATACCGAGCATCTCACCGAAGTACTCTGTAGCCCAAGTGGAATACCGACTCCACTTTCCAGTGCACTAGGCCAGCCCGTGCCTCGCCATAAAACGAACTCTCATTGCAGGCCCTGGTTCTCCCGCCTTTTCGGGAGCCTTCGCTTTGTCCACCTTGATGGCCAAATGTGGTGAATCCGGAAAGGTGTAAATTGAGGATATTTTCTTATCCCCAAGAGCGGCTCGATTGTTGCCCAGCAGGCCATAAACCCCTTTAACCTCCTTAGTTCCGCTTAAGGCTATGAATGCCTCCTTCATCTTGGGATTCGATTCGTCATATCGAAATTGCGCTCCCGCCTTGCCCGCCGGATAACCTGCCTTTGCGTGCGCCTGCGCCATAACCGCCTTCGTGTCCACATTGTCCACAAGATCCTTTATAACCCACTCTAGGCTCTTGGAATCTTTTGGGGAGTCTTGCTTCCATGACTTCATTGCGGCTTCACTCCACTCCATTCTATTTTCCTTTGCAGTAAGGTGGTCATTCTTATTATTTGTTCTGATCGACATGATGACACCTTTTTCGTGGTTGACGCCATTCTCGTACACTCCTAGTTCTGAAGATTTCGACTTGAAAGTGTGTCGGGTGAACTGCAAATTCTGCGGGAGTTTGGTTGCCGCCTGTATATCCTTGGAAAATTTGATATTCACAGGAGATGCATCTTTCGCGTAGAATTCCTGCCACGGCCGGGGTGGCGCATCGGGCTGCTTGCGTGCAATCACTTTATCTAGCCACTCTTTCGAATTTTTGCCGGACTGAGAAAAATAACTCCAGTCCCCTTTGCCAGACTGCGGTATAACAGGCTCAGCCGGTCCTTCGATTCGCGATCCTGCTCCTGCTCCTATCCCCGGGCTTGGTGGCCTCGGCGGACTGAGCGGAGGTGAATTAGCGCCCGCACCCCCCGACGTTCCCCTTCCACCCGGGGACGGGGGCCTTGGACGAAACGCTGGTGGAGCGCGCACATGTTTTAGGCCTCCAAAATACGCCGCACCGACGTTATGTTCGGGAGCATTTCCGAACTCATCAGCTTTACGGTACCGTAACTCTAACCAATTGTTAGCTACTTGAAGGCGTATGCCAATAGCAGGGCAAAAAAGGTCGCATACCGTGGCGTTGCTGGATATCAGTGGGCTGGCTAACAGATTCTAGGACAGGTAACAGCCCAGCATCAGGAGTAGAACTCCTCGCGGGTATAATCGAAGCTTTGAGGACAGGGGCGGCTATCAATAGGAATATTGCTTTCATTAGATTGAAACCCATCGTAAAGGGTAGCTCGGAGCGAAAGGGCCCAAGGAGCAAGGCGATCTGCAAACTATGATCAAGCTAAATTGTTTGGGTCGGTTCCAGCACTCAGGTTATATACGGCCTTGAACCCATGGAACCTCCTGTCACCCGGACTGTTTTGGCTGAGGGATAGCTCCCCTCCCAACAGGAATTGGATTTTCCTCCGGTGGCTTGTGTGATAGGAAACCTGGCGAGTCAGTCATCGATCCTGATTGACAGAACTGACCGCCCAACCTCTGCCGGGGCCTGAGTTCAAGTCTGGATCGTGCGACATGCCATCCCCCACATCTGTGTATTCCGAGTTGGAAATCCGCACGTAGTCATCGAATTGAAATTGCTAGTAAAAAACTGCCCTTCAAGACATCATTCCAGTGTAGTTGAGATGTAGCTTGCCAGATCCTTGGTTTAGGGCGATTAAAAAGCATGCAGAGAAATGCAACCCCAGGCCTCATCATACCTATGCAGTTTAGCTAAACTTCAACCCGCCGGGTCCTTTTTGCTTCAATCAATCCTCCGGACCAACTATGTGCTCTGTAGCCGCTGAAATGGGGAAATCCTATTGCCCTTGGTTTTCATGGCCTTTCATCATTATTGTGTCCTGGAGGATGGGCAGAACAGTGTAGCCGTAATATGTGAAGACAAGTTTGACACTGAGCTCGCTTGGATAGCAAAGGAGTAATTGGTATGTAACGACGTTGTGCACTGAACTCCTCCAAAAATGATAACAATGATGCTCAAACTCACCGCGACAGTGGAGGACGTTGTGTGATGCCAAGACGCCATTCCAAAACATCAAAAGCGCGACTGTCTGCGGGTTCTGTCTGTTTCGGTCCCTGCAGCATGCGAAAACAACACCCGCCTAGCTCCTCGGGGGGAGAAGGAGAAGACTTCTTCTTTTCCAAATGGCTGGACAAAAAGTCACCTTGTTAAACTGTCAGGGAGCCTAACCAAGGTCCGGCTCCCTATGTGACACGGGGAGAAGGTGTCTTGCCTCCTTTCGAAGACATCTCCGATGAATCCCACAGGGCTTGAAATGATGAAGATTATCATAGGGCTCTGAGCTGTTTCAGATTGTTGTTGCAAGCGTTTTCGTTAAACCGGCGAACAGTGGACAGACTTTTTGGAAAATATGCACCTCAAAGCGATGCGCGATCCAACGCCCCGAAGAGGCTCTCGAGTCGGATCATCCGTGTCAGTATAGCCCTAACTCCGTCGTAATTCTATAGCCCAGGAGTTTAGTTGTACCTCGATTCTCACTTAGAAGTATTCTCCGTGTGTCATCCGATTATGTCTGACGTTAGGAATTTTGATCTCACTCCCTGGCAACCAGTTCTTTTCTATCCGAGCATGAAAAGCCCGTCCGTCTGGACAATTTGTATCCAAATTCTATGCTTTTCTTTCTTTCTTTAAACTGGACTCTTCACCCGCATCCTCTTGGAATGTGGACATTCATTTGACTGGTGATTTTACCTAATGCCTTTTCTTTGCCCAGATTGCTTAATTGCAGCATTCTCCCCCAGACTGCGGTTGATTAAAAATGACCGGGCTACGGGCAAACTCCTCAATCGACCTTGTGGAAATGTCGCGCTCCACGGAAGTGGCGGCCTCCATTGCCCGTCGCGATGTCCTCGGCATCGTGGGTCTATTGCTTGGTTTGGCTATGGTCGGTATGGCCATACCAGCGTTTATTCCTCAAAAAGAGCCGGTTGGCACACTCGTCAAGGTTGGGACCGGATCCCTTCGGGAGAAATATAGTTCCTCTGGAAATATCCCGGGAGTCTCTGTATGGAGCGTACACGGGAAAAGACTTGGTCACGCAGTCGGAACCAAAAAACGTGTTTACAACGGTAGCCCTGTTGATATATTGGTGAAACATTACCACGAACTCGGTCAACCACTAGCTGAATATATCTCAATAACTAATGGTGGAATCGATGCAATTTGCGTTGCGTATATTGGAATGAAATGGAACAATGACGTTTACGGCTGGATCGGCGACGTTGGAGGTATATGCGGGGCGGACTGGTATTATACCGATACAGTGCTCAAGAGCAAAGGAGGCACGCCCACAGCGCAATTCAACCCGAAATGTATCTGGATCGATCGGGACCGTAGCTCCGGATTTCGAACTCAAGGGATCTCAATGCATATTACGGACTTCGATGTTTCTGGGGAAGGCCGTAAGATGCAATATGCCAAATACCCGGAAACCATGTGCAGCAGGCCACGATTCCATGCGTATGAGTATATGAAAACGGAAGACGACATCTATATATTTGATCCACCCCTCGAGTATGGCCCTGGTCTTGTGGATAAGGACATCAGAAAGGTGCTTGTGGGCGGGAAACTCACTGAGGACGGAAGACGGCCGTACAGGGCTCGCAGAAATGACGACTACTACCGAATGCCCCGCTCTCGGCCTATTTCTCGGCGTCAACAGAAACTCCGCTCCCAGTTCAAGAGAGAAGTATTGGTTGTGAGCGGCTCGCCGTACCATAAGGCGGAGGAGCTGTGCCAGAGCCGAACCTCGGTTGGGCCTGACTTTGTCTCACTGAGCGATAACCTGTTTTGCGACATGGAACATAGAGAGGTTTGGCCGTTATGTAACAACGGGACGGCGACACATGGTTGCTTTGATGTTGAGGAAAGGACTATGAAGGGTGGAGCGATTGGAGCGAGAGACTCGATTTCTGGACGAGCTATCCCGCGAAAGTCGTATAGAACCGTGACAAACTGGTAACTCGTGGATATCCGTGATAGCAACACTTGTAGGTACGAAACCGCGACAGCTCTCTCAACTTTTATTCCCTTTCTCTTCTTTCTTCCTTTTTCTTTTCTGGCGTTCAGGCAGGGCTCCATGCTGTGTGCTAGAATGGCTCAATAGCTAAACTTAAAAAAATAGAAATATCATAATATCTGCACGTCACAATCTACTTCCAGCTTATTGCACTTTCATCTTATATCTGAATAACTTGCATGATAGCGAACGCCCTTTAGGGTAAGTATGCCTTAAGGGGCGATGCCGGTCGACCAGCCTTGATCAACGGTTCTCGAATCCAAGGTGCCGACCAAGTTGTTCCTATGATACCTTCATAGGCGGTTCCAGGCGACAGAGGCTAGACGTGCCAAGGCAATATCGGCTCGATGATCAAAGACGAAGGTACGGCCCGCGGCACTCCCGTGTGGGGAAGCTCAGCGTAACTGTGATGATCGGTCTGGAGGTTCACTTCCGGAGGTGCCCCAAAGGTACCGGGTCAAATTGAGGACGAGCCCTGTACATCGACATCTACGCCAACGATAATAAAGCAAATGAACAGTTGTAGTGCACCAGAGTATCTCTCTGTAGTTCTCCAATCAGATTCTTCGGAGAGACGCCCTTAGAAGATATCAAGGCCGGTCTTTTTCGGATGGAAATTGGAGGTAATTGAACAAGAGGGAGAGCCCGGCATCCCAGCGGTTCACCGCAAACATATATACTCAACACTTGCAAGAAGTCACCCCTGGATCCACTGGCGTCTCGGATGGGATTACCTATCCTGGTTTTGGAGAAGAATAGCCTAATTGAATCCCGCCCAAGTCCCGAACAACAGCTAAAGGACTTGTTCCGCTCCCGCACGTCCACACTTGTTGATAAGGCTTCCGAAGCCCCATAAGCACTGCGCCCCCGCCGGGGTTAAAACGGCCCCGCGTCGGCCTCCCCGCCATCCCCGGGATTGATCATGATTGCGGATATCCTCCGATATGGCGTTTGGGGGCATCCAGGGCCCAGAATTTGTCCTAGAACTTGTCCCAATTCCCCCCCCCCCCCCCCCCCCAACCCAAAAAAAAAAAAAAAAATCTGGGAGCAGGACGATGATGGAATCCACTGTGGCATAGATTTGTCTTCGCTCCACTGCTTCTCATCCTTCTTTTGGAAGTTAGTGCTTGCACTCGCAATGTTGTAAATGCTGCTATTAGCAGCGTTTTTCAATCCCATCAAAATACAATATTTGCCTGATGGTCAGATCTCTTGCTCTTTTGAGCTGTTTATGTGAATTGTTCGCTGTCCCTTGGATTGCATCCAAATCCCTTGTTTAATGTGAGATGCAGCCGAATGGGAACAACTTCCCATTCGCCAGACCACAAGGTGTTTGAGGGAAAAAAGAAAAAAAGAAAAGAAAGGAAAAGTATCGTATACGGGCTCCTCGAATTTGAGAGACGAATCATGTATTTCGCCCTTCAGTGCTCAACCCACGTGGGTTAGAAGGGTCCGGCTTTATTCCAATCACCCACGATCGATTGAGATTCTCGTAGGCACTGGCCATATAGAGATCTGGATCTGGGATTTGAAGGAACATAAGGAGAACAGAATCTGGTTGAACTCAAGTTTACATGTACGATACGGTTTAGGCAGTACGCTGCGATGTCCAAACATTGGAGGAGGCCATAGATTCCACTGCCAACGCAGTCATCCTGTCAAAAAGGCATCGATCTCGAACTCACCAACAAAAAGGTAGCGCTCACTTTCTACACTTCTCAGTGGACTGGAACAAAGCAGCAAGTCTGCCTCGCGAGGTGAAACACCACCAAATATAGTTAGCGGTCACCAGCAGATGGGATCACGCTTGTACTTGCCATGACAAGCAGCTCGATGCGGGACACATCATTCATCTAGCAGCGGAGTCCTGCTGTAGGTCAGTTTTTTGGCGCGCGCTCGAGTGGAGCTCTGGTGGAATCGATGTGGAGGGTACCTGAAACTCAACGAAGATAGAGGGAGGTCGAGACCAAGACGGCATGCCAAACTCTCCGCCCTCTGTGCGACGACTGCCCGGGGAGTCATGGCGGCCAATGATAATAATTGTTTAGGTGACCTCGAGGAGCCTGGGCGGCGCGCGCCTGAAGCCCGGAGCGCGACACACAGCCCAGCCGGTGAAACCTCCCTCGAGAGTCCCAGACTCCCAGCAGCGGCCCAGCGTGGTTTGAGCGCCCGCCGAAAGCCCGGGCGGCTGCAGCTCGGAGCGACTCGGCAATGGTAGCTGCGGAGAAGGCGCTGCGAGGCCGCCCGAAGCACCGCTGCGATTGGCTGCTCAGCCCAAGAACCGTCACCTGACTAATCCGCGCCGCCGCCCATCCGATTGGCCGAGGCCGGTCGCAGCGACGATGCTCGATGAACAAGCCAGCGCCATCGAGGGACAGTGACTGCAGCATTATGCGCTTCTCCGCACCCATGTGAGCCGTCGTTGTGATCAGGAGGGGAAGGGAGATCAAGTGACAAATGGGATCCAAGAGCCAAGTCTCCGAAGCTGAAGGCGAACCGAACCGCTCACCACCTGTTGGGAGAGTCTACCGCGTCACTCTTTATTCCTTGAAGGTGGGAAAGCGAGAGCATGTCGAGAGCAACATTGCTTTTCCGTGCCTAAACCCAGTGGCCTGGAATATAAAAGGATCGCCATCCGCTCCTTAAAGTGATCGTTTTCCGGTAGCGCTGAGAATTTCAGTCTGTCTAAGAACGTTGACTTCGGAGATCTTCGCTGCGCGTTTGACATTGCAAGAATCTTGTCCGTCGTTTCACACATTACTTGTTCCATCGTGACGTCTGACAGAGCATACTGTCGATTCCACGTCCTCTCTCTTGAACCCTAGTACCCAATTCTTTAAGGGATCTTCCTAGCACTATCAACGTTGATGTTGGATTGCAGGCTTTCTGCTCCTTGTGCTATTGCATTAGCTCTCTTCTTGAGACCTCCGAGTAATAGTAGTAGTATTTTATATTGCTACAAGCCGTTAGCCTCATCGCCGATAGACGACTCGTGATTGCTTGCTTTTGAGCCATTTCAATTTTAAAGAAAAAAAGAGAGAGAGAGAGAGACGGAAAGGATTGCTGTATAAAACACAGTCCATTATGTCGATCGAAGTCAGACCATTGACCCTGGAGGATATCCCTGGCGCAATTGAGTGCGTTCAGAGGGCCTTTGAGGATGACCCATATTTCCGCTGGGTGTTTGACCCTGCCAAGGTATGTGTCACGGCTCCAATTAACGTCGAGGTTGCATATATTGGCGTCGAGTAGACTAGAGCATGCGGCTGTTGATCCCCATACACAAATCAGTATAAAAATATCACTGACATTTTCCACTTTGTTTCGCGGCCGAGGTCTTTCTTCGCCCGCGGCCAGATGACCTCTGGGTTGTTTTATTGAGAAACACTAGTTCTCCAAGGAAAGAAATACCGCATCCCTAAGGAACCGTTGCCTCTGGGGCATCAACAATGGCCTGTTCTATGTTGCCCGAGAGAGAGTCCCACAAGGCAACGGCCAGAACGGTTCCGAAAAATCGCCATCGTACCGTGTGGTCGGCGTGTCTATGTGGCTCAAGCCACATGTCGCTGGACAGAGCGAGAGCTGGCCTTCACGCTTCCAAGATTGGCTCCTCAGCTTTCGTCAGTTGGTCACCAACGTCCAGTTTGGGGGTCGCGGCGGACTCCTGGTTCGTCGATACTGGATCTACAAAGACTCCCAGTTCAAAGCAGAACAGAAATTCTTGACTGATCCTCAGGGATATTATCACTGCAACATAGTCGCGGTCCTGCCAGGGATGCACGGGAAGGGAATAGGGAAGAAGTTGGTAGAAATCGTTACGGATCAAGCTGACAAAGAAGGCATGGGGTGTTACCTGGAGAGCTCGAAGGCCGAACCCAATGTCAAAATTTATGAACGCATGGGCTTCAAGGTTGTTGGAGATTTGGATTGCAATGATAATGGGGCGCAGTGCAAGGTGAGCATGTTTCTTCATCATAAGATTGAAGATATGATGTTAACGTGCATGGCTTTCCCTCCCCATAGTTGTTCTGCATGACCCGCGATCCAAAGCCGCTGATGACAAACGGCAAAGCGGAGTGAATATTAAGCCGAGAAGCACCGAGACCAAGGACAACAAGACATTAGTTATTGGAGAGATAAGTTAGCTGAACTCCCATTGATTCTCCCCGTAATTAGTTGTTTTTGTGGGCGTACATTTCGGTTGTGGGTGACAGGTTCACGTTTCAACCTGCATGAGCATTTCGGTTGGAGGCTTTCCACCAGCATAGTGTCTGCCTTTGAGCATTTGAGCAACAGAACCGATGAATTTGAAATGAGAGAACTGAGCTTCTGTTTTTCCGGGACAGCCATTCTGTTATTCTCCACCAAAGAAGCTTTTTTAGGGCGTGGTCAAGCTGAGCCTCTGTAACTCGGGACTCCAGACTTTACATCGTATTAGCGGAGCCGAGGGCAAGATAGAATGCGGAGCACTCGGCCACCTAGTTAGCAAACTATCGAATAGTGAAGCAACGCGGTCATTCTCACCTCAAGAAGACAAACTCAATCGTAGGATCATCGTGTCTCAGAATCAGGAAGCCAACCTCGGAGTGCCCGTTGGCTCATGCGCAGCGAACTCGCTCTCCGTGTTGCGATTTTTCACGCAAGGTTTTTAGCGCAGAGCTGGTGAAACACGGCAAAAGACACCGTCCCATTCCTGACATGAGGATTTACCCTCTCCAGATTTCCCTAACCGCTTCTTCTCTCAGTCGTTGACGACGGTTGTGACGAAGATGATGGATCTCGCAGCGAGTCTATGCATCGCCGTCGTGGTACCTGAGCGTCTTATGTAAGGGCGCCGTCAGCGACCTCCCCACGTCGTTCGTCGCGCCAGCAGCAATCGAGACCGCCGCAGCGTGGTCGGGCGAAATGAACACGGGTGAGTTGCATCCACGAGATGAAGATTAGCGGCAGAGCTATCCCCCACAGCCAATCAGCGGGCCCCAGTTTGCATTCTGCTAATGCACGATCGATGTCTCTCCCTTCGTTTTGGCAGCGTGATCGCGCGCTTGACCCTTGAGGTGTTGGCCAGATCCCCAGCTAATAGTTTCGTCACTGTGACACACGCTCAACACCGGCCAAAGAAAAGAGGAGCCAGGCGGTGTCTGGGCTAAGGGATCCAAGTTACACTTCCCAAAAAGCTGCTCGTTGAACAAGTCGACGCCTTGAACGAACAAAGAGAGAAGGGCAGCGCCATGCGAAGGCCTCGCGAGTTCGGGATGACAGCAACGATCTTATGAACTCATTAAAGAGACAAGGATACGGCCTTGTTCATCAACAATCGTCGCAGCGATTTAATTTTGCAATTCCCTGTCTGCATCTCGTACTGAGTTCCTGTTTTTCTGTTCCGAACCTCGGGGTCCTTGCATTGTGTCAAAGCTCCTTTTCACAGACGCGAGGGCAGCTTCTTCCCTCTCCGAGAACCTCTGGTGAGTTATTCCGAATAAGCACGACCGATTTTGTTTGGGTTCACTCTGCGCGCGGTCGCGCATAGTTGCTAATGAGTTAAGCTGCAGTGGTGGCATTATTAGCCTGTTCCTCCGAAACTCGACGGGGAAAAGGCGCACCGAGGACGTCGTATGGGATTATGCCCATCAATTACCAGATATAATTAATAAATCCTGTTTATATGGCGATCGAATTTGCCCAATTATTCAGTCAGCACAATCAGGGATCATTCACAACTCTAGTTCATTTTAAATTGATGTTATCATCGTTATGAACACGAACATTTCTTGTATGACTCTTCAATTTGCAACATAACATAAGTGATGAATCGAAAAATGCCTCTGTTTTTGGATTGAGACCTGCTCCTCAAAAATCATGACCTAGACCTCATGAGCCCAATGCGTATGCTGTCATCCCGTGAAGTCTGAATAATGTCTGACAGCTGACAAAATTAGGTATCCCAGCCGCTTCGAACCCTGACCCTTGCTAACATCAAATCTTGTGCTTCATTCTGTTGTCTCCCCCTTTTCGAAAGCAACTAGCGAGTTGTTCGACTCCCGCAATCACTGAGGACGTGCATCGTAGCAAAAGTGTGGCCATTCCCTCTGCACGTCTATCGAAGGAATCCACTCTGCAGCGCCACAGTCCCGTCCAGGCCAAAGTCTCCATCAGACTTGGGGTAGAATGACGATCTCCCGAATTCCCCCACAAGACAGACACAAGAGAGCGGAATATGTATCTCCGACTTAAGCAGAAACATTCCCACTGACAGACTCTCATCTTAGCCTTGACTTCTCTCTGCTACACCCTCCCTCGTATTCTTTGTCCTTTCTTTTTTCATCAATTATTTTTTTTCCCCCTTGCACACGTTTCCTTTTAATTTGAGCTTCAATTCTTGAAGAGGGTCTCCATTCATTTCACAATTCGGCTGGCCTGGTAGCTAGCCCTCGGATACCTTGCTTTACGAACAACGCTCACTTCGGTCAACTCGGAAAGAGATAGGAAAAAGCAATGAGCCGCGCGCAGAGGAAATTCCGTATTGCTAGGAGCAATGAGGATGACGAGACGGCGCAATGCCTACTGGAGGAATTGAGTTCAAGACGTCGATCTCATAACAACCTTCTCACACGAAAAGAGGCCAGCGGCAATCATTCGTGGGGTCAAAGAGCTTACTCATCTTTATCCTTCTTCCTCGGCGAACGGGACTTGAAGACCTTTGCTGAAAACCGCGAAGGGCATCATGCCGATTTTGCGTCCCGAAAATCAATCCCATGTCGCTCATTCGTTCGATCTGTGGCTGACTTGGGTGTGTCTAATCCCTCCTTGAAGATTGGTAAGAGGGAAAATAAAGGTCGCATGGGAAACGGGAACGGCAACGGGAACGGGAAGGGCGGGAATAATGGAGGCGGAAGGCCGGACAACGGGGCTCCTCCTGATAATCCGGATGGAGGGAGGGAAAACAACAACTTCCCTGCTCCTCCCGTGTTTTTTCCACCGCCGCCACCATCGGAAGGACCACCTATAATATTTCCTCCCGATCAACCGGAATCCGTGCTCCGCACTTCCCAGATGCCGACTTCCACGGCCAAGTTCGAAACCGTCTCGACGACTGAACCCATAAGTTCCAATTTCGTTGAGCAGCCTACACCCACCATCGGCATCAAAACAGAAACTATCGTTTCCAAGATTACAGAAACAGCCAATTCGGATAGAACCCATCCCAGTTCGCCTAGCGTCGCTCCATCCTCGTCTTCGATCTCCGACAATGGACCAAAGTCCAACAACTTTCTCCATGACCCTGCTCGTGTTGCCTGTCTAGCGGTTGGTGTCACAAGTATGAAAATACCTTGAGCCAGGCCTCGCCAGGCATTGATTAACTGACGTGTACTAGTTGCTACGCTTCTTCTCCTAACCCTAATCGGCTGGTTAATATTGAGATGCGTAAGGCGGAGATGCGGGGCCGCAAGCACTAACTCCCGGCGCTCGAATCAAAGAGGTGCCCCAGATGAAGTATGGATTAGCGAAAAGAACCAGCTGCCGAGTGGACCTGGGGACCTTAATTGGGACCCTGAATCCACCTTTGCACCAGCTTTCGCTGGGCCATTCCGCCATTCACGGACTGATTCGTCAGCCTCGTCAATATTTCGAAAATTTTTAATGCATGCCGGCAAGCAATCCCGAAGAGGCTCAGGTCTATCCAATATTCTTCTGCGAGAAAAGCCCTTGCCAAACCCTCCCGATACCAATTCCGAGTTATCCCTGACAGACCGAGATTCTATCATGGACGACCTTCCAAAAATGCCTGCAAAGACCCATGCCACCATCAGCACGAGATCATCAGAAGCATTCCGCCTAGACCTTCCATCTCCACGCCCGCGACCTTACTGCTCGCAAGAATTCCCGGGCAGTCCTCTCAAGGGTCGGGTTCGCGGGAGCATCTCCAAGTTTTCATGGTCCACCCCAACAACAAAGAGAACCTCGATGTCCTCAGCGGCCCCAACGTATCGATTACCCTCATTAACAAGCAACTACGCCGGCACAGTATTCTCGGAAGACAGCGAACCACCACATTTCAGAACCACGTCGAGTTGGGTTTTGCATCAGCAAGCTCGAATTATGAGGCGGAAGTGGGCAGAGTCAGACTATCCGCCATCTCCAACAGCGGTGGCCAATTCCATCAGCACTAGGCAACACTCAGAGTGCATGTCCCCAAAAGGAAAATTGCAAGAGATGAAAAGACGCTCTACGAAATCTTTTGGCTAAGGTGGAATACTTTAAACCCAACCGCCGGCCCAGCACAGCCGATCACTTGGTCAGATTTCTTTCCCATGCAATATATACCCCCCCTCTCTCCTATGATAGTACTCATCGCATCCCCATATACGGAGACCCATGGTTTATTTTTATTTTATTTTATTTTATTTTATTTCTCCCCCCCCCACCAACCCAAAATAAAACACCTAGACGACAGAAATTTCTTATGATTAAGCCTCGACTATCTACTCAATCTTGACCGTTCCTTCGAACTCACTCCCTTCAGGGAATTTTAAATTCTTACCGCTCACTCTAAATATTCCTTTACCGGAACGCATGTTCATGAATATGTCGCTATATCTAGGCCAAGATGCCGGGGAATTGAAACATTCACTATTGATCTTTTTGCCACAGTTTACCCAGCCCTGCAAGGTGCTATTTAGCTTCCAGTCCTACGAGTGTGACAGTTCAGATCTCAACCTCTTTTTATTAGTATGGCACTGAAAATCGAGAAATTGTCAGGTCTAGGGACCCATGAATAGAGGAAAAGGTGAATGGGGAAAGGCAAAGACAATATAAACCAGAATCGATTAAAGAAAAAAAAAAAAGAAAAAGAAAAGAAAAGAAAAGAACTGAGTGGTTACAATGGTAAATGTCCATAAAAGCGCTGCCTATTATTTTCTCAATATGCACTCGGGTGTACGAGGTAATCTCAATAACTCTGCCCCTGCCCACCGTTAATTTATCGCATTACAACCTTGGGAAGCAGAGTAACTCTCTTGGTAGTCTTTAGGGGTCTACATCCATGCTTCTCGCGGAACTATAGCATCTGTAAAGGAGAATATTCCAAAATATTCGCGATTTCCCTGACGATCTGTACCCTTCGTTTCAATATGCCGATCGCCCAGATGGGCCTCCAGGCTCCCACGAGTCGAGGGAGTATCCCGATCTTGGCAAACATAGTTATCCCGGCACAACGGCATGCCGTGACCACGCGGGAGTATCCAATTGGCCTGAAACCAACCCTCGAGGGGAAAAAAAAAGGTGTTTCAGGATATCGTTGATACTTCCCACCAAATCTCGCCGTTGCGGGATTTTTCAAAGTTGTCCCTACATCAAGATTCAAGGAGCCTGGATTTCCTTCCAGTTCTTGCCGCCGCCGTTAGTATTCGCCTTTGCAACATCCCGTTGCATAACGAACATTGTCCTTTCTCCACAGAATCCTCCGGCCGAAGCCAGCCTCTCAAACTCTTGATATGAACCCTTTAGTGGTCTTTGGGCATCAGTTACCCAAACTTTTTGCTTGACAAGCTGTCCGGGCTCATGTAGTCGACGAGGGTTATACCTCGGATAGCCGTACGCACTTCCAATGCGCTGGAAATTGTTGAATATCCGTTCGTATCTCCGAACGAAAGGGAGCCATTCCCACGTCCTACGTGAATAAGCGGCACGAATATAAGGATTGATGAATACCCCTGACGCCTTCTCGGGATCAGGGGTGCCCAGGTGCTGTTCTATATCTGCAAATATCAAACAACATTCCGCAGCTTCCCAAAATGGCTCAGGATCGTGTCGGAACGGAAGTAAAAGCTCAAGCGTCTCTGAACTCTGTGGCCGCTGAAACGTCTTAGCATCGAAGGCTGCCATTCCTCCCCAGCAGCTGCGAACAGGCACACTGTCCTTTCCCGCAAGCACATCCTCTCGACTCTGACCTTCGCCTGCAGTGGAGAACCAAGGGAAGAATGGTGTTCCAATGCTATGCCCTTCAGCGTCTCTTACGACAAACGTGTCATAAAACTTGACTGGGGAGATAAAGTCGACGGCACATGCTGCACGATACCTAGCACGGCCCCCGGGGTCCGCGTTAGTCGAAAACAACAGCTGAACGGCGTCAATCGGGGAAAAGTAGACGTCGTTTAGAAAAAGAACTTTGTCGAATTTGGTCGAGGTACGCCGAAAACCATTGGCGTCACTTCCAGGATTATACGACGGGTCTAGCGGCCTAAGCACCCGATTGCGTACTTCTGCGAGATAAGCAATTCGCTTTGTTCTCTCTTCTCCATTTGGCAGAGTCACGGTAGGGAACTGTGATAAAGGAATATGGTCACCAGTCACAATAGAAGAATTGCCTAATAAGGGCCAGCTGGTCAGTCTTTCCATTGCTATATTCCCCTTGAAACTCTAGCTGAAGACACAAACATAGCAAAGCATCCCGCAGGCCGTTGAGCGCAGCGCTTGTGCCCTCCCCACTATCATTTTCATAAATGCTGATAAACACATTCTCTTCCCCCAAGATCTCCACTAATTCCATCAACGCCTGCCCCCACGGGCCTCGAATTAATTTTTCATTGATGATATTTGCCGCAATAAACACCTTTTCGTGATTCACATTGCCCCGACCAGACCAGGAAGCCTTGAAAATCCTTTGGTGTAGTTCGGTGTAGTGCTTCGGCGGATTCTGATAAGATGGATACAGAATTGCTTCGATGGCCGAGACCAAGACGAATAAGATACCGAAAGAAAGCGTAATCTTTAGGGCCTTAAACAAGAGGCAGCAGACGCGCGATCGACGCGATATGGGGCTCTGCTTGATGTATAATACGTTCTGATATCGGAACCCCGCTCGACATCGGCGGCCAAATCGTGCAATCTGTAAACCGATGAAGGACCAGAGCGGCGTGGAGCTGCGCGAGCTCTGGAGATCTGTCCGATATGACGAAGACAAGTCTATGGAATGCTCATCCGATTCCGTTTCTTTAAGAAACTGCGAAAGTAATGGAACTGACTCGAACATGATTCGGGACAAAAGGGGCAAAAGCCAGGAGACTTGATATTGGGATATGTGCTTTCAAATTCAGAGTAGCATTTTCTAGAGATACTGAGACCAGTTCTCATGAATCCTGCAATGTTTCATTAGAAGTCCAGGTTGTTTGTCTCCACCGCACATATAAGTCAAATTAGGCCGGAAAAAAAAAAAAAAAAAAAAAAAAAAAAGGGCAGCTGTATCCCAAGAACCAGCAGCCCGCGCTGCTTCTTGAAGCCGTTCATCCCTGGAGCTCGAGAGACAAAGCTCTCCGGGCAACACCGCAGTGCCACGCCTATCATGAGATCATTCCGCCAACTTAAGGGTGTTTGATATTTTGGACGCTGGTCCTAAATTTCCCCACTGCAAATGATTGGCTGGTTGATGCTGATCCAACGGCGACTCCAACACTGATGATGCATGCGCTGACGACTCAGCGCGCCTTGTGGGTACGGCTGTCGACAACCGCGCATATCTGAGTAAAGGTTGGTATGTACGGAGTAGTGAACTCATGCGGCCCATGAGTTTGGAGGAGAAAGAAGGTGGTTTCGAGAAACTGCCATTTTGTGGCTGGGGAGCTTCTTTGTTCCTGATTCGGGTCCATTTATCCATCTTTCACAAGACTGCACAATGACATCTGCCCCTGGCATCAGTTGAGATAACTGAAACCTATCTCCTCCTCACCGCAGCGGACAGTCATCCAGACTGGAGTCAAGAGTCCATGGGCCCCCTACTCAAAGAACTGCGGCGACTGCAATCCATGCCTCTGAGGTGTTGCTTCGAGTAAGTTGACTGGTGAGGTACTCCGTAGTTAGCCAGTTAACTTACTTAACTAATAAGATAATTGTTTTTCTTGACCACAAAAAGTTGCTGCGCCGAAAATTTCCTTTGAAGCCTCCATGGGTCAAATCCAACCCTTTGGCAGAAGCTTTTTAGCCAGTTGTTGAACCCTGGGACATGTACACCATAGCTCACCAACCAGCTGATGGGAACTTAAGCAACCCCTAATCGGTGCGAAACTATAAATTTTGATGCTTTTGGGATTTGATCTCGGTTTCCCCCGGCATTTCTGGAAGAATAAACCCCTCTCCCCCACCCCCTTAACGATAATAGGATCCATTAATATCGCCCACGGATGTGAGGGACAACCCGTATCCAAAACGGGGGTACATATAATATGTGCTGAAGCACGGAGGCAGCGGCTTCGCATTAAGTATCATTCAATTCCGGATGGAACGATCCCGATTTAGCTATGCGTGACAATGCGTGGGATGTGCCGAGATGCGAGAGAGCGGGATACCCAACAACTGAATAGAAGCTGGGCCGCTTCTTTCTTGCACAAAACCGTTTCTCCTTTGCTTTTTCGGCCTAATAGGGGAAGGACGAAATTTTTTTTTTTTCCCCCCCTTCCTCTTGGCTTAACTAGAGTGAAGGCAGTTCTACTCCGTGCAAAGCAAACTGCTATTCTACCTTGGCGTTGTGGCCGACGAGGCCTGTGCAGCGGACAGTTTTGTGTGCCGGGACTGGCTTAATTGTCCGTGGTCCTCCCCTCGCTCCCGGCGCCCGGAGGGCTTTCATGGAAGCGGCCTGGTGCATTCAATTGCATATAACGCCGATGCGTGTCCATCAGATCTTTATCGAGAGAGATCAACGGCATCATCACCCCTTTGACAAAACAACGAGGGAATTATCCCGTCCTTCTCTATGACTAGGCATCGACAAAAGGCTTGCCTCGAGTTGTCAGATTAACCCCTCATTTTTTTACACATTCGGAATTTGAGGCGTGCCATCCTTGCCGGTAAACACCCGAGACAGTCACCAAATTAAGAGGATAGTTTAGACTGAGCATAAGAAGGAACATTAACTGACCGCACCACGCATTCCCCCCTACCAATGATCCCTGTATGGCACGCCCGTGGGTTATGGCTGGGCGCGAAAATCAGAATGTGAAGGTTTCGTTACACCCTTGTCGGATCCTGGTCCCAAGCAAACCCAGGCCCCTCTTGAAAACGTCAAACTTCTATATTGCACGGAGGTTATTATTTTGTGCAAACGCGGTTGGCTGAGCAGCCGAGATCACTAAACGTCGGGTTGCCAAGAGTATCCCAAGGATGGAGTGTTGACCTGCCTCGAAAGCGTTGATATCGGGACTTTTCATTTCGATTCCATTTGGAAATATTTGCTTCCAAAATGGTGTCCCGACTCCTTGGGTCCAAAGACCTTTAAACTACGGTCCCGTGCATTCGATCAGCGTTCGGCAATTTTGTTTTTCTCCAACACCATTCGGAGGACTCTGCATGATGTGGGATGCCCGTGCTCCTCTCGCATAAGAGGGTACTATTGGATGCTGGACTAGCTCGTGTACCCAGAAATCAAAGTAAGGAGACCGCCGAGCTGCACATCTACTTTCCAGGCTCTGAAATCTGAAGAGAAAATCGCCGTGAGTTCAACATGATTTGTCAAACGCACAATATACACATACTTGCAGACGGGAAATGCACGTGTACAGAGGAGTTGTAGCACTAATATCTCTAAAAAAAAGTGAAAATTGAGGGCTCCTTTTTATGTCCCACCAAAAATATTTGACGTATCAACTTAATTCTAGGGGCATTCATGATTCATACATACGGATGAAATACAATCGATATATGACTCCGCGGCTGATAGGAAGTGACCGAGAACGTTCCAGCTCCAGTCACTTGGTATTGTAAAAAATACCTCTGAAAGACTGAACCAAAAGAGGATCTCCAAATACAACGCCACGATACTTTTAAAATCGACAGTCCATTCAAAAAAGATGATGAGGAGAAGAGCACCAAACAAAAGCAGGAAAAACCAAAGCGGGGTATTTGGCAGTGCGCGACACAGGAGTAGAAATTTTATAGTCAAAAATGGGATTAGCAAAGGGGGAAAATTACAAAGATTCAATAGGGAAACTGCTCCAGAGCAAATGCAGCCGTTGTCTCCCCATGACTAGACACCAGAACTCCCCGTTTCAGCTAATCATGAGATGTCATCACGGCGTAGCAGACACAGCCCTAACCAGGGGACGTGTAGGATGTCATCAACCAGGATTGCCAGCAATACCTTGCGAGACCAGTTAGAATAATTATGCGAAAGTTCGGCGTCATACAGGGGATCTCACCACAGTGCTTGGATGTAGGGGAGTCCCAGCCTCGTCCCTTCTCCATCAATGCGCAGCTTTCTTTCGAAGCTGTATGAGGGCTGCGACATAGCTATCCTTGCTACACAACGGTTGCGATTCATGAAGGTGCCAATTAACGCTTGCAAACTCGGCATTGGCCCACAACCACAATAAACCGCTCGTGGGGGCTCCCGCTGCACCGGGATCCGCCATTCCCATCTGTTGAAATGCGGAAGAAATGGTTGGCAGGGTCTCGACAAGAGCTATAGACGTAGAAATTCTTGAAAAAGTTGCACATTGTTGCAAGGGTCTGAGTAGATGGCTTTTTCGGAGCCTCACTAAAACCCGTAAAATCTTGTAAACGCCGGAGCTCTGAGATGATATTACGTGTGTAAAACAGGCAACGATCTATAAATGGGTGGCGTCAGTGTCTGGAATGTCCCTTTGGAGAACTTAGCCCTTTCCATACCTTCAATTGTCAGTGTCGCGATAAGAAATGAAGTTTGAATGAACTATGGATGTCCGGACTGCTTTTCGCTCAGAAGAAGCAGGCGGGAGGCCTCTTTTCAATGGCAGCCAGGCCAGCAACATCCCTCTGATGGGAATCACACAGGACTAATCCGAAACCAGCCAAGCTACTCCGTACATACCGACCTAATGTGACGGGAAAATTTGGCTGTCAAAAGCACGAACCACCTCCCAAAGCTCACGCTCTTTTTGGGACGTCTAAACTTTGCAGCATTGTGGAGATTGCCTGATTCAACCACTGTAGATCGGAGCTAGGATGGATGAGGATCCAAGCTTCCAGGGCTGAAGTACCAATAATACACCAGTCGACAGGCATTATCGCTGTTGTCGCATGTGAAAATGACGAAACAAAGGGAATTCAAGGATGCCCACCAGGCCACAGCAAACGCTTCCATCGACGTGCCAGAGCTTGAGTACCCTTAGGGGACCCATGATGGCGGGGAATCTCGACTAGTTCCCGTTTGAAAAGATTGAAGAATTGCTGGGTTCCTAATCTTATTAGACAGTACGCTTTACATGAAACATCCCGATCGCAATATCGGCTGCTCGCTGAGCGGTTTTTATTTATTTACTTCTGCAATTTTTTTTTTTTTTTTTTTTTTTTTTTTAAATAAAAAAAAAAAAAAGGAAAATTTGTTGGAACCAGTAGACGCCGTAACTTTGAAGCTAGACAAGAACGGTGAGATTTGAGGAATATAAAGAGTCTGACAAAGTTCCCGCTGTGACTACTTCGGGAATCGGGTAGGTGCTTCTCAGAGCAATCAGCCATTGACGCATGTAGCAGTTGGCATGAACTTTGAGGGAAAAAGATTTAGCAGCCTGATTCCCTCGGTTTCTCCGCGCAGCCGCAATTGGCCACACGAAGATACGAGAAATGAGACGCGCACTTTGAATCAGCTTCTCTCCACAAGGAGTGCTCGGACGCACTTTGCTGGAGTGGCATTTGGGATGCAAGGATATCCGCCAATTCCCGATATCAGATGGCAGCATCGCTGTCTCAAAACTATTAGCTTGATAGGTCAGTCATATTCAGAATGGAGCTTAGGCTTGGATCTTGTTCGTCGCAATGGCGTGATTTCTAGAAGACTGAAAGGCATGACCGAATCAGAGACGTTAATCCCGGAACCCAAGTCCCAGGGGGGAAAATCTGGAATGTTTCTGCATGCGCTTTGACGTATATCAGACTCGCAGAGAGATAATTGAAGTTGATACTTTGCCAGAGGAACCCGGTGATTGGATCGTGACCCACACCACCCTGTCACTCGGATATTTGGGTCATCAGTATTGAACTAAGGAGCGGTTAGATGAGTTAAGAATTAGTTCCAGAATTAGCTCCATAAGGTGTTCCATAAAGGAGGGAATCCGCCATGCATTACTCCACAGCCGTCGGAGCCATTCGGAAATGAACCAGAGCATCTTGATTAGATGTATGAAGGGGTACCCATGCAGCCTAATGAAAAGAGAAGTGTCAGAGAGAAAGTTCTTCGAAATGCCAATTTGTCACCAATATTCAGGCACAGGCTCTGCCCCAAGCAAAGCATGAAAAATTATCCATGATAGCCGTTTAGAGGCAATAATATAGCCGTCATATTAATGCTTTATCAAACTGCCAGAGCATCAATTGTTGAAAATGCCTGATCCGGTTTAGTGCCAAACAGGGGGGAATGTGTCAGCATAGCAAGGTTTGCTCTAGTCCTGGTCTGGAAAGCGGCAAGCCCCAACCCAGGATCGGCGCTAGTGCTTGTTAGGTCTAGAGTGTGGCTGGGATCCACGATCCTTGATTATCTAATCTAATCAAACCTCCCAACCCAAAACAGTAAAGCCGCAACTAGCCTCAAAGAGGAAACCCCAATGTCAGTCCTCTCCGCCGAGACGACGAACGACGACAACATCCGCCGTCCTTCGCGCTGTTCATCGCCGCCAAACTTACCCTCCCTCCGCCTCTACCGTGTTGTCACTTTATTGTATTCACTCGTTTAGCTTCACTGCTTTTTTTTTTTTTTTTTTTTTTTTTTACCTCCCTCGTCGACGCCCCTTATTCCTTTGCCTTCCGACCGAGTCTCTAACCAGCCACCGCGCAGCCTTTCTCTCTCACCATCGTCGACCCCGCGCTTTTCTTTCTCGACATCGGCACTCCCCGAAGAGGAGTTCTGTGACCAGGCACCATGAGCTTCGGCCAGTTTGACTCGCTATGCCGGAAGGCAGCGATTCCTTTATGCTCACTAGTCGGCTCGTCCTCGTTGTCCGGTACAAAAGGGATTTTGCCAAGTTGCTACGCAAGGAATATTGAGGTTGCCAACACCATTATCTTCCAGGGCGCCACAGATGTCATGCACATTGTAGCTCTGGCCATGACTGCGATTATGATCATTCATGTACGATCAAAGTTCACTGCTGTCGGTAAGTTTCCCGCATTCTTACCGTTGCCGACAATGATATGATGATCAATTGGCACTAAGCCCTCTCGTCTCATTGGTGTTACAGGACGCAAGGAGATAATTACATTTTTCTACATCTATATGGCATTGACGATATGCTCTCTGGTCTTGGATTCCGGTGTCGCACCCCCTGGAAACGCCGTCTTCCCGTTCTTCGCTGCAGTTCAGAATGGTTTTGCCTCCGCCCTCTGCACTTGTTTGCTGGTCAACGGATTCGTAGGGTTCCAGCTCTATGAGGATGGAACCGCCCTTTCGGTTTGGCTTCTACGACTCTCCTCTCTTGGGATGTTCTTAATTTCGGGCGCCGTTTCACTCCTAACCTTCAAGTCCTGGGCCGGACTTTCTCCATCAAACACCATCGGCCTTTTTGTTGTCGTCTACATTCTCAACGCCATATGCTTGTTTGTATATGTGGTCATGCAGATCATCTTGGTTGTGAATACACTCCAAGATCGTTGGCCGCTCTGGCACATTACCTTTGGTGTATTCTTTTTTATTATAGGCCAAGTCATACTCTACTCTTTCAGCGCTGTTATCTGTGAGAGTGTTCAGCATTATTTGGATGGCCTGTTTTTCGCAACTCTATGCAACCTTCTTGCCGTCATGATGATCTATAAGGTACGTCGCATTCCTTGAGTGAACGCTTTCGTCATTCGATGCGCAAAGAAAGTTAACAGTATTATAGTACTGGGATTCGATTACCAAAGAAGATCTCGAGTTCTCCGTCGGCTTAAAGCAGAACAACTGGGAGGTCAAAGAGCTCCTTCCTGAAGAGGAACGCAGGGCCACTGTATACCTCGATACCAATTCAGAATACGCGGGCAGTGTGTACCACCATCGCTCATCCACTTATGGCGGACAATCGAATTATTAGATCCACCACTTTCGTTCGACTTCCCCCCACCTTTCTTAGCGCGCCGGATGTATAGTGCTTACCGCACATAGAGCACCTATAATTTGGCTCACGCGACTTTTCGTATAAGCTGATACCTCTCAAATCTCTTCCCCCCTCTTTGCCCATGTCTTATTCTTCACCCTTATTATCCCGCTAAGATTTTGTGATGAATCTCCTTTGTGGCGTTTTGATGTTACATGGCTTCTTTCCCCGGCGCACATTGGTCTAGTCTTCAATCTTACTCCAAGCGTTGTTTTCTTGCACATAGTCTTCACGAGTCGAGTGTCATATTTTCCCTTTTATATTAATTTTAATAGATAATTGCGCTCTAAATATTATATCCTTTGGTCTATGGAAGATGCGTTTTCCCATATAATACGGGTATATTTGATGACCTTTCATCCCTGTGGGCACCTTGTCAACGATCCTCACTCTCCTTCCCCGGAGCACTGCCTGCGGTTGAGTACCATCCTTTATCAACCCATCTGATCAACAAATCTCTCGCCTGGTGCGCCATCTCGTAAAATGCCGGGTTATCCGCAGGCGAAAACATAGTCATATGCGCTTTGGTTTCATCTTGGGCATTATCATTTACTACCTCGATCCACTCCAACCCCTCATTCGACTCAAGATCGCGAGAATTGCCCTCATCCCGCGCTTTCTTTTCCTCCACATCTTGTGGGAGATTGCAAAACGTGCGGATCTTCGAGCGTAATACATCCCTTATTGAGAACTGCTGCTGCTGCTGTTGTTGCTGGGCAGAACCTGTTGACACCTCGGAGGGCACGGTGATTGCGCTGCGGCCAAGGCGTGTGTAGAAATTCGCGGCGCCTATTCCGCGGTCTACATGCAGCCGCGCAATGGCGGAGATGCGACGACGTAACTCCTCCGGACGAGCTAGACACCCGACGAATTCGAGATGCGAGGTCGCCCACGTCCAGCCCGCTGAGAACCGGTCGCGTTGGGTGTATAAAGCCGCTGCTCCGCCTGCTGCCACGGCACCTGCGGCGCCCGCGAACATGGCGTACCGTCCCCAGCGCTGCCATGATGGTGTGGCTGCAGCGTCATCAGTAGATTTGGTTGCGGGTGGAAGGGCGGCGGGTGGTTCCTTGCGGTCCTTTTTCGAGGCCGAAGAGCCGCCACCGCCGCCACTGCCCCAGCCAAACGCGCTGGCGACTTCTGTGATTGCGCCGTAAGCCGTAGTGGCGGCTTTGTATTGGCTTTCAGCTGTGTAGGAGACCGTCCCCGGGGCGATCCCGAGGAAAGGGGTGTCGAAAGCCATGAGGCCCTGGATATGAGGAAACATAAACGCGTTGGGCTGGATTCCTGCTGCGCGTTCGTCTGAGAGTTTGGCATCGTCCCATTTCGATGATGGGTGCGCAGCGCCAGACGGAGGGAGTAACTGCTCAGATGCGAGTAGACGTATGGCTTCTGCACCGACGACGCCGCCCATGGAGTGTCCAATGAGGATAACGTGGACAGATGGGTCGACGGTAGGCGAGGGGGCCTGGTTGGAGACTTCGATGTCTATCACAACGTTTTGAAGCCTGTTGCGCATGTTTTATTGCTTCCTGTGTTAGCCAGGTCATGTCCCTGGTGTTGAACGCATGCAAAAGAGACGAGACGAGACGGACCATTCTCTCAACCTGGCGACACAGTCCTGCAAATCACCCCTTGTCTCGAACTTGGGGTATGTCACCGCAACAACATCGATGTTAGGCAGGGCGTGGCTGGTTATGGCACGTAGATGCGATGGAAAAGTGCCAAAGGTATCGTCTCCGCCCTGTACATTTCGTCATAGTCAGAGTCAGACTTCCTGAGTACTAGCTAATGCACTGCAGAGGAGCAAACCCCACCTTGAACCCATGAATGAAGACGAGAAGCAGAGTCTTCTTCATTCTACATTATCTGTTTTGTTCCCGCGCTCGATGGCTCGTAGCTTTTTGGCTTCCGAGAGAACCGAATCGCTTAAGCTGACGACAAACGCATCTGGCTCACCGTCTGCGCGACAGGGTGCGATATTACGTCATGCCTGAATAAGTGAAGGGCTTAAGATATAGCACTTCGAGAACCGAACCCCTTGCCAAGAACAATATCTTGAGCCTTTTGGGGATATTGAGCATCATCCCGATTGCAAGGCTAATTGAACAGCTATGCAATAGTGGTAAGTTGGACCGAGCAATGGCCCATTTCCCGCCAATGCAAAACTTGCGTAGCCAATTAACTAACTACAGCACCAAGTACTCCTTAAGACGAAGTCCAAACCAGGAAACCCATTTATGGAGATCATGTGAGGTAATAACCATTGGAGGAGTCAAAGGCGAAGTTGTAAGGGATAAGGGAGGTTTACGAGGTTGTCGGGCGCAGTATGGATTGCTTTTTGGAAGCTATAGGGAGTAAATGATAAGAGGAGGTAAAGGGAAGCCATACGAAAGACTAAGGGGAGCTACTCAGGGAGGATATGAACCGACTAGAGGAATGTGCAAGAGGATAATGCAGGGAAGCATTTAAGGTCAACGCACAGCTAGACACAAGGGAGCTTCTAAAACTTGGTAAGGAGTAACTGACGGCGGGAATAGGAGAGATAATTAACCATGCTGATGTCTTCGAACCATCGCATCAGCCAAGTGCATCCCTGGGAAAAAGCAAAATGGCTGAGCGCATGCGTTACCTCCCAATTCAACCTGTCATGTGAGTATTAAGGCATCTGGCACGAAGTACTGATCCCAGGTGGCATCGAGTCTTCTCTATTTTCGAAACCTACACGGTCATGATCCCGCCTTCGAGTCCTACAGTTGCCTTCTGAGGCTCGCCTAACGCTGTCAAGACGTTGAACCAGCCACCATCGACTTACCGCCCGCGATATCCGGAGATCCTTCAGCGCACTGCCCATTACATACCAATCAAGTTCATAGGACAACCGGGAATCGGCACTTGTCCAACGGAGTTCAAGACATAGTTGAGATAGTCGCTCAAATATCGCAATAGATAAAACATCACACCACAACCACCTACCAGTCCCGGATCACAAAGAAAGCCAGAAAGGGCAGTACGTATTCTCCGTGACAGAGTCATCCAGAGTTGGCCAATATTTGAAGAGCCTCCGAGGTTCGTTCCAATCTCTGAGAGCGGCTCGGCTGAACTGTTGTACTGGCGAAAGGTGAGAAAACAATGTTGGACATTCGCCGGATGCGACGGAATGAGTATGTCTGAGATGCTGGAAAAACTAAAAAAGAGCAACGCGTAAAACAAACAAGCTGTCTTCTAATAGCAATTGATATCATCCGTTCCATTGTAGACTGGTAATTTGAAATTGACCCTATACCTTTTTCTACCAGGGTGTGACAATGAATCGGTTGTCATTGTCAACAGCAGCGTGACACTGGAAAAGTGGTACAGAGACCACATCTCGGGAAGACAAATAACCGTCCATTCTAACCCGCATGATGTAACCACATAGCGGACCTCAGTCGGTTTGTTTTCGAAGGTAGAGTGGACTTAAAGCTTTGTGTATCACCCGGACATTCCAGACAGCTCGAGCAAGAGGCGGAACACCCTCTACGAGGGATTGAACCACCCAAGATTCGGCAGTTTTAATCCTAAGTAGTCTCATAAGCAAGTTCCTCTCCAGAAAGATAGAAATGGCCAGGCGACAAAATTCGGGAAGAAAGCCGCATTGGTCTAGTAGCTATAGAAGGACAGTGTAACTGGATTTTCTTAATATCTTGGAGCAAGACGGAACAACGCAAGAGCTACTACTGGGTAGCCTAAATGTAGCAAACAAGTGAGTTTAGAAACAGCTACCAATCTCAGGGTGTCTTTGCAACGCAGGCCAGTTGTGCGAACAGAACGCTAGGAAGCAGGGAACTTCGTTGATAATCACCAATAGCGAAACCAACTGGTTCAACACTCTATAACTTGTTAAAGGGAAGCCGCAGCAACAACTCTGCAACACCGTCTTTCCTTTGTTTTTCCTCTCCCTATACAGCGAACATCGATAGTGGCCACATATCGATCCGCAACAGCGCACTGCCAAGCCTTCGGTAACCATGGAGGTGTTGGGCTTGCGTTTTCCAGCGACGAGAAATGTTTCCAAAAAAAAAAAAAAAAAAAAAAAAAAAAAAAAAAAAAAAAAAAAAAAATTGGTATCTTGTTTCTTTCCTTAAGGAGGAATGTAACTCCTGCAGAACCAGTGGCTACCGGTAATCCTCGGGTAACCAATAGAACAAGCATCCAGGAGCCCTCCATTGTCGAGTGTTTGTATGTTGGAGCCTGTGAGAGAATAGGGGTAATTCCATCACCGCCCGTGAGATGGTGTGAAAGATGGACCTATTCCGGTAGCAGGCAAGTGATCAAGGGTCGAATCGACTCGTAGGCAGCGATCGGTTCTTAAAACGGAGATGAGGGTACGGAGTAAACTAAGGCAGCTGATTGCCCCGTCAACTCAACCCCGAGGTCCCGCCATGCCTTGGTGTCAAAAAATGGTGAGGCGGGAAATACCAACACATGAATGTTGGGTTAAGCGCTCCTCTTTCTTTCTTGAAGCTAGCAAGATGTATCTGATTGATAATCCGCCATGTATGATCCAGGAGAACGGAATGAGAATTTGGGAAATGAAAGATGGGGGGCTGGGTTGTGGAGAGGGTCGGTTCAGGCACAGCCCACTGAAAACATGTGAACTTGAGGTCGTCCCTCTCTTCTTGACCGGGGGGGTGAAATAATAAGGATCAGGGATAGCAGTGATAGCTTCAACGGCGCCAGCGAGAGGGGAAGAGGCGGACATCAGCTGTAACTAATGGTCACTCAGGAGAAATGAATGAGCTTCGATCCCGCCCAATCTATCGTTACATTCTCATCTTGGGGAAAAGACGGGCTTCACCCGATGGCTTCGCGGCGATATCGAATATCTGCTCACGACAATAATCAAAGCCGGATGCACGTTGAGCTGCGAACTCATTTGGTGTTCGCCATCCCCTGTCGCCGATGCCAGGGTTAAATACAAACTCACCAACTTAGCCGCCCCCATCTCTCGCGAGGTAAGATTGGATCTTTAGCTATCGCTCAAAGGCGCCGCATACATGCTAGGTGCATGTTTCTGGTCACATCCCAGAAACAAAGCGTGTTTGATTTCGCGACTCCATACAGACCATTTCGAGTCTCAGTCCATTGCAGCCGTAACATTCTAAAAATAGGCGCCAACTTGCCCAAGAATATCTGCTGACTTGCTAGATTCTTGTCGCCAATAACTAACACGAAGAGATCTGCTCTCCATTAGTTACAGAGTCCCAGCCGGGGAAGAGCGTCCATACATTTCGCCCTTGTGCATCCTCTTTGGTGGAACCCGTGATATCCCCAAAATCGCGCGGTGACTTGATGCTTACTCTATCGCTCCGCCAATAATGCATCAGTTAATTGTTCAATCCGATTTGGAATGAGTGTGGCAAGAGTCGCTGCATTACCATTTCCCGGAACCCCTAATTGACTAACTCAGGAGGCGGGTTGACGCACGAAGTACAGCCGTTCTCAGTCAACTCGCATAATCCTAACGTTTCAAGACTGGCATCCAAATACGGAACTCCTCCGCGTTTCTTTCTGCCCAGACCAGCTTTGGGGGGGGTGTTTGAAGCTAGACTTTCCATGTCCTAATAGTCCATGCTCCGCAGCATTCTTGCACTTTCAACAGACGCGAGCGCACACTCAACTGCGAATGCCATTTAGACGAGAAACATCACCAAGTCTGCTCGGGTCTTCAAATTCACTTCTTTTGAGTGTCTAGATCCTCTAGATCTTTTCGACATGTCTCAGGTCCGATTTGGCCTCGTGGCTGACAGACACGAAAACCCATCACCGTTTCCCACCCTTCAAGTTCATTTGAACGATCACCTCTCCTCAAAACACTCGCTCTCAACTCGCCCGAACCCAAGCATACATAGCCAGGACACGCATACGACGGACTGGCTCTCTGACAGGTCAGGGTGCGATACCGGGAAGGAAACAACGGCGAAAGACCGCCAATCCGCGGTATATACTAGGGGATAAAGCCGGGCGAGCTTCGGGATATTGTAGAAAAAAGCTGGATCTGGGAATCTGAGAGCTCTGGGTTTCGTTCGTTCCCCTGTGCATGACCGACACCCAAATCATAGAAAATATAATATGTACCTGCACGTTATTCGCTAGTCCCGGCGGCGACAAAGGCCGGAGTTATCGTAAAGGAGGTCGACCTGAACGAAAACGACGTCGCAACGGGCAATGATTGCATGATCATGATAAATGATGGGCGGGTGTGCGCATCCTATCCCCCTTCAGGCATTGAATAATATGCTCCAAAGTAAAAAAATCACTTGCTTGAAATGTAGGCGGTGACCCTGTAGCAGGCCGCGGTCTAGGATTTCCTTGGCGATGTTGCACCGTTGCTGGCACATCCTTGCCTGTCGTCCAGGCTTTGCTGGAATCTTTGACCCAAACGACAACGGGTTTATGTCGGTTGTCTTGCTGATCCGGGCTCAGCCCATAAAACAATGTCCTCTCCTCGATCAAATGAAAATAGGTTTAAGTTCAAAATTTCAATACCGTATGGCTTGCATTCAATCAATCAATCAAGAACGAATGTCTCGGACCCCCGCGAGATCACTCAGGTCTCATGCATCATACCATCCTGTGCCTTTCGCCAAATCGCTGTCGCCGTCGTGCAGCATCAGAGAGTGTGACAAGACGCCGGAGCAATCCCTTGGATCGTCAGAAACCAAAGAAAGGAGTAGCCATTTCTGGATCACTTACCCGTATTCCGTACGGAGCACCCCATAGAACATCTTATCCTTGACACATAGAGGGAGATTTATCCAGGCCTGCCCACGACCTGCAGCTCAGCTGAACGGGAACACTTTGAGTAATCTGCTGCCTTATTGCGTGAGCTATGTCAGATGACTCCACGAATACGCCTCAGGTATTTGACAAAGATGATGATTTTTCTCTTTCTTTTTAAAGAATGCGAGAGGGCATCGGGATATAGCGCGAATCTTGCATGACGAGAAGAAGAGGGAATTCCTCTTTGCAGCCCCGTTAGTTTATTTATTTTGCTTTCCTTTTCTTCTGGATGCATAATTGCTCTTGGGAGTTAGCATGGATGACCCTTTTTTTACAATGCAATCCCGCCTAAATTCGCCTTCTCACTTTTGAGTAAGCCTATCTTCAAGTTACTGGATCCGCCGGACACCCAAAAAAAAAAAAAAAAGAAAAGAAAAGAAAAGAAAAGAAAAGGCCAAAAAGACGTGGAGACTGGCCCGTCACTAAGTCAGACTCTATGATGACGGCGCACTGATCCTTTGTCGGGTTTAGGTATTATGCAGGCTTAGAATACCCTGTCCGAGGGCTGAATCCCTGACCTGACCCTGCCGCATGGCAACACTCGGCGTCATTCCTATCCCCAGACTCAATCTTATGTCACTCGGTTAGGCTCCTGGATCTCTTCCAACCGGAAATGGTTGGGACATGCACGCACTCTTTTTCCTGTTGCTCTCATGAATCACAAATCTCATGATATCATCGTCACTCAGTGGAACACTATTTCCGAATAAAGATATATTAATACTGCTGATATATGTATAAAGTTACGAGCCGCCTGAATGCTAAGAAGAAAATATACCACCACATACTCCAGTGGAGTCTCAGAGGTGTGATATTATATTGCCTGGTAAGGGGATGATGGGGCTGTATTCCGAAGTGCTTTCAGATAAAAGTATTGACACATCCCCATCATTCTCATACAGGGTTTCAACTGCTCCAGCACCCAGAAACAAACTAATGAAAGTATGCAATATCCATTGCACAGCGAGAAGGGCAGGGTGCTAATTCTTTCCGCCGTTCCTGATGGGAGAGAATGTCGGGCATCGTAAAAATCGTCATTTTCAAGTGGATTGCTTATGCGACGCTGCTAGTAAAACTGCAGTGTAAGCTTATCCCTCGTCTTCACTTGTCCCAACAGGTTTCAGAGCAAAGCAAGCCTTTTCATGATATCCGCGGATATTGGGTGCAAGACGCAATGGATTTTCCATGGGATCAGTAGTGGGTTCAATAGTCTGGAGCATTTCTTTGGAGTCACCCTGCGTCTAGAGCTCCTACTTTCGACTCCCTTTCAAACTCCGGTTTCCTTGCTCTTGAAAAAGGGAGGATTTGCAAGGCCAACAGCACAAAGCGATCCTGTATGGCAAGGAAAAATATCACATCTCATGGGGGAAAACAAGGAAAGAGACAGATGCTTATACACCGGATCCACCTTGTCGAAGGGCTTATCCAGCAGGTCCCTCTGAGCAAGACTGTCCCACGACTTTTGTTTGTCGTAGCCAACCCAAAATCCATATTCTGAACAAGGTTCGGCCTGGCCAGCGGCGAAAAATTTTCTTTCTCTATCTGGCTGGTAATTCGTGACGGACTGGTGGCTCGATTCTCCATATCCATGCCTGCAGGCTCACTGGGGATCAAATTTGTCTTAGGGTTGCAGCATGCTTCCCCCCCCCCCCCCCCCCCAATGTGGTGTTGCTGAGAGTCCAAGTTTGATTCTCGACTACCGCGACATAACCGAATCCACGCTCCTTTAAAAAAAAGAGGACGTGACAAGACTATCCTCGTCAACTTAATGAATTCCGAGCAACTTCAAATTTTGCCGGGCTAGATCCTTAAAACAGGAAGGTTCAAACTGGTCTTATTATCTGACAGGGAGATTCGGGGAAAAAAACAAACCATCCTGTAGGAGCTGCAGGCCGGGAATCCATAGTTTAAAACTCGGTGAGCGAAAGTATGCCGTAACTAGCGGGGCCCAGGAGGGAAAAATTAGCCACATCGCCGACGCAACTTGCGAGGTTCTTACCCTTGAGAAGGGGAAAAAGATCACGCAATAAAGGACGAACTACGGAGTACTGAACGTTATCACATGCGCCAATCTTCGCCCCAAGGAGACACGCGCGTCGCTTCGAAAAGCCTGTTCAGCAATTCGGACACGGGCAGTTGATTGTTCAATGCGGAACTGTCGGGCAAGGCATCCTGTACCGTGGGGTGTCATGGGTGGTGGAATACAGGAGGCGGATGTACACACATACGTCCGTCATTGAAGGGCGAGAAAATTGGGCTTACACAAGAGACAAGGGAAGAAGTGGCAGCACCGTCTCGTTTTCCCTTTTCAGGCACACACACACACACACACACACACACATATATGCAAGACAAAACCATCCTGATGATTAAGATTTTTTGGATGCATGCAACAGGTGAGCCAGCCACCCTGATGCTCATCACCTCGCCGATACCGAGCGTCGCTCAACGCACGCGGGAGAAACACTTATCTTTGTTTGAACCATTGATGATCCGGTGATGGTTTAAGGGCAAGTATGTAACGGCTGTTGTAACCTTAGTCCGTACATTTTGCGAGGATTGAAACTTTGGGTCAAAGTCACGGAAATTGACAAGAGATTGAGCCACAAGGAAGACCCGCCTTTGCCCGACCAAATACGCGTGCCTGATGCGAGCATCTGTGTGCCGTTCGTGCAGGTGGACGGGGAGACTCTTTTGGCTGGGGAGATGAGCCGGCACCAAAATAGCCACTCACCTCACCAGCATTGAGAATACGCTACGACAGGGCAGGTTTGAAGGGTCTCTCCCTTTTTCCTTTTTTTTTTTTTTTTTTTTTTGTGTCTTATTTCCCCTTCCCTTCCCTTCTGAGGCGCTCCAGCGACACTCCTGTGAGCGAACAAGGCACAGAGACCACATAATCTGACGAGTTACGGGCGGGACGAATCACCCATTCCAGCAGCAGCGTATCAGTCCCGTATGGCAAAACGAGGGCGATGGGTCGCGATTCGTGATTCGCGTTCTCCTAGCGAATAAAACCGGCCAGAATCCAATCAAGAGCCGCTTAACCGCGCTAATGTCCAACCCTTGGAACGCGTTGGGTTCATTTCTTAGTCATGAATGCCACGCTCGTAACTTTGGTCCTTCGCTGCTCCGCGTCCGCTCAGCATGTACCGCATCAACAGGGCCAGACACGGCTGGCAGGCGAATCAGCTGGCCCATCCAACCACCGCCCGTCCGTCGGGATGCTGGGACGTTGGGAGTGCCAACGCTAAGGAGTCCACAGAAAGGGAATGTGTTGGATCCATGACCCAAGGCAGATATATTAATGGCTCACCTGACAATCATTCGTTTCGTCGAAACGGGCATCCTCGGTTGGGCTGGTGATTGATCGCCAGAGGAACAAAAAGCAGCAGGCAAAGTTGGATAGGAAACACTGGATCGTGCTCCTGGCGTTAGACGGCGGTCCTTTAGACACCTATGCAAAATTGATGGGGCTACCGAGGGAAGATCTGATGCCACCGAATACACCCATACGTACTCCGTCCATACTCCGAGTTACATACTGGACCGCGTACAGTACGGGATACGGACTACGGGACACTGTATATACATACGTATCTTCATAACACTGTAACTTACAGCGTTACATGTGGTCGCCCTCTCAATCCACCGCAATGCCACCGTGAGGAGATTACCGCCGAGGCAATTTTACCGCACCGGCTTGGGTTTGCGCTTCCCAGGTTGCTCCCCTGATTGGCCGTTCGCTCATCCAATACGATTGAATATGAGCTTCCACTGGGCAAGGCTGGGTTTGAAAATTACAGGCTTTTTTGGTGAGATTTGACCTGCCAGGCTCGATGCGGGATTGCATCGCAGCAAGCAGCTGCGTGCAGTCCAGCCTCTTGTCTCATTCAGCCTTCACTTATCATCGGTCTGAAAATCGAAAGAAACCTAGCCTTCCCTTCCCCAGAATCACACTTTCCTCCTTTCCCGGCTTTGTGTGGACCAGAAAGGAAACCCACGATTCCGTTGCCAACCAACCCCTTTCTTCCGTGCATACTTGCGCAACCGAAGTTTGATAGGGGGTGTTGCGCCTGGGTCCGTCGTTATTCAGCCATCAGCAATCGTCATCCGGCCGCAGGTTGATCCTTTTTCCTCGTCAATCTTTCCCTCTCTACCAACTTCACTGGACAAAGCTTGGTTGCCGAGTCTCATCTCATGCACTGTAAGGAACGCTATCAGTCGCGATCCGGGGAGTTTGCTCAGCCCTCCAACCCTGGCTGGATTCAAAACCCCGACAAGGAGGACGAGTAATATCCCCCCACTCTCCAGTGCCTATCCTTCATGACCTGCGGCGTGCTGGGAAGCAAGCGTAACAACGGCAGCGATTTACAGAGCTCCTTTATGAGTTATCTATTTTTTTTTTTTTTTTTTTTTTTTTTTTTTTGCCCTGGTCAAGGACTCCTTTGCTCCAGTATGTCGAGAAGGTGTATCACACGCATTAAGGAACCTCGCCTCCTTGATCTCCTACCTTTCCGGGTCTATCATATCACGCTTCGTGGCAGCTTGTAAAAAGATCCAGGGCGAGCAGAATAAATCGACATACGGAGTACATACATACATACATATATTATCGGGTATTGTGTTGCACTTCTCATTACTTCTTTCTCGTTTGCAGACTGGGGTATGTGCGCGTGTGCCTTGCCCACAAAATCCACCCAGGCTCCGTATATTCCCGTGTTACGCCCATCAAGGCAAATCAAACAGTCGTGCATGACGCTGGAGGAAAAGTGTCTCACTGGACCGGTGTGCTCCGTAGTTTAAACCCATCTTCGCCCAGGGCGCCAATTCTGTTGGAGCAAAAAGGTCGCAAAGTGTACTCCGTATGTAGCATTCCCCTGGAGTTAGTATAACTCAACATCGCAGTTACTATGGGCTATCATACGCCAGCTTGCAGGGCGCTACGTTCATTCACAAACTCTCCACTTACCTTAGCGTCGGGGTCAGCGCCTTCAAACTTGCCCCGCCCCTTCATCCTCCGTTGGGTGCACTCCATTACATCTGGCGCCTGGGGGACCTAACATGCTTCGATATGTTCCAGCAATTCCGGCGAGGGAATTTCAGAAGAGGCGTCGCTTAAAATTATCGGTCCTGGGTGGTGATTTGCGGGTGTGAACATGGCAGGTGAAAGATGGGATGTATCATTCCTCCACATGGATCGTTCCCTTGGATCGTTCGACACCCCAATCATACATTCGATAGTCTGCGATGGTTCTGCAACTCTGTATCCAGGAATCGCTCTACGGAGGACTCTATAACGGCGATCGATGGACTATCTTGGTATTCCCCGAAAGTTGAGGTGTCGCGGAAGCGGCATACATGTAATGCACAAAGACTGCAGGGTGATGAAGCCCCGTTCCATCGACCATGGACTTTTTTTGATATTACGTGTGGTTTATGATTAATATTCTTAATAACGATGATTATGATTACGGATCTGGGACCAAAGACTGGTGATAAGTGACGCTGGCGCTGCACATTCCTTGGATCATCCTCAGCCACCGGAAAGGATCTCAATGTATGTGCTCCGTATGTATGGAACGGAAACACCCTGCCCCCCTCTCCACGAGAGTAACTCCGGTGGCCATCCGACAGGGAGTAATACATTGGTAATACGGAGAGGGATCGAGGCGTTGTGGGATGGACGGAAAGCAGGGCGAACTTTAGTTGGTGGGGGGGGCGCGCGTTTGAGGTAAGGGGAGGTTGCTTGGGGCGCATCCGTGAGGACGGAAGGGAATTTACAGAACACAGGGCGTACGGTGTAATACATACGACGGCGGACCAATGAATACGGGTGGTCATGCGGGTGTTACCAGGTAACAGGACGAGACGAGCGACCTAACGTTACCAACTCCACCGTGCCACATTCACTGCTGACATCAACCGCGCTAGCCCATCCCTTTCTTCCCACTTTTCCCCCCCCCTCCCATTCCCTTTTCCCTCGCTCGCGCACATTTCTTCTTTTTGCCATCTTCACGACAAGAAAAATTAACGAAGGATGGCGAAAAATTTAGGCAAGATCGGATCTTTCTGGCAGCCATCCAAGCACCAGCAGCGATCAGCCTTCAGCCCTCCCGGTCCGGTCTGGTCCTGTTTCTGGGTCAAACCTCGCCAACTACCGCTAGAACCAGGGTGGTCACAATAAAGAAGGCCGGCATTAATTTGCGAAAAACATTATTTCTGCCCTTTCTGCCTTTTTTTTTTATTTTACTCCCGCCAAATTTCAATGATCCTGTTGGTGGGAAAAAAAAAAAGGTAGCTGCTGAATGGATCATGGATGAAAAAGAAAGTGTTCCATCTTTTTCAATCTTTGTTATTTTTATTTTTTCCCTTTCCAGAACACCTGGTTCCTCGGCAAGACTTTTTCTCACCACCAGTTACGTACATTCCGTAACTCCCTATGCTTAGTACTAGTGAGACCCTCTTCTTTAGTATGATTCCGTAACCCTTCCCCGGGTCAGAGAGGCACCTCTTGTGTCTATCCATACATCCGGAGTACCACAGTCTATTGAATACGGCCTTTTAACCCAAGGGATCACTGCGACACTCTACCCGGCACTCCCGTCACTCCTTTTTTTTTTTTTTTTTTTTTTTTTTTTTTGTGTTTTGCCGTCTCTCTTACTTTGAGTTTGATGGAGCATGCCTGGTCTCTAATTCCGGACTTCTCCTGTTAATTACTCCTGCTATCACCGCTAACTCTTTTCCGCCTGGGGTGGCATGTGGTGACGGTCCATCCCCGCCATGGTTGAATCTATATGTGAGACTTCACTTCCAACAAATCATGCCGAGAAGCTTCCACTTGACTCCACCCGGCCTGCTCTTCCAGCTTCCTCATTGCATTACACCACGACGCCTAACAGCGCCTACCACAATTTCGCCGTCCCTCCTCAATAATACTAAAGGGGGGAAAAAAACAAAACAGGCAGAAAAAGGGAAAGAAATTTACCAAAAAAAAAAAAAAAAAGCTTCAAAATTAATATTATTCTTGTTGCCTTCATTGACTCCATTGACATGAACTCTTTTTTTTCCCCATTGTTTCTGTCATCTTCCCCGATCCACTTCACCTCTCTGTCCCTTTCGAGGCATGGTCCGTCCTCCACTTGAATGCAAAAACGATCAAACCTTAGGTTGATGGACGCCCTCCTTTCTGATTTTGCTTTCACCACTCTTCTCAATGCTTCTTTCTCCTTCCTGACCTCGAACGTCAACTAATTGTCAACAACACACCACCTTCTTCACCTTCTTTCTCGTCGCCGGTCCAGCAAGTCCCCATGCTTCATCTTCCTCTTCCTACTTGGACCGAACCTCCCTTTACCAACCGACCCGCTCGAGAACCTCCAACTTATAAGCAGGCTACCGGTCTAGAAGCCTCCGCGAATGCCTTGAGCTCGTCGACGGAATTCCATTACGGCTTATCAACCCCGCCAAAGGACATGACTGACCTCGCCTTCCCGCTCAGTCATGGGGGGCACGGCTACAAATTTCCTGGTCCCTTGCATACGAACATCAGCAACGTCCCTATGGCTCCTTCGGTGTCAGAACCGAAAGTGGTCACTCAGGGCTCACGACAACAACAGCCTCCGTCACTGACGAGCCAGCTACCAGAAAGTGAACCCAAGCCAGCCAAGGAAAGCTCCATTGCTATATATCTTCAGGTCCCATCATCGATCTGCGAGAATGGAGGTAGCTTGGCGGATTTTGCTGCTCAGGTGAGACCTATTCCTCTAGGAAAAACATCAAAATTGTGCGGCTTTTTTGACTGACAGGTGATTTGTTTGTAGATAACTTGTCTCTTCTGGTTCGCCAAAGCCTCGAAACTCAAGCAAATCGAAGATGGAGCGTCCTCACCCTACTATAATCTTCCTCCCCTTGATCCAGAGTCTATGCCTAGCATCGGGTTCAGAAAATGGATGACCACGATTCTCTCCACAACACAAGTCAGTCGGAACGTTGTCCTTTTGGCTTTGCTGTTCGTATACCGGTTGAAGAAGTTCAATCCGTCTGTGAGAGGTAAACGGGGTAGCGAGTTCAGATTGATGACAATTGCTCTGATGATGGGGAACAAGTGTATGAATCCCCCTTTCCCCCCCTCCCTTTTGAGGTGTCAGGTGAAGTCGAGGGATGCTGACATAGATCTGTTTAGTTCTCGACGACAATACCTACACGAACAAGACATGGGCTGAAGTTTCCGGTATAGCAATACAAGAAATCCATGTGATGGAAGTCGAATTCCTTAGCAACGTTCGGTATAATCTCTTTGTCACCAAGGAGGAATGGGAGAAATGGCACTCGAAGTTACGGATCTTCGCTCTGTATTTCGATCGTGCGTCCCGCATGCCCCAGGATACCTTGTCTCAGCAACCCAGAACGCCAATTCTTCAGATCTCACCATCCTTAACACCAATGTCCGGTAGCCCTATCACCCTTCCCCAGCCTAAAATTCCGACTCTACCTTCTCCACCTGCAACGAATTCTTCCGGGGTGTCTTTCCCACTTCCGATCGTTCACTCACCGGCAACTGTCGAGCCACTGATGAATAATAGAAAGCGGAGCTGGGACGGACAGGCAGACGCTCACCCAGTGAAGAAGCTGGCAGGATCAAACAACCGTGTCCAGCCAATATCGTCCCATGTTCTTTACCCGACCTCTGTACCACCACTATCAACTTCTGCATGCAGCACCTTGTCCAGTATGTCAACTGGAACGGTAGGATCCCAGCCAAGTGTCCGTGTTCCGCAGCTACCGACCTGTCAGCTTCCTACGCCTGCATTGACGATTTCTACCAACCCCCTCCCGTGCAATGGTGCCACCCTCTCCAACCAGCTGCCTGTCCCTGTAGCCCGTGCCATGTCCGCCGTGTATGCACCCCCCGGTACGTGGCCTCAGCAACCAATTACTCCGACATCTTTGGCGCCGTTACCTATCAACCTCCCAAGTGTCCCGGCCATTGTCCCGGATCTCAACAGGCGGTCGAGCCCTTATCCGATCAATTCGTCAA